TATCTACCGTATTTTCACTTGTCAAACTTCTATAGTAGATATGTGTGTGCGTGCGAGAGAATGTGTCTGTGTACATTTGTTATGCCTTGTTCTTTTTGGACCGCCCCGCTATCCCGCGTGTGTTTTGTTTTGACTCCTGCCTTTCGGTTCGAACACCCCGTCAGGCGGTGTTCAGACCTCCTTCGGTTGGCTAATACACTTTAATGTACACTTATCTCCTCCGCCTCGCTCCAATCTCTTCCTGCTACCGTAAACCACCATTTTTATCATTCCATCGACCACATAAAAAAGAGTGCCGCCGGCTCGTAAACTGTGTCCTAATGACGATTCCGTGTCAAAGGTCCCACGGAAAGAGAACACATAAATGAAACCAGTCGCCCTTCCTTCTCTTCTCCCCCAATTGAATATATTTATACAAGTAATCGTGTTTGCCGACTATGCACCGCACGCACTGTCTTTTTGGTATAGTGGCTTTGGCGCTTGCGCTACGCGCCGGCCCTCCGCAGCGTCGCCGCTTCCATTCTGTGTCGAGCGCCCTCCAAATCTTCCCGCCCTCTTCGACGTCTTCATCTCCGTCGCCGTCATCGCCAACATCGTCGTGCGCGACCTACAAGCAATGCTTCCCCCCTCCGATTGTCACCTTTAGCCTCTTCCGCTTCTCTCGCTCTGTTTTTTTTTGTGCGGGTCCTCAGAAAGCAGCTGAGAAGTTCCTCTCTCCAGCATGTGATCACCTTCTCCTCCGGCGAATACGCTTATCACTGTCGCCTCACCGTTATCAGTGCCCCTTATGTGTTTGTTCTATACGCATTCTAACCCCGACTTCTTCTCCATCTTCATCGCCACTTCTTCTAATTTCTTGTCACGCGTATTCTAGGAGTCTTCGCCACATCAGAAGGAATGGAAGGCAGTGGGAGGGGGCGGGGAGGAGACCTTCTCGAGATTTACGACTTGACAAGTAGTATTGGCGGCGAGCGGATCGATCCATCGGTTTGTGATTGTGGAACGAGCTTTTGTTCTCTCTGCCTTAGATTAGGTCACTCTAGAATCACCTGTATGTCTTTTGAGTCTATCTCGATATTGTCCCCTCCTTTTCCTTTTGACCCAATATTTCTCGGAAGGTGTTTGCTCCTAATGAAATGTACTTGTCTCCAGAATTAAACCACGATCCATCTCCAATTGTTTGCTAATTTCCAATTTCCTTCCCTCCTTCTCGTTCTTCTCCGTCATCTCCGTCCACTACGATTTCCCGTTCCTTCGCCTGCTTTCTCCTCCCTTCCCTTTTCATGCCGTCGCCCGTTTGTGTCAGTCATCATCGCTTGTACTTACTATAATACGCACCATCTGCTATGATGTTTTCTGATGGTAGCCCTCGATGCCCTCCTCCCCCAGGGTCGATCCCTCCCTTCCTCCTCTCTCTCTTTCACCTAAATGATACCCCCTTTCTGTCCCGGTCGTCCCGCAAGTCTTCTCAAGCATTGCTTTGTTAGCACACAGGTGAGCGAGCCGAGAAAACGCTCAGAGAGCACACCGCCCGGAGCGGATAAGTAGTAGTGTTTAGCTCCTCTAGAGGTACCTCATTCGGTAAGTGTCATAACACAATGAGGTCATACAAAGTAATTGTTGGTACTGTCTTTTGCGCTTCGGAAGGAGGCAGGAGGTCCTCGAGGAGTGTCGTTGGGTGGTTGGTGGAAATTGGTTGTGGCCGACAAGACCATAGGCATACCAAAGTGTCTGTGTGTCTCTGCGCGTCAGCACCGCCCGCCGACAAAGTCTTCTTTTCACTCGAAACTTTTCATTCTCATCTCATCATCTCATCTGCTTCTTCTCCTTCTTCTCATTCCTTTTTTGCACTTGACACCATGTTCCCCGTGTTCATCATCTCTGTTCTTATGCACCAGTGCTACTGCTCGTAAGCCATTCCGCTAGAGTGTCGAATTTCACTTCTCAACCTCCCCCTTGTCCACATGTCCACGTTTTCCCTCTTTGACACCTAACTCTCATTATTTTCTTGATGAATGTATACTACCTTCGAATGACCCTTCGGGCAGCAGGATGTCTCAATTCGAAGGTAATCGGTGTTAATGAGGTGTAACGTGGCTTATGTGCATCCAGCCGTTTGGTACGACCATCCGGCAGTCAGAGGTTGTTGCAGAAGAGTCGTGATGATATGATCTCCTTCGGCGTCTTCTTAATCTTCTCCTCCTTACGCTCGCTCCTCACTTATTCATTCAACCATCCAACGACCCATTCACTCATTCATTCAGTCATTCAGTCAGTTCTCGGTGGGAGGCCTTTCCCTCTGAACAGAGAGACACAGAGGGAGAGCGCGCTCGCGGTGGTTTTCGGAAAGGAAGATGATTGTTTGTGTGTCAGATAGATATGTGTGTGCGTATGGCTGTTGACTCTCCTCCCCCTACCTTCCTGCAGCTGAAGCAGTGGTATTCCAGAGTTCCTGAGAGCATCCCAGTGTCCTTGCCGTTCGCCCGTAATCAGCCTATTGGTCATGTGTATACGCGACAATTAAGTGGTTTTGGCGGATTTGGCACTCGTGGCCTCCCCCAGATGTCCTCCTCGAGCAGCAGACGGTCTCTTCTTCTAAGGTTCTGGAAGTTATTTGCTTGCACTTGGCTGTCTTCTTCGCTTCCCTCCTCCCTTTTGCTTCGTCTTCTGGAATTCACTTACTGAATCATTCACCACTCCCCCTTTTCACATTTTCTTTTCGTCCCGCGTAATGTAGTGGCTCCTGATTGACTTCCTTCTCCGCTTTTCCGCTCAAAAACCGCGCCACCATTTCCGTTGCATAAGCCTGGAACACTCTTCTTCTTCTTCGTCTTCTGAATCCTCTGGCCTCCTGAATCCCAAGGGGCACTTGTCGCCTTCTATCCCTTTTCCTCTCTTCACTTTCACAATTTCAACCTTCTTCACAATTCATTCAGTCTCGTCCCTTTCTGACGTGGCATCTATCATTCGGTTGTGCTTTTCATTTCCACTTTCTGTCCTAATCAACCGAAAAGCGGAGAAACGAACCGATGTTCGATTTGTCATTGCCCTGAGTAAGTGTGTAAAAGACACGACAATTAATCGTGGCGAGACCTTCTCTCTTTCTTTTCTCTCGCCGCTCCCGTCCGTCCGTCCGTCCGTCCATCCGCTCCGCTCGTCTCGAGACGACGACGTCGACACAATCGGTGTTTATTTTTGCGACGTAGGGCAATTTTACTCGCAAACATATGAGCGGGGAGGCGCCGACGACACCCGGCGGGCGGGCCGACGAGAGGTTCAGATAGCGGGAGGGCGCAGAGAAGAGGTAGACAGAAGCTGCTGCCACCGGAATTGGAACGTGAACTTTTATTCGGACTGAAAGAGTGTTCCTGTGAAGGGAATGGATGACCTTCGAAAGGTCTCACAAGTTGATGACACTCTGAATATCATCAGTCACTGATCACTCCCTCTGATCCCTATTTTCTGATTCTTATCTCATCTGAACATCGCACTGAGACCGATTGCTTTCGAAGAATCAGCATTCACTGACTCCGGAAGCGAGATTCAAATACAAAACGGATTAGTATGTAGCTTCGGAGATCAAAAAATATCCCATCCGCCCCGCGTGTAATCCTACGTCAATGTACATAGTTTCAGTCCTTCTCCACGTCATCTCCTCTACTTCTAACTCTGTGCCACTTGAACTATCCGGTAGTCGCCCTGCCTCCTCTAGTTCATGACTCCCCCCTCCCCCTCCCATCCTTTTTCTGTTTGCCTAGCCTGACAATTGACCTGACCAACAACCTGCTACGACCGTTTCTCCCACGTATTATTACCCAATCAGTTGAACCAAAGTTTTAGCCACGTCAGAAGGCGGATTCCCCGACACTCGAAGGTCCTCAATTTGTTTGGCATATCGTCATTAGCGGGTCATCCTGCCTCCTTCCTCCCTCTCTTCCTAATCCGCTTCTTTTCATTCGCCTTCCTCCTTCTGCTCAATAGTTGGGCCTCATCTAGCGCATGTTTCGAATGTGGCGCTGCCACGTCATAGTGAGAAGCCACCTCCCGTAAGTGGCGGCTGCTTTGAGGTCGTCACTGTCACCGTCGAACTGTTTTTGATCGCAAACACATCGCTTGTCTCGCCCCGTATGTCTCGGTCTCTCTTTCTCCCGATGACTACCTCTCCTCCTCCCCCCGCCACACCGTCCCCCTCCCCGACTATTCCACCTTTTTGCGGTATGTACTAGCATTTGTCTCTGCGTCTCACAGTCTTCCCACTTTCCCACGTCTTCTATCTTTCTCAGGGTGGTTCGAACGGTTACAGTGACCCAGTTGAGTTTGCCGAGTTTACACGTGGCACTGCTTCAAGGGGTCACGTGGGTCGGTCAGCCTGTTTCATCCGCTGCACCTTGCCCAGTCTCGACACTTGGCGCTCTTTTCTCTCTTCTTATCATCACTTGACTTTTTTTGAGCGACGCACCGGACGATGAGACCAGGACGATGGCGATGTTGCGATTTGTGCAGTCTCTCTTTTTTTCTCTGGCGCCTATTCCTCCAGTCAATCGGTGCCCAGGTCCTGGTGCTCGGTGGTCCTGCTCCGGCTGCTAAATACACCAAAATATTTGATGAATGCGGTGCGACGGCGGTGCCGCCAATGTCTCTTTTCCTCGCGGGCCAGTCGTGTATGTGCTCTGTGTATGTGCCCCACTAACCGACGACGACGACCCTCGCCCGCCCCACGCCACTCCCACACCCCACCCCGTCTTCATCCCTTTCCTCTCTCTTCTTTCTTCCTTCTCTCCCTCGGTGCTGTTCTAGTTTGTGTTTTTACTAGGCTCTAGAGGGATCCGGAGAGAGAGAGAGAGAGGGAGAACTTCTGCTCAGTCATCTTTTACTCCGCTCGTCCGTTCTCGTTTTTCATCTTGCCGCCCCATCTGTCTCCGTTGAGCTAATGACACTTCTTACAGAATAGTTCATCATATTTGGGGAAACAAACTGGAAAAACGAAGCTGACCAAGAAGATGAGCCTCCGCGACAGCCAGTGCAGCAGCGAAGACGTCAACAAGGAGGATGACTGTATGCCGTCGTCGTCCGAGGATAGTCAAGGTTTGTAAGCGATCCGTACCGGGCCTGCCTGCCCGTCAACGCTGTCAGGCACTCGGCCTCCGGTAGGGGCCTTTCTTTTCGAGACGCCCGCAACCCAGTCCAGCGTGAAATGTTATGATTCCCGCGGCGGATTAGCGCTTAGCGGATTAGTCGAGCAAATGCACGAACATACATGTTAGAAGAATCCGACAGTTTTTGGAACTTAGACCTTCTGTCAAAAAGTGTCTTATCAGTTGGCGCTGGAATCATTCTAATCATGATTCGTCCAGAAGAGACCGTGCCAGGAGGTTGCGAAAGTACGCGTAGCACGTTTGCGTGATACGGTACCCGTTTCCGGGTCTCAGCTGACTAGTTGTTAGTTCGAAAAACAACACAAATAAATGTATCAATTTCAGACGGCGTCCCTTCGCCGATGGACAACGGTGATGAACCCGAATTCTCGCAAAAACACTACGACATCGAACCATGTTACTATAGCATGACTGGCAAATCGGATAGGAATTGCCGTGGAAAAGTGAGTATTTTGTGGTTTATTTTCCCAAAAAATCCGGAAGTTCTGCCCGTTCCTAAACTCAGCTGTACTCTGTTATATTTATAATCGGAGGAGGCATCTTATGCGTGCGTCTCTTCGACCTCGACACTGTCTCGGCACTCGAAAAACCAATTAATTGTTGTTCCACTGAAGCGTCGAGACGCAGAGACAAGGACAGATAGGGACGAAAAGGGGGGCAGCAGCAGCAGCAGCAGCGGGGGGAGGCGTCCATAATTCAAATGTTCCCGACAAGAGGAAGAACACCGCCAAGTTTGAGGAAAATGCCTCCTCGATTCGCTTTTTCGTTCCTTTGAGATTCGGTTCGATCGCCTCCTCGTCTAAACCCCCCAAACATACATGAGCACACATTGCGAGCTCCAATCGAGAAGGTGAAGAACCAGAAAGTCAAACACTAGCGAGCCTCGGATACAGACGACACGCTGACCTCTTCCGATGACTCTTTCCTGACTCGATTAAAGCGAGGATGGCTATCCGAGTCTCGCGCACGCCAATCAAAACACCCTCCTCCCTCCTCCCAGTTTTTGATCTGAAATATGAGACAATTGCTTTTTTTTTCCGCTGTCAAGGAAAGCAAAACCAACAAAAGTTTTCGGAGAGACCCCGAGAGCAGCTTTCCCCCAAGAGAGTACAAATAAAAAGGGATGGCGAGGGGACAGATATGATGCGAGACAGACACACTTCTTGCATAGTGTTTTTTGCCGCATTAGATGATGATCATGATGATTTGTTTGTTTATTTTGAACGCCCTCTTTCTTTCTGCTACTCCAATGATGATGGTGGCAGTTGTCAGTGATTCTGAATGACCTGAACGTTTTCTCGTCAGAGGTGTCAAATGACAGAGGAAGAGAGACGCAGACGAGGAGGTCAATCGAACACTTGTTGAGTAGTACATTCTGAGTGAACAAACGGGCAGAACCGGATTGGGAGAGAGTGAAAAAAGTGGAATTCGCAAGGGCAGCAAGAAGAAAAATGCCCTTGGAAATGAATCTGAAACAGTTGTCCGAACGATCATATCCTTTTAACCTAATTCCCAATCATTTTCAGGTATACCGGTATCGAGCAGACGGTGATCTAAAAGGGTTTCAATCACATGATGGCACAATGTACAGGCTACGAGACTCGGTTTTTGTGGAAACCTCCCAGAACGAGCCTTACGTGATTGCAGCAATATGCGGATTCAAATATGTGAGTGATGGGTCTCTCCCTCCGAATGTCGGCAGATGGCCTGATTTATATGCGCGCCCATTTTGTTTGGGTCAAACTCTCAAGTCGGATGTTTCTCTTCTGAATAGATAGTTGAACCGAGTCAGTAGATCATTGGAATGTTTGTTATGAAGAGCAGAATATTACACTTTGAGAGACAGAGAGAGAGAGAGATAGTGATGGAGCACATGATGCAGTCTCGGTGGTCGCTTCTTGATATTACGCAAGTGTTGTTTTTGTTCGTTTCTCTGAACTCGCGAGGGAGAGAGAAAGAGAACATCGTTCTAGTCTGAGATGACGGAACGAAATACATTTATAGTGTGGAAAGATGATAAGGTGCGAAAGAGCGAGGGAAAGCAGAACCTGTGAGTGAGTGGGAGAGATAAGATAAGGAAGGAATGTTTCGAATTCAAAGTGATGATGTAGTAGTAGCAAGGGAATGGTTTCTGATCTGTACATAGGCTCGATTCAAAAACGTTTGAACGGGGAAAGTTGGAAAGTTGTAAAGCACTTTGATCCGCTTCCTATTGGTATCACTATTTGATTCCCAAGTACCAATATCTGTCTGACGTCATTTGTGCTCTGAACCTTTCGAAACAGCCTAGTCACACTTCTGATTCACCTCCTGTTCTTTTTCTTTTTCTAATATCGCATAGGTTGCTCTTTCTGCTACTTGTTTTGTGAGTCGCCGATCGTCTCCAAATATTGACAGAGTGTTAGTGAGTTCGCTTTCTCCTTCTTCTCCCATTCTCTTCGGATGTGATAACTGTTCTGAAGGGGACATATAATATCTTTTGTATTGAGTCACTTGCCATTCGCTTTCCAATCCGATCGTTCGTCCTTCATCGCCTCCGCGAAACCGTGTCATAATCGGATTGCGCGGGCAGTCAAAAGGAGGAGAGCGACCGAAAAAAGAACCTTTTTTCTGTTGTGTTTTTGTATCGAAATGGACATTGTTTTTATTTGTTTCTGAAACATTTGGGATTGTTTTGACTATGCCCATGACGATGACGAATAATAAGTTTACACCGTCACCGACTGGCGGGCTGAGAGCACAGCGTAATGCTTTTCATTGTTGACACAGCACGTTGACGGCCAGCTGAGAGTATTGCCGTTTCGGGCATTCATAATACGCGCGCTCTCTCTCTCTCTCTCTCTCTCTCTCTGTTCCTCTCTCAGTTCGGAACTTAAAAAGGACGACGAGATAGACACTTTTTGGAGGCAAAAAAGAGGTAATTTGTGGAAGGAGAAACGGGTTTACGGGAGGGAAGAGACCGCCACGCAAAGAAATGACACTCGAAGTGGGCGAATGAGAAAACGAGGAGAGGGATTTGAACATGTGGGGGGAAATGAGGAAGAAAGTACATTAATACGGGGGATCGTGAACAATCGACACATTCTCAATCCGATCCATTTTCAGACAAAACGAGAACACGTGGTAGTGAAACTTACGAGGTACTTTCGAGCTGAAGACATTCCGGAGATATCATTAAACCTGATGAAACAAGAACGAGCAGAGCTCGAAATTAACCCCCACCTGTGCCCGGTAAGTCCCTCGTCTCCCAGTCGCCAGATGTTCGCTTGTAAAACAAACATGTATGTAATGTTTTGCAAACATGCACCCATGCAATCACATCGTTCGTCAATTTGTCTCTTTTGCAGCAGTCACTAAACCGGGAACTCTTCAACTCGGATATTCAAATAACTCATCCGGTCTCATGCTTAAGGTCAGTTTTCCCTTTTTTTTGTCTCCCTCTTCTCAAATTGCTTTTTTGCTAAGCGAAGGGTGTTATAATGTCAAAGAGAAGTGGGACGCATCCCTCTTTTTAGAAAGAAAGCAGTGGTGTTTGTTTTGAAATTGGAGCCGCGGTTGGTCGAGAAGAATGATGACGACAGGGGGAAGGGGAGTCTGTAATTAGAATACCCCCACTCAATCGAGACGGGTGCCATCGCTGCCCTTGTGTGCCTCCCTCGGGTGCCGGAAGTCTTTTCGGCGTCTCTTCTCAACTTTTGACCCCTGCACCGCTTGAATATCAGCTTTCGTTGCGTTCAGAACAGATGCCACGTCACACGAGTGGCTATCTGGTCTCCCGCATCCCGCAGGGGCTCATTCTGTTCGAGAACCTATCAGCAGTGGCTACTCAATCATCTTTTCTTTCTCTTGTTCCGCGTGCACATTTCCCCTGGGACCGAATTAATTGATGTGACGAGACGGCCAGAGGACGGATGGTCGCTCGTGTTGTACGTGTCGGAAAATGGTGGGAAGAGCGACCGGGACATCAATTATTCCACTTGTTTACCGCCCTCGTTTTCCCTCTATACGTCCGTCATATCCTCTATCCTTCTGGCAGTAATTCTCTGCCTCCGGAAGGAAACTGTTTTCTGTCTTTGAGCCTCTCCGTCCTTCGCTCTCTCACTCTCTGCAAGCTCAATTTAATAAAGGACACTTGCTGCTCCGAAGCGACCACCCGGGGAGATGAAGGCAGAAGATGATGCCGCCGGCGACCACAACACACTGGAAATCTTATTTTATTGCAAACTTATGTTTCCTCTCGCCATATTTTTCGCGCACAGAAATTCTCGTCATCCGCTTTTTGATCTACTACGACCCGATGGCAATCTAATCCGAGAATCCGATGATACCATTGAAAGTCGCCCGTGATTGTCCTGGGCCTCCAATGTTTCTACTCGGCAGCAGGGGCAGGAGCTTCTCGGGTTTCACTCGGTGTTCCGAGGAGCGCCATGCGCATCCCATCTGCGTCCGTCCGCCACCGCTCTTTTTCTTGGCCTCCCTGCTGTCATATGACGCGGCAGCCGAAGTGTGTATTCCCTCTCATCCTCTCCTCCATCTTCTTCTTCCTCTTCTTCTCCTCCTTCTTCTTTGGGGTTTTCCTCGTTTTCCACCGTGTCCCTTTTTTGAAACGGCGATCCCGCTGGCAGGTTGCCAACAACATTCCGTCTATTTCGAGCGCCCACTCTGAATTCTGGTCGCGCTCGTAATTTTTTGTTTTGTAAATGATTCAGTGTCCCTTTGCCATTTTTAATTTCCGCTCTGCTGGTCACTTGTGGCAAACCACAATTTTTTTGTTTTCAATTTTATCAAAGGGAACCAGTTAGCCAAATAGATACCCCTTTAATCTGCAGAAGACTTATCACCTATCCGAGTGACCCGTGATGAGATGAGAGCAATGAAGGACTCTCTCTCTCTCTCTTTCTCTCTCACGAAAACACATCCAAGAAGCCTAGAGGAGGAGCAGGAGGAGCACAGAAGTCGCTTTTTTTTGAGCAGCGTTTTCTTTTTCCGCCCTCCAACAACACGAGCCCCTCGTTTCTTGTTGTTGCTCGGCATGTTGCACACGCAATCGCCTCCCAGTTCATTTGAGACTTTCTCCAGCGGTCTTCTTCAATTGAGAATATCATCATTCTTATTTAATAAAAAGCTTACGGGGTCTGTCTGCAACTTTCTTTCTTTATCCGTTTGTCCGTCCCCACCCAGTTTTAAAGTTTTGTCATTTATGACGTGGCATCGAAAAACGTTGTTTGTCCGATTTCGTTCGATTCAGTGGATCACTTTCTCCCGTTTTCCCTCGATTCTTCTTCGCCTCGTCGGCCATCTGTCATTTTGTCGACTTAGATTCTCGCGTTTGGTTTCGTTTTTGTGCATCCTATTCGGTAACTAAATTTTTTTTCCGAGAAAGAACGATGAAATTGAACGTTTTCTCGCTTGTAAGCCATGAAAACCAGTTTAAAAAAAAGCTACAGTAATTATAAAAGGCGCAGCACGAGATTTGTGGAAATTTTGAACAGTCGTGTCGAGAAACACAGTTTCCGTTTCCTAAAACAATTGTTCCCAACATTTCAGAGGAAAGAGTATTGTGGAATACGTGAAAGACGTTCGGCAGGCGAGAACCGTCGCCGATTCTCGCTCGACAACGACACCTTCTTCTTCTGCCTTCATTATAATCAGGAATCGACAAAACTGGCGTCGACACACTACGCAATACGGGTCGGCAGCTGTTTTCAGGTCAGTGAGAGTGAGAAGCTCAAAAAAGAAACGTTGTAGTGTCAATCTCTGAATAGCAGTTCATGAATTTTCAACGGGCGTCCGTCCCAAACTCATGTTAATATTTGATGAATTTCAGGCTAAGCTGCCGTCGATGGCCAAATGCTCTGTGGGCGACGAGAAAGATCGCGACGAGCTTCTGTACAGGCCGGACAGCATTGACGAGGAGACGGAGAAGGACTACATCCGACTGGCACGGTGCTTCCGAGCATACACGCTAAGTGGGAATCACATGCTCGACTCGCAGAAGAACGCAAGAGTGAGTGTCCCGTTTGATCCGACTGTGCATGTGTTTTACTGTTTCCAGTCTCAGGTCAGCGATTTGCTTATGGATGAAGCAATTATCCAACTACATCGGAGTGGGTACAAAGTGGACGACGCTCTGAGCGAGTTGAACGCAAATGATATCATTCTGACCACAGACGTCGATTATATGACACAAGACGACGCTAAGAAATTCGCGAAAGGAATCAAGCAGCTCGGCAAGAACTTTTCACGGATACACCGGGAACTGCTGCCGCATCACAGTCGGGTGAGTATCCAGAAAAGAAGATCCTGTCCTTTTGATGGGGCGTAAAACAGCCTTCGCGCATCGCTTCATAGAAATTCAAAAGAAAGAACAACACAGTTGTTCTCCTCTCCTCTTTTGGTTTGAACTGGTGGTGCGGAGAAGAACAAGTGGGTAAACATGACACGTTTTTCCTCCTCTTCCCGATTTGTCTCTTGCTTTTTTTGCTCTCATCGGCCACCTCCCGGAGGGAAAAGAGGGAGAGAAAGAGCAAATAGATTGAGAGCCGTTGTGTTCGTGTACGCGACTGCTTTTTTGGGCTGGGTACTCGTGTCCCTGGGAAAAGATTCGAAAAGAAGAACAAAAAGCCAAGAGTAACACACTATCATCACTCTCATTTCCCCCTCTCCTCCTTCCGTCTCCTCTCCCTTTCTTCTTCTTCTTTTCCGTCTTCTCCGTTTTCTTCCTGCGTGCGGGCGCGGCCGAAAACCAATAACCGAACCCATTTCCCCCTTCTCTCTTATTTCCTTTTGCCTGTCTCAAGATTTACGACCATGAACTTTTTTCAAATGACAAGCGAAAAGGGGGAGAAACAGAAAGAAGGAGGAAATCTTCTTCACTTCTTATCGCTCTCTGCCACTCCTCTTTTCGCCCATTATTCTCTTTTCTCCCCTCTTTTCCCCGTTATCAGTCAGCAGGCGCTCCTCACCCGATTATTCGCATTAGTGTTGGGTAACTGCCACTTAATGGAGAAGACGGATGAAGAGGAGTCCGAAAAAAACGTGAACGATGTGTTTCTGTTTGCAGGAGCAGCTCGTCTCCTACTACTACCTCTGGAAAAAGACTCCTGAGGCGACGAAGCCGAAGCAAGCGGCTCGACGAGTCAATCCAACGAGTATCAAGCGGCCAACGAAGGAGAAGGTGAAGGTGTCACGACCAACGTCCACTGAATACCTGGACTTTGATTCTGCCAGCGAAAGCGACGTTGAGAACAACGGACCGTCCGGAAGAGCGTGCCATCATTGCTACGGAGCTGGTAATTCTTTTGAATTTTGAACATAGACTAAAGGTTGTTTTTTTTTGCAGAAAGTAAGGACTGGCATCACGCGAACGGACTTTTGCTGTGCACCGACTGCCGGTTACACTACAAAAAGTACGGACAGCTGCGACACGTGGCGAATCGACCAACCCAAGTGCCAGCCTGCCTCTTCAAACGTTCCAATTCGGACGAAGAAGAGAGCGGTGTGCGAACGAGAGCAGGAAAGAAAGAGCAGCGGAGGAGGTACGTCGGTTTTAATAGATTTCTCATCACTATCACAATAGTTGAATATCTTTGTTTTCACACTTCTCTGTCGCTTTCTGCTCTTCTCTGGGCCCTCCTCGTCTTCTGCTCCGTCTGCTTCTCTCGCTTCTCTCGCTACCTCGTTTCATGTTTGTCTCGAGGCGTCAGTTGATAACGAGCGGGCAGCCAGCCAGCGGTCGGTCCGTCGTCCTCTGGCCAAAAAGAGAGAATGAAAGAGAGAGAAAGAGAGAGAAAGAATTGTGATATTAGGATAATTAATCGATTATGATACACGAGTCATGAGTCTCTCAATTTCGCCTTATCTCTGCCGAACCCTCTTATCACCTTATCACCCGACTCCTCTTTCTCCCATCATCGTCATCGCCGTCGTTTTAACATTCGCCACTTTTTCGTTCTCTTCTTCTTTATTCTCGAAGAATTGTGTGATGACACGGTAGATAGAAAGATAGATACGGGGAAGATGGATGGGGACAGATATGCTGCCCCGCGGTCTTTTCACTGCTATCAAATTTATTTTATCGCTCTGGTCTATTGGGGCCGGTTCTACCCTCCCCTTCCGCTGTCCCTTTCACAGACATTATTTCTCATTTCCCTCCTCATCAACAGGTATTTACTCATGCGTATTCCCATCTGTCGAGCCGCCCGTCGTGATAGAAACCGATGGTGTTGCTGCTGATGACCACTCGCAGACCGCGTGCTCTCCGTTCTCTCTTTCTCTTTCCTGCCGTCTCCGTTTTCTTGTTCTCATCTTTCGTCCGCATTCTTTGTGAGTTTTCGAAAGCTCTCGAAGAGAATGTATCCTCCGTCATCTCTCTTGTGCTCTCTTCCTATTTGTATACAATACGCACCAGTTACGTATCTTGACTCCAAATAATTGAAGGTTTTCTAGTCTGAAATTAGAAAAATGAAACACGTCAAGCAGAAAAACTCGTATGCATTACGGCTGCTCACCGGCTCCATTCCGCCCGTCCCGTTTACCACATTCTCGGCTTCTTTCTCTTTGAATCTTCAAATCTCTTGCTCCGGGATAACAACCTGCTGTCGATCGGCAGGTGCAACACTCCTCTCGGTGGCCAGCGGGGAAAGCCGATTAGAAAGGTGAAAGGGCTAATAATCCTCCTCTCCCGTTCGTTATATCCTTAACCTACAATTGCGTTAGCTCCTTCTCTCTCTCTCTCATTCGTGGTCCGTCATTATCCATACGCGAGCATGTGTGCGTCTGTGTACAAGTCGAGATTGAATTCGATCGCAAACGGCGAAGAAACAAAAGCAATTTTGGCGTGGCTGTGGGAGAAGGCAAGCTCCTTCCACCAAAACTGATTAGGTTTTCGCCCCTTCGGTCACCAATATCCGGTATTGGTTCGCTGTTTCCTGCCGTCACTCGCTCCTCGTCTCTTTAGTTCCTCCGGATGCAGGAAATGAGATGGACTCGTGGACTCCTGGAGTGGCCCCCTTTGGCTTCCCTTGTTAGTTCGTGCCCCTCTTTTGCATCTAAGCGCGCTTCTAACCGCCATGTCCAATTTGTCCGCCGTCCTCTCTTTTTGTTTTGGACTCTGCCTCTTCATCAGCCACCTCTACAAGGACGACTGCAAAATATTCGAAAACGCGAGCTCACATGTGACCAGAATATAATAGATTTTGTGGTCGTGCGACACATTTTCGGCTCTTCTGGTCATCATCAAAGCATCACAAGACACAATTCATTTGATATGAGTCTTACTTACTCCCCACGGGCCCATGTTCCGCTCCTATTTCACCATCAATCAGTGTGTCTGACAAGCAGCGACCCCCGCCTCTTATTCTTTCGACAAGTCCTCTCCAATTCCTTCTCCCCGCCACTTGACACTTTCTTTTTTCGCGCGCTCCTAGCAGGCAGCTGGCAGCATGCCAACATTTTTCGCCCTCGTTTGCTGGCGCGTGCCCGAACACACTGCCGACAGAGATAATGTCGCACCTCGCCGTGTTGGCGGCAGTCCTCCTTCCAGATGCTTATCTCTTTCGGTTGTACACGCTGTCTGCAGCGTGTCACTTCTTCTTTCCGTTTCTTTTCGCATCAAAGTTAAATAGTTTATTTCGATAGATAACATCGGAAGCTTCATCTCATTTTACTCGCGCAGAGCAGAGCCGCCATTCATAGTTAATTAGCATGCAGAAACGGAGAAGGTGTCTTTTCGTGCTCTCTTCCGTTTCGTCTCGTTTATGCCGTCTCTTCGCCCTCGGCTCCTCATCTTTCTATTCCTCAAGAGTGATGCACACTTGACAAAATTGCCTTCATTGCTCATCAACACGAGTAGAAGAAGACGAAGAAAGAAAAAAGACGAAAGGGGACAGCGCCCGCCCGCCTGCACAGCACCGGACCACGCCCATATTTGTCGCGTTGGCCCCCCGGTTGCGCGAAGCGAGAGGAGCGAAGAAGCGTCCATCGTGGCGACGACTCCGCCGTCTCCTTCCTTCCCTTTCTTTCTGCTTCTTTGTGGCCCTCGCTCGTCTCTCTTTCTCTCCACTTTCTCTCCTGTTGTATATGTCCGTCCGTCAGGGGTCTTGTCACCGGCGTCCGGCCGCAGTTCCCCTCTCCTATGTGTGCGTGTGTGTGACCGATACCTTTTTTTTCGCCGCCTCAATGAGTTTATGACACCCACAGTTGGCGGGTTACGGGCGGCGAGCAGAATGCCTCTGCTGGTGTCCGGGCATCCATCCATTCAGCGCACGGGGCGACTTTTCATGTCGCCTCTTTTTCGCACTGCCACACGCGCCGGATCAATATGTATTTTGTCTCTGTCAGCCTTTGTGCACACGCAACACCTCTCTTCCGCACCGGCAACAGACGGTCATTCAGTCATTGCGATGAATGTACCGGAAAAATTGCGCAATTCAATGCTGCCCGCAGTGACGAGAAGGATGAGGCCCCCCGTCGGCACAAGGGCCAGACGAACAGACTGACCGCGAGCGCCTGCGTATTGATTGGTCGGTGCGCGGGAGAAGGGTACACACACACTCGACCACCACCATTCCACTCTCTTTTCATCCTCCGCCGCTCCGCAGTACCAAGTTGAACCGGGACGGCAGGTAACAATGCCGCTCCATACATTTTTTGGAAGCAGGAAACTCCGCTAATCCCGTTTGCCGCCCATCATTAACTAATCCGTTTTTGAATTTGCATACTGCTCTCCCTCCCTCTTCCCCTATCTCTCTAACGGACTGACTCGCTCGCTCGTAATCCGGCCACTACTGCTGGCCTTTTCTGTCTCTATTCGGCGGCTTTTTCTGTGATTTTGCCTCGCAGGCAGATGTTTCGGTTGCTAACGTGGGTCACATCTCACCAGACGAAAGCAGATGTGCCACACTCCTTCGCCCATTTCGCCCTTTTTCATGTTTAAAAGGGCAGTGGCCGAATGAATGTTGTTTTTGAAAGTTCCAGAGTGCAGAACACGTCATACTATCCTTTTAATTTTTCTCCCACAAGTGCAAGTGTGTTTATTCTCAGAGTCTGTTCTAGTATCTTTCTTTTTTTCGTCTTCTTCTTCTTCTTCTTGTCGTTGACTTCCTTCAACCATTTTGATGAGAATACGACGAAAAAACAGGCGCCCCGCCGGTGCGGGCCGAATTTCATTCTCTCCCTGCAATGTGTATTGATATCTTCTCAGTTTTCTTCTTCTCTCCTTTCCACTTGTGATATGCCCTCGATTTGTTTCTCGCTATCATAACGAGATGACGGTTTTTAGAAGAATCATTATCACGCCCTCGTCTATCCCTTTAAATATCTTCATTCAAAGTCCACTTTTCATCACCAATCGACTGTTCTTCATTCATAAATTCTCTCCGCTTTCAGAACGCCTTCATCGATGAGCGAGACTCCAGATCGCAGATCGCCTTCTAGTGTGTCGAACGGTGCGCCTCATTTGACCGCCGAAGAGACACCGACGAAACGGTTGAACGGGGCCACCAAACGATCAGCGAAGCGGCCGCTGCACAACGGTATCCTGAACAACATGGAAACGGCTGGAAGTACGGAACCGGCATCACCGTCCAGCCCTCCTCCGAAGTTGACGAACGGACTGACCAATGGACACGCTCCAGGACCGTCTACTCCGAACGGAGAGACTGCCACGAAAAAAATGAAGATTGTAAGAATAGTTTAAGGGATGGTAGATAATCTATTTTTTTCGTTACAGGAACAGATTGATGAGGACTCTGACGACGAGGAAGTCGGCAAAATGACCATTGACGAGGGAGACGACGAGCCGATGCCTGTTCTGAATGGATTCAAGAAAGAAGAGCTAATGGAGGAAGTGAAGTTGGAGTTGAATGGAACTATAAAGGAGGAGAATGGCATCGAGAATGGGCCAACCACATCGAATGGCTCAAATAGAGCTGACAACACCTCGGAGTGTTCATCCGTGTGTGTCGGACTGAGTGCCGGAGAGAATGGAAGCGAAAACAAACCGGATCTGCAACTTATCAACGACGAGGAGGAGGAAATCGTCGAGCCGGACAGCGAATCGGACACCTACACCATTGGCATTGGTGTCGACTTCGAAACGAGAAACGCGTTGTTTGTCAGGCGTTTCATCAGATCGTGTGGACCACGTTGCGCGCGAACTGACTTGTGCTTCAAGATAAAAGTGAACGGCACTTGGGACAGGACCATGAGAGAAAAGGCTGAGAAGAAAAAGGCGGCGGCAGCACCAGCTCATCCTCCCAGAAATCAGGAGCAAGAGGCTAACAAATTGGCGCTGAGTCAGCAGCAGATGCTCAAAGAGAAGCAGCAACAGCAACAGCAGCAGCAACAGCAGCAGCAACAGGTTCAGCAACAACATCAGCAAGCAGCTCAGCAACATGTCGCCGCTGCCGCTCAACAACAGATGCAGCAACTTCAGATGCAAGCTATGATGGGACAAATGCCGCCAGAGATGATCCGGCAAATGATGCCTCATCAGTTTGGTCTCGATCCGGGAACTGCAATGATCATGCAGCAACTGATGGCCAGCCAACAGCAGCCAGGAGTCGCCGCTCTTCAGCAACATTTGGCCATGCAACACATGGAGCAGCAGGCTCAAGCACATCAAGCCCAACAGGTTGGTATTTATAAGAAACGAGCAACGCATAATCTGGGTCATTTTCAGTACATTCGAATGCAGCAAGAGTTGGCACACCAGCAACAACAGAAAATCCTCGAACAGCAAAGAAGTGCACAAGCAGCTCGCGAGCGAGAGCAACGCGAACGAGAACGAATTCAGCAGCAGCAGCAGGCGCAGCAAGCTCTCCAACAGCAACAACAGCAGCAAGCTGCAGCTGCTGCCAGCCAACTCTCGCATATGCATCCAGTGATGGCGCAAATTATGGCGCAGATCCAAGGAGGAACCGTTACCCCGCAAGACATTTCTCGCATGATGGAGATGCAGGCTCAAGCGATAGCAGCTCAGCAACGCGAGCAGCAAGAACGAGAAAGACGTGACAGAGAACAACGTGAACAACGAGAAAGGGAACAGCGAGAGCGGGAGCAACGAGAACGTGAAGCGCAGGCAGCTCGTGAACGAGAAGCTCAGGCTCAGGCCCAAGCTCAGGCTGCAGCTGCAGCCGCACAACAACAACAAGCTCAGGTGAGTATATGATCTGCAAGATGCATAAGTTATCCAGGTTGAATTTCAGCATATGGACCTGCAACAGCAGCAGATGCATCACCTCCTCCTCCAGCAAATGCTCGTGAACCCAGCCCTTCTCCATCAAATCCAACAACAAGCCGTCCAAGCACAAGCGCAAGCTCATGCTCATGCTCAGCAGCAACAGCAGGCAGCCGCCGGTGCCAACCCACTGCAACTGCTGCAGCACGGAATGGCTGGTCAGGCAGGTGCCGCTGAAATGATGCGACGACTTCAAGCGGAGTCGGCTATGCGTTCCCAACACCCGTAAATTCACTTTGTCCTCCTCCATCCCATTTCAAGCGTTTTGTCCCGGTTCAGACCTCTCCTTCCAACAAATATCAGTTGTATAGTCACTCCTTGTTTGGGTATCATTTCTCTGCTATCTTTTCTCATCTCAGTCCCGTTTTCCCCTTTCACATCATCTCTTCATACGTGCATTTTTTGTTCTGTTTCATAAATCATCCCCCTTGGATCGTTTGAAGTGTTTCAATTGTTACCGCTTCTGCGCCCAACCCCCTTCCTTTTAAATCTCTTCCCATTCTCAAACCTCGATCAGATCTGGAACCGGTACACTTTTGACTTTTATTTAGCCTTAGTTATGTTTTACAACTTTTTCGCTTTTGATTGATGTATCCCCTTTTGAATCTCTCTCTCTTTCAGCCAATTTCTCCCATCATCCGTCCTTTTCTCGGAACCAAAGTGTCTTCATTCCATTGATGTTTTTCTTTTGATTCCTCAGAATAATCCGACCTACTGTGTAATTTCGAACTGCGACTTGTGAGTAAATATGATCAGTCAACATCGTCAAATTAAGCAACAAAAAAAACTGAAATAAAAACAAATTATTATAAGTTTACTGTTGAAAAGCCGTTTGCTGACGCTCCCACTCATAAAAAGATGACTCTCCCCGACTATTTGACTAGCAGTTCTGCGCCTCTTCCGTATCCAATCGTTCTCGCCCGTTTGATCAACTGTCACAAAGGGAATAAATAGTGTACCATTTGAGGAGTGCGCAGTCCCTTTTCGGACTGACAATATTTCTCTGCCGTCATCTGAATTCGATACTTTCGCCCCAAACGATGACCGCGTGGCACTTCACCGGTCCGCCCGGAAGGTATGTTTAGAAGAGACACTTGATAGCTACTGCTGCGAAGAGAAAGAGAGAGAGAGAGAGAGAGAGAGAGAGAGAGAGAGAGAGAGAGAGAGCGACAGATATAAACAGCGCTTTGATCTGTGGGACGGGTCAGTCTGCGAAAAGAAGCATGTACGTTTTCAACTTCTACCCCACTCCTCGCGCCTCTATCGACTTCAAACGGTCAGTTTTCGTTATCAACGCAGTTCACCGTTCTTTGAACAATAAGAGACTACGAATACTTTGTTCGCGACTCGATTACGGTATCTTTTTTAGTTCCGCGTACAGTCACGCTCCACCGCATTTTCATTTTGCCGGCCGCGGCCACGAGAAATGCGGTAGAGCGAGAATTGCAGACGCCTGTGCCGATAGTATATACGTTCTGGAGCTGCAGAGTCAGTTGATTCATTTCGTTAAAACAGAAATCTCCTTCGGATCCCTGAACTTTTCGAGGACTTTTCTCACTCTATCTCTCTGTGGCCTCATCAATTCTTGTCAGTCAATGTGACTCAGAGAACTTTGAGATCAAACCGCTATGACCAGTGTGTGATACGTCCAAAGTACACTGGGTACGAAATGTTGTAGAACCATTTTTCTCTGAAATGTTTATTCAACAGTTGGGGGAAAGTAGAAACTGGAAATCAGTTTTCCCTTGTGCGTGTTTATTTTGAGCAGAGATGAGTACACAATGCGTTTATCACACAGTTCATTAGTGTAGCAAAAATGCGATCAGAATTCAGCCAGTCCAGTCCGTTCTCCGCTATCATCCATCAGCAGCACGTGCCCCACTTGACTACTCCGAACTGGTTCCCATTTCCCTTTCGATCAGTCATTCATTCATTCCTTCACAATCAACACAACTATTGTAGTTATTGTGATTGGATTGACGTGGTTTGCAGCGACGTCGACGATCTCGGATTCGTGCGCCCGTGGTCGCCTCAGGAGGAGAGCGGATGCAAGAAGCAGTACGAGGCATGGTACGCCACCTATCTTCCGATTGTCGTCAGACGGCGATGTCGGTGGGAGAAGGAGAATCCACGCAGAAACCAGCATCTCTGTAGTTGATTATACCGACTTTCGTGTGGTCGAAGAGAAAAATATTTCAGTGCAAAGATTCGTCCGGAAGGGAATCCCGCACACCTTCCGAAAAGAACTCTGGCTCCGCAGTTGTCCTGCGAGAAGCGATGGCGTCTGGCCGGTTCACGAAGTCCCGGATGAGGTGATCAAGCAAATCAAGCTCGACCTGCCGAGAACTTTCCCGGACAACAAGTTCCTGAAGAATGAGCAGTATGATATTGAGATCAAGGTGGAACTGATTTCATTGAGCATTTCAGAACTCGCAAAACCCTTGGACGAGCTCTGTTCGCCGTCGCCGAGCATATTCCGGACATCGGTTACTGCCAGGGTCTCAACTTCGTCGCTGGCGTCATTCTGCTCGTTGTCAACGACGAAACACGAGCCATCGACCTGCTCGTCCACCTGGTCTCCCAACGTCGCGATTATTACGGAGCGAACATGATCGGCTTGCGACGGGACATGCACGTTCTGCACTGTCTGCTCCGCGAGCACTGTCCACGTGTCATTGTGACCCTCGAGAAGCTCGACGTCGGTCTGGACATGCTCGTCGGCAAGTGGTTTGTCTGCTGGTTCGTCGAGAGTTTGCCGATGGAAACGGTCCTCCGTCTGTGGGATTGTCTCATTTACGAGGGCGATGAATGGCTGTTCAAGGTGGCGGTCAGCTTGTTCCGATCCAATATGATGGCCATTTCGGCATGTGACTCCATTGATCAACTGATGACCGAAGTGCAGAACATCGGAACGAGCAAGGCCGCTCTCTACTGTCACCAGCTTATTCTGGTAAGTGCGAAAGCCCTGGAATCTGATCTCGAAGGGATTTTCAGAAAAGCGCCGCCCTTCCGATCACCGGAAAGATTATTGAGAACCTGAGAGTCGAGGCCGAAAACGCCATTCCAAACTGACAAGAATTCCATGGCCGTCTGAGCCGATGAATCGCTACTTAACTTGCATTCCGACCAGTTTTTCATAATAAAACTTTCCATCTTTGTTTTTTTATTTGGCATACAAGACTTTCTAGAACTGGGCCCACTACGCGGTCCGAGCTAACGCTTGTTTTTTACTCATAGCCGTTTGAAAGTTCACGTGTTCATTTCTCAATTTTCCCGTTACAACTATTTCCGTTTTAGAAATGGAAAAGTGTCCGGACAAACGGAGAAAGAAAGAAAGAAACGGACATTTCGAACCCGTTAGCTTTTTATCAAATAAGGATGATGATGATAATATCAAGTTTTAATATTCAAAATTTCCCTTCGTCCGAATAGATACACTTCGGAAGTGACATGTTTCTTTTTAATGATCAGCATTGGCAACCACTTATTTACTTACATTTTCGTGTTCACTTCCGTACCCGAGTACGGTAAACATATTCCGAGAGGCCAAATAATCAAACCAAACCACAAACACGTGTGTCTCTCCGGAAACTCTCGTCTTTTCCCCCATCCGCACATCCCCTTTCAAGCTCTTTTTTCCATTAAATGACGCGGCATCCAATCGTCTCTCAATCGCAATCAGTTTGTTGTCAAGTGTGCTTCTTGAGCCAACATTTCTCACTCATCTTGACCTGTATTTACTCGTGCCATTGACGTTTCTGTTACACGCGAAACACGGTCCTTGGCTGGCCTTTTCCCGTTTCTTTTAAAAGGCCATTTCGCCGCGAGTCCGGACATAAGTTTCCGTTTTGCCAATGCAAAGTCTCACTCTTTTCCTCATTTTTCATGCCATTCTGCTCGGCGGAGTTTTTAATTACGATTGCTATAAATTCTCGAAGACCGAGTTCGCCACAATCAAATCGTGCAAATTCGGATGCGAATACGAGTACAAAATAAAAGGTGCGTTTTCTCGGCGTCTATCCTCTTCTGAATGCTTTCCAAATTAGACGCGAACGGAGTGGTCTGTCCCTGTTAGCACACTCTCGTCCCACTCTCCCTCTCTCTCTCGCCTTCCGTCTCGTTCCTTCGACGCTGCAGTCATCTAGGCACACTAGTCAGCGCCGTCTGGACGGTGAGATGGCCGAGTGGTCTAAGGCGCTGGTTTTAGGCACCAGTCCCTCCGGGGGCGTGGGTTCGAATCCCACTCTCATCAATTGTTTTGAATTTTTGCAGGGGGTCACAACCTGAAAGAGTTCGGAGGATGCTCTGATGAACACTCGACACCTGGATGCCGGCAAAAGAGCTCGAAAATCGTGTGCATGTGCGCTGAAAACCACTGCAACAAGCAAGGATACGACATGGATACATCAAGCGAAGAACATTGAAAATGATTTTGGGACAGAATAAAGTGCATACAGAGAGAAAGAAACTTCGTTTTTAAAGAAATAGGAGAGGAACACGTTAAAAGTCAGGTGGGCTGTCAACGGATTTACACAGAGACAAAAGAATTAGAAGACATGGAAAATAATAGTATCAGTCAAATTGGGGTATAAGAGAGAGAGAGAGGGGAGAAAAGCGTAGGCTTCAAAAGGCATTCGGAAAGGCAGTTGGAGGGGGAAAACAGAAAGAAGAGTACATTAAATGCCGATTAAAACTGCCAAGAAATGAGAATAAATGTTTGAAAAATGCAAACAGAACCCCCCCCCCCTTGCCAAAAAGGAGCACAGCAATCAAATCTGTCTCTCTGAATGACCTAGTTGTTAGAAACAAAAAAAATGATAAAAGAGGGGGGACATGAAAGGAAATGGGAATACGGCACCTATTTTCAGAAACACCACATAAACATTCATCGCCATCGTTTTTGTCGTCGATTCGCTGCACGTCTACTCCGATCCTCCTCACGCGGTTCACAAGTTTTAAACGAAATTTGGGCAAGACTGCGTTGACGAAGAACTGAAAATTGACAATCTGATAAAACTATTCGGATGGGAAATCAAACTAACGTGAAGAATACTCTTCTTGAAGATCGCTCAGGAAGCGGGCGTCGGTCGAAGAGGACGGATAGTTCAGTGACGAGCCAAAGAAGGTCGACGACGAATCGTAGTCAGCGGTCTATAACTGGGCAGGGATGAGCTTCACGAGATTGGGCAGGGGCTCGCTTACCATGGGCGACAACAGCCGATACTGCACATGGTGAGTGTGTGCCCGCATGTTCTTGAGCATGGCTCGTTGACTCTGAAATTCGGCACTTGATCTCATTGCTCTTCGTTTCTCGGCAAGCGAACACCTTTGATCGCACCACGCAAAACCACCACCATCACGATTCTCTACAGGCAGCTCATACACGCATACAAAGTCACAACAAACGGACAGACGAGTCGGGAAGGAACAGATATAAGGGGCACGAAGAGAGACGGGAATGGAAAACAGTTATTTTTGATTAGGGGGTGAATAAGTGGTTGGTTTCGTGAGGGTTGATGAGATAATCAGAGGGTGACAACTGCACAATTTTTAAAGTGAGGAAAGCCACGAATGAACTGTGATCGGGAGTCTAAGTGGAAAACGGGAGGCGCATAAAAACTGGGAAAATGCACAGTGTGGAATGATAACAGATTTAGGACAACATAAATCCAATGATAGTGAACGCAGTAACAAAATACAAAGTATGTCAATTAGAACTCAATCTATTAACATAAGGTAGGGGATATTAGGAAGAGAGATTATGGAAAAAAAAGCGTTTGAGTGGGAAAAGTAAAGTCAGAACCGACAGCGGAGGTTATGTGCTGGTGGGGTTGAAATGATTTTCACAGGAAGAGTAGAAGGACGACGACGGAGCGCTTGCAGCTCAGGACGACGGACGGAGGCAGCAGCAGCAGCAGCTAATCTCCTCTGGACTTCCTGTTCCAAGTACACACAGTGAGTGAGTGAACTCCAGTGCCAGCGACGTATCAGAGGCTTCTGGTGACGTGTGACAAACAGACTTTTAATGGTTTTCACGAAAACAAAACGACACAACTGCCACCATTACCACCACCGACACCCCACTATTGCATTAGTCCCTCCCGAACGAAAAAGCCCTTTTGTGAATATATAAGAAAACCAGGCAAACCTTTTGTGTTGAAGATCCTTCGTCTTGCGGCAGTTAGTGTCAGACAGATGCAGTTCGTTCTTGTTCTTCTCCAAATTGATGAATTTCAGGGTGAGCGATTCGGAGGTGAACAGGGAGAGAGAGGTTAGATCGGGGAGGGAGCGGATGTGTAAACGAAATTAAGCGCAACCGTGATAGTGTTAGTGTGTCAAGCAAAAAAGGCGGAGAAGCATCTCGTAAAGATACCCGAGAGTGAGTGGCAGCCAAGCATGCGGCATTCAGTGTGGAGAAATTCCCCGAGATGATCGGACTCCACGTTATACCTACCTCACAAATCGCCCACTCGGTGATGTCGTACACAACGTTATCAGTACAAGTAAAGTAGGCAGTAGTCAGTCCGAGATTTTTTTTCACGATCCAAATGTCATTCTAAAGCCAAGAGAAGTTGATAAGCGGAATTTATCGACTGATGCGCTACCTGCTTGGCCGGGTGTGTGGCTGAGCATCTTTTGCAGTATCTCGCTTGAGCTGGGGAAATTTCGGTGGCGATACGCATGTGAGGTTTGCTACAATCACAGTATATCGTGTTGCGAGCCTTTTCGATATTATTGCTCATGAGATTCCATTTATCGATCAGAGCGGCGTGCTGAAGAGTTAATTTTAGTTGAAGATTGGAAAAAAGGATACCAATCCATTTTCCTTCATGTTCTCGACAGTGTAAACAGCTCTTGGTTCCTGGTATCCGATAGCTTCAAAAGCGGCATTAACAAGTGCATAGACATCCTCGACAGCTTCGATACCACACTGGCAACATTTCAATTTGAGGAAAGCCACAAATTTTGTGATACCTTATCTGGCGAGACAAGTGCAGACAATCGTTTGTAGTTTCTCTTGATATCGTCGTCCGAGCAGTCGCTTTTGAGTCCTAGCACTGTGTACGCATCACGAACAGTTTCACGAGACAGTCTATCCGCGTATTCTGTTGCATTCGTCGGTATCGGAATCTCCTTTTTACATCCCCATTCGAGCTCTTTCACTTCTTCCTCTTTGGCCTTCTCTTCCGTTCCATACCATCTTCCAAAGGCGCCGGAAGTGAAGAAAAACGCCAAATATCTGAGCAGAATGCAGATGTAGATGCACAATGCGATGAGGAACATGAACACTCTACGCAGTGCTTTCCAGGCGCCCATGTATAACCATTCGGAAGAATAGAGAAATACGTCGTATATCTTGACGCACACCTCGACAATCAGTTCGAACGTCCATTGGAACATTCCAACGATGCAACTCCAGAAGAAAACGAGAAGATCCACTGTAATCAAACCTTGTGAAATGTAAGAGGCTCTAGTAACGTACGAGTATAAGTGAGAAAGTTGTCGAACATAGTTGGCTCAGTCTTTCTTGCTTTACGACGGCGCTGACTCGTCTGCACAACACGCTTCTTCTGTTCCTTCTTCATCTGATTATTTCCATTCAAATGAGCGTGGTTGGAAGCAGAACGGTTGCGATGCGTTTCCTCGCCTTCAGTATCTTCTAAATCTGTAATTAGAATAGGTTGCTTTTCGAATAGTATGACTTAGAAACGAACCGTCGGCCGGAGAGCTCGAACGTGAGAATATTTCCTGAATAAGTGGCGGTCTTCCGCTGACGTTCTTCTTTCGCTGTTGAGCTGGTAACGACTCCAAGTTCTTGAGAACGTCGTATCGGGAAGATGCGTCAACCGGATGCACGCTTTCATAAACGACAGGAGCAACCACGGCGTTCGAGTTCTTCTCCTTCTTGTTCTTCCGGTTAATGATTTTCTGGAACTCGTTATCCGCACGGCTCTTCCTTCCACTTTCGCTCTTCCTCGACTCGTTCTGCTCTTTGCTGATGTCGTTCAGCAACTCGCTCTGCTTCGACTGCACCGCCTTCGCGTCGCTCGGCTTCGCTTCTGCCGCCGTCGTCCCTTTTCGCTATAAATCAATGATGAAGTGCAAACCTTTCGGATTTCTCTTTATCAATGCGCTCTCTAACTGATAAATATACGCCCTTTCGCGTCTCATTTATATACATCCGTAGGATTACTGCGAAAGCGGATGACCGGATGAAGAGAGGCGGGACGAGAGCAGCAGTAAACAATTCTTGCTGAGCCGAACTTACTTCGTCGTTTTGGTGAATGGCGTGATTCGAACTGGAGCTGTGTTCCACACGGGCGGCGACGTCGCGATAACTGAACGGCATTTTGGTGACAACCGGAGCCGAATGAGGCTGTCCTTTCACGAGTATTCGAGCCGCCGAGTTCTCGCCCAGAGTTTGACTGCTCATTTTCTTCGCCAATTCTTGTTTCTGCTTCTTTTCAGCACCAATTGGAGTTCCCTTTTTCGGAGTAGCTGCAAACAAACAAATCAGTAAGATTTTCAAATTTGTAAAATGCAACAAACCTGCACTAGACTTGGACAAATGCTCAGCGTAGCTTTTCGAGACGTTCTTCTTCTCTTTGGCAACTTCAACAACTTTTGCAGGTGACAGCGGCATTTGGAGTGTCTCAGCCTCCGCTTCTTCCAACCCAATCGATTTCAACGAAGTTGAAGAATCCGAGGCGATTGTCGGTTCGGCGGATGCTTGACTCATGTTCTCTTTCTTCCAATCAGAGAACAGCAAACTGGTTGTATTCTGAAAAGAAACAAAATTGATATGAACTGCGCGATGAGAGCACTCGCAGTCTTTATGTTGGCGATTCCATTGTAACTCCAGACTGGCGACGTCATAGCATCATACAGTGGCACTGGATTGACGTTGTTCTGCACGGGAGGAGAGGAAGAAGCGGTCGCAGTTGTCGCTCTCGGTCCGAACGATTCCAATCCTGGCGGTGGAGCACCGAAGTAATGATTTTGAACTTGCTAAACTGTTGATGCAAAAATGATCAGAAGTGAACGCCGACTAACCACATTGTGCGTATGCGTGTGATGATGGAGGTTGTGATGGATATGATGGATCTGCGGGGACGGTGGAAGCGAAACGCGGTTCGGAGTGGACGGAGTCACCGGAGAGGAGTTTCCGCCAATGTTGAACGAAGTCAGCAGTTCCGTTTCTTTACGTTCCTTTAACAAATCGGTAAATTTTTCGTTGCACAAGCCTTCAGTTTTACCGTGAATGGATACCAGTTGGCATTCGTCGGAGTTGTCGTCGTGGAACTTGTTAGCGTCGTGTTGGCATTTGACGGAAGAGCCCACGAATCAAGCGGAGGCGAGTACGGCGGAGGAGGTTCCGGCCATGCATTCGACATCGAAAGGTCCGAAACAGGACGCATCACTGGTCCCACGTTCGGAAGTTGTGATAAAGTGAGACCTAATGGTGTTGATTCTGCAAAATACTCGTTTGCAGATTTTCATATCGACAACTGACCATTCCTTCCCGAGACTGAACCGGCCGCCGATGACGGGCCTGGATCATCTTCGAGAAGATTACCCAAAAAGTGTTTTTCTGGATCGTCTACACTTGACATTTCTTCATCGAATCATCTGCAATACGTGTTTAGTTGTGCGGATTTCAATCGATTTGAAACGAGCGCAACGAAGCAACGGGGAGGGACATGCCAGATGTTCGAAGGCTGACGTACGGACGGAAAAGAGATGATATCGACGGGAGAGGGCCGAAAACAGAACAAGGCGTCACGTGAAGGCGCCACCGCCAAAAAAGACACTCGCACTTCTGTTTCTGGAGCGTGAGATGAGAAGAAGCGAATCGGAGAGAAAGAAGAACGAATTAGGCGACAAAACGGCGGCCGCTTTTTCATCCATTCGGTTCGAGAAATCGTCGCGATCAATTTGCAGTTGAATACACGAAAAGATAAGAGGAAAACGTTGTATTAATGCCGAAAACTGTAAAAACACGAGGCGTTTCTGTGGATTGAGGACGACGAGTTAGACTCCGACAGTTCTTATCGATCATTTTCCGAACTGATAAGCGTCACAAAAAAGATGGTTGATGAAACGTTAGCAAGAATCACTCCCTCATTCGATTTTGATTCGCCAAGACAGAATATGGAAAACATGCGGGAAGAAATTTGAAGGACGAACGACGACGTCGGCAGGGAAACCGAAAAAATCAGCGCCGTTTGAACATGCTTCTTTCGCGCGCCGCCAATCATTTGTCGCAAACAGTACGATAGAGCGCGTTTGCGGAGTCTGGCAGCTGAGTTGGAGATGTTCAATCTTTAGACTAATAGGCACGGTTTTTCTTCAAAAAATACTGATTTTTACGATCATCCGCTAGGTTTTATTAAATTTCAGCCATGCTGATAGAAGTTAGATCTCTGGAATTTCCTTAGAACAGTCACGTTGGCTTGGACAGTTCTGCTGGGGCTGTGGAGTTACAGTCTCGTATGGCTCACGAACGCGAAAATGAAGAGCCAGGCAATGAGAAGGAAATAAACCGAGTGGTGAAGGAGCCGAAAGATCGTCGACACAGACGTAGAGCGACCCCCGGCCGAAATATTCTGCGGCCTCCACAGGTAACGCACTATTTCGTGACGACAGCACACACACACCACACACACGCACTGACACACACTGACTACTCCCACAAACGCTCTGTGTCTCTTTTCTTCATTGTCTTTTGTATGTACTCGGCCCCAGCAGGGCAGCCAAACGCTTGTGTTCTTCTTTTTCAAGACGCACATAGAAGATGGAGAGAACTCCCAAAGGCGTTGTCAATTCAACTGGGTCCCCTAGAGCCATCTCGAAAAAGGGAAGACACGAAAAAGTAAGGGGCTTCGTCTTATACATCTGAGAGCTCCGAGAAAAAGCGAACGCGTTTCGAGAGCAGGCGACAAATACGATTGGCCCGTCGCCCCATTTCTTCTTCTACTTGGCCCCGCGGGTTCGAGTTACTTTTCGGCGGAAGATGGGAGAAGCCTGATGGTAAACACGCGTTTTTGTCAAACACTCGAAAGTTTTAGTGATTTGTGCGCTCGGAACTGGAGGTGGCAGGAGGCAGACGATATGTTAGGCAGCGATAATCAGAAAACACCGGGGGATCGAACAACGAAAGAGAGCGAGAAAACCACTAGAGAAACTGAAATTGATTGCAGAAGGGATGGGAGGAAAATGAATGATTATTCACGGTGCAGCGCTATCACTGAGCAATGCGCACTCTCCGCGCCCTCTTCTGCACAGGAAATTTGCGCTGCTCCCGAAGGAGCCGCGGCTCGTCGTTGCAGAATTTCTTTCCGAGTATAGGGTTTCATTGCGACGAAACGAGCCGATGTCATCTCGTCTTCAACTCGTACAACTGGGCGTACCTTTCTTCGTTTTCTGAGCCCTCTGCCGAGCGAACAGTTCTTTTTGTATTGGGCCGTCGTATGGAATAACCTCCAATCGGAGTGCCAGATGGCGCCCAGCCGCCCGGCACTCCTCCGCACAATGTTCCGCCTGGCATCCAGAAAACAACAATTTTGAAACGCACCTGTCACTAACACGATGAGCGAAGAGAGCACCGGGAACCACGGGAATAACCGAAAAACCACGATATTCAGAAAACTGGGATGAGAACACGGAAAAATCGTTGGAATTCCGAAATTTCGAAATTGTTCTGACAATTTCTGACAGTCTGCGTGCGGTCGCGGCAGGACCCCTTGCAAGATTAATGATATGTGCCTTTAATCGAAGTACGTAGTACGGTCTCTTTTCGCCAAAATGTTATGGCGCAAACGCGAAAATGTTTTATTTTTAGCACAGAAAAGAACGAAAACATGCCGTATCAGTTTTTGAATGTTCTTAACAGTTTCAACACCTGCATAGTCTTATCATTAGCAAAAACGAATCAGCTGATTGCTACGTACCCTATGCCGTTTCGAAATTCCTCGCGAGCCTTTGTTTTGAAAATCTACGACCTTTTTCGCAATTTTTTTTGTAGCAAATGTTGAAATTGCGGTAAACTGAGAACGGAAGAGCAGCCCGGCGGTTTTAGTTTTTACACATCGCCCGGGCTCCTCGGCTTCGAGCAGATGGCTTTTACGACGGTGATGATTTATACTTGGGTGATAAATCTGCTCAGAAAAAAGGGAAAGAAAAGAAGAAGAGATAGATGGAGAAGAAGAAACAAGTCAGAAAAGCTCAGTGATCACTCGAATGACCTGCTGATCGACTCGTGCTCAGATGACTGTAACGAGGTGCTCCGCCCGCTTTTCATCCACCTCTCTATTACACTCAGAACAAAAACGAGAAGAGAAAGTGTTTAGCGGAGGAAAACAACTGGAAAGCAGCGTCTTGGAAGCAGAAAAGTGGAAGGAGGGCCATTGAAATTGAGTACAAACGAGATATGCTACGAAATAGAGACGGAAAACAGAAAGAGCTTCCATGTACCGTAGTTCGGCCTAATCGTCGAGAAAATTGGAGGCTCCGAATGCTATAAAACGGGGGGATTTGAGTGAGTGACGAGCGGGCGAATGCAAATGCGAATTTTTGGAGTAAAGTACGCTACAGTATTCTTCCGAATGGCATTGAAAAATTGGCAATATTTGTCTGCCCGATAACGAAACAAAAAATTACCCAATTCCCATACATTACAAAACAAAGCGACCTTGGGCGTTGGAAAACGAATGCGCAACTTCAAATTTTACGAAAGTACGCGTTGGCCTTACCGAAAGGAGCCGTCTTCTCCTCAAACAATGAGTCTCAAAAGCTGCGACGCGGTTAGTCACACTTGGGCGGCGAAGTGACAGAGAGTGAGCAATCGCGGGGGAACGTTGCCGTCTCTTCCATTTAAACGAACGATTGACGATCGAAAGGAAGAGGGGTCTAATTGCAGTGTTTGTGCTACGATGAACAAGGAAATTGACGAGGAACGACGCATCCAGAGAACAATCCGATGCGACAAACGGACGGGATTCGACTGGAACGATCTGTCGTGGGAAACTCCATGGTGTCCATGGAAATTTCGGGAAATGTGCGACAGATTTGAGGGCGATTCCGAGTGCGCGGGACAACCAAATGGGCGACAAAGGCAGTAAATAATGGGGCGAAACGAGCCGTTTTCGAATAGGAAATCGCATAAATTCGAGTGTGTTCTGTCCATCGTTTCGAGGAGAAAGAGGTTTCTCTGTCTTTTGTGATGGCTCTTTGTGCATTATCATTTGCAGGACAATGTGATTTATTTGGTCGGAAGAGGGGGCAGCACCACAAAGTAAGCACATGGGGAGCGAAAGTCAGAAAAAGCATTGGAAACTACCTGTAGAAATGACTATGTTCTGGCAAGAAAACGAGCGTTTTCTCATGAGAAAGAGCGAGAAAGATCGGACGGGAAAGTGGGGGAAAAGATGGAAATGGAGGGCGAAATTAGGGGGAAAACACCGTGTATATGAGCAAGAAATACAAAGGGATTCAGAAGGGAAAACGTGGCCTATTTTCGGGCTTTTTTAGACGAAGAACTGCAGAAGGGCACTGAAAATGCGCATCGGAATAACGGAATGACGACTTTGGTCATCAGAAGAATCAGAAGAACGATGAGGACGGCTGCGACCAGAAGATGGAATATCACTTTGAGCCACTAAAAACGAACTTTGGGGATAAGAAGTGCACGTAATTGTCGTCATCGCGCTCTACAGAACTTCCAGAGTGCTGTAAAGCGCGATTGCTAGATTTTAACATACCTCATTGAGCCCTCCGCCATGAGAGTAAAGGTACTCAAAGTTTGCAATCCAAGGGAACAAATCGCTAAACCCGCCTTTTAGCGTGTTGCATCTGAAACAGATCACTAATGGAACCGCTGCAAATGAAAGGTCTCACTCAGTCTGCGAGCACGGAGAGTGTCCCTCCGACCATCTTTGCTCCTGCCTCGGCGCCCGCATCGCCTTCTCCTCGTAAGGAATCCACTTGCAAATCTCCGTTTTCGCCGGCTGCTCATCCGGCAGAATGCACACCCATTGCGCCTGATTTATGGAGGACGGCAGGCTGATCCGGCTGCCATCGTCCTTTACCGTCGTGCCAACTGAAAGAAATGAATCAGAAGGGACTTTTGGAACTGTGAAGAACTCACATTGAGCTGTGCAGGCGAACGTGGCGATCAGCTTCCGATCGTTGGTGTACATTTTGATGTGCACCGTTCCCTTTACCCCGAAGAAAGTGACGTTAAGCATTCTGTTTCCGTCGTGGTCCAGTGTGATGCTGCCTGTGAAGTTGGCCAGCACGGACTGGCTCTTCGTGAGATTCGGGCGAGTGTCGGTCTTCAGAGAGACCTGAACGGCAGTTCCGTGCTCGTGAGTTATCGTCACTTCGCGAGTCCCCTCGTCCACTTTCACACTTCTTACAAAGTTATTCTCGCTCACTCGTTTCTCATCTGAATCATTTTAAAGTTTCAATGCATTCAAATCGGTCCCCTTACTGTAAGTGTCGTTGTACTGAGTCCCCCGGAGCACAAAGTTCTTCGTTCCAGAGAACTGATCCATGTGCATTTGTCCTTTGCAATTTTTGATAACCACTTTCTGAAAAACAGAAACAATGTGTTCAATTCTGATCTGTTTAAAACCTACATGAGCATTCCTGAGAAGCAGTCCACTCGTGGCCACGGTCCAATCGTTTCCCACCCGTCTGTACCATCCGAGCTTGTCCAGATCCGCTTCTGTTATCTCATTTATCTTTCCCTCCCGTAGATCATTGTGATTTTCTACAATATATTTCAGATTTAAAGTCAAGAAGTCATGCTCACCCTCTGGAAAATAGAACATTCCTTCACGGAGCTGTTGGTGTGGCGAAGCAGCCACCAACTGAACTGATATTCTGTGGTACTCGTTGAGTTCGAACTGTTCTTTCCTTTCAGCAGGTTGATCTGAAAGGGTCACAATCAAAATTCAAACTCTGAGTTTAAAACATACTCTGTACTCCTCCGGGCCCAACACTTTCATCATTTTCCGCTGTTGTTCGCAAAGATGGAATGGGTGATGATCATGTCGTTGATCGGTTGTTGTAGTTTCACGGCACGGAACACCCTTCCGTCCTTCGGCTTCATTTTATGTCGCAGCAAGCTTTGGCAGTGATGCTCGTCACCGGACAGTCGATGGGCTCAACTGCCGGATGGTACTTGGTGTAGCAGGTGGGAAACTCGGAGCTAGTCGAGCAGTTTCTGTCGTCCGCGTACTTTTCCACGTTGCAAACGTCGTTGACTCCGAGACCATAACAATGACATTTGCAATTCGTGTCGATCAACGGCACTGCGAATGTATAGGAATCTGAAGAAACTGAATTAAGAGAAGCACAATGGATCCTGATGGATCATACTTTCGATTGGGTATCTCTGTTCGAGCCTTTCGTATTTGAGAACGTGCACCACATTCTGCAACTTGATGCATATCGTGTTGTCGAGTCCCCAATTGAACTGCGTACTGTGCACATTCGACGTCTTCGAAGAGTTTGACTCTCTTTCTTCTTCGAACTGAAAAATGGGAAACTTCTTTCTGGATTGTAAGACGTTGGCTGACCTGTGATTGAGCGTGCGCACTTTCTCCGCAGTACAGTTCGTCGAAATGGTTCGTCACGAATCGCCGTTTTCTGTGGTGTCTTCTGAGGCGGGCTTCTGTCACCATGAGCAGAAGAGCGACGACGGTGATGGAAAACTGCCAGAGTCGCATCTGAAAACACATCAGTGTTGAATGAAGATTGAGAAAAGAGCAGAATAAGAATGGAAAAGAAAACAATATGAATCAGAGTTCTTGAGGCAAAACATGCAACCACCCCTGAAGTATCAATCATATTCGTGCGGGCCCTAAAAGGAGAGGGATTGTATTCATAAAAGCTTTCGGATTTCGACCTTGAGCGGCTAATTGATGGCGTCCGTTCACTTTTATCACGGGTCGAAAAGCAACACGAATTTCGGGAATCATTAGAGAAATTAGCGAAGCGAAAAGTGGGGGAGAACGTGGCAGAAACGGGCGAACGGTGGTTTCCGAGTGCAAAGAGGGACAAAGGGGCGCTGACGCAAGGTCGCAACGGAGTTTCTTCCGAAGAAGTGCTCGATGTAAACACTTGTCGTCCCTTCTCACCTCCTCGCCCCGCGACGTCTTCATTCGCTCTTGTACAGTCTCTGCCGAGAGGTACGAACTGCGTGATAAAAAGAGTTATCTGCCACAGTAATCCTGTTTCACGCCTCATATTGATGACCTAGATGCGTAAGTTGCGAAAAAAGTACGATATCCGCCGTCGGCGACGGACGAGCCGGCCAGCCGCCAAATCCTTTCGAAGATCGTGCCATCACGCACTTTCTCCGCGCTCTCCCACTTTCCAACACTTTCCGGTAGTCTCCCCGCTCAGGTGTCATAATTACCGTATTCAAATAAAAATGAAAAAGTATCCAATGTCAAAGAGAGAGAGAGAGGGAGAGCTCTGAAGGAATCAAAGAGATGACGTGAAAAGAGTGAAAAGTGGATTACGAGTGTTTGCTGGGCATAACTAAGAGGCGACAATGGGAACCGCCGGCTGTCAAGTACTGTGAGTAAACGGTTCAAGGTGGGAACTCTTCTTCGGAGGCAGGCAACCAATACGGTAGGCGAACACTGAACTGGAACATGAAACCCATAATAGTATGGGCCTAACCCCTGACCGTCCCAGTCTGCCATTACGAACCAGTTCCGCGGATTTGTTTGCCCAGTAAGTCAGCCTAACGCAATCACAAACCTTTCATAACTTATTACTTTTAATGTGAAACAAAAATGATTTTGAGATTTTGAGAACAAAAAAGACCCAGGACACGGAAAAGATAAAAGAGAAGGATCCGAGTGCTCACCGACTCATCTCTATTTGCATTTTGTTAACATTGACCGGAAACTTGCGGTCATTCACCGCTAGAAACACTTGTGATTTAACGGTCGAATAAAAGGCGGAGGACTGTCCTCTTTACAAACTAAAAAACGAAAAAAAAGCTGAGTTATCTGCGAATTCGATCAAAAAGAGGAATGAAGGTGCCGCCGGGTACCGTGCGGGAAATTGGAACTCAAAAAAAGAGGCAAAAAGAATACGAAGAAAACACGGTACGACACGACGTGTGATAGGATCTAGAAGAGGAGGATGACTTGGCAGAGTACTGTAGTATGGCGAGCTTCAGATCCGACACGAAGAGGAGTGTGAATAGTATTCGTATGATTCCGGCCGTATTCATATTATCATTACTATGCATTCTCGATTCAAGACAAAAGAGGGCGGACGGGCGGAGTCGTACTGCATGCCCACTCTCATTCTTCCAAAAATTCTCAATTTCTCCTCGTTTCACAAATCGCGAAACCTAATGGAACCGCAAACATTTCGCCTTTTTTGTAGTGTATTCGAATGAAAACACTTCATTGACTCGAGACCTGAATGAGTCGGACGGGCGGGAAAAAGAGGGCGTTCTTCCGATTATGAAATGAAAAATAGTGCGTGAGCGGGTGGAGGGGAAGGAAAAAAAGAAGAAGGAGAAGAAGTAGGAGGATCGGATTGACGGTTCCTTTCGGTGCTTTTTTAGGAGAAAGATCGCAATCTTGAAATGACTAATAACCTCGCGAGATGAAAGCGACGAAAGGTTCATTGAGGTTTCTGTACTGTCTCAATCAGCAGCAGGTGCAGACAGTAACCAGATAAACTTCTCTGCCAACTGGTCGGCATATAAAGTGACCGGTTGGAATGGCTATGAACCGAGCGGTAATCGGTTTGCGGGAAGCCTGAAAAGTGGGCGGGGCAGAGCGATCTATCGGCATTCACCTCGAACCAATTTATCGTCGCGTACCATGACTAATCGGGCGATGAATGGGCGCACAGGTGGCTGCTCCCTCACTCAAATACCTTTTTTTCTTGGAAGGAAAAAGAGCCCGTACCAGGAGGTACTTCTGAAGGCATTCATCAGAAAAGTAAAAAGAAGGGGACCGGGGGAGGGCGTCCGGAAATTGGCAAAGCCGACAATAAACAAATCTCTTCTTCACAATTTAGTGTTTTGCATATAAATTGACAGGATGTCTCCGATTTCTCGAAGGTCCTCTGCTAATTGAGGCTCTCAAAGTTTATGCCCGGCCATGTGTTGGGAGAAGAGTTTACGGGCGAGAAACCGTCATAAAACACCTGCGAGAAGCGGAGGGAAACACGCGTGAATGTACCGGAAGAGAAGTGCGCGAGAAAGAAGCGGAGGGAGCGCTTTGTCATCCGTTCGAACCGATGACCTTTGAGGAGCTGAAAGGCAACGAGAGAGTGTGCGAAGTGAGGAGGCGCAGACGGAACGGTTTCATTAAGTTGGCTGTGCTTAACGACGGAAATGAGTAATGAATGAAAGGAACGGGAGCCGCGTTTTGAAGGAGCCGACTGGGGACGACATTTCGAGCTTGACTCATCGGACGAAGACAAAGGAAGTTTAACTCTGAATGCACTCGGGAAGAAACCGTCCGGATCATTTGGATTCTTTTTCCTCGCATCCCCATAAATCGCATAAATCATTTCAATCCTTTCCGTTCCACACTTCATCCAAAACCCATCAAATTATAATCCCGAAAAGCGTTTCCGTCCGAACACGCAACATGGTCGATTCGCGGCCGTTCCTCCGCTAATGACAGTAATCAGAGCATGCCCGCTCTCTGCGTCTCTCCCCCGGTAATGCTCCTTTCTGACACGCACTGTCAGCTAACGGATCATCTTGTCGGAAACGAAATTCAATTGTTATATTATTGTTATTATTATGAAGTGAAGAATCAGCAGCATGGAACCTTTTTTGGCAGAATGTTCATAATTCTATATGGAGAATACCACAACTATATCACTAGGAGGCACCTAGTTGTAATAATAATAACAATAATACACAAACGCGTTCGTTTTCTCTCATCAAAAAACCAGCCAGAACCAGCGCATAATCGTACAAAAAACGACGAGGACCGGCCTTTTTCGGTGCGGCAAACAAACCCTCCCAAAGCTCATTCCATCGGTTTCCCTTTCGACACAAAAATGGCTGCCCGCATTCGGATGGACATGACCCACTGATTTTGATGAACTAATTCATTTTGTCGGAGAAGGGACGCCAATTCTGAAGCGCTCCATTAATATTCCTTCCGTTAAAAGGGAGAAAACGGCGAACAAAAGGAACGATAATCGTTCGTAATTTGAGTGAAACTTTTGGGTGAACGTCTCGAGGGTGTTTTGCCCACAAAAATGATTGGTTACTTTCGATTTATTATGAACTGAAGGAGAAATAGAGGCGGTCACCTTGAGCTGAATGACTGAATCCGTGATGGAGTTGTTTTCCCGAGAAAAAGTGGAGCGGAAACCCGGAAAGTTATCATCAATCTTGTTTCGTTTCGTCGACGGTAATCTGAGAGAGTTGAAGGTCCGGCTGCGGGATACGGTAGCCCTTGTTGTCATTCCAAAGTTGTAGAGGAGTGTACATAGTCTGTTGGGTCTTCTCGGCAGCGATCAGACGGAGGCGAGCGAACAGAGGATTGTTGACTTCGGGGATACCAGAAAACCAAGCATCAGTGAATGTTATAGGAATCAGAAGATACCTGAGACCCAATCCCAGTCCCTCTTTGTCCAATCCTTCTGGGCGAAGAATGCTCGCGCGTTATGCTCGGCCAATTGGGAAGCGTGTTCCTGAAAAAGAAAGCCCCTCTTTGAATTATATCACAGGCAGGAACACAGAAAAGGACAGAGAAAAAGCAACAAGACGAACAGGAAGCAATAGGGAAAGCAAGTTACTTTGGCGATAGCGTCGAACTTTTGAATCTCTACATTTTTGTACGTTTCCACGTACTGCCGTTGCACTAACGTGTACTTGTCACACATTCGATTGCAAGAAATCACTGGAGAAAAACAAAAACTGTTTTGAGGTGGAGGACCTGATGACTCACCGAGGAAAGCGGCGGCTCCAGTGATCACCAGAAGAGCCCATGCGTAGATTTGGGACTCCGCTTCGAGATAGGACGCATCTGTGGGCTCCGGGATGCAGATGCACGGGGGACAGTACTGGAAAAGAGGCGAAATCAAGAAAGCAGCCGAGAAATACGTTCTTACCTTTCCATTGTCACTCATTTTATCAAACGACTTTGAAGTTGTGTAACTGTTGAGGACTGTTGCATTCTTGCAAAGCACAGCATCGGCTATCAAGCAGAACTCGTGAGCACGGTAACATCTGTAATAGCCGCCGTCCAGGAACACCACGAAAAGCCATGCAATCGGAGCGATGCAGGACTGAAGGAGCACTTCGAACCAGGACACGAATGTCGTCTTCCAGCTGTGACGAGTGTCTCGGACTCTGCAAATTAACAATATCTTTGTAGATGATGAAAGAGATACATTTACCGGAAGAAGAAACCATGTGCCAGTTTCCAAGTGGTCGAATTGACAGTGATTCCGATGAGAAGGAGAGCGGCCGTGGGACCGAACATGAAGACGAGCGAGTGATAGACATTGAGAGGATACGAACAAGGACACGAGAATGTCAGCCTTCGGATCAACTGAAATCGGAGAAAGAATCAAGTTTCGAATATGATTTTAAACTGATCAGTTTTATTTTCGGCAAAGTGCCGTTACAAACGAAAATTTGCTGCAGCAATCGGCTCGGGTGCCGAATCCAGTCGGGACCCGTGCCGTTTCTTGCAGCAAATTGCTGCAAGAGTTGAGAATCGGGCAGACTTCTGAACATGTTCGTCCACTCAACCACGTTTGCCGCGTTCTTCTCGCAGGAGAAGGGTCTCTTGTATTCTATTGAAAAGCAAATACTCACCGACTGTCCTCCGATCGTCGTCGCAATCAGAATTCCATTGAGAAGTGTGCTCCCATGATTGGTGAACACATTCTGAAAGACGGTGACCACCGAGTTGATACTCGTCGTCATTTCTTTGTGTTCGTCGCTATTGTGAGGTCGTAACACTTTTATGAATCATGCGATTGAATATCAATGAAGAGGGTGTCGAGAGGCGACGGAATGACGTGGCAAGAGTAGCCGGTTGCGAAACGGAGAGATGTATTTTACACTGAAAAAAAGAGATGCAGAAGAAGAAGCCCAGAGATGAATGGAGTTTTCGGAAGGGAGAGCGAGAAAGACGGAGAGACCCAGGCAGACTACGAGAGAGAAAGCTCGCGACGTTCTTCGTGTTGCTATTGGAGACATCGCCTATTTAGATGATATTGAGTGAGTAAATTCATTTGGAAAACTGAAACAATTCAAAAGTTAGAAGTGAAGAATCTTGGCGACAATGAAGGTGACGGCGGAGGAGAGAAGAGCCAACGAACCGGCAGCCGACTTCTTCGCCGCTTCTGAAAATGAAATGCTTGTTTTGGATATCCACAAAACACTCACTCTTCTTTCCGGACAGATCGACCTGTCCGACATTGTTGCGAGTGCGGCCGTGGTAGGTCACAGCGTCTTTGATCCAGACTCCCTTGGCTGCCAGAATCTCGACCTTTGTCATGTTGAAGTGCTCGGTGATCGGATTGACACGATGTCTGCAAACTCTTTCCCATTCAGAAAGCAAATCTAGTTTTCACCCACGTCAACTTGCAGTAAAGTGTCTTATCTCCCTTCTCGTACTCGAGAATATCGAGGTCAAGCTTGAACTTGTCCTTCTTCGGCGACATCTCAATCTGCTCGATGGTCCCGATCATCTCGTTCAAGTGGTCCGTGTTGAATGCGAGTCCGGCCATCTTTTTCCAGTCGTCCTCTGGTCGTTTGTCGTCACGAATACAGAATACCACGAAGTCGTCCTTCATCTCAGTGTCGGCCGAGTACGCGATTCCGAGCCACGTCTTGTCAAGAATGTCACTTCCGAAGATCTCGATTTCGGTGTGCGTTCCATTCGACTAAAAAGAAAAGAGAAATGCAGCTTTGGGATTGGCATCTTTTAGAAAGACTTACGATGGAACTGAAAGCGACGATGCACTTCGGACCAAGACATCCTCTCGGAAGACCGACGCAGTACTTGTTGTCGTCGAGACAGTTGGTCAGTTGAGTCCGTGCGGAGGCAAGAACAAGAATAGAAGAAAGTGCGGCAAGTTTGAGAAGCATCTTGGAACGTATTCATGCTCCTTTTCCTGTTCTTTTATACCAGATCGGTCCGTGATTGTGAAAGAAACGCCTCCCACCCACATTATTGTAGAGCAAAGGCAAAAGCATTCTTCACTTTATTAAAGAAAAAAAATAAACAATGAACAGCTAAGAGAGACCCGACCGCTTTCATTGCAAAAGGTGTTGCACGTTGCAGATGAAGCCATAGATGACGAAGAACATTCCGATGATGATGCAGACGATGTCGAGGAGGATTTTGAGAAGGAAACCGGGACTGCACTCAAACTGAGGGAGGAAGATGAGGAGGTGAAACAGGGAGGGGAAGACGAGGGCGAGCAGCATTCCAGCAGTCACTCCGACCAGCGGAACCATGTCGGACAGACGGGGAATCGCGTAGGAGAGCATGACTGGAAGAACGGAACGGAATGGTCCTTTTTCGTGTGTAAACTCACAGACGACGAGCACAATGGCATAGCGGAAGGCGAAATGGACGACTCTTTTGGTGGTCGTGGACACTCCGCACGTCTTCTTCAGCTTCTTCTTAATCATTGGCCACACCATCGCAACGATCGGGAATATTTGAATCAGGAATCCAGAGTACACAACTGCCAGAAGCACTGCTTTCACGAAAATGCCGAGACTGAAATGTTTTGTTCTCTGAACGTTTCTTAATTTGCTTTCCTTACTGATCATTTGGGAGATTAAGGGTAATGGAGTCCTGAACATTATTTCCGTAAGCCAAGAAACCGAAGAATCCAGCGAACGAGTAAATGACGACGACCATTCCGACGCCAACACTCAGCACTCCGAAAGGTCCTGAAACATTGCGACTCTGTGACGTTTCTTTCCCCTTCCAAATTTCCTCTTCTCTCTTCTCTACAACGTCTTCTGAAGGAGGCGTGGCCCACGAGCACGGCCTCAAGTCATTCGTAGCTCGACACCCAACAGCACATCCAAACCTCTTTTTTTACTTTTATTCGCCGTCCGAGTACGAACATGTGCTGTTCAAGAATTAAGGAATCGTCCCTTTCTAGCGTTTCTGTAGTTCAAGTCCAAGCCGAAGAAGCTGTTATTCCGGCAGAGGTGGAAGTGGAAGAAGAAGTGAACCCCGTTGACAATGAGCAAGATCCGGAGGATCTCGAGTTGGAGATTCGTCTGCTGCGTTCAATTGAAGAAGCTGTCCAGGAAAACCGAGTCCTTCACGACACCGTTCTGCACTTTCAGCAGGTCATTCGGGAGCAGACTGCTCTTCTCGAACAACGTCTCCGAACGCGTTTGGGCTTGGATTTGAACAACAACAGCAACGAAGGTGAGTTGAATCATTCTAACAACTGACGAACAGTCAAAAACTTCAGCTCTTCCGAACGTCGTCGAGGAATATGAGCACCAAGAAGCGGTAGACGTCGGCCAAAACGAACCATCTCCCCCGAACACATCTTCTTCCTGATAACCATCCCTATCCAATAGTCTTCCGTACACTCTCGCAGAAATTTCTCCTCGACTAGAAGCTTATTCCTCTTTCCCTCTCTCTCTCTGAAGCTTTCTTTTTGCTTACGTACCCTTTCTGTTTCTAATAAAATAAATCCGCCTTTTCGTCCGTTCTAAAACCAATTCATCTTCCATTTTTGTGGGCGCGAAGAGCCGCTTTGGCCAGCTAATGTGAAATACGAAAAAAGAGCAGAAAAAGAGTGTTACCCATTTCGCAGTGAATGGTCTGACGAATGAGGTGGCTCTCACAAACGTCATCCTCATGATCCTTCTTCGAAAAGAGTACAAGTGGTTGTTCTCCTGGTTTGTGGTGTACATTCGGCGACAAGGAAGGGAACAAAATCGGAATTGAGGCCGAGTAATAAGGGGTTGGAAGATTGGAAGACGGATGAAATGTGGCAAGGAGATGGCGGTCCGACAAGACGCCGACGTGATTCATTTCATTTTCAGCTTGCTGCCTTTCCGCGGAAGGAACCTATAATTTACGAGGCCACTCGGCCGCACGGGATGATGAAGCATCGGAGCTTGTCCGCTAAGCAAGAAATGTAGTTGTACACGTGCCGAACACAGCGAAAATTCGGCAGCAAATCATTTGTGTTCGAATCCTTTCCCTACAACTTTCCCTCTCTTTCCAATAATGCCGTTTTCCTCGTTTTTCTCCTAACTCTCCAGATTTCTCTCATTTTGAAGATGTACGGTTCTGATAAAAAGGCTCTTGATAGCATACTCCAAAGCCTAATGTGAATCATGGTTCCGTCGGTGCTGACGACGTCGACAGAAACGAGTTGAGACACCAGATTCTCGCGTTCATTCGAGAGGTCGTGCAGCGTGAAGGAAACGGGTCATTTCGATTGAGTATTGTCAGTTTTCAGTTTTTAGTCGCTCACCATTTCCATTTCAATAAAACTAACCCGTCATATCCTCCGGTTTCTTCATCCGATTCTCCAGGGGAAGTACCATTGCCTGCCCCTCCAGAGCATACAAAATGGCTCCGGCCGCACTGACAACTCCGACCAGATCGGTCACCGGAGGCAGCTCCTCGAGCTTCTTGTGCTCCGTCGTCATCAGTTGCTGGAATGTTTGGAGCAAGTGTTTTTCTAGATTCCTTCTGTAAACTCACAAACATGATAACAGCCAATGCAATCAGCATCAGAAAGTTTCCGCCAAGAGAGACGAGCGAGAGCGCACGCATTGAGGAGAGGGAAACGAGGAGGAGGAAAGCGGGAAGGACGATGGGGAACAGTGCCTCCCGGCTTGGAGGAGACTCCATCACGAATTCGAGGAGCTACAAACATGTGGAAAGTGGAAAGGTAGGAGAAGAATGGGCACGGTACCTCGTGCAGGTGATAGACTACGAAGATGTAGAAGCAGCAGCAGATTCCGAACTGGAGCACGCAAAGGGAAGTGTTCACTATTGCTCTGAAAGACCCCGAATTTGAACTGAAACCCGAAATCTGAAACCTAGACACGGGCGCCAACCTCCGAATGGGTTTGAAACTAGCTTGTGTAGCCTTGTAGGCCATATTTCCGTAGTCCAACGGAGCCGATTGGTTTCTGAAAGTTTATCATTCTTGGAGAGTACAATAATACTGGAAGAACTTGCATTTTCGAAAGATATCCAGCACATTTGACGAGTTTGATCATGCATAATGCGGATAGAAATCCAAGAACGAGAATGATAAAAAGACCGGCCTAAACGAAAAGATAATGTGGGAAAATAAGGTGATATGAAACCATGTATCCAGATTGTTTGAAGGCGAGAGGCACTGAGAAACATCCGGCACCAAGCATTCCTTTCATCAGATTGATGAGCGCGAATTTCGAACTGAAAACGTTTTGTGATCGTCTACAGTAATCATTGGTTCTGTACCTAATTGCTTTTTGAAAATTCTCCAGATTAACAATACTTTCGGATGGCAACATGACAGTCATTTTTCGCTTTTACGAATCGGATATATAATAGCTGTTAGGGAGAATAAGGAAAGCGGGAAAGGCAAAGATTGGTCTAGCTGGTTTTGGTGGCCAGAACAAAAACTTTCTTCAACTTCCTAGTTTCATGCCATGCAAGTACGAGGCGAGAACGAGAATCATGACGATTCGAAAAGGGCACCTTAATAAATCACACCGCGGATTCGCACTTTTCGTCTCCAAAAAATCAGAATTTTCTCTGCGTCTCTCACCCAATTTTATCTTCTCCGATCGACACATCGTCCCGGTTTTGTGAAGGAAATAGGGATTTGAGTTGCATGATAACGGGAGAAAACACTTCTGCACTACCCTCCCCCCGAGACACTTTTGAAAGGCATTTCACACCCGAATCCGGTTATTCCAGGACAAAAGAAGACGGTGATAAACCCACGTGATCTTCTCCTTCATTTCCACATAAGTCAGCTTTCGGCGCGGAGGTCCCAGCGGCTTCTCTTCGTCTTGATCCCATTTCGCAACCAACTGGTACTCGGATGCCACGTTGTGCATTCCCAGATCATGAAGATCCAGCATACGCTGAACAAGCAGTTACTATTCTACTGTAAATACTGTAATAGAAGACCACTCCCTGACCATGTATCTCAGCAACCACTCGAGATATCAAATAGCTGTCAACTGATAAAATGTGCATTATGTGTTCCCAGGCAATTTATCAGTTGAGAACTGTTTGATATCTAAATAAGCAGCTGAGATATATTGTCCTGAATGAACGGAGTGCCCTTAAAACCAAAGTTCAAAAAAGTCCTCACGTCTGCATTCGTAAGTTGAAGAAATCCTTCGGAAAACCGACGGACTCCATTTTGAAGGCCTTGAGAAATGGAATGTCGTCGACTTTCCATTGCCTGAAACGAATGGTGAATAGGAGAAAATACTGGAAGTGTCTGAGGTCGGAGGGAGGAGTTGAAGGACCGAATGATTCGATTAATCGAGGGCAAAGAACAGACGAACACCTGAGAACACAAAAGAGTTTAAACGATCAGACGTTGTGTATTTGAAGATGTATTCCTCAACGTGACTGAAAATGTAATTGTAGTTGTCTGAACATGAGAAAAGAGAAACAGTTGAGTATTCACACCAATTGTTCTATTTCTGATTAACCGCCAAAAACAAGAGATTAGCAGAAAACCGAAAACAAACTGATAATGAAACTGTCTCTCTTCTAACTGTTTTCTTATTTCCTATTCCAGTTTCAGTTTAAGATGCCCTTCCATTCTTGTTTCAAACGAATGTTTGCTGATTTTACAAGGCCGCATCAATCAGTCCAAATGAGCGGTCAGCGAGAAATACGTGTGTTGATCCCCTTCTAATTGTTAGTGACATGGAGAGACTAAAAATGAATTAGCGATGGGATGACGTGGCAAATCGGAAGAAAAGATGAACAATACTTTGAAGGGAAGGAGCGGGATGCGAAAAGAATGCGATGCTGGACTTGGTAACGACAGGAAGCATAACTTTTATGGGCATGTCTAGACGGACCATCAAATGCCAGACAAAGTCTCGGACAATCAAAGACAATCGAATGAAAATAAAATGAGGGAATCCCATGTGTCAAGTCACTAAAAACGGTAAAGTGCAGTCCTCTAAAGTCAAATCAAATTAAAGCGAGAAAAGCAGAGTGTCAGAATGTTCGAAGGAACTTGTTTGTCTTCTGTTCTTCGGTCCATTCGTTGGAAACAAAACAGACTGACAACTTGAAAAACACTGAAAGGCGGTAGTAACGGAGGCGATGATTTACTTTAAGGTTCTCGATGAACCTGAGTGACACAAAATGTGTAATATGACAAATAAGTTATCACAGATTTCAATATGAAATAATAAATAAACGGTGACCTAGAACATGGATAAAAGTGAATTCACAAATCGTGTTTCTTGTTGTTCAATGTAGCTAAAAGAGGAATATCCACGTCGACAGAGCCAACGAATCCGTTGTCCGTAATGTTCTCGAGTCTTCTGATGTATTCCTGCGGCAACTTGTGCTCCTTGGCTCCTGCAATCAGAAATCACAACTTTATTTTAGAAACATCTCAATTTACCTTCAACGATGACCAATTTGTAGTGGGGAGAAGGTGCCATTGGGTCGGCCTCGAGATCCGAATACTGGTAGGTCCGACATTGAATAATTCCTTGAGGCGTTTGAATCGGAACTGCAATAATCTCATGTTTCACTGCCGAAAATAGCAATCTTACCCATCAGTCGATGGTATCCGCCCTCCTGCTCATCCAAAGAGTCCGAGTATTCCATCGGCATCTTCCACACACATCCCCACACCTTCAACTCTTCTATTTACCAATCGAGCGCACTTTTTCTCACCTCCTTCCCCGGCTCCTCGATCACCGTCGCGAGTGCTCCTTGCCATCTTCGCGAATAATTGGCGAACTCCAAACGGAAGTTATCCAATTTTCCGTTGCATTCGTACTCGGCACCTTTTTGCTGAACACCTATCCCTGTTAGCCGTAATGTGTATTCCGTGACTCACCCTGTATCGAATGCGCTCGGCGAGCAAGTTACTTCCGTAGGCAAAGTACCAGAAGAAGGACATAACTTGCTGCATGGATGGGAGAGACTGGAAATGTGACGTGGAAAATCAGAGATGAAAAAAGTACGACACTCCGGACGGACGGCGTGCCCCGTTTAACGGAAAAGGAAAGGAGATCAGTGCAAGAAATGGACAAAAGCAAAAGACCACTGCAGCCGAATCAATAACTAAAGATGTGTGAGCGGGCGAAACAACGCTCTCCACGCAAGGAATACTCTCTCGTCTGAGGTGTCCGATCTTTGAAAGTCAAAACGGAAAACGCGAGAAGAAGTGATGTTTGCATTGCTGATTAAAAATAACAAGAAAACGTAGTTTATCATTGACCGTCTTGACCTTCGATGTCTAGCCCATCAGTGATGCATTTAGACCGAAATTGCAATCATTCAAAACACTTTATTTACATGAAATCGTTCAGACATTACTAAATCAAATAGAAAACAATCAAGATCCAAACTGATCGGATTGGTCGTCAATCTGCTCGAATCGGTACGATCCGCGGCCGTCCATGTAGAGGGAGTACTCGTGATATTTCCAGAGACTCTTTCGATGCGAAACTGTGAACAGAGTGATGTTCATCTCTCTGCACAGACGGTACATTGCTCCTAAAAAAGGATTTAATAGGAAGGTCGCGGAAGAATGAATGGAATACCTTCGACGTCGACACTGACTGCCGACGTGCACTCATCCAAAATGGCGAACTGAGGTCTGTGGTAGAAGAGACGAGCCATCTGGAATACGAGGAATCATGTTTCCACCCTCTCTCACCCAGTTCTTACCGCAATTCTCTGCTTCTCTCCTCCCGATAACACATCCATCCAGTCCTGCACTGCCGACCAGCCTCCTTCCCTTTCCAGAATGTGAGTCAGTTGCACGTGCTCCAACATCTTCTCCAAGTCCTTATCCGTTAATCTCTTGGCTGCCATGTCGAATGCAGTGTCCGGGTATATCACTTGATCTCTCAACGTTCCTAGCGTCATGTACGGTCTCTGTGGCACATAAAACAGTTTTCCCTTTGCTGGTTTGGTCAGAGTGCCTCCGAACACTGGCCACAACTCTCCCAAAGTACGGAACAACGAGCTCTTTCCGCATCCGTTTGGTCCACAGACGAGCACATTTCTTCCGGAAGGAACTTCGAAGCTTAAGCTCTCAATAAGAACGTCTCCGTTCGGAGTGACCAACGGAACGTCTTCGAATTGATGATATTGTCCAGAGCGACCAGTTTGCCTGCTCCTGCCTTCAGTGTCAGTCTTTGCACTTCTTCGTTTCCATTCTCATCTGCCACTTGTGCCTTCTCGAACTTTCCGGCTTCATATCGTCGAGCACACTCATCAAAGTGTCCACTCTCGTCGTGAACCCACTCAGTCTGGTCATGTCCCTTCCAGCCAGAGCCAATCTTCCGAGTGCTTCCGACAGTTTCAACATCATTCTTCCGTTGTTGTACAGCTCTTGCATCAGCGCGTTTCGATCCATTCCATTAAACTTTTCATTGTTGACATCGAAGAAGGTCTTGGCGCAAGCGAGCCATCCGACGATATTCGTGATGTACTTTCCGATTATGTTATCTACGAAACCAAGCGTGAATCTGAAGAACAGTTGAATAATGGAACTTTTTCAAGTACCTGAACATGATGGTTTTCCTCAAATGGTACACCAAGTTGTTGAATGATCCCATGAGTGCCTGCTCCTCCGGCTTGTTACCCTGATAGAAGGCGATCTCCTCGCTGTTCATGATCAATCGCGAGTTCACATATCTGTATTCTCCCTCGAGAACTTGCTCTTGAACTGTCAGTTTGGCAATCTGAAACGGCACCTAGTTCTTCGACTCTCCGACTCTCCAACTCACAGGTTTTCTCAGTTTTGTCAAAACGACCATAGAGGCCATCAGATACCCGAAAAGAATGCCCGGACCGCCCCATCCGAGAGCCTTTCCGAGCTTGAAGACGTAAAGGAAAACGTCGAGAATCGGTTTGGAAAGATTCGAATACAATTCAACGATTCCATCGCAGAACTTTTCGACGTCTTGAGTCAGCAACTGATCTGGATTCTGGATGCGATTGTCGAGATTCGACATTTGATAATAAGTGAATCCTCTGAAATAGAAGCTTTCCCCCTTTTTGCTCTTTCCCTACTCGTCCACGTACCCGAGATACTTTCCGTACAAATGCTTCGTGAGATTCTCTCTGAAGCGCAATTTCAATTCGGACAACGAGAACTGAAAACAGAGTCTGGCATGATTTTTGAATTTTTGGGGGTATACTTTTAATTCCTCTTTAAAACGGAAACGCCAAAGATAAGAGAAAACCCACCTTGAGAAGGGCGTTGATAAGTGAAATGGTGGGTAGATTGAGGAAATACTTGAACACCGACATGGCGAACATTATGGGACTGCGGTCGATGATCGACCTGGAGAACAGTTCAGTCGAGATGGATCAATGGAAATGAGGCTTACGCTTCCACGCTCGTCGCATTTGTGATCATGTAGACGTCGGCGATTGTCCGTGCAAGAAGGACGAATCCGATGACGATCATGTAGAAGACCTCTGTGCAGAACGGACCCGGTATCAGAATCTTGAGCAGCTTCTGTAGTTTTGCAAAGAACTCCGAGTTCAGAGAGGCTTTTGACTTCTTCGCAGACGCAGATCCAACTGTTTCAGACAGTGACAGGCCTTTTCCTTCATTTCTGAATAGACTTAGAACTGAAAACTATAGAATCGAAAGGGAAAGAGTACCTGAAACTGGCTGAGTAGATCTTTGCAATAGTGATGCATCCGAATATTCCGAAAAAAGCTGGCGACCAGCTCTTGTAGGTTAGCGTTGAATTCAGAAGTTGAAGTTTCGAAAGTACTGCCATTTTCTGAAAATGTTTTGGTAATTGGAAACAGAACAGAACTGAGTAGAGTTTAAAAAAAAGAAAAATAATGAAGTAACTGAAACAAGTACCTTCGGGGCGATAAATCAAGAGACGTTGAGTGATGATTGAGGCACCGAAGCACGACGAGCTGATAACCGATAACTGATAACCACTACCGCCTTATGCAAAGAGGCTTATTCCGTGAACGAGAAAGGAAAGAAACGGGTGGAATTCCGTTTCGATAACGGCTCCGAGTGATTGTCTGCCGACCCGCACCGGATCCTCTTTCCATCATCTTTCGTGGTTTCTGTTTTCATTCCGTGCTCTATTCAAGAATATTACATGCGTATTGATCTTATTTAGGCGAGTTTAAAGTTGGATATGTTAAAAAGTGAATCGTTTTTAGGATCCAAACTGATCGGATTGGTCGTCAATCTGCTCGAATCGGTACGATCCGCGGCCGTCCATGTAGAGGGAGTACTCGTGATATTTCCAGAGACTCTTTCGATGCGAAACTGTGAACAGAGTGATGTTCATCTCTCTGCACAGACGGTACATTGCTCCTAAAAAGGATTTAATTGGGAGGTCGCGGAAGAATGAATGGAATACCTTCGACGTCGACACTGACTGCCGACGTGCACTCATCCAAAATGGCGAACTGAGGTCTGTGGTAGAAGAGACGAGCCATCTGGAATACGAAAAATCATGTTTCCACCCTCTCTCACTCAGTTCTTACCGCAATTCTCTGCTTCTCTCCTCCCGATAACACATCCATCCAGTCCTGCACTGCCGACCAGCCTCCTTCCCTTTCCAGAATGTGAGTCAGTTGCACGTGCTCCAACATCTTCTCCAAGTCAGTGTCATTTATTCCTTTCCTGATCATGTCAAGTGGTCTGTCTGGGTAGATGATCTGATCCCTCAGTGTCCCAATGTCATGTACGGTCTTTGTGGCACGTAAAATAGTTTTCCTTTTGCCGGCTTTGTGAGAGTTCCTCCGAAGAGTGGCCAGAGCTCTCCGAGCACACGGAACAGGGAACTCTTTCCGCATCCGTTTGGTCCACAGACGAGCACATTTCTTCCGGAAGGCACTTCGAACTCGAGGCTTTCAATGAGCACGTCTCCGTTCGGAGTGACCAATGGCACATTCTCGAATCGGATCACATTGTCCTGCACACGAAGGTTACCCGATCCAGGGACAAGATCAGATCGAAGAAGAGAAAGGGCAGAGTCGTCCTTCTCTCCGACCATAGTCCTCTTGTAGTTTCCGTTGTTCACATCGTCGAGCACATTCAGAAGTGTGTCCACTCTGCTCGTGAACCCACTCAGTCTGGTCATGTCCCTTCCAGCCAGTGCCAATCTTCCGAGTGCTTCTGCCATTTTGTACATCATGCGTCCTGAGTTGTAGTACTCTTGCATCAGTTCATTGCGGGACATTCCGATGAACGGTTTGTGCTGTTTGTTGAAGAACGAGCTTCCGACGGCGTACCAACCAACGACTGTGGCCAGGTATTTGGCAACAATGTTATCCACGAATCCAATCGAAAATCTAAAGTTAGACATTGTCAAATCAATACTGAAGTAGTCTTTAACCTGAAGAGGATGATCTTTCTTAGGTGCTGAACGAGACTGGCGAATGTGCTCATGATTGTCTCCTTCTCGCTCTGATTTCCCTGGTAGAAGGCGATCTCCTCGCTGTTCATGATCAACCGAGAGTTCACATATCTGTATTCTCCTTCCAGCGCTTGCTCTTCCACTGTCAATCTTCCGATCTGAATGCGGATTTACATGTTACAGATTCCTTGGCAAAGATCTCGGCTTACTGGTCTCCTCATGTATGTCAATCCGACTCCAGTGAAAATGAGATAAGAGAAGAGAATGGAAGGAGAAGAGAAGCCGAGGGAGGTTCCCAGACGGAACAGGTACAGGAAGACATCGAGGATTGGCTGAAACGTTTTAAAGTTCAGTTTACTCATCAAAAAAGAAAGCAATTCAATTACCTTTGAAAGGTTAGAATACAGCTCGACGATGCCATCGCAGAATCTGTCCACATCCTGAGTCAACAGCTGATCGGCATTCTGGATGCGAGTGTCCAGATTAGACATTTTATAAAAAGTGAATCCCTTCAGATATTGAGAGTACAAGTGCGTGGAGAGTCTCTCACGGAATCGCAGTTTCAGTTCAGCGATTCCGAACTTCAAAAGGGCATTCGTCACGGAAATGGCTGGCAGATTGAGCACGTATTTGAATGCTTCCAGAGCGAACAAAAGAGGATTACGGTCGATAATTGAACTGAAAACAGATTGTAAATGAAAGAAGCAACTTCTAAAAAGCGAAAGTAAACGCACGCTTCGATTTTCGTGGACGTGATGATCATGTAGACGTCGGCATAAGTACGGAAGAGCAGAGAAACTGCGATGAGCGCTAGATAAAACGTCTCTTTCGAGAAGAATTTCGGAACGAGAATCTTGAGAATTCTCGCTAATTTCCCGAGAAACACTCCGTCCACATGCGCTTTGTGTCCTTTCGTACCGGCCTTATTCGTCTTGGCCACTAAATGTTTTGTGGCTCTGAATAGGATAATAGTTAACAGAATGCAAACTAGCTCTACTGAACACCCGTGAAGGTAGTATCGATTGAATGATAAGTGATATAATTGTACCTGATATCCTGTTTGTACAACTTGACAAGTGCGAACACGGCGAGCATTCCGAGCATTCCGGGTGCATACTGCCTCGCGGGAATGGCCTGTCCGAGCAGTTGAAGCTTCGAAAGGACCGCCATTATTTCAGAGGGAATCGGGCGGATTCTGCAGTCGTCTCTGTGTTCAGTTCATCATTATTTCCCCTTATCACCTACCGCAAAGGTCAGTACGAGAGACAATGGGGAACGGGGAGACGGAGAGAAAGAGAGATGATAAGCTATAGTGTAGCCAGAGAATCGGAAGATATTTTTTCAAACGTCTTCTGATCACTATGTAGCTGGCTGCTTACCTAACTGAAGCCATTGGGCCCTATAAAAGGAACTGAGACGCGAGAAAACATGCCCTGAAACTTTGGACAACTGACGAGAGCTGGAGCACTCCAACTACAGAGTTACCTTCCCCTATCAGCTTGTTTTTTATTGCTTTTTCCTTATCGTCTTCCCCGACATTGGGATGACTCGTCTCACAACTCTGAATTCAATTATAATCAAACCCATTCATAGATACAATTATTGCTCTTACAACTGTACATGCATAGAGACTTTTGGCAAAGACAAAAAAAACAACGCCATTGGATAAAAAATTACATCCTACTGAGAAAATAGAAAAAAAGAGAAGGATACAGAAAACCCGGAACGAAAGAGAAAAATTGGATAATTTAGTCGGCGGACGGCAGCACCTTCAGACGTTCGAAAGCGGCCTTCTCGAGCGATTCCCGCTGGCTCGGATGGGCGATCTTGATCAGTTCATAGGCACGTTGACGCATGTTCTTTCCCCAGAGCTGAGCGATTCCGTACTCTGTGACGACGTAGTGCACGTGAGCGCGGGAAGTGACGACTCCAGCTCCGTCGTTGATGGTTGGGACGATTTTGCTTTGTCCCTTCTTGGAAATGGATGGCAGGGCGATGATTGGCTTTCCGAGTCCGTCGTTTCCGATGGCAGCTCCGCGGATGAAGTCGACTTGTCCTCCGAATCCGGACAAGAAGCGCTTTCCGACAGAGTCAGAGACGACCTGTCCGGTCAGGTCAATCTCGACGGCAGAGTTGATGGCGGTGACCTTAGGGTTCTTGCGAACGATGGCCGGATCATTGACCCAGTTGACGTCTCCGAACTCAATCAGCGGGTTGTCGTTGAGGTACTTGTAGAGCTTGGTCGATCCATAGACGAAGGACACAACCAACTTTCCTGGATGGATGGCCTTCTTGGCGTTCGTGATGGCGTTCTTCTCAATCAGATCCAAAACACCATCGGAGAACATCTCAGTGTGGATTCCGAGATCCTTGTGATTGCTGAGAGCCGAAAGAGCGGCATCTGGCACAGCTCCGATTCCTGTAAAACGAATGAGATGGTACATGTTATACAGATCTCAATTAAATTCCGTACCCATCTGAAGAGTAGCTCCATTGTCGACCAGGTTCTCGGCGATGATCTTTCCGATTTTCTTCTCCTGCTCGTTTTGTGGCCCAATGTGACGCTGATGAAGCTCGAATCCGTCGGCCTCATTTACGAGGTAATCAATGTGAGAAACGTGGATGATTCCGTCTCCGAACGTGCGTGGCATGTTCTTGTTGATCATGGCTGGAAAGTATACGTTGAAAAAACAGGCATAGGTGAAAATTTGGCAGTTTACCCGGACTGTAACAGGTTGTTCTAACTGTCTGAATTACTTTCATGGGTCATATTTGTTCAATTTCCACTCATTTAAACCCTTCTCATTGGTGTTCCTCAGACACCAATGAAAGCAGGGAGATGTTATTCTGCTTACCGATGATCAATGGGGAGTTAGTGACGGCGGCACGAGCAGTATCAACCGATGTTCCGAGGGAGCAGTATCCGAAGGCGTCTGGGGGAGAAACGTGGATAAGAGAGGCGTTCAGCTTGATGGCTCCCTTGCGGAACAGAAGTGGAACTTCGTACAAGAAGCACGAGTTAAAGTCGGCGGTTCCGTCATTGACAGCAGCTCTCAGGTTGTGTCCAGTGAACAGGGAGTTCGATCGGATGCGGTCTGAAACAGCTCGGCTCGCTCTATGCTCAATTTGTTCTGCGTTTCTTACTCTTGACATCCGGTGCCGTCCAGGGAGTGGCTCCTTCCAAGTGCAAGTGATGCAGTTTCACTCCGCTCAGGTTGTTGCCGACAGCGTGCTCCGAAAGACTTTTAAGCAGTGGGGTCGGCGTGGCGGCGATTCCGTGCACGAAGACGTTGTCTCCGCTCTTGATGTCACGAACGGCATCGGCCAGAGAGACGACCTTCGGCGACTTTCCGGCAATTGGGAAAGCAACCTCTCGCTTGTCTCCGTAGATCGAAGTGGTTCTGGAGCAGGCGGCGGAGGTTCCAAACGAGCGGGAAGTGAGTCGAGAAAGCATCCTGCAAACGAGGAAGATTGTGGAAATGAAAACGAATAACAAGTGACGAAAAGAGGTGATACAGGCGAGTGGCATGATTGCGCAAGGAAAACGCCTTATCGATAGAGTGTTCTCAAAAGATGCTGAACAACCGAAAACTGATTGGAGATGAAGGGCGAATGCAAGTAAATATTTAGGAGGAGAAACAGCAGGTCTGCTTGGTCGGTGAAATGGGCTGCGCTTGGAGAGCACATGGCGTTTGCTGATTGATGTGGATGAACTAAACCATGATTCCAGAAAGTTTTCTAGCACTTTAAGTGCTCAGTTTGATGGGAGCATGGAGAGATACACTTCGCGAAATTAGATTCGCAAGTGCTCGATGGTCTTTTGTGAGCTTTTCTATGCAGGAAAGACAGTCGACTGGGACGATGCAGATGCAATTTCTCACGATTTCCATAAGAATGAATGAATTGTTCGGCAATTTTGTTCTGTTTGAAAGAGATCATATCGGCGACCGACCAGCGGGTTACACTGTTTTGTTCATTGATCTGTTTGATGAATTTTGTATGTTTTTGAGTTAAATTTTCGAAGGTATCATTGAACGAAATACTGGGAAGAAAAAGAGAAGCGCAGAACAAACAGTTGTCGATAAGCGCGCTTTCTCAAGTGTTTTGTCGGTGTTGTTCTTTGCTGCCAAGACTATAGACACTATTTTCCTATTTTAAATTTATTGACTGCCTAAATTTAACAACTAATTGGTGTTGGAATGGAACTGTGTAAAATGAAATGAAAGGACGCGCTTCAATTCGAGATGAGACGACCAAGTTGTACATTCAAACAGACAATTGTTCATGGGAGTTGGAAGTCTACGTGCCAGTGGGAGAGAGCGGAGAAATCGAGTGCAGTCAGGACACGACTGACTGCTGCAAAACAACGTGACCGAGTGCCGGAGGGGCAGAAGTATGGCAAGGGAAAAGGAGGAGGAGCGGCCGAAACGACCCGGGCGCCGATCAGAAAACGCTCAATTGACAGGCACGTGGTGAGCAGAGAACTGCGTTTGATACGTTGGACGGAGAGAAACAGAGGATACGATGGACGGGCGGCCTAGTGCGTTTTGTTGGCGCCCCCCTCTTCCATGTTCTCTTCTTTTCCACATTCGCTGGGGCGCCCTTAGTCATGCTTTTTTGCGAGACAAAGACCGCCTTCGCAAGTAAAATGCTATACTTTTTTGCAATTTGACAAAAGAGCAAGTTTGAGACAAATAAATATATATTATCACGCAAATCACGCAAAAGGTATACAACTTCAAACAGAAAAAGAACTCATTTCGAGGCGAATTTAATGAAAACTTCGGGCGAATTTTTAAAATTTGGCGCCGCTGTTCAGTGCAAACACAATCACGGCTTGGCGCGGAACCAAATGCGCCCAACTTGACGGCAGATCAACCGTACCGATTCGAACAAAGTACACTGAAAATCGGAAAAGCAAGAAGAAGGGATAGAGGATACTGATCAGAGAACCCGCAAAAACTGTAGTGTGGCAGTCACGCGGTGCAGTTTCGCTGCGTCAATCGGCGCATTCGAGGGTTTTCTGATCGAGCAAAGTATGAGAAAAGAGCAGGTGACGATGAGAAAATGGGCAGAAAAAGTGAGCACTCGCGATCAGATCATATCATTGTTCTCGATTCTTCGCCACGTGTCGGTCAGTTCAACGACGCTAAACTTGTGAGCGAATGAAGCCGTCAATGCGTCTCTGTTGATTTTGATGAGATCTTCCGTAGAAAGATTGAATTCGTTGGCCATCACAAGGTATTCGTCTGTCAACGAGCAGTTCGGAAAAATTCCTTTGTCGTCCGTCTGTAATTTTACCGTTTCAAATGTGATTTATGCAAAATAACACACATTGAATGACACTGGCACGTCGTGATTTTTCCAGAAGCCGTAATGAGACTCGTCGTGGCTTTTGAAAGTAGAAGAAGTGATATTCGAGGTAGGACAGATTTCTGAAATTGTAATTTAAGGGAAGAAGGTAAGAATTAGAAGGCTACCTAGGTGAATCTTGGCCCTCTTTATCATCTGAATGTGCTTTTCATTCAAATGCAGGAGCGAGCCGTGCCCAATGCGATCCGGTCGGTACGAAAGGAATTCTTCCACCTCCTCCAGATTGCTTTCCACTTCTGCTAAATGAATTGTGACACCGAGTCCATGGGAACGGGCGGTTTCAAATATTTCCAGGAGATGGCGGCCATTCACAGATGGGTTTCCACACAAATCAACTCCGACGATCAGATTCGTTTCTGAAAGCATATTTCTAATTCATCTCAAGAATGTCACGAACCGGAACGGAGTCTGATGACTGCTTCCATAATCTTCTTCGCCGTATCCACGGACATTCTTCTGTCAAAGCTGATGATCAGGAACACTTCCATTGTCTCGTACTGCGTAGTCTCAATAGCTGGAAAGTGATGCGTCATGAAACTGCGAGGGAGCAATCCTGAGAACCTTCTAAGCAACCCCGAATGTATTGCTCGTAATTCATGTTTTCCGTCTCTTTCGGAGTCGTTCTCAGCTCGAGGTACACACAATTTTCAGCCCAGAAATCGGATATCACACTTTTCATAGCCTGAACAACCGATTGTTGAGAGAAAGAGGCGCTCGAGTATTTACCAATTTGACGTCTTCGGGTGTTTGAAGAAGTTGGTGAACGAACGGAAACTTTGCAAAAATGCTGAAAACACACCATGATGTTTTTCGTCATTTCATGTATTAGCACTTCAGCGTTCTGGCAAGGTCGCTCTACGTAGAGTACCGCACTGAATTCACGTGGAGAGCGGTAGAGAGAGCGATTGGCAGACTTCTGCGGCTGCAATAATCCGACTAACCTTTCCATGTCCGCATCTTTGTCATGTTTCAAAAAACTCAGCGCCGCCTCCTTGTTCAATTTATCAAATTTTCGATTCATAAGATCGTGCACGATTTCCATCGAGAGACTTCCTGAGAGATGCGCATGCAATTCCACCTTCGGCATCGAAAATGTCACTTTCGATCTCCGGTTCAGCTTCTTCGCTTGGCATTCTTCCAGTATCTGTCAAGGAGATTCCACGTCGCTTTAGCTATAGACAAAATAATGTTACCTTGGACATAACTGGTCCCAGCATTTTATCATTGAGTACAGAATCTGTTGAAGTTGGAGCATACGGAGCGGCGGGCATCACTGGTAAAAAATCAATAATGAAAAAAGACAGGGGCGAAACTTTAAATTGCACGCACGAAAAAGACCGGGCGACCGCACTTGGAAATGGAGTTTCACACAGTAAGTTCGCTCTATTGCGAAACTGATCTCGGGCTCGAGTTTTTTCGGCGCGAATTGAACTTACAAGGAAAGTACCCGATCTGCGACATGGGGTTTGAGTCGGGACTAGCGGGAAATTTTTTTTATTTTTCTTTCCTTGTTAGCAGTAATCTTTATGAATGAAAAGTTCCAGTGTAAAAAAAACTGATAAAATAACAACACTAGAGTACATTATCCGAGTTTCTTCTCTTTTGGCTTCTCTTCTCCAGATTCTCCATGCTTCTCCGAACTCTTCAATGTCTTCGCGTCGTCCAACTTGAAGATGCCATGATAATTCTTCCGGAAGGCGTCGTATTCCTGGGCAGTCAGCACGTCCCGGATCAGTCCTTTCACCGAACCGACGAATCGTTCGTTCAGCGTTTCAGCAATCAAAGCGAATGCCATCGACGGCTTCGTGGCGAAAGTGTGGATTTGTTCTGCGGCCGGATCGAAAGAGTAAACTATCATCCTTCTGATCCTCGACTTCACCAATCTAGCCGTGTTTTCGTCCAAATCAGCCACCAATCCTTTTTGCGCGTTCGTCAGCTCACTTAACTGATTTGTGGAGAGCATTCTGCGAAGACGCACATTAACACCTGAATAATTTACTCTTGAGTTGCTTGAAATCATGTTGGGTTTCATACCATCCATTATATCCTCCAGTGATTTTCCTTTGTGCATTCCAACTGTTGCCACGTCAATACTCTGAAATGAATATAAGAGGTTTGAGAATAGAATACATTCGCAACGACCTTTGAAAGCTGGGCATCCGTCAGGAAGTCAGACACCAACAGTTTGAATCTCTGAATCGCCAGTTGCTTCGGATCGTGGCCGGGAGCGAAGCCTTTCGGACGAATCGGCACTTTCGAACCCGTCACCACCGAATGGACCGTCTGATTTGGAGTGCGAATAGCTGCATTGCAGACCAAGAAGAAAACAATTGAAACAGGAATGAGAGTTGTCAACATCTTTTGATAATTCCGTCCGGCCAAGACTCTTTTATACTGGGCCCTCGCCGACCTTGGTCATCTCGAATTTTGAACGACTTTGGAATGCATTCTTCCAAATCGGATTACCCAGACAACGAAGGTTACTGCACTATGTCACATTTCAAGAATTGTGTGTACCTCCTGACAATATTTATGAAAATATTGTTTGTGTCGGATCAAGAGAGAGTCTGTTGATCATTGATCAGGGACCTCTTAGCCAGATAAAACACACTTCCCCCATCAAGAGCTGGCTCCGAGTGATACCCGTCTCCGCTTCCAAGAGCTCCGTCGAAAACAGTCATTACCTTCTGCTTCTACTTCTTCTACTTCATATTTTCCCTTTTCTCACCCACTCATTGCTCCGCCTACTCTTCCCTTCTGCTAGTCGGCGTTTCGTAGAATCTCCGTTCCCGAACCCCAAAATTATGTAGGCGTGCGTACGTCAGCTTCTTTCCACCCTCCCGTCTGCCCACTCCTCTTCTTTCTCTCTTCATTTTTCCATAAATACCAGGTAGCCGCTTCTTTCCTCTCATTCTTTCCTCATTCCCATCATCATCATGTCTCTGGCCAAGGAACCTATTATCGAACTGACTGATTTGGTGAGTCAAAAGAGAATTTGATCTTGGAAGGTTTACGTTACGGTAAGAGCTTGCAGTCCGAATTCGAGCATCTCGTCCGTCAGCATCCGGAGAAGGTGATAATTCTCGACTTCTTCGCCACGTGGTGCGGACCATGCAAAGCCATTGCTCCGCTCTACAAGGAGCTGGCCGCCGAGCACAAAGGAGTCATCTTCTGTAAAGTCGACGTAGACGAGGCGGTGAGTTTGATGCGAAATAGTTAGTTTATGAGAAGAAATGTTTCCAGGATGATCTTGCCTCCAAGTACGACGTGAAGCTCATGCCGACGTTCGTCTTCACGAAGAACGGAGAGACAATTGTGAGTCGTCCCCTTCGTTTTCCCCTGTCTATCTGTATGATTCAGGATACTCTGGAAGGTGGCGTCGAGGAAGAACTGCGTCGGAAAGTGCAGAAGAACGTTGCTCAGTGATCGGTGACCATCTGCCTCCTTCCGTTGCTCATTGAACTCTTCCCCCATTCTCTACGACTAACCCCCTTATTTATACTCGCATATCGACGTTCGACAAATGTTTATCCATAATAATTATATATATATATATACCTTAAAATGTCTGTGCTTTGATGTCTGAATTGCCAAATAAACGATGATTAAGGGACGAAAAATTGCGAAAGAATTGGGGGAGGGACGGGGGTCAACAATCAAATGGATTATTAGGGGTAGTTTTGAGAGAAAATTTCTGAAAAATTCACTAGCAATGGGGAGAAAATGCAATAATATACAAGCGGCAGGGATCATCACATTTTGAGCAAGAAAGAAACGAATCTAGGTAACAGGAAAGAGTTATCCGCGACGGCTGTGCTTCAGAAGTCCCAGTTCTTTGATGGCCTTGTACTGATCCGGGATCTCCATGAGAGCATTCAAAGCGAATGAGGCATCAGCGTTCGGAGCATTGAACATCACCTGCAAAACATTCGCGTGTATTTATCTTATTCATTCAAGATTTATAGAGATACCTTGTGGAAGTCAACGAAATGGAAGTTATCGAAGAGCCTCTTCGGAATGTTATCATCGAATCGTCCCATCATGTTCCATGGTCCATCTCCGACACCAACCCTGCAATAATAATTACAATTTGCTGAAGAGTCTCTTTCCGAAACTCACATGATGATACTCAATGGGTAGTGAGAAGCGGCGGCGATGGCCTTCTGATTGATCTTCTCGTTGGTGACCTGTCCGTCAGCAACGATGACCAAAATGTGATAGGAGTGCTTCTCCTTGCAGATTTCGATGGCTCGGTCTGAATATCGATAACAATCGGTTAACAATGTTTCGTTTCACTCACCAATCAGAGGCACAAAGTTGGTTGGTCCGCTCATTTCGATGGTCGGAGTCACTTCGTTGTACACTCGCAGCACTTCTGAATTCAGCTCAACTTTAGTTTCAACATCTTTCCGTCCCTTCAATACCTTCAAATCCATTGCAGTCCTTATCCAGATCGTATCTGTCGGCAATGTTGAATATTCCCTGATCAGTGAACTCTTCGTCTCCGAATCCATAGGCGGGGATCTGTCCGTCGGCGTCAAAGGAAGACAGCGTCTTTCCGACAATTTGGATCACCTGAACATCAGTTTGACTCAATTATACTCTCTTTTGTCACCTGTTGGTATGGGTTCTGTTCGGCAGCATCGATTGTGTGAAGTGGTCTCTTATCGAATGTGCGTTCTCCTTGATAGAAGTTGGATTTGGTGTAATCGATTCCGAAAATCAAATTGGAGTACTCGAGACCAGCCTGAAACCGTTCCTATCAGCTCTTGATATGAACTCCCTATCCCAAAAAGAACAGTGAAGATGAAAAGGTGCACAGAGTCGGTCTGAAAGTGCAGAAGACATGCCGAAAAGAGAGACAAGATGCAGAGGGAAAGGAAATCGAGAGTAGTGGATTCTTAAACTTGCCGTAAAAATCGCCGATATAGGTCTGAATGGATTCAGTGTTTGGGTGAGAAATCTAAGTAGTCTAATGGCACTCTCACTCTATTATTACTCGGTGTTGTAAGAGAACTTCGACTGGAAAAAGGCAGATGACTCACGTGTTTGATGGCCTTCACAATGTCGTCGAGGGTCTTGAAATGAGGAATATTGTGCGGGCTTCCGATGGCGAGCGCTTGGAGCAGAGAGTTGCGACGGACGGGTTTGCTGGAAAAGGATACTTATAGAAGTGGAAGGATGAGGAAAGGACGGACAAAGCAGGCGCGGCGTTCTGACGAAGATCTCTTCCACGGCGCTCTCTCTCCTTCTTCATCGGCTTCTTGATGATCGACGGCTTCTGGAAGGCTGGTTCCACCTGAAACAAAGTGCTAGGGAACAGTAACGCCCTCCCCATTACCTCCATAGAAGTGTCTAATCCAGGCTCTTGTCGATGGCTTCCATGGTCTTCTCTTGAACTTCGGCGGCGAAACTGACTCTGCAACCATTCACTGTTATCCCCGAACTTCTCCGTTCACTCTGTTCCACCTCTTCTCCTCCTTTCTGCGCTCCTCGCCCTTCTCTCTCATCTTGACTTCCGAAGTCTGCTCACTTTCCACCACCGTCGTCTTCTTTTCGATGCGCTCGTCGACACGGATAATGGTCTCCTCGGCAACCTCTGTATACAAGACAAACGGTTCATCTTCATGCCTACGAGCAAGGTTGTGCACACTGCCCTCCACCATGACCTCCACCATGCGTGCCTCGAGCTCCAGCACCTGGGTTTCAATGTGCTCTTCACCGACGGCGCGGAAGCCGAAAGCGCCGTGAACGAATTGGTGGTCTTCGGAGATGAAGACGGTGCGGAACTCGGTGGGTTGCTTGCAATAGTCGTATGCCAGGTTAAATACGGTCTCTTCAGAAGCCGTCGAGCGCATTCCGGTGCCCTCAATCTCGTTGTTAGAGGCATGCATTCCCATCGCCCGCAAGTCATTAGAGCTGACTCCAAAGTGCAGATCCGCGTCAAGAGTTATGGATTCTTCCTTGGCCGCACGGAAGCCGTACGCACCTTGAATGAGAAGTTTGTCTTCGGTAACACAAACAGTCGTGAATTCGGTCGGTTGTTTGCAGTAGTCGTATCCCAGATTGAAGATGGTCTCTTCGGAAACGCCCGAGTGCATTCCAGTTCCTTCTCCTTGGTTCGCTTCGCTTCTCGTAACCTGACGATGCTCCTTGAATCCGACTCCGAAATGCAAGTCGGCATCCAAAGTGACCGATTCATCCTCGGAGGCTTTGGATGCGAAAGTAACTTGATCACCAGATTCAGACGTCTTGAACACCTTCTCTTGCTCCGCTTCGTTGTCCTTTCTTCTGAAACTCGTTGTGTTCCAGACGGCGAACTCCTCAGCAGCAGTCGAGTGGAATCTGAGAGCGTCGATCATTGGAGTCGGGAACAGCTTCTGGGCACTTCCTTCCTCTGACTCCCTCGTCAAATACGCGCTGACACTGTCAGGAGATTCCTCGCCAGCAGCAAAGCATGAGAATGTGGAAGATCCTCCATTTCTGGCAATCTTCTTGACCTCTTCCGTCTCGTCGACCTTTTCACTGCTACGGAGAGTGTAATGGATTCCAACAGCCATATCTGATGCCTCCGTGCTTCTGAAGATGACGTGTGGTTCGATGTTCTTGGCCACCTTCGTGATCGATGTTTCTTCCGCAGTGCTCCGCTGGCAGGCCACTGTCTTGTCGAAATTCACGGAAGTCTCCTGACTGGCTCCGATCGACAGATTGCTCTTCTCTTCGTTGCTGATCTTCCGAACAATCTGAGTGGCTTCAAACTGCGCCTCTCTGGACAGTTTGGTTTCGGCGTCTGCGAACTTCTCATCAGCGAATCCGGCACGAAGAAGAGCAGCTCCTCCGGAAGCAGCAACCTTGACGATCCTTTCCTGCTCCTGATGCTCCTCTTCTCTCCGTAATTGGACGTTGTTCGTTTCGGTGAGGTCTGTCGTTTCCTTGACCTTCGAGTAGGCAGGTTCTCCTTTGTTGGGAGCTGTCTGTTTGATGCTCGTCGATTCGTAAGGGTTGGCTCTGGATAAGCTCGCCGTGACGCCTGCTGCAGACTCTTCCGTTGCAGAAACAAAGATCTCGACTGGTCCCGCTTCGTTCCGGATGATCGTCTTCTTCTCCGTTTCCAGCTCTCTGTCCGACTTCTTCTCCAGATCCTTCTCAATCCGAACGTCCTCTGCCGTGCTCCCCTTCGATTCCAGAACGAATTTTCCGCCGTACCTCGGGTAGGCTCTAGTCTCTGAAACGTGCTCATGGTGCTCGTCACGCTGATAGTGCACATTGTTGGTCTCCTGCACCGAGCTGCTCTCACGCAACACTAGACTGGCCGTTTGACCCCGGTTGGCTACCACAAGCACAGTTTTACAATTCTCTGTCTTCGATCCGGCGGAGAGGGCGGCAGCGGCTGAAGTGGACGCTTCCTTTGTGCAAGAACAGCGGAAGAATTGAGGCTGCTCTCTGTTCTGGTCCACGATGACAACAACGGCGTCGAGTTCGAAGTCTCCAGCAGCTGTCAGGTTCTTGTCCAATGAGATTGAATGCGACTTTGAAGCGTTGGTGTCAAAGACGACAGGCTCGGCCAGGAGCGGAGTGGCACGCACAGTTCCAAGATCCGACTTCTCTTCTTTCCTGCTGAGCTGTGTGGCGACGTTCTCTGTCTTCGAGGTCGTCTCTCTGGCGTGGAAGTAGGTGGGAATGCCAAGATTAACGCCTTGTTTGAGAACTTCAACAGAATAGTAAGGGGATGAGAACTTGAGATCAACTAGCTGGGAGTGTTGAACATCGGTGGAAGCAACTGTGCTCAATGATGACGGCTCGGCGGTGTTTCCAATCACAAACAGTTTCTCGGCACTTGCTTCCGCGAGACGCACTTTCTCCAGATGTTGGGCGGCATCCAATGATCGGTCGGTGGCATGCCTCGTCGCCAGCTTTTGACTGCCTCCCTGTCGCGCCTCGTGCAACGTCTTCGCAATAACCTTGTCCTCTTGCTCTCGAGTGTAGAAGCAGTTCGTGGTGTGATACTCCTCGCCAGCTTCTCGGAAAGTGAATTGTTCGTTTTCTTTGTTGGAGTCTGTGATGATCTTAGAGATTCCAAAATGGTCGTTCGGGCGATTCAAGCTCTCCGTGACGGTGTGCCCAATGGATTCGGAAGCCTTGCACTCGAGAATAGCCGGGATGATGGTCTGTGCCGTGATGAAGGTCTTTTCGGTGGAAAGCTCACTCGGACGAGGACACAAGATAGCGCCAGACATGCTCGAAGAGCTCAATTGAGCAGCGTTGGTAGAGAGCTCGTAAGTTCCGCCCACTCTGCGATCCTTGACAGTCAGATCAGCCTTGTCGAATTGGTCGTACTTTCGGAACTGCTCACTGATTGTCTCACGGAGTTCGGTGGATTCTATCAACTTCTTCTCCACATTGATTCCCTTATTGGAGTGTTGAAGAACCTTCTTCACAGTTTCCCTTTCTCCCAATCGACTCATGTCTTGAGAGATTGACGAAGCGACGGCGGAAGTTCCGATGGTCGTCAGATTGATTGACTCTCCCTTGTTTCCGACTATGAACTTCTTATCAATCTGAGCATCCTTGACTCCTCGGCTCTTGATTTCCTGCTCAAACAGTTCCTTTTCATCTCCGCTCGCTTTGCATCGTTGTTCGAATCGGCCGCCGTTGCGAGCAATGTGCCAGACTTCATCTAAATCGAATATGTCGTCGGGTCTACGATAGATCGGGTGCACATTTTCCACACACTCTTCACACTCCAGCGCGCGCCACGTCACCGGCTGCTCGGTGTTCTTGGCAACGATGAGCAGCTCGGCGAACAGCCATTCCGCCGCCTTCGACAGTTGTGCAGAAATGGTTTGGAGCTCTTGACGTGCTCCAGAAGTGCTCAACGACTGGTGCGGTGCAGAATTCGAAAGCGTGAAGCAGTGCAAAGTGTCGTGATGCGTGATAAGTGGTTTGGAAATATCGCGGTGCAAAGTGGTTTCGTGGTCTTCGGTGGCGTCCGTGGACAACTTGAAATGTCCTCCTTGACGTACCAAATCAATCGTTCGTTCGACTCTTTCCTTCTCCGCTTCCACGTCAAATGCGCTGTAGACCGTCTGCTTTTCTTCTCGGGACTCCATGAACTTGAACTTCAGACTGGCTCCTCTATTCTTGTCCTTGACAATGTGCTCAACGCGAGAAGCTTCCTCCTGACGACTGAGCATTGTTCCGAGAGCCAACTTCTCCACGGTTGGCTCGAAAGTGCTCAACTGTGCTCCGTCAATCCTATTAAAGGTGATGACCGTCTTGTGGAGCTCGTGGAACTCGGCTGGTCTGCTGAACTCCGGGTTTCTGATAGATTCTACGAATTCGGCAGCAGAGCAATCCAACTTCTTCGGCTCGATTCCGTTGGAAATGATTATCGTTTTCAGAACAGATTCCAAGTCATCTTTCTTGTTCATGCTGTAGAACATCTTCACGAAGAAGTCAAGACATTCATGAAGTCTGACAGTGAACGGAGCAGCATTGTTCGAGCAGGCCTTCAAAATTTCAATCTTGAAGTACTCCTCGGGAATCTCGTAGTTGAAGTTGGCACTGATGGCTTCTGTCGTGGTCTCCAAAACACGAATATCACTTTTCGCCAGCACCTTCTGCACTATTTTGCCCTTGACTTTCTCGACTTCCTGAGTTCTCGAGAGGGAAGAGCTGAGCAACTTGTACTCGTCGCCGGCTGCCTTCGTGTTCAACTCGTAGTTTCCTCCAGTTGCCTTCTCCTTCAGCTTGATGGCTGACATCAGATTCTCTTCGGGGACGTTGTATGCGATTCCGACGCCGACGATATCCTCCGAAGACTCCTTCGTTCTAATGTACGTATGTTGACCCGCATTCGGAATGACGATCAGCTTGTCAGCCTGCTCTGATTTGTCCGGAATCGACCACGCTTCATTCACCTCCTTCGTATCTTCCGATGATGCCAGAGTGGACAGCTGGAGAGAGGAAACTCGCGGAATCTTGACGACTGCGTCCTTGTCTTCGAAATGAGTCTGTTTGCAGTTGATTTGCCCATAAAACAGACATTCATCGAACTCAAACTCTTCCGTTTCCATCTTCACTCGGTCGCCGAGCCTCGGGATCTTCCATGCTCTTTCACAGAACTCTGCCGGCTGCACACCTCCAATCAGATCGATCTTCAGCTTCACCTTCTCGTCTCCAGACTCCTCCAACTTTCTTTGACGCCTTCTCCTCTTCTCGCTCCAATGATCGTCTTCTCAGTCGTTTCAACGAAGGCCGTTCTTTGAAGTTGATGCGTGCTCCAGACGACGTCGCTCTCAATGTCGCCTGCAGAGATGAATAAGGGTTGAGCTGCAATCCGAACCACTTCTCGAAGCACGGTCTCCTGTGCCAGCGTCGGTTTCGAGAGACTGTATCTATGCAAATTGATGACGGCGTTGAATCGCACGTTGCCACTCTCAGTCACACGCCACGTTTCACGGAGCACACGTTTCTCGGTCAACACCTTGCTCACAGAGTATGTCGATGGGATCTCAAGTTTTCTAGAGTAAACAGTATCCAAAGAGCAGATTGAAACGGCGAAGTTTCTCTCGCAAGCGTCCTTATTCTGCACATGAATCAGATGAATGACTAGTCCTTTTTCCTCCGGCATCTCCAAGTACTGGTTGATTCTCTCCACTTCTTCCGTCGACTCGATAGTCTGCAGTGATGACTTGACTTTGAGAAGATCCACGAGTTGAGTGCTCGCGTCAAGATCAGTCTCGATTCCTTCCCAGAGAGACAAGATTTCCACGCCATCTGCGCCGACTTCTTTCAGTTTGTGACTCAATCTCTCCACTGGAATCGCCTTTTTTCTTGCCGCCGTCGAGGAAGACACAGCAATGTCCTTGGCGTAGTCTGCAACTGTCGTGGCGGTGTATTCCGAAGCATGCGCAGTCGAGAAAGTCATCGAATCGCTCCGAGCAACAGTGCTCTTGATCTCAGCGCCGACAGAAGTGCTCGGAATCGTCAGTTCAACATTAGCCTCGCTGGCTTCTTCCCAGCACTCATCGTCGAGAATATCTGCCGGAAGCTGGTGGCGACAGTGACCGTGTGCGTCGAAGTCTCCTTTACCTTCGGCAGCGATCTTCTGACCAGGTAGATTCCTCCTCCTGTTTCCGATCTTCCGAATTCGCGAATCTTTGCTCCGACCGCCTGTTCTTTGTTTATCTCGTCGACCAACTTCTCAATCTCTTCCAAATCCATTCCGAGTTTGCTAACAAGCAATTCATTGACAATGTTTGCGCTGCTGAACTGTCCAACGGTCTTATCGATGTTGGACTGAGAGATGGACTCCTGGATTCCGAGCGTTGCTTCATTCTTCTTAATGTTCGTCTCGCTGGTCAAGTTGGCAGTCGTCGATGCTCTGGCAAAGAAAGCGGCTGAATCCTGGACCCTCTGAGCAATGGTAACGGACTCCTCCAGGTCGTTCAGAAGTGTTTCCCATTCAGCATTCGTTGACAGCAGATTCCACTGGTTCTCCTGGTACTTCTTCTCAACTCGCTCTCTCGATTTATCCCGGAGACGGATGCTCGCAACGTCTTCTCGAGGTTTTCTGGATTCCAGAGCCGTTGTGGCCGACAGTACTTCTTCGTGTGAGGCGTTCACGGCAATGCGATGACTCTCCGAGTTGGCCGTCTTCAGTTTCTTCTGGCTTTCAGCTCCGTCCTCCGGTCGGGTCATCTTGCTCTCCGAATGCACATCCACACTTGTCGACGCCTTCATACTGAGTACTTCTGCCCATCTGCGAACCATCGGGAGAACCTCCTCGATTTCCTCCACTTCAAACTTCTTCTGGACGATTTTTCCGAAGAGAGTGCATACTTCAACGCTGGCATCGCCAAACTCGCGGAATGTTCCAGAGCTGATCTCATCCTTGACGGACATCGAAGTGACGAATTCAGATTCGTCGAAGCTGTCCTCTTTTTTCAGCATCTTCTCCGACTTTGTCATCTGGATCTGGAAGCGTCGTTCTTCTGAAGCACGGGACATCGCTCTCTGCATCACGTTCTTGCTCGCCATCCGATTGGCTTCTCCTCTATCGATGCTGATCTCTCGATCCGTGCGATTCGTCTGCGGTGCTTTGAGAATTGCACTGGTGGAGTTCTGTCGGGTCAGAGGGATTACAGTCTTCTCTTCCAGATCGACAGTATCCGACGTGTACTGAGAGAGGGCGTTCTCATTCCGTGGCTCCGATAGTCTCTTCGCATCTTGAACGCTTCTCTTTCAATCTTCTTTATATCGGCAGATTGCTCTCTCACTTCTCGGTTCTCCAGAACAGCTTCCTGGACTGCCGAAGTTTCAACAGTTGCTCTGAGATCCTTCGCATCCTTCTGCTGAATCTTTTGAGCAATCAGCTTGGCACTCTGGTCACACTCTGGCAGGCGTAAGATCTCGCTGTCCATTTCCGTCGTGAGCTCCGAGACGGCAGCCACTTCAGAAGTTTGTTGGATTCTTCGAGATTCGGAAAAGTTGAAATCAGCTTCCTCCTTCTGCGGTTTTCTGGTCACCAGTTTGCCGATTCCGAACGTTGTCGATGCTTCAGATTCTCCGAATTCGTGGACTGTTGAGAGACTGTGCTCCTCGAGAATATCAGAAGCTACATACGTGGCATCGTCGGAGAACGCATCCTGTCTGGTCATTTCCATGTCAGCTCGAGTCTCCGAGATGCTGAGAGCTTCGCTGATTCCAGCAACAACATGCTCCGCAATTCTCTCCTCGTCCTTTCCTCCTGGTCTTCGGACGGTCAGATCGAGTGTCGTTCCGGCAGAAGTATCTGTCGTCGTCTTCGCATCCAACGTCTTCTTTTCAGATTCGGCGGACTTCCAACAAATGAGAGCATCTCCGTGGTTGTCGATCACATCCCAGTGAGTGTGCATTCCTTGGTTCTCAGTGATAAACTCTTGAGAACTGAACGATTCCTTCTCCTGAAGTCGTTCCTGGATCTTCTCACTAATGTGCAGCTCGCTTTTGCTCCTAGTCACAAGATGTTCGGACATTTGTTGCGTGGCAATCTGACTAAAACTGGATGATTTGAGAAGAAGAGTGTCCTTGGCGGAGTATTCAGATGTGAGCGAATCCTCCCTTTTCTGAATCTGAGCAGTCATCTGAGACTCGGCGGTTTCGCTGGCCCTTGTTTCCTTTCCACACTCAACGTCCTCTTCAGCTTTTGCGTCACTTCTGCCTCTGCTCTCTGTGGTCTTGGTGCCTCGATCCTTCCCATAGATGCTCCCGTCCGTACTTCAGCATCTCCTTGTTCCCTGCCTCTGAACTCTTCCGTTCTCGTCTCACTGACGGCTCGGACTCCTGCAACCTCTTCATTCAACGACTGTTTCGCCAGTTCGCTTGTCCGTTCGGTGTATTTCATGATCTCACTTTGGGATACCTCTCTCACAAGTCCAATGCTCAGAGCGCCTTCTGCTACGGACTCCTCCGCCTTCCTATCGACGTTCACATTCACCTCCTGACTGATTGGAGCCACTACGCTCCGAATCATGGACTCGCGGGATACACTACGATGCTTCAACGTCTTCTGGGTCTCTTCGTATTCATTATTAGACCGGACCAACAGACCACTTTCCTCCTCCCTAGCCTCAGCAAGTCTCAACTTCTGACTCTCCACATTCGCCGTCGTCAATTTCAAGTCACTCTTCTCATCAGAGACAGAACCGCGGGACTGCCTGGACTCAACATGGACCACAGAGTCCTTCGAAGCTTGCAACGCTTTCATGACTGATTCAGTAGAAGCCACTCTTCTCAATATAGAAACGTCGTCTTCGGTATCTCCAGATGCTTGGATCTTCGACTCCACGACTGCGTCAGTGTCCCCCGCTGCCTTCTTGCTCAGCGTCGCTTGCGAAAGCGGTGCGAGTTGACGCGTATGCTCCGTTTCTGCATGTTCTGGAGCAGGTGCAACCAGACTGGAAGCTCCAAATCCAACACCAGTTTCTTTATTTGAAAACTGATTGACAGTTTCGGCAGCGGATCCGGTGTTCGAGATCTTAACGTCACGGCTGGCGTTTTCGGATCCATCTGCAGCTCTCAACGTGGCTTCTGCTGCTCCTTCCGCAATTCCGAAGTAGCTCTCGACGCCTTCCTTGGTTTTCTGGGCAATTACACCGAGTGCTTCGGCTGAGGGGGACTTCTGAAGACTTCCGATCATTGCTGTGGTGTTCTCCTTTGCAGCCTTCGCTTTCAGAGCAGCAGTGTCGATCGGAGGTTTGTGAGGAAGAATCTTAGTGGCGAGTTCTACTTTGGATCCAGTTTTCCACAGACCGACGAACTCTTCCTCCCTTCGACTCCTTGAATTGTCCGGCATTTGACTGTCTTCTCGATTCAGTCAAGCTCAGTTCCGTGACGTCTTCAGATGGAGCCTTCGAGTACTCCAGTTTGGCCGATGCGTTGACTTCTTTCGAGGCTGCAGTTTGGAACGATCCGGCTTCAATGACGAGTTCCTTCCGGGTGACATGAATCTCTTGATCAGCTTCCGTCTTGCTGAACTCGTCCGCTTCCTCAATGGATTCCTTCGTCGCCGCCTTCAGATTCCTTGCTTCACTGGCCACCCTCTTCATGCTGACTAGTCTCTCCATCTCCTCTTCTTGCTCTCTCGGCGGCTCCAGTGTTCCCATGACTCCTCCGATTCTGACTTCATCATCGCCAAATTCTGCCTTCTCTTCGGCCTCCATACCTTGCGGCATGCTCTTGATCCACGATTCGATCTGCTCTCGCTTCTCCAAAAGTTTGCTGATAGACGTGACTTCCACTCCGAACTCTCGTTCGACCTCTTCAATGCTCTTCGCTCGTACCAGGGTTCCTGCAGCATCACTTTTCTGAGCACTCTCTTTCTCTAGTCCCACTTCACACTCAACACTAGCACTCGCTACCGTCATCGTGGCTGAAGTGACCTCATTCTCTACTTTCATCGTCGGAATGGAAATTTTAGCTCCGATTGGGGGTTTGGCAGTCACCCAGTTTCCAGTGACATTCAGATCTTTCGGTTCGCTCACACGGGATGACGTCATCACTTTCGTCTTCATCTTCTGAAGACCCTCCGCTGGTTCTGATTGCTCAGTTCTCGCGACTCTGGCATCCACACTCCTCTCCCGTTCAACTGAAGCCTTCCGGCTCAACGAAACAATCTCTTGTCGTTTCTCAACGAACGTCTTCTGGGCAGTGGATTCAACCGATTCTGATCTTCTCAAAGCTTCCGTCCTTTGAATGGATTCTTCCGAAGGAGCACGGATTTGACTGGAAGAGCGATAGGTTCTGCTCTGTCTGATAGTTGTCTCGACGTCTTCCTCCTGGGGACGCGGCGCTTCGATCTCCCCGAAGACTCCTCCAAAGTGAAGATCCTTCTGGCTCTGAGATCTCATCGAATGACTGAGACTCTCGGCTCGCGGAGCAGATCTCTTCACTTCCAATTCTCCAGTGACGGTCGCATTTTCCATTTGAACGTTCGCCTCAGATTTGTCGATGGAATAGTTCTGCTTGAAGGATTCCTTGTTAGCCTCGACGACCCGCAATTCAGTGGTGCATGCAGAATCCTTTTGCAGAGCCTTCTCTTCACTGACCATTTCTTCACGGGAAGCCTTCGTAGCCAATTGAGCAGTTGAAACAGTCGTCATCCTCTCGGAAATGGTCGTCTTCGCTGCTTCCGACGTCGAAACTGTGCTCCAGATTCCAGAAGATGTTATTTCTCCTGTCTCTCTCAGAGCAAAGGAAAGTGCTTCCGAGTTGGCGCCAGTGATCGTCGTCTCTGTTTCTTTCGGTGCTGGCCTTCTGTAGTAGTCGTACTTGCTGTCCAGTTGGATATTCGAAGCCGCCATCGTGACGAGATCGCAGATGCACATGGTTCCGAGAAGAGTGGAGTAGCTGGTCACTTCTGCTTCCTGCGGGCGGTTCATTTCGGAGTAGCCGGTGCAGGTGTTGGACACGCACTGCTGGATGTCCATCATAACCTTCGCTTCCCTCGCTTGCTTCAAATCCAGCTCAGCAAACGCTTCTTCTTCTGGCGGGGCCTGAATCGTTCCGACACTTTCCATGACCCTCGCTTCTGCGGGAACTAGCATCGTTAAGTTCTTGATGACCAGCTCCTTCTGAGTAATCGGCATGGTCAGGTTGCTCCAATCCATTTTCGGCAGCAATTCCATGAGCTTCTCCAGGCTTTGCTCCGAAATTCCAAAACTACTCTCAACAATATCACGGAGCTCCAGCGCCACCAACTTCTCAATCTGTTCTTTCGATCCGAAGGCAGCCAGTTCGGTGTAGATGGAGCTCGCTTCCTCGGAACAGGCAGCCGCGGAAAGGGCGGTCCTCTCCAGCTCGCTGGCTCTGAGAATCCTCTCCGATGACTCCTTTTCTCTTCGGCTCGACCAAACACCATGAACCGCCTCGTCAGAAGTTTTCATCGCTTCCATTCCAACTCTGCTTTGCAGCCGCTCTGACATCGTCTCTTCTGTTCTGAACTCTTCCACTTCGCGGTAAAATCCTTGCGTCATAGCCAGCATTTCAGAAGAGGAAGCAGGAGACGTCAAATCGCAGACAGCCATAGTCTTCAGAATAGTTTGATAGAGTAGTCTTTCAGAAGAATCCATTCTGGAGAGAGACGAAGCAGTGGAGATGGCATTGTCGGCGGCCGCCAAGAGATTCATAACAGCTTCTGCCCTTCGGCTCATCTGCACAGAAGTATCCGTCGATTCAGAGTGTTCTGGAGGTGCAGTCAGACTTCCCAAAGCTCCTTCGAACCGTGGAATAGAAGAGAAGTTGGTTCTCAGATTGCTGACGATCTCCTCAGTCAATCGGGTCTCCTCCCAATTCACGTTCTCGACAATTCGTTGGAAAGTTTCATTTGTTGTTCACTGCTCTGGAATGCCTCCTGAAGAAGCTCTTCGGCAGTTGACTGATTCATCAGAACTCTTTTGAGAACATCCATTCTGATTTGAATTGTCTTGACTTCTTCGAGCATGGTCGTATGAACGAGATGGAAACTCTGCGAACTCCTGATGATTTCCAACACTCGGTTGACATCCGAAGGCGCCACTTCTGACAGCTCGAAGACGTTGTTGGAACCAAACGAGGAGGACGACGATTCAGATGAAGTGATCAGTTTGTTCAACGCCATAAATCCAACGATGTTCGAGAAGACGGCCTTCTGATCTTCAGGGATTCTGGAAAGCGTAGAATCAGCGGCGACTGTCGAATCGAGAGTTCCCATCACATTCAAAACACATTGCGCGAAGTTCACATCTCGAATTGCACGGCTGACCGATTCTTCTTCGGCTCTCGGAGGTGTCAGTTTGCCAAGAATGTCGGACGATTGAGCAGAAGAAGATGACAAAATTCGGACGTTGGCTGCGATATTCGAATGGACTGGCTCCACTAGGCTCACTTGACTCCAATCCATCTTCTCCAAAATCGTCAGCAGCTGGTCCACCGACTCGGAAGAGATTCCGAATGCAGCTTGCACGACTTCTCTCGGTGACAACTTCACGTAATGATGGCTGACGGCTCCTTCATGACCTTTCCGAATGTCTCTGCTCAAATTCTCGGTAGCCGTCTGGATGGCGTGCGTGTGCAGAGAATGATGAACACTTTTCAGTTTCTCGCTGACAATCGCTCCAATCTTCTCCTGCTCAGAAGCTGTGCTCCAGAATCCCTGAACGACTTCTTCGCTGCTCTCTCTGATCTCCGATTTCAGCACTTCCAGGTTCTTTGCGACTAGCTTCTTACTGGTCTCTAGATGCTCCTTCGCCTCACTGTAGTTAATCTCCACTGTTCTGGATTCAGAAGACGTTCCCATCGTGCTCAAGTCCTGAGTGGCCATGATCCCGATGAGATTTGAATAGGCGGCCTTTTCATTTTCCGGAATTTTCGATAAGTTATCCGATGAAGTGATGACGGATTCAAGAGATTCCCTCACGTCCAAAACACATTTCACTTTCTGCGCCTGACGAACTTTGAGGTCAACTGTAAGTTCTTGCAGTTCGGGGGCTCTCAGTTTTCCCAGGATGTTCGAAGAATCGAAAGAAGGCGGAGCAAGTGCTTTGATGTTGCCGGAAATCATGGAATGCTCAATAGTTGGAAGAGTGATCTCATTCCAATCCATTTTCTCCAAAATATTAAATAATTGTTGAAAACTGCTACTGGAGATTCCAAAAGAGGATGATACAATTTCCCGTGAGCTCACAGTTTGGATCGTCGTTTTCTCAGAGCTCTCCGTTTCTTTGACCAACTCTCGGTTAACTTCTTCATTCGCCATACTCGCCGCCACAGTTTTCAGTGATTCGTAGATCGACTCAATCTTCTCATTCATCAGAACAGCAGCTTTTTCCTGATCACTCGCGGTACTCCAGAACGACTCGACGATCTGCTCGACTGGCTCTCTGATGTTCTCGTTCAGTCTTCCAGAATTTATTGACTTCCATGTCTTGGACACGCCAAGAGATTCCGGAATATCCTGGTAACCAACTGAGACAGCTGTTGCTTCTGATGACGTGGCAAGAGTTGAAAGATTGTGAGAAGTCATCACACTGATCAAGTTGGAAAACATGGTTTTCTCCGTATCAGAAACGGATCGAGAAAAGTTTGAATCAGTAGAAATGGTAGACTGAAGGGCGGCACGAACAGTCAGAACATCCTTTGCTTTCTGGATTTCCGTCAGCTTCACATCGGCGGTTTCTTCTTGATGTCTCGGTGCTCGCAGCTTTCCCAGCACTCCAGAACAGTCCTTCTGCTCGGGAGCAAGTGTTTTGATGTTGGAGGAGATGGCGGCATGCTCTTTCGCTCCGAGTTCGATGTTGCTCCAATCCATCTTCTCCAAAATCGTCAGCAGCTGGTCCACCGACTCGGAAGAGATTCCGAATGCAGCTTGCACGACCTCTCTCGGCGACAACTTCACGTAATGATGACTGACGGCTCCTTGCTGATCCTTCCGAATGTCTCTGCTCAAATTCTCGGTAGCCGTTTGGATGGCGTGCGTGTGCAGAGAATGATGAACACTTTTCAGTTTCTCGCTGACAATCGCTCCAATCTTCTCCTGCTCAGAAGCTGTGCTCCAGAATCCCTGAACGACTTCTTCGCTGCTCTCTCTGATCTCCGATTTCAGCACTTCCAGGTTCTTTGCGACTAGCTTCTTACTGGTCTCTAGATGCTCTTTCGCCTCACTGTAGTTGATCTCCACTGTTCTGGATTCAGAAGACGTTCCCATCGTGCTCAAGTCCTGAGTGGCCATGATCCCGACGAGATTTGAATAGGCGGTCTTCTCACTCTCCGGAATTTTCGATAAGCTATCCGATGAAGTGATGACAGATTCAAGAGATTCCCTCACGTCCAAAACACATTTCACTTTCTGCGCCTGTCGAACTTTGAGATCAGCAGTAAGTTCTTGCAGTTCGGGGGCTCTGAGTTTTCCCAGGATGTTCGAAGAATCGAAAGAAGGCGGAGCAAGTGCTTTGATGTTGCCGGAAATCATGGAATGCTCAATAGTTGGCAGAGTGATCTCATTCCAATCCATTTTCTCCAAAATATTGAATAATTGTTGAAGACTGCTACTGGAGATTCCAAAAGAGGATGATACAATTTCCCGTGAGCTCACAGTTTGGATCGTCGTTTTCTCAGAGCTCTCCGTTTCTTTGACCAACTCTCGGTTAACTTCTTCATTCGCCATACTCGCCGCCACAGTTTTCAGTGATTCGTAGATCGACTCAATCTTCTCATTCATCAGAACAGCAGCTTTTTCCTGATCACTCGCGGAACTCCAGAACGACTCGACGATCTGCTCGACTGGCTCTCTGATGTTCTCGCTCAGTCTTCCAGAATTGAGTGACTTCCATGTCTTGGAAACGCTAAGAGATTCCGGAATATCCTGGTAACCAACTGAGACAGCTGTTGCTTCGGATGACGTGGCAATAGTTGAAAGATTGTGAGAAGTCATCACACTGATCAAGTTGGAAAACATGGTTTTCTCCGTATCAGAAACGGATCGAGAAAAGTTTGAATCAGTAGAAATGGTAGACTGAAGGGCGGCACGAACAGTCAGAACATCCTTTGCTTTCTGGATTTCCGTCAGCTTCACATCGGCGGTTTCTTCTTGATGTCTCGGTGCTCGCAGCTTTCCCAGCACTCCAGAACAGTCCTTCTGCTCGGGAGCAAGTGTTTTGATGTTGGAGGAGATGGCGGCATGCTCCTTCTCTCCGATCTCGACGTTGCTCCAATCCATCTTTCCCATCACCTCGAAGAACTGCTCCATTTTGCTCTCCGTAATTCCAAACGCCTGGCTCACAACTTCTCTCGAAGTCAGCTGATGAGCCCTCGTAGTTTCTGCTTTCTGGTCGGCCTTTCTTATGCCCAAAGTTGCAGTTTCGGAGGTGAACGTGGCAGACTTGGTGTTCAGGGTCTGCTTGAATCCTTCCATCCTCTCCTTCAACGTCTTCACAGCCCGTTCGTCTTCTCTGTCGCCTTTCCAGAATCCTTGGACAAATTCTTCCCTTGAAGACGCAAAGCTCTTCGATCCGAATTCTCTCCTCGATTCTCTTCTCATCACGCCACTTGCACTCATCTTTTCTTCTGCCACGTCATAGAAGATTTCCGTGTGGGCGGTCACATTACCCGTCGCAATAGTTCGAAGATCACATCTGGAAACGGAAGTGATGACAAGGCTCATAAATGCCGCCTGCTCCAGAGGGCTCATTGATCCGAGAGCCACTTCTCTGCTGGTTATCTCGCCGGCCGATGCTCTCAACTGAGCGAATACTCTCGATTCCGAACGGTCTCGAACAATCAGATCAAAGGATTCTTCCTGCTCGGCCGGAGCCACAATTCTTCCCAAAACACTTGGGACATTCAACATTACAGGAGCACTGGTAAGGGCATAAAGGTTTGCAGAAAGACGTTCTTTTTGAGAGTCCAACATGGTTATATTCTGCCAGTCAATACTTTCAACGGAATTCAGAAGACGTTCAAGCGATTGAGTAGATATTCCGAAGGCGGCAGCAACGATCTCTCGTCTCTGCGCAGCGAGCTCCCTTGAAGTGTCATACCCCACAGGCTCTCGCTGGAGCTTTGAAGACATCTCCGTACTCGAAGTGGTCACTGACTTTGTCTTGAAGCTCATGCTTTCCGTACTCTTCGCCTTTTGCAGCAGAGTTCTTCTCGTGCTCTCGCCTTTCGACGTGTTCCAGAATCCAGTGCACACTTCTTCTTGAGACGCCCGAAGATGCAGAGCAGCCCTGTCGGTGGAGACAGAACGACGTCGGCACTCGACCGAGGACCAGCTCTCGTCCATTCGGAACCTGCCCTCAAGACTGGCTTGTCTCTCAAGCGGAGATCTTCCCGAATGAACAACTGACTCTTTGGAGGACGCTCTCTTGATGATCGAGTAAGAGGAACTCTGCTCTAGCTTCTTCACTCTGCTCTCCAGTGACGTGTCCACCACGGACCTTCTCACTGCCTTGATTCCTCCCGACACGGCCGTTTCCCACGGCTCCTCGAGCACCACAATCAGTTGATTTGCGTGCTGCTCTCTCCTCTTGATAGTCACTTTCACCTCGACGACATCGGTCCCTTCAGCCCCGATAACGACTTCCGCTATGTTCAAAAGCTGCCTTTCGATACTGCTCAACTGCTTAGAAACCTGCTGGTCCGGCTCTAAGCCGTGCTCATCACTCTCTGGAATGTAGGTCAACTTTATTCACTGGCGCTCATGCCGACATTTTATTATCATTCATCTTTCAGAAAGAGATTCGAAAATGGGTGAATAGAGATTGCGAAACTTTTTAGTCTTTTTTAAGAGAAAACCTATCCATTCCTCACACAACTAGTACGACACTAAACTAGGCAACTTAGGGCATCCAGGCACGACAGTTAGGAAGCAGCGTTAGACTCGGGACTTACAGAGACAAACGACTTTTTGACAGTGTGAGCCCCGCTCTCTACTCATTCACTACGTTCATATTTACACGGAAGAGAGAACAGACGACGATGGGTTTCTCAGTAAGCTAGAATTGCGTGTTTAGTTTCTTGTTCACAAATTATGTCCATGTCGTCGCCCAGCTCAATGTATATCGAACTGGATCTGACGCTGCTACTGGATTCTGTAAGAATACCGAAAATATCCCAAGAGTACCTGGTGCCAAACTTATCTTAATGTGGTCAACAGTCAGTCTCATACTTAAGCATAACATCAGTCACTCAAACAGTTCTCACAGTTCAAAAGAAACCGACACGGACAAGAAGATGCAACGAGCGGAAGGCACTAAGTGCCGGCTTACCTTGATGATAGAACGACGAGTGCGAGTAGTGCTCGCTGGTGTGCTCATAACTGTTATGAGAGTAGTGCGACTCTTCCTTGTACTCTTCTTGGCGCACACTGCTGCTGCTCCTCTGCTCGCGGAGCTCCTCGTGGACTCCGGAAGAAGCGAGTCGCATCGAGGCGTGCACATAGTTGCCAAAGACTCTCTTGAAGAGCACGAACACGGTGATCTCGCCTCTCGCATCCTTGCGACGGATTCGCAGATCTTGAGACAACAATCAGTTGAGGGGGAATCGGTGAGCACACGCGGCAGCCGGGGACGCGTGATCACTTACAATACGGCTCTGGGCGGCATTTACTGGTCGCGCGACGCTTCACGAAAGAACACGAAGTCAACAGTACATTACACAGAAATTTTTACGTATCTAGAAAGGTCATGGCTTCTTTTCTTAGGGCGTGCGCGTGCTCGGTGCATGGAGAGATGGTGGATGTGGGTGTGTGTGCAAGAGGGGAAATGGGATCAGATCAAAGTCACGCAGAAAGAAAACGATGTGCCGGGGTGTTCTCAGGGAAATTACGGGCCGAAAAGTGAATAAACTAACCTGTAGCTGCCTCAGCGAGGGTAGAAGATGTCGCTCCACGCTCCACTCCGGTGTTCTTGATCATCACGGCACAGCTCTCGGCGACTTGCTTGAATTCGGCAAAACGAGCTTCAGAGGTCTGACGTTGCACGTGCTGGAATCGGAATTCAATTAGCAAACTCCCGCGGTATCACAAACCTTCATCTTTGCCTCAGTCTGGCTCAAATTGGAGCTCGAGCTTTCACTCTTCTGCAGGTAAACCATGTTGGATGCATTCTCCTCTGACATTTCTTTGAATCGACCGTACGTGGCAGTCGAGTTGGCGCTTTTTGATGATCCTTCCACAGCGAATGAATCCGTGTCATGGAAGATGGTGGTGGAGAGCGTCGTGTTCTCAGTCTCAGCGGATCCAGCGGCGAAAGCCACCTTGCTCTCGTTCTTCTGGCGGCGAACTCCGACGGCTTCTTCTTTCGAGCTCTTCTGGTTTTCGAAGCCGCACAGCATCATCGCCTGCTCTTCCGCGAGCTCTCTGAACTTGGCAGTTCCCTTCTCCGTTTTCACGTGTCTGGTCGTCAACTCGGCAGCAGCAGAAGTGGCTTTCTGGTTGGCAATGGTACATCCGATTGTCGTGTTCTCCTTCTTCAGTTTCGGTTTTCTGATTTCAGCGACAATCGGAGAATGGTTGTTGGCCGTCTCAAAAGTAGCCTCGAAAATGGATGACGACTCCTTCTTTACCAGATCAACCTGAGTGGGCGATCCTCCATTCCAAGAAGCCACCGACTCCTCGGACTCACTTTCGTAGTGACGTCCTCTGCTTCTGAACTTCTTCTCTCCCAGCAGTCGTTCTCCTTCCATCTGCATGGCGTACTGTCCTCCTTCAGCCTCTCTTTCCAAGAATCTTTCCTCGGAAGACTCCGAGTCGAGATGCTTTCCACGTTTCTTGAAAGAGATCTCTCCTCGCAGATGGATTCCTTCCTGGGACATTTCGTACTGCCCTCCTTCCGCTTCCACCTCCTTCTGCGTCTTCACCGTGGCCACTTTCACCTCTTCGACCTGCTGAACCACTGCCACGTGCTGCTTCTCCTCTTCCTCTTCCGTTTCGTATCTCTTCACTCTTCTCAGAGTCGTCTCGTCCTCGAATCGCTGTCCTTCTTGCTCCATTTCATATCCAGCTGCCTTCTGTTGTCTCATCATCTTTGATTTCTTGAGCAGGAAAGTGATGGTGTGAACAAGAGGAACGGCAATTTTGACAGTGAAATTGGAAGTATCCTCTTCTTGGCGACGTCGCAGTCTGCAAATGCATGCGCACAGCGCGGTTCCATTCGGATGACCGTCGGTTTCTCGATGCTCTCCTCCGTCTCGAATCTTCGGATCCTCTTCAGAGCGCCTTCTCCTTCAAAGTGACGTCCATCCTTGATTAAATGAATGTCCGCCTTCTCTGGGTCTTCTGGCTCAATCTTATCCTTCTGGAGTTCGTCGACGTAAATCTTCTCGACCTTTTCGTATGCGATCGGAGGCGGTGTTTTGTCAGCAGTTTGTTCGTAATGCAGACGGAGCTGCTCCTCGGCAAGCACATCATCAGCACGTTCTCCGATGACATACGTCTTCAGAATGTTCGTGACGTCTTCGACGACTTCTACTTCAATGTGGGTGAGAGCGGACACAGATTCAGAATCCTCACGGAGCTCTGTGAGCAGTTTCTTGCTCACTTCTGCCAAATAGTCCTTCTTGTTCACAAAGTCAGGAACATCCAGACTGGCCTCTCTCTCCATTTTCGTTTCGCCGTTTTCGATAAGAGTGATCTAAATTTTTCTGATACAATATAAAGATTGATAACCAAATTACTCACTTTGTACTTGGATTGGCCGTCTTTCAGCTCTTCCAAAATCAGGCTCTTTTTTCCAACTGTGGATTTGATCTGAAAGTGGTTTTGATAAAGTCTGTACGCACTCGGTGCTCACCTTATAATTAGTGACAGTATCCCTGACTGTCCATGCACTCGAAATGCAACTGTCCACTGTGATCAAGTCAGCTCCGACGATCTTCTCCATTTTGAGCTTTCCTTCGACGGTTGTACGTACCTGAAAACTAGTGATTATGAGTTTTCCTGAATTTCAGTACTACCACTGGTGGCTTCTGTCGTTTTTCTTCGTACTCAATCTCAGTTTCACGACGATGGGATGGTCCGCTCGAGGCACTTCTGTGATGAATTTGAATTTCTGAAACAGAAGAGCAACTCTTATTTTCAGCATGCTCGACAAAGACTTACGCTTCTCATTGCGTCTTTCTGCTTGCGGGGACAGTCTGCTCGACCGGTCTCCTCTGAGCAAATTCCTTCCTCTTTCATCGTCTGTCGCTGTGTCCACGCTGTTCTGATCCCAAGTGTAGACGTTTCCAGCTCTCAGCTGCCCTCCGTCCTCTGTCTTTACCGGCTGTCTTTGCTGCATTGAGCTCAGAGAAGCCGACTTTGGAAGGACTTGTCGGGTAGGCACTGGACTTGGCTCCGTGGAAAGACGGAGTAAGTCAAGTGTCGCCTCGTCGAGCTTCGTGACGGAAGACGTTGGAGCCCCGCGAGTAACTGGACCGGCGGCTCCTTTCTGGGCTCGTGGACGGTATTGCAGATGGGCACGGTCCCCGAACGCCGACTCATTCATCGTTCGGCTGAGTGGCCCTGACGACTCATCGACAAAATGGACGTTGCGTGGAGAAGCCGGCATTGACACTAAAAAGAAACTAATAGTGGGAAAAAGTAACTGTTGCTTACTTTCTCGATTGGCAGACCTGCGGCCTCTGTCAATCGTTGCATAGTCGTCTTCATCAAAGTTGGTGTTCACCAAAAGATTTGGTTGTTGATGACGACGGTACTCCTCATGGGAGTGTGTTCTTCCCTGTAACATTCCTCTTATTATTGGATCCACCTAATGCTTCTCTCACCCCGGATCTTCTTTCTGATCGTTGCAATAACTCCTGTTCGCGTTGTTTCGCGGTTTTTCGTTCGCTTCGCGCATCGATCACTTCCTCCGCGAGGTTCTGCTGGCTGGTGTTGCTGCTCGAACCTCCGAACCATCTCGTGAAGAATCCACCTCCACTCGACTGCTTCTTATCCATTTTCTTCTTTTTCTCTTTCTCCTTTTTCAACTGCTTCTTGTGATCTTTGGTCTTCTTGACTTCTGATGCTGACGTCACAGCGACTTGCGTCGACGTTGAGGTGTCACTGAAACAAGAATCTTTTCAGACCTTTTGCACGACTTCGGAAGAAAACTCACGGCGGTGACGGTGATCCTGATCCTCTCAGCGGTCGGAAGCCAGGTTTGCGCGTTCCTCCTTCTCTACAACAACTTGGATTATTTCCTTCTTTGTCGATATAGTCAAGCTTCGGCCGCACGACGAGTGGCGGCGTGTGCAGAGGTTCCACATCAGTCTGCACATTCAACGAAGTTTCCCACATCGACATGCGCTTGTAGTTGGCGCCGGACGATACGAGTGACGGGACGGCGACATGTGGGGCGGACGACGAACGGGACTTTGAGAGCTTCTTTCCGTACACCGGCTTGGGAATGTGGATGGCGCCGGGTTTTTCGTACGGACGATCCCGTCCGTCGTCGTCGGCGATGGTAGGCTCACGGAGTCGCACCTTCTGGGCTTCGCGAGCCGCCTTGCCGCCCGCGACACATTTGCACAGACAACAACGACAACACACACAAACCATCCAACTGATCTGGAACAAGAAATGAACGGGACAGAACACGCGACATTGAACATGTTGTTAGGGTTTCCATGAAAAGTTTTCGAAATGAAAAGGGAAAATCTATTGTGGAACTGCGAGTGCAACAAGAGGTTATCATGTCTTTTGGAGGAGGGATTGTAGATGAAGCCTCTAGGACTGTACACATGTTCAAGTGGCCGAAGCACTGCATACGCAGAGAGAGAGAGCCACTCGCAGCAGCGGAAAAGGGATATCTTCGAATTCCGACGGAAACAGTAATTACCTGTGCTGCCAGAAGTGCTTGGGCGGTCGACTGTCCGACCGCCGCGGCGACAAGATCCAGAGGATCAGGCAGAATGGAAGCGAGAAGGAGTCGGCAGCAGGAGCGGAAGAAGCAGCTCACGGAAGGACACTCATCTGCCAATCGATGGCTCGTATCAATGCTTTGACAGGTGCGAATGGCTGTTTGCGGCAAGACGGCACACCGAGAGGAAAGTAAAGATTTTTTCTCGAAGCCGCCACTCAAGTGGTTTTCTGGGGGTGGTGGAGTTGACGATAGCCTCGATTGAGAAGACGTCTGCGAGGGGGAAGCGGCATCCAGATCAGACTGAACTTCATCTGATTCTCCTGCGGATCCCGCTTCGATCGCGTGTTCAGAATAGGTAGAAGGTTTCTTCTGATGGAGTGACGTCATCGAGGGGGAAGACCCGGGTAAGCCTTTCATTTCGTAGTCGTTCATTTCGAATAAAAGTAGCGAATGCGAGTGATCGAACCAATGTTTCTTTTGATTACACTAACCAGTACATTTCTTTTTGCCACCAGCTTCACAAAGACGCAATGAAATAGTGCGGTGATCAGAGAGACGCCGACAAAATCGAGAGCAAATAATTAACGAGTGTTTGTGATTAGCGATCAACGGAGTGAGTGGGTGGAAGGGAAGGGCAGAGAAGGGCAGAAGCAGTTCAGTATATTCCAGAATCATTCCCACACACTCTCTGTTTTGCTCATTCCCCCCTGTTCTCATTGCTGTTTGATCTAGTTTTCCGTGCCGTTGTCCGCCAAGTGGCTTGTTATCCGCGTTGGAGTGAAAACCAAAAGGAAGTCTCTTCCGATTGCTCCTGCTCCCGTTTCTTCTTCTGACATGTTGACCCCGATGCCTTCTCCTTTCACTTTTTGTCGAACATGTGTCCTAGTGCCAAGAGTGCCCCCTATCTCTCACCTACTCTCAGCAAAATTATATTTTCGTCGTTTGCGACGTCTTTCATCTCAACTAAGAGCATTGAAAACTTTCAAAACAATAGGATTCGAAGAAGATTCTCGTTGAACTAGGTCGCCCTTTGAAGTAGAAGAGTACTGTGTTCCTCTGATTTATGAAATAGAAGTCAAAGCGGTAAAAATTATATATAGTAACAAGCAATATTGGAAGAATGTACAGAAAGAGGACAGAGATCATAGAAAAGATGGATGAGCGAGGAATCCATTCTGCCCGCAAAAATCCGACAGACAGCTGTTGATTATTGAGCTTCTGACTTCTTGCACATAGTGTTAGAAACGAAGAAGCGGGTAATTATCACCACGCGGAAAAGTGATTTGGAGGAGGAAAAGAATCGACGGACGGTCCCCGCGTGAGGATTCGAGGAACAGACTGGAGAGAATGGTTTTTGAACGGGAACAAGCTTGACAAGACACTTGAGAAGGGGCTGTTGTGTGTGTGTGTGGAGATGGAAGGGAGCACAGTGCCACGTCATGTAGCGGTTAAATGATCCGAATATAAGATTGGATTTGAATAAAAGTGTAACAAGGAATTGTGGAATTTTGAGAAGTGGGAAAATCGGGGAATGAAGTGAACAGCTCGTATAGCAACTTTACGACTGGAACCACACATGTCGTCCCTGCCATCGAATTTCAGCAATCCTCGAGGAACGCGAGATGTTTCAGACATGTACTTTAGTTTCAGAACGGCCAACAAGAATAACACGATCAATCAATAACCGGGGGAAATCAGGCAGTGATAACGGATGTGTGGGGGCGATGGAAACAGGAGAGAGATGCGGAGAAGAGGGGGCCCGGGAGTGTGATACCCGCTGCCTTGCCGGCTCCTTCGGGCGCCTGTCGTTCGTGTCTGAGTCCTCGGCCATCAGTACACTCTCTCGAGAGCCGATGATGAAGAGAACAATCAATTGGAGCTGATAGAGGAGCGAAAAGAAGCGCCGGGGATGTTACAACCTGGGACGGGAGTCCGGCCGTCCGTTGGCCGCTCTTATTTGTGAAACTTTGTTGGAACTTGTGCAAGGTTCAGGTTAACGCATAGGTCACCACTTTAGTTGCCCGAAATTGAGTATAATTCAAAAAAAAAGAAACGTTATCAAAGTGTCCTTATAAAGTAAGGAGCCACTAAACTAAACTCAACTCTACAAACACATGCTCCAAATAAAACCTGAACATAATAAAGTTTTTCTCCAATCCACTATATAATCACAATCAAAGAAATATTGAGAAGAGAGAAGGGGCGAGATCTTGTTGCCGAGTCACTTTTCCGTCAAACACATGTCGTCGGGTATCATAACCTCCAGAATGTGATGGAATGTTTCTAGGAGGACCGAATCTGAGATCTGAGCCAGATGACTTTTGTCCTCCAACGCATGGGTGTCGTGGGCGTCTTGAGCGTTGAGCAAGTTTCATTTCAGATCTGAAAAAGCACTTCAGCTCCCTTCAATCCGCCGTCATCCTATTCGATTCGAAAAGAGCTGGAGACCCGTTTTCCCCGGATAATTACAAGGTGCGCACTGGGCGCCATAATTCATGTGTCCGTCCTCTCGTCAAACAAAACAGCCCCAATTTCATATTTCCTCTTCTCGTCCGCCCAGAAAATGTCCTTCTCGAAATCAGATCCGCAAGAGTATCGTCAAGAGGAAGTCTGTAAGTACTCTGCAACCCGCCTCTCTCTCTCTCTCTCTCTCTTTCTATCTCGCTCTCTCTCTCTCTTTCTCGCGTTCTTTCTTGTAATCCGATAACCTTTCTCGGCTACCGCTAATTACGTATTCCGTGGCTTTCTGTCGCCGTGTGTGGTCCCCGCGGATACGTAAATAATTCGTTTGCGTTTTCGACCAAATGAATGATGATCCCTCGCTCGCACGAGACGAATTTTATGGCTCGTTTTGAGAACATTTACTCGTTTTCGCCGCGTCGCGTTGATCGGATATCTGATGCCCTCCGAGTGGTCACACACGCGCCTATTTTTAGTCGAAAACGTTTATTTTCGGAGAAAGAGCTTTTGATGATGAAATATAGAGAAATTTGTCATTCACCTGCTAATTTAGAAATGCTCATGTATTCTTGATTCCTTTTTTCAGCTGTTCATACATGCAGCTGAAAAGAACTTTAGTCTTAATTATAAGAGTTCGACGTCAATGTCTGGCTTCTTGCCCTCTTTTCATAAACTGCCACTCCTTGGTACCTGAAATTGACCTGTTTTTGTCTGCTTCCACGTGGTTTTCAACCATATTTATGCGACGTCAATATTTCGGAAAATGACAGGTCGTCAAACATGAGCAGCCTTCGCAGATACCTGCCAGGCTCACTGTATAGTTGTGTCCAGCTCAAAACTCTCTCCACTTCCATCCGTTGCTCCCAGCTGTCCAATTAGAGCCACGTCTCCAGCATAATTGAGCCGTCGTCGCAAACTCTTCACGTTACCCTACTTCTGTTATTGATGATGACCACGCCTCTTTCATTCTGTTCTCCTCGACAAAAGCCTTCCATCATATCGTGGATTACAACTTCTTCTCAACTCACAATTGAAACTCGATAGCGACTGGAACGAGAGAGTGTGTGATCCGGTGAGCCGCAGGCCGAATCTGATTTACACTATGATCTGAAGGGGCACTTTGTGCACTGGCTACCCGGTCCGACGGCCGGGCACTTTGGCAAAAACTGCCGGCTTGTTTTGAATATGCCGACCTCTGAAGGCGGGTGTCACTTCAGTTGCTCAGCGAGCCCGAGAGCTACTACGACCTGTTATTTCCACGTCATAAAACATTCTTTTGTTCTTTTGCCCGCCCACTTCTTCATAATTCTGTTGCTGTGCTTTTTGCGCGTGTTTTCATTCGATTCTGCACAGAATCAGTTCGTTGTTCGCTCTCGAACCAACTGCAGAATAGTTTGTTTCTTTTCTCTTTTTTCCGTCTCTGTTATTCTCGCCATCACCGTTTTTAACACAATAACAATAATAAATGAACATTAGAGAAATGTGAGAGGAAAAGGAAACGACCGGCTGGATCTCGCTGGATTTTGTGCTCTCTAGAGCTATTAATTAAACTCGTCTCGGTGGCTCCTCGAAGGCCACGCTAGCGCTATTATCCGGTGCCACGGGTACCTTCCCTGGTCTCTGCTCTGTTTGTCCTCGCACTTGTCAACCAAGACTCACCAAACTCTTTTACAAGCGGTTCTTTTTTATTCGTGTCCCGAACTCTGATTTGCCCCTCCTCTACCTCATTTGTTTCCATCCGTTCGGTTCTCGGCAACATCTGGAAGAAAAGAAGTTCGGAAGGATCTGAGATCCCCGAGTCTTCCGGACGCATCTGTCGTTTTATGCGACGATGAGTCAGGAGAAGCTCACACGGTGATTTCTCTTTGAGGTCTCGCGGAGGTTTCTAGCCGTTCTACCAAAACAAGTTTTTCAGATTTTTCTCAAAAACTGGACCGTACAATTCTTAATCATCCGCGTACTTTTCTTCAAATTAAATGAGTTTTTTTAACTGCAAAAAAAAAGTTGGGCTGTCCGCCGGCCGCGCGCTCCTTGGCTGTTCTGAGACTTCAGATGCGTGCCGTCGGATGAATATTCATTTCACTTGATTTTTTAGAAACGTGTTCATTTTGATGTAAACTAACAAAGAGACACAAAAAACACGCATAAGCGATCATATTTTTCAAAAAGCTGTTATGGCAATCATCTCTAGACATTTCTGCGAGTTTCTCGTTGCTGCTTGCGAGTTTCAATCATAATGAACTCATTTCCCAAAAAATTGGGAAAAATAAATCAGTATTCTTCGAACAGAACGCATCAGAAGTTTTGGAGCGCGTCATTTCTCTCTCAGCAAAACCGCACGGACTGGATATTTCCTGCACCGGTGTGTCTTGTGCTTTCATTAAGAAAAGTCTCGTGATTGTTTCGTTTTCTCCGGAAAATCGTCATGCAATTGCCCACAAATGACAGGCCTAAATAATTCAAGACGGTCCCTTTTGAGTTGGAAGAAAGACTCAAAGATCCTGACGTCCCAAAATGGCAACTATCTATGCCACTGCGGCCGCCGCCGTCACACTTCAAACGGACAATTGGGTTTGGTTCGATTCGAAATCGAATTCGGCGTGCACCCATCCCTCTTCCTTTCTGACGTACCGCCCGTTTTGGTTTCCTCATCTGTCACTTTCTTTCCTGTTTTCCGTCCCGTCGCCCTTTCGAAACCCTCGTAATCCCGTTCTTTCTTCATCCAATATCCATTTCCTAATCCTTCCCCAAATCCTGCTGTTTTATTATTATTTGTCTGTATCTTTTTCACTTTTTGGATCTCTTAACCACGAAACGTACACTGGGAACGCCTACATCCGAGGCTTTCTCTCCGTGTACTCGGTGCACTTCCCGGGCCGCAAAAGTGTTGATTCCCACGAAGATTTCCCTCTCCTTCTTGAGTTGATAATTGCTCTTTTTAGCCGACTTCTTTGCTCTTTCATTCGTCTTTCACTTGTTACGCTTTTCCCCGACACGCTTCTGTTTTCAGTGAAATGACGAACAACATCATCGTGATGCCGACCGCCCGTATCAACCGACGCAGGTCCACCAAGGCTCTTCACGACTTCTTCAGCCGCCCGTTCACTCAGAGGTTCGTATTTTTCGTCGAGTTCTGTGTTAACTCGTCTAGACATCGTCTTTTTATCCTATGGATTCGTTTCGTCCGCCCGTCCCTTCTGTTTATGGGTCTCTTTGATGGATGACTGCTTCTCCATGCAAATTCTACTTGATTTATGAAAAATGACAGCTTGATGACGTGGCGAGACATGAGTAGTTTTCAAAAAAGGAGTTGGAAGGTCACGAAGAAGCCCACTTATGACGTGGCAGATCGCGTGACTTGTAAGTGAAGTGGCGTGACTAACGAAGGGCATTGTGCCTAAAAACTTGCTACTGGAATTGGTAATGATTGCAAGAAAGGCAAGAAAGAAAAGAGAGTGACGTGCGGGTTCTAAAGCACAGTTTTTTGCATTCTCTGTCGGATCGCGTGATCTTCCCGTCCTTTCCCATTGTGCTCTTCTTGCTCCGTCCACCGATTTCTTCACGGTGCCCCAATTATTCCGCCTCAGTGTTTCTTCCCTCTCGCGCCGCCATCGTCGTCCTGCTCGACGGGTCTCCAGAAGAAGAATAAACAATAATCGAGAGGTGTGGTCTGGTCAGTGAACGGAAGTGCGCACTCCGATTGTCTGCGGGAGTCGTGCCGTCTGCTCCGGCGGCCTTCTGAAGCATCCTCTCGACGTCATCGACGCCTTCTTGCCTACCCGGGATTGTACTCCTCCGGAACTCTCGACTGAATTGCTAATCGCCTGAATTGCACACTCACATACTCGGCGGGGGCACACTCACCCCCGGCGAAACTTACATGCCAGCCACTCGCCGACCAACTTTATGCATTCCCACCACTGATACTCGGTGCCGAGAGTTGCTGGTTTCGAAGTGTAGTACTTGAAACCCAACAAGAAAATGATGATACCAAGGATGCAGCTGAAGCCGTTAGCCATCGGAAATGGGTAAGTTTATCCGGGAGGTTACTGTAGGAAGTAGGGAGGCCTTTCAGTAGAAGGGAGGCGCGAGTGCACCATTTACATAATTTGCATTCAAATTGGCTCTTCCTGCCGCTTTTTGTGACTTCTCTCTCGAGTATTGTTCATGATTCTTTTGAGCTTCTGAGCATTTCTGTAAAAGCTCGTGACTATCACTTCGGCTCAGTTTCTTTTTTATTCTCTAGTGCCCATTCGAACAAATTCAAAAGTGCAAAAAAAGGAGAGATATGCTGATTCGTTCACTCTGCCCGGAAATTATGCAGATTTATAGTTGACCACACCGGAAAATAAAGTTCCCAAACGAGGAAAAAAAAGGCATTCCCAGAAGATGCTAGACAAATTGAGCACACCTATGCAAACAGCCAATTAGTAGTCGTTGGCCGCGAGAAGAAGAAAAACAAGCGGACGTGGCACCTGTTGTGCGGGCCCCTGGCGCCGCCCTTTTCCTTTTCAGCCGTCCTCTCCGCCTTCCTTCTCGTTTCCTTTTAGTTTTCCATGTCTTTTGCGAAATTCAATCTTCGACGGGCGACGGAAATGGGACAAGAAGACAAGAAGACGAGAGCGAAAGAGTGAAAGAAAGCTTTGAATTTCTTCTGTGAAACGCCTTTCCTTCTCTTCCTTTCGCTTGTTATCGTTGATCAACGGAGCACGGCTTCTTCTCCTTCTTCTTCTGCTTCTTCATCTCCTCTTCTCCATTCTCAAATCCGTGTTGTTATTGTTTTCCGTCATATTCTCCAAGCTCTCTCAGGGAGGTTAATTGAGTGTGAAGAGGAGCCGCTGCCCATCCTCTCAAGATCTATTTTTGACGGGTGCAACATGAAGAGGAAAAGACTAGAGGAAGAGAGGAAGAAGAAGAAGAAGGAGGAGGAGAAGAAGAAGAAGAAGTCGCTGATGGATATGGGAAGCGAGGCGCAGGGGCAGACGCGCACTCGCCTCTTTTTGTTGCCATTTCAATTACACTTTCACGCACGTGTACAGCTCTTCCCTTTTTGAGTCACTTGCGCAGAACAATTTGCAAAGACACTTCTGGAGTTTGTTTGGTTTTGCTCAAATATGTCTCTAGAACTCTAGAATATTCATTTCTCGAGCACTGAATTCATTGAATTGTGATTTCTGGTATCCTTCAAAAGTTATCACTGGCACCTAAGACACCTAAGAGCATTGCTTTGTAATGTTCTATCCGGCTTTTTGCTCCGTGCTCCGAGCCAATTGTCCCCCCGGGTTTATTGTGGAAACGGACACCTCTCGGTCAGTCTTTTCACTCTATTTTCATCCGAATTCCGCTCGCTTTCGGATGAATGGTGAAGTAAGTTGGGCGAAAAGGTCACTATGGTCACATGTTTCCGCCGCATCTCCCGCAAATCTCATTGTATTGTGCCGTCTTCTATGCTCTACTTGTTCAGCATATGCTTCTTTGCGTACGGAGGGAAGTCACAGGACCTTCTTCTATCCCTCCTGCCACGTCATCCTTGCTTTCTGTTTAGCCTCTCACATAGATAGAAGACAAAGATGCGATGAATCACTCCCCGGAGACTTGCGTCCACCGACCATCCCAATCTTTTTTTCCTTTCAGAAGGTCACAGTCAATCGCCGGTGTTCGGGTCTCGCCACGAATAACTGTGGCCCCCTCACCTCGAGACACCCACTCAACATGTCGAACACCATCGAGATTTCCATCGCAATACAGTCAGTCTGCATGTAGTGTTTCTTCAGCTAACGTGGTTGTCTTTCAGTGACTTTGCGACAACTGAAACCGCCAATCAGATTGTCTGCGAGCTATACGACAACGAGACGGAAAGCGAAGAGAAATGGACAAAAGTGGGCTCGAGTTCTCCGGTCCGATTCTCTCGGAACATCGTCTTCGCTGACAAGTTCTCCTATCAGTACATCTTCGAGAAGACACAATTGATCAAAGCGGTTTTCTCTCGGTGCCACGAGAAAGACAAACCATGCAGCTCAAGCAGTGATATTCTCGCCACTTCCATTTTCAAAGTCGACGAACTCATTGGATCGTTCGGATTGCAATTGCGTCGGCAACTTCAGAAAACGGGAACAATCGCCCAGTCTATTGCCGGAACGCAGAGAATGAGCGAGGAGTACTTGGGAGGGATCATCGTGTCGGCCGAAATGCCGGAGAAAGAGCAGCCAATTGTAGTGCAGTTCCACGGGAAATCATTGGATCGGAAGGACTTTCTGTGGGACGAAACTGCCGTTTTCTTCAGAGTAATTCTAAAATCTGAAAAGTCCCTTTTCTACTGTATTTCTTCAGGTATTCCGTCTCGAAGAAGGAAAGGACGATGATTCGTTGGTATTTCTGTATGAAAGTGAAGCCCTCAAGAATCATTCGCATCCCCAGTGGGCGGAGTTCCGTCTAGACACTCAGGACGCCGCCGACAACAGGAATCGTCTTCTGGAGATTTGGGTGATGTACAAGGACGTGGATGGGAAAGAAGGTTACATCGGAAAGTTCCTGACGACGTATGCGAAGATGAAGTACGGACCTGGCTCCGACAATGTGTACAGCGTTATAAACGATGTGAAAAAGGCGCAGAAGAAGGTGAAAATACAACGATTTCGATGGAGATTACGCGTATTTTTCGACTTTCAGAGCTATGAAAACAGCGGGAAATGGAGCTCGTTAAGTTCACCGACGTCTCGTTCTATTCTTTTCTGGATTATATTGTCAGTGGGTGAGTGTTCTGAAAGGAGGCATTCAAGTGGAAACGAGTCGTTTTGTTTTGCATTGCAGCACTCAACTTCACTTCGAAATCGGTGTCGACTTCTCAAGTCCGGAGCCAGTGCACGAGTTGGATCAGCGCAGATTCGACGGGGAGTTGCACATGGCGATCAGAGCGATTGGAAGTATCATTAGGGACTACACACCGTATGGATTCTGTTTCTTGGTCTTCCCTATAAAAGTGTTTTTTTTCAGAAATCGTTTGTTTGCCGCATTCGGAATTGGAGCCAAGATCCCTCCGACTTTCCACGAGTCCAACGAGTTCTTCCTTGTAAGTCAGCATCAAACCCGTTCAACCCCTTATTTACATGCTTACAGAACTTCTCAATGGATCCGATCTGTCGTGGATTGGACGGAGTGATGGAAGCCTACAGGAAGACTCAGACAATGGTAACCCCTTTGAAAGAGTCGAAATTGTCCCCAGTGATCAATTACGTGACTCGAATGTCCCACCGATCTGGGTTCCGCGGACTCCACTACCACGTGCTCGCTTTGTTCACAAGGGGAGAAGTCACCGATATGAAAGTGAGTGAGCAACAAGTTACCTTCAGAACGGAAACACGTTTTCAGGAAATCCAACAAGCCCTCAACGCCGCCTCCGATGCTCCATTGTCCATTCTCATCATCGGAATGGGCGACTACGACTTCGGTCCTCTTCAGAAAGTATGTTCGAAACGGAAAGACGGCCGCCGAGACGTCGTCCAATTCATTCATCTCAAATCGCTTCTGAACGGAGCAGAAGCCCCGTGGCTCAACAAATCTCGGATCGCGGAGACCGCACTCCGAAATGTCCCGCATCACATGGTGCAGTACATGCACAACTCGAACATTGCAGCGAAACCACCTATACAGGTAGGTCGAATGACAACCAGCTTCTCAGCTCTGTATGTTTAGGTGTGCCGCTCGCCTCTCTTCCACAGCTCCTCTCTGATTCCTGATAAACCGACTCAATTCGACTTTGATACTGTCGTTGACAATCGTCACGTGGCCATCGAAATCCCGAGTCTGATGCCGAACCTCGTCCTTCCGCCCGATCTTTCTCCTCGTCCTAGACAAGACAGAAGAGGCAGTGATTCTCGTGAGTGCTTCCCTCCTGCTCCCTTCCAAACTCTTGCTGCATTTCCAGAATATCTCGACGTGGAAACCATGCGTGGCAGTCTCACGGTCCGGGTCCCCGAGAGATGTCATTCTGTCTTGCAAACCAGCAAAGAACAGTACCAACGGCGACTGAAAGAACGAGGATTGGCAAGAGTAACACCTGATTTGATACTAGATCCTCACTCCTTTCTACTATTTCCAGATGAAGTTCCCACGTGTCGAACTGAGCACTCTGGAATCGAGTGGAGGATCCACGCAAGAATCGTCCCTCGGCCAATAGATTTCCCTAGTTTCCCTTTTGTATCTCTGCTCTCTTTCTGGTTCCATTTCAATGTTCTACAAGGCCAAATGACTGTAAACACCAACGAAATCATGTTTTATTTAATGCGAGAACTGTTTGTCAAACTTTTTGTCCCATTGATTGGAAAGATTAGCAAAATAGCAGTCGGTCTCCGCACTGATCGTCATCTTTCTCTCTTGAGTGGAGGACGAGCTGAACTCGTTCGGAAAGCAACGTCCGACCACTGGGAACAGGATTAAACCTGTGAGAATGGATTGGAATACGGTTGATCTCAGAATGAACTTACGGACGAATCCGAGTGAGAAGAAGTGGAGACGGTATTGCTTGACACTGAATATCATTATGACAGGAATTAGTAGAGAATATCTGGAAATGAGGAGTACAGGAGAAGAGAAATGAATATAAACTCACATGATTACACAGACATTGAATGCGAAACGAAGATACAAAGTGGCTACTGGATGTGCCGACTGAAAAGATTTGGTCATGTAGAGGGTCAGAATGATCCCCATGATCAGATTATTCACACCGGAGAAAATGACGACATTCCGGAGAAGCTGCAGACTAATCTTTGTTATCTCATGCACACTTTTTCTATTACCGTCATGACTTTCAGATTTTCCGACAGCTGAAATCGAACGCTAAGCGAGTACTTGTCGTCCACTCTCTCCTCCTGAATCTTTTCGAGTCGACGGCGGTTCATCATGAAGAGAACGATGTAAAACTGGAAAAATCGGAAGTGAACCTGATTTCAAACATCACTAACGGCAAAAGACGCGCAGCTGACAAAAACCCAAGAAATGCAATGAAAACGAAAGGAATGAAATCTGAAAAATGAGCGAGATTTAAGCAAATAACTTATTCGAAAAAAAGTACCGAAAAGTATGATTAAAGAAGCGAGGCTGCAACAGAATGTGAATTCAGAGCACACCAGAAGGGATATCCACTTCCTTTTTCGGGTTTCGTACGTATCCACGAAGTACGTGGCGAAAAATCTTTCGAAGGCAACGTCAAGACTTCTGAATTCGGAAAACGTGTTAATTCTGAGGCTACTTAACCCACATTCCACACGCGCAGCCCATATAAAAGAACTGTAAAAGTGAACTGATGAGCAGTGACAATGGATATTTCTCATCCGCAATATCTTCATCTGCAAAGACATCAGCTGAATGTTCCACCTGAAAACGGATATACCCGGAAAAGTGATCGCTCCGATCTCGTAGAGACAAGTTATGAATCGTCCGACGAGGAAGACGAAGTAGCCGAGAAGCATAAAGAGGGTGATGAACTTGAGATTGTAGTGAAACGGACTCTTGATTGTCGTGTAAATGACCAGAAGAAAGCACGAAACTTCGAAGAGCATTGCGAGCAGTTCGAAGTGAGTGAAATAGTACATCCATTGACAATGTGCGGATGTTTCTGGAGGACATTTGAAGACTGGCGAGTACAGAAGGTTCATGCGACGGGTAATTTTAGAGGAGTGAAAAGCGAAACGAGCGGGAAAACAGAGGCAGGTGGAAAAGGCAATGGTTTTTCAGTGATTCGTTTGGCCAACTCAATTTACACGACGCTCTATGTTGTTGTTCTGTAATCGAAGAATTCTAAAAGAAGAATTCTAAAAGATGGAAGTTCGAGGGACTATTCGAAGCTATTTAAAAATGTCGTCTCGAACGTCTGTGGATCAGACTCAGGTAAAATTTCAAACTTTTCTTGGCTCATCTGAAGACATTCTCAAACTTTTCCAAGAATTTCTTAGGTGGCGCCTGGAAAAGTTTGAAAATAGCTAAGAAAAGTTTGAAATTTTACCTGAGGAGTTGAGCGGAAATGGAATTTTGAAATCCAGAGGACGGCAGGCGGCAGACGGAGGAAATTTTTTTTACGGAACACGGAAAACGGAAGACGGAAGACAGAACAAAAAAAAATTAAAAAAAAAACAAAAAAACAACAAAAAAATTAGTAAATGGCTTCTGAAAAGCTATTACTCGATCTTTTACGGTAAGAAGAAAAAATCCCGGAAGACGGCAGACGGAAGAAAAAATTGTTTAGGGAAGACGGCAGGCAGAAGACGAAAGCAAACTTTTTTCCCGGAAGACGGCAGACGGAAGACGGAAGACGGAAGACGGAACGAAAAATCCACGGAAGACGGAAGACGGAAGACTGCACACGGAATTCCGTTCAACACTGCTGTGGATGGGTCGGAGCCTTGTTTTTAGGATGTTGTTTACACCAAGTTAATAATTATAGAACAACTCGTTTTTCAGATAATTCTTTGCATTCACTGTTTTTGTTGATTACTGCTATGAGGACATCAGAAGAGTAAACTTTTTTGTCGTTTTGGTTTGCAGTCAAGTAGTTCCGTGCGGCGCTGCTGCGAAAACGCGCGCGCTATTTGCGTTTTCTTTGTCGCCCCGCCCCTTTTGCTGTTCTCGGCGGTGAAAATGCGTTCACAATTCGCATTCTCCACGCACAAACTGACGCGATGCATCGGACAACGACTCTCTGTGATTGCGACCACCAGCCACGACGCATTCCTCGTTCGGAAGCAAATATCAAGAGTTCTGGTGCAGACGAGAGGCTTGTACGGAACAAGTAAGTTCAACTTTCAGAGCATGAAGGTTATCGACCTTATTTCCAGATATTCGTTCGATTCGAGCGAGATATCCGGATGAAAAGCACGAGAAAAGCGATGAAGAAGGCAAAGAAAAAGGACAAAATGAAGAAAAAACTGAAGGGCAACAAAAGGACGAACAGAAGAAAATCGATCCAGCGCTCAGTAAGTCGGATTGATTCCAGATGAATATAACTGAAAACAGTAAACCTAATCAAACTTTTCAGTTCGGAAGCTGAGAATTTACGTGCTCGCGGTCGCCGGTCTCTCATTTGTCTCTTCGTTTTTCCTACTCTCTGATATGTTCACTGGTGATCGGAAGCTTTCGGGTGAATTGAAAGCGAGGATTTCACAAGGTAAATTTAGAAAAATAATTTATTCGAAATAGAAAATTGATTTTCAGGCCTGGAATTCCTGTTAAGAATTTCATCGAGGGATATCTGAAGCATGGTGAAGTGAAGCGGATCGTGTTCGTCCCCGCCAACGCTCGTGCTATCGCAATTCTCCATCCCGGTGCCGTTATCGATGGAAAGCAGTCACAAGATCAGTCGGTGGTTGTTGAGTACCCACAAAATGCTCAACAATTCTGGGCGGATATTCGAAAAGCGGAGGCTGAACTCGGAATAGGATTATCACAAGGTGTGCAGATCGATTTGTACCAGGGAATGACTACTTTAAAGCGAGTGATTCAACTTCGTGTAGCTGACAAGCTTGTTTTTATTACAGATTGATCGAACTGATCATTGGTGTGATGATTCTGGCCTGGTTAGGTACTCAATATGGCCGTTTGCTTCGCAAGAGACTTCTGGAGAATCAGGCAAAGAAGGGAAAGAACTGAACAGTTGCATAAAGTGATACGTGTTTGTATAACATTACACTGTAAATTATTGAACTAAAATGGCTCGTTAGGTTTTGATTCTCGTTAGATGCAAAGTAAAACATTTACTAGTTCCGTTCATTAATTCGTTTTCATGCCTTACTGAACAGTTCACAACTGTATTCATATTTCATTTCGTTTTATGCTATTTTTCACTCAAGCATTCAGAATGACGGACCAAATGCGCGATATGATCGCCCAGCTGATGGGAAGTCAGCACGTTGACTACAAAGGTTAGTTCTTCCTTCTTTTCTTTTAACCTCGTTTGTTATTCTGTTCAGAAAAACCATCAATTCCATTTGATCATCACAATGTGTGCCGCGCTTTCCTTCTCGGCATTTGTCCTCACGATATGGTGCCCGACAGTCGGCTCCAGGTGAGTATGCTCAGTTCTTCCGTGAGCTCTTCTCTATAGACTGAACTGTTAGGTGCCCCCCGCAAGTGCTGCGAGCGTACCGTAAATCGTCGGCAAACCAGGGTTATTTTGTGAGTTCTCTCCGAAAATTTGACATTTGAATGAACTAACTCTGCCAATTGTCTTACTTTTGACTAGCCGCATCGAGAATCAATGATCATCTCAGTCTCTGAAGCGATGAATTCGTGAGTTGAGCCTCTCCTTTCCTTCTGGAAAACACCAGGAAATTTGTGGATGTCTTATTCGATTTTGTGTCTGCTGCAACTGTTCACCTCCCTTCTTATTCCAGTGATTCATACTCTCCTTTAAGAACGTTGTGTCCTGCCGGAAAGTGCACGAACCAGCGCACAAGGCAGATTACGAGAGAGCGCAGAAGGAAAAGGATCATTTTTATGACGTGGATGTGAGTAAATTCCCTTCTCTTTTCTGAGGTCTCGCAATCTTTTCAGGCTTTTGATATAATCGAGCACGCTGTCAATCTCGTCGACATTGAAATCTCAAAAGTGCGCGAAAACTGGAGGACGACGTGAAGACCCAGACAAGCCAGGCGGCCGACTCGAAAGCGAAGCAAGTGGCGGAAATAGAAGAGAAGATTGCGAAGAACGTCGACGAGATAGAAAAGCTAGGGAACGAGGGAAAGATTGAAGAGTCGATGAAACTGCACAGACATGTCGAGGAAATGAGAGAAAAGATTCAGGAAATTGAGGTACTTACCTCATCGGATCCCTTAACTAATTAACTTTTTTGTTTCCAGGACTGTCAAGCTGAAATAAAAACAGCTGGACCAGGATCAAATTCTGCCAAACTGCGTGTCTGTGAGGACTGTGGAGCACAGTTGAATATCATGGATCACGAATCGCGTATTGCCGATCATTACAACGGAAAAATGCACATCGGAATGGTGGAGACGCGCGAGACGTACATTAAAATGAAAGAGACGATCGAGGAACGTCGCAAAGAACGCGAGGAAAAGCTCGGATCTCAGAGAGGGTACGGACGCAGAGAGTCCTACAATCGGTAAATGAAACGCCAACTGGGTTGCCAGTGAACGTGGGAATTACAGGCGTGATCGCGGAGATAGAGGTGACTACAGAGGGGATCGCGATAGAGACCGGGACCGTGATCGTCGTGACAACCGCAACAGAAGCCGTTCGCGCGATCGTTCTTACAGACGCGACGACCGGGACCGAAGATACGAGCGAGACTCTCGCGACAGGTAAGCAGACAATAAACGAAGGACATTTAAAATCACGAATGTGATAATGACCTCGTTTTTGAAAAATCCGATTGCGTCTCCATCGCTGAAGGCCATCTCTCCCATTCCCGCTCCCAATCACTTTTCAGACGCGATCGTGACCGTCGTTACTGAGCAGTGTTTTCTCATTCAATTCCGGGTGGTCAACTCGTTTCCTCTTCACAGCATCAGTGATCAATATTTCATCAACGTTTAATTTTTCGATCATTTAACCCATTTTTTGGTTTATTGGTAATATATTTATGATGATCTTCTATCGATAAAATGTATCGAATGTCTTCATTTTTGACAGTTTGAGTTGTGTCTAGAGTACACGAATATCTTGCGTTTTGTGCGTTTCTGATCGGTTTGCTCTGTCAACAAGACTCCAGGAGCAATCCGAGGAACGAGCACAAACCAATATTTAGTCTGGCTACACTTTGTCAGTTTGTAGCCACCGTGGCCCTGACTCATCCCTCTCGTTCTCTCGTTCTCTCCCTCTCTCCCTCTCTAGCCTCTATCGTTTATCAGTGCTGACCTCTGCACATTTTACCACCAACAATACATTATTTTGCGCCGGGTTCATTCTTTTCTGTACAGATTAATTGTTCAGTTCGTTTTCAGATCGTAATGATCCGCAGACGTGGAGGAAACGACAGAGAAGCGGATCGGAGTGATCTGTCAGGACTGGACAGGGAACACCGGGACCGTGGAGCGGCGAGAGGCAAGAACTTGAACAATTCGATCGGATTCCGCCATTGGATCATTTTCGTCGTCACGGTCGCCGTCGTTTATGCCGGAGTCGTCGCGTTGCACAGAAGAATGCCACCCGTCCGTGACGCCTCCTCCTTCGACAATTTCAGCGAGAAAAGAGCACGCGTGCTCCTCAAGCAGCTCACGGCTCTCGGCCCCCGTCCCAGTGGATCTGTGAACTTGGAAGTAAACGTTATTTTCTGTTTTTCGCGCAAAATCAACATTTCAGGTGAAGGCATTGGGAATGCTCCGCGAGCGTATTGGAATTATTCAAAACGTAGCGAACAGCGTCGGCGTGAATCGTTTGGAATTAGACGTGCAACGCCCTTCCGGATGCTTTGACCTCAAGTTCCTCAGTTCATTCACTCTCTGCTACCACAAGATCACAAACGTGGCTGTGCGAATCGGACCGAAGAGTGGACCGACTGACAATTCTCTTCTCCTCAACTGTCACTTTGACACAATGCCCGATACTCCGGGAGCCACTGATGACGCCGTTGCGTGCACGATTATGATGGACGTGCTCGAGGTTCTCGCCCATTCGAATGTCGAACTGCCGCATGACGTCGTGTTTCTGTTCAACGGAGCAGAGGAGAACTTCCTGCAGGCCGCTCACGGATTCATCAACCAACACCCGTGGCGTCACACCATTCGCGCCTTCATCAACCTGGAAGGCACTGGATCCGGAGGACGTGAAATTCTCTTCCAAGCTGGGCCCGGCAACTCGTGGCTCCTTCAGACGTATCTCGAGAATGCTCCTCATCCGTTCTGCTCGGTGCTTGCTCAAGAGATTTTCCAGTCAGGAATCATCCCATCGGACACTGATTTCCGAATCTTCCGTGATTACGGCAGGATCTCTGGATTGGACATCGCCTACACGAAGAACGGATGGTTCTATCACACGGAGTTCGACGAGGAATGGAGAATTGAGGAGGGAGCCATCCAGCGGGCAGGAGAGAACGTGCTGGCCGTCGTCCGAGCCATCCTCACTTCCCCGTATCTTGACAAGCCGGCCACCTTTGACGAGGAGAACCGATGGGTATTCTACGACGTCGTCGGCCTGTTCACCGTTTACTACTCGGTCAGCGTGGGAAAGCTGATCAACTACTGTGCAGTGGTCGGCACATATCTCCTCGTTTGGCTGCGAGTCCGGAAAGGTGTCTATTCCTCCAAAGACCTGATCATCGCCTACAAGCACCACGTCGTCGCCTTCTTCGCCATGACCGTCACCATGCTCGTCATTATCGCATTCGTCGTTCAGTTCGACCTCGTCATGTGCTGGTACAAAATGCCCGAGATCGTCGGACCGCTTTACGTTCTTCCTATGCTCATCGCCGGAGCCATTGTTCACTCGCACTACGCCGACTACAACAGAATCAACAACATCGAAATGGTGCAATACGACACAATCCTGCTTTCGTTCGCCTCTATCCTTCTGGTGATGACAATCTACAATCTGTCCTCCGCCTTCTACGTTCTCAACAATCTCGTTCTTCCCGTCTTCAAAGACATAATCATCTGGAGCCTCGGTTTGTTGAGAATCATCAGAAGAGTCACTCCGCGCGTCCTTTTTTCACTCAACTGTTCTGCTTCATTCCGACGTTCGTCTTCGCTGCCTACGCAATCAGTCAATGTGTTGACTTCTTCGTTCCAGTCATGGGAAGGTAGTCCTTTTTTCCCTGTATTCCCTCTTCATCTCATGATTCCAGACTTGGAAATGCTATCAACCCTGAGTTCATTATGGGTCCAATTGGTCTGGTGATCGCATCCAGCTTCATTCTGTTTGTCAACAATCTCTTCTACATCTCTCGAAAAATGAACTACATCATTCGAGTTCTCTTCGCCCTTTCGCCCTCTTCATCCTCGTCCTGCTCACCACCAAAGTCGGCAATCCGTACGAGTACTCTGCCGAAAACCCTCGTCTCCGTCGGATCATTGCTCTCCACGCGAACCGAACGATTTACGATTTCGAAGGACGGCTCACGCAGAAGGACAACGCTCTCTTCGTCCATTCGCTCGATTACAGGGGAGCTTCCGATCTGCCGTCGCACTCTTTCCTGCAGGGAACTGCCGCTCCGAACTGCACGGGCGTCGTCGATGAGTACTGCCGGATGCCCTATTACACGGCCATCCACGAGCTCTTCCCCCCGGAGCACTCCCTCTGGGTGCCCGTTCCGTCGCCTGTCCCTCTTCCGTTCCCGATCGATCTCAAGCTGGTTTCACGTGAAGCGATCGGGAAAAACCTGAATCTGACGTTGAAGTAACTTTCTGTCTGTCCCATTGTCTTCCCATCGTCTTCTTTCAGATCCGTGGTGGATACGACAAGATGTCCCTGCACGTGACTCCTCTCAACGGCTACGACCTCCTTTCCTGGTCGTTCACTGATATTGACATCGAAGAGTTCGGCCGTCGGCAAACTTATTTCGTCTTCTTGACCTACGGACACGAAGCTCCGGAAGTTCGTAGATTCTGGATCCTTCTGGAACACGTGAGCTATTTTCTAATTAGCAATGATGAACTCTAAATTCCAGAAGAGTGGAGCTGCCCCGAACCCTGAAACTCAGGAGAATCTGGAGCTCTCCGTGGCCACGCATTATGCTCACGGAGTCCATCAGGATACGGAGACGCTCCGACAGCTGAGGGCCATGATTTCTTCGCGAAGACAGACTCCGGAGCAGGCGGTCGGATGGTGGCGGTGAGCAGAATAAATCTCAATGATCTCAGACTTTTCTAAACTTTCAGATGGGGAATCACGATGGTCGGTGGACGCTCCGAAATCGTCGTCAAGCTTTTCTAGGCGCATTTTACGTTTTATGCAGAACTTCTCGCATTACTCTTTTTTCCGATTTTATCCATCTATTCCTGTGATTCTCAACCGCCTTCCTAACATTTCTTTCGCCCGATTATTCCGTTTCAACCACATTCCTCCCATTTCTCATGTTCGCTTTCTTTAATTCCTGCCTTGCTATGGGTGTTCTCTTCTTGTCTCAACACACGAATAAAAATTGTCCACCGTCAATCAGGAAAACACGAAAAACTCTGAAATGGAGCCCTCGATCCCCATGAAAAGAATTCCACTGAAAATGGCATTGTCCGCTTCTATGAGGTCAGTTGATAGAAAAAGTAAACGGACAAAAAAAACAGAGCGCTTATTGAATGCCCATATTTATAAGTCTCAACGATAAATAAAATGAATAAACAGTACAAAAATGTCTGCTAACGAAAAAAAAACAGAGATCAGAACCTTGTGGGGTCGAATTTGAGAGAGAATCCGCCCGGTTTCACTTGTTCCGGACGAACTTCGAACTGTTTTAGGAGCTTCGCCGTCTCCGGATCCACGTGCGCCAATCGGTTCTCCAGCTGTTTCGGCTTCGCAGCCGGCGGCGGAGCCTTGTTTTGTTCACTCTTCGCAGGGAATGTAGGGAACTCTTCCGGAGGAACTGGCTGCGGATCTTCACTGTAAAACGATGGATTGGGATAGGCGGAATCGCAGGGGAAACAACGTGAACCAGTCGTGATCGAGAGCTTGCGTCGCTGTCAATCTGTTCTTCGGATCTAAAGTTAGCAACCTGTAAAAGAAAATTCGTCGGCAAGTTCTTGAGCACCATCGACTTACCCATTGAGCAACTTAAATCCGGTGTCGTTGAGAAGTCTGCCGGCTAGGAACTTCTTTCTCAGCTGATTGTACGGATACTTCTCGAAAGTAAGTGCTTTCCATCCGTCAAGTTCAGACACTCCTGGCCATATGGATTCCGTCGGAGTGCCCAATTCCATAAAGATCTTCTTGATCTGATCTAACTCTCCTCTTCCCGCAAACAGCGGCTTCAGCAGTATAAACTCGGCCATAATGCATCCGACTGACCACATATCGACTGGTGTCGAATAGAGTTTGGTGCCGAGAAGAAGTTCTGGGGAGCGGTACCAGAGGGTGACGACGATCGAAGTGAACTTCCTCAGAGGCTCTCCATACTCACGAGCCAGTCCAAAGTCGGCAATCTTGAGAATGCCAGTGTGAGACATCAAAAGATTGGACGTCTTCAGATCTCGATGGAGGATCCACAGTTTGTGCATGTGCTCAATGCCGGAAAGAAGTTGTCGCATCAGAGTTTTCTGTTCGCCCGTCGAGAATCGTTTGTTCCTTCTGTTCATCGTATCCAGAAGACTCTTCATGTCGTGCTCCACAAATTCCATGGCCATGTAGATCTTGTCCATGTTACTTCCCACCAAAATCTCCTTCACATTCACAATATTCGTATGATTTCCTGCCTTGAGAAGCATGTTAATCTCTCGCAGCGCTGTGATCGGGAATCCCTCTTTTTCCTTCTCCATTTTCAATCTTTTCAGAGCCACAATCTCGTCAGTACGCTTGTCTTTTCCACGGTAAACGACTCCGAACGTTCCTTCATCCACCCGGTTCACACATTCGTACTCATCGATATTCCGGCAGCCCATCAGACCCGGAAAATAGACAGGCAACAGGGATACAAGGGCTTTCTGGCGTTGGGTTTCCCTTTCTTCATCATGTCCTTGTGCATCCTCTGCTCAGTTTCCGTCATTTCTTCCCACTCATGATCTTCGGGAGTTTTTGCGTACTTTTCCTCGTCGCTGTCATCTTCATCATCTGAATGCCCGTCGTTTTCAATAATTTCGACAACGTCGTCGTCTGAAAATTATCAAAATTTCTGTGAATTCTGTATTTTTGTTGCCTTTATCAGTGGAAGGGCTCTTGCGCTCTCGTTTTCGGTCCTCTTCGTCCTCGGTCTCCGGATCACTCTCAAACTTTGAGTACTTCTTCGGTCCGGCTGGAGAATCCGTGGTTATGTCAATGACTTCCTTCTCAACCTTTTCCTCCAGTATCTCAATCGGCGACATTTCCACGTCTTCCACCATTAACACTTCATCTTTTTTACGCTTATGATTTGGATCAAGGACTGTAAAATGTCATATTTATTGGGGTTTCTGTCTGTAATCTCTCACTTCTATCAAAGAGTCTCGCGTCTTCCGGAACATCGTGATGCTTTGCTTTTTTCGGTGACGACTTGTCCTTTTCCTCTTCGGGAGACGACGTTCGCGACCTTCTATGTCGATGTTTGTGATGCTCTTCTTTCTTTCTGTGCTTGTCGGCGTCCCGATCTTTGTCCGAGGACCGGCTCCCCTGGCTTCGATGGCCTTCTCCGTCGTGCTTTCGATGCCTGTGCTCATGTTTTCCTTCCCGTCCAGATCGTTCGTGACGTTCTGAAAAATTAATTCGAAACTGTGGAGGGAGCATAAATGGTTGTCCTTACCTTTGAAATCCCGTTCTCTCTGACGACCGTCAACATCTCTTGCTCCCTTTCTGTCGTCCCGTTTATCTTTTTCTTTCTTCTTCTCTCGCTCTTTATCACGATATCGATCTTCCTTTGCTTTTTGCTGAAATTAGCTCGTTTCGAAAAACTTCATCGCTGTACTCACTGCTTCCTTCGGCTGAATCGAGAAGCGTTTCTCAGTCGTGTCGTCATCGCTTTCGCTCATCCTTCGCTTTGTCAGCCGACTCAGAATGCTCTCGCGCATTTTTGTCTCTAAACCTTAAAATCTAATCGGCTTTCAAAGGGTTTCATTATTTTCGTACCTTTGTTTGAACGATTCGGTTTGACGTCGTCAGAGCTCGATGCGCGTTGGCCTAAAAAGATGTTCTCACGACATTGAACGCAACTCGGAATCTTACTTCTTTTGTGACTTTCATCGGATAATTCTCCTTCGTCATGAGAACTCCCCAGATGATCGCTCATTTCACAATTAACACAGAATTTTGCTGAAAACTGGAGTCCGTGACAAAAGGTCGGAAAACCGAAAAGCTCGGAAGGCAGAAGGTCGGAAGGCCAAAAGGTCGGAAAAAAGTGACAAAAGGTAAGAAAAAAGTGACAAAAAGTCGGTTTCCGACCTTTTTTCACGGACTCAAATGTTGGGCTAAAAGAATTCATGTAGATTTACGATAAACCGCGCGCGTTGCCGTTATTTCGGAGTGTCGTTAAACGGCAATTTAGCGATGAACTGATTTTACCATAAAAATAAATTAAAAAATAGTTTGGCTTGGATAATCGCACGAATACAAAACAAATCAACTACGATGTTGTTAACTGATCCGTTCGAGTCGAGCGGCTGCTCAGACATCAGTCGATCACTTGCACTTCCAATCGATTCTTAAATCTACATCTACAATAAATAAAATTTAAGTCTGAACAATTTAGACTAAAATACCAACAAAGTAAATGACACAGCCGTCAGAAATTTCTCGAGAAAGCACACTCCGTCGAGCTAAAACTGTCCCGAGTCAGAACTATTTTCAGTGCGCATTGGTTCTGATTCGGTACAGAGAAGAGGCACACAGGACCACGCTTCATCCGTTCGTTCAACAACCGAATGACACCATTTATTCTGGTCTATTCCGGCAGGTAAGAATGTACTGAATGCCTATTTGTTAGTTTTTGTTGGCCACAGCTCACCGTAAAAGCGTGAAGGCCTTGGAGTCTGTTGGGTATCAATCGGTTATGGGATTCGGTCAAAGTGTCACGTTATCCCTCACCGTCCTGGCCCTTACAAGGGAACTCCACAAGTCGTGATGAAAACGAGAAGGCCTAAAATTGGCCGAAGTGTTTGGCTTCTCAAAGAAAAGTTAAACTTCTACAGTAACTACAGTAACGCGGAAACCCCCGTTTCCGTTCTTCGCCGCGAGGAGGCTTAGTCACGAAGAACAAAAAATGGGTTGACTTCTTGCATTGCAATAACGTCAATAACGTCAGCACCACATGGGTAAAAATGAAAAAAAATGAGACGGCAATAAATAAAATGACTATTTCTGCCTTTATATACCCCTGTGGGCGTGACGGCACCGTGCCAAGAGGATTCGAAAAAAGTGTGATAAGTAATTGAAGGATTTCCGATTTGGGATGCAAGCATTCAACACATTCCGATCGGTTTGAAATTTGAACTCATAGACCCAATTGGGCCGGCCCGGAACGGCACTTGGAGATTGATAGTTTTCCGTGCACAACTAACTTTGCCTAATTGAAAGACCTTTAAAACATGAGACTCCACTATCAGACCTTTGTTCCATCACAATAAACCATTCCTATTCAAATGCTGTTTTGTTGTGCTTGTCGAATACAGAAAGCGGCCGGGAATGGGCCAGAAGCGAAGAACTGGAACGATATGCCGGTCGAGATGAAAATGAAAATCATCAAGAAAGTGGACATTATCACCAGACTGCGTCTCCGTCGATGTTCCCGCCACGAGAAATTTCTCGTCGATGCCACGCCGACCATTTCATATTCTTTCCGTATCTACGTCTTTACACTGTCAGTTTTTCAGAGCATACAATTTTAAACATGTTCATCCGTATTACAGACCATATCCTGCTTCTGCTTCACGAACTAAGTTTCTGCGGGCAATTGTGGCCTACGACAAGTCGCGGATCTTTGTGCCCCGATTGTTCCGTTTCCATTATTGTCTATGACACAGTTCTCTGCCGGTCTTAACTGCACTTTTAATGGGATCCGATTGTTCGGCACGACACGTGTATTTTCACCAGGTTTTTTAAAAAGCTCAACGGATTCATCTCCCTTAATATTAAATTAGGATCGAAGCCCCGAAAAAGTGAGTACTATTTAACATGGTCAAGACCTTTTGTCACGGACTCGAAAACTTAACTTCCGAAATTTGAAAAGGTGTACGGTTTGCAAATTCCGCAAACACCACGCAGTCCGCATGCGCAACACTCGACGACATTGTTGTTTTCGTTTTGTTCGACTCTGGTGACCAGTCTGGTGACCAGTCTGGTCCTTAGTCATTTTCAGTCCATTTTCTCGTGACTATTATCGTTTTTTTTTCAGAAAATGGCTCTTCCGGGAGAGCGATTCCACGTTCTTGCTCAACTGGAGCATCTCCAGTCAAAATACACTGGAACCGGCCATGCCGACATGAACAGACACGAATGGGTTGTCAATCAGGTATACTATTTTTAGATCTTACTCAATTATGATCGATTCTTCAGCACCGTGACACACGTGCTTTCCAAATGTCGCATCCAGGAATGAACACTTTCATCGCTGTGGTGGAGAACGAGAGTCGTGCACGCACTCGATTCAACCTCATCAACCGAATGATACAGCCGTGCGGACCACCGCCGGAGAAGAATCCTCTTGACGACGCCTGACCTTTACTAATGTGATGTTTATACGTTTTAAAATAAACTTGATCTCCATCTCGAATTATATTTACTATCTTCATTTTCTTATCTGAGATATCCAGTACATATCTAATACCTTACACATGATTTGTCCCCAGTGTAAATCGTATTCTGAAGGTAAAAAGTTGATGCTGAATCGGCTGATACTTGCACCAGGAGTTATCAGAATGTGAGTAAAATCTTGAGAAAAAATAGAATAGAAAATGATCCGAAAACAGGGCGTCGACGTTCAAAAATCGTTTGGGACAAGAGAAAAGTCCGTATCTTCTCCAACATGCGAACAATCCGATCGATTGGTATCCGTGGGGTCCAGAAGCGTTTCAAAAGGCAAAAGACGGAAACAAGCCGATCTTCCTGTCAGGTTTGAGAATTCCTAACAAGAAAGCGAATAGTGGGATAATCCAGTTGGCTACTCAACTTGCCACTGGTGCCATGTCATGGAAAAAGAATCATTCGAAAATGAAGGCACCGCGAAGATCTTGAACGATAACTTTGTGGCGATTAAGGTTGACAGAGAGGAAAGGCCAGACGTCGATAAGCTGTACATGGCATTCGTTGTGGTGGGAGCATTCAGAAGGATCACAGTAATGCAGATGTTCAGGCAGTCAGTGGACACGGTGGTTGGCCGATGTCTGTCTTTTTGACCCCCGATCTTCATCCGATCACGGGCGGCACATACTTCCCGCCGGATGACAGTCGAGGAATGCTCGGATTCCCAAGTATTCTCAACATGGTTCACTCGGAGGTTGGCTGGAATTCCTCACTGAAAATAAATATATGCTTTTTTCAGTGGCTGAAAGAAGGAGAGAGCCTCACCAAAAGGGGAGCTCACATTATAAAACTGCTGCAACCGGGGACCGCTTCTGGAGATGTGAATCATTCCGACGACGTCTTGAAGGCTATTTTCTCGCACAAAGAGTCCTCGTTCGACACTAGACAAGGAGGATTCGGAAGAGCTCCCAAGTTCCCAAAGCCTCCGATCTCGACTTTCTCATCGCATTTGCTGCGATCAATCGCAACAAGGACGCGGGAAAAGGATGCATTCGGATGCTCAAAAAGACGTTGGAATGCATGGCCGAAGGAGGCATTCATGATCACGTCGGAAACGGATTCCACCGATATTCGGTGGACGCCGAATGGCACGTTCCACACTTCGAGAAGATGCTGTACGATCAGAGTCAGTTGCTGGCCACTTACGCGGATTTCTACCGCTTGACAGGAGAGAAAAACGAAGTTATTGGCGAAGTTATCGAGGATATCTTCGAGTACATGCAGAAGATCAGCCACAAGGACGGAGGATTCTATGCGGCAGAAGACGCGGATTCTCTGCCACGTCACGATTCGGAAAAGAAGGCAGAAGGGGCATTCTGTGTGTGGGAGAAGGAGGAAATCAGGCAGCTGCTCGGCGATAAAAATATTGGAGAAGCCAGAATGTTCGATGTTTTCTGTGATTATTTCGACGTGGAAGATGGTGGAAATGTGGGAAGAGGGTCGGATCCGCACGGAGAATTGAAGGAGAAAAACGTGCTGAGAAAGCTGCTCTCGGATGAAGAATGCGCACTGAATCACGGAATCGCGAGGGAAGAACTAAAGAAAGGGATAGAAGAGGCGAAGAAGATTCTGTGGGAAGTGAGAAAGAAACGGCCGAGTCCGCACCTCGACTCGAAAATGGTGACTGCGTGGCAAGGACTGGCAATCACAGGACTCGTGAAGGCCTATCAGGCACTGGAAGACAAGAAGTTCCTGGAACGAGCTGAGAAGTGCGCGGAATTCGTCGGAAAGAACCTGGAGGAGAACGGAGAACTGAAGAGGGCCGTGTACTTGGCAGCCAATGGAGAGGTCGAGCAGGGAAATCAAAAAATGAAGGCGTTCTCCGACGACTACACATTCTTGATTCAAGGCCTTCTCGATCTTTATACAATCACTGGAAAGGACAAATATCTGGAGAGAGCTGTCGAATTGCAAAAGACTTGCGATGCAAAGTTCTGGAATGGAAACGGATATTTCATCAGTGAACAGAGCGACGAAGGGGTTTCCGTTCGAATGATTGAAGGTTGACAAATGACTTCATCAGCAGATCCTAACTTTTATTGGTTCAGATCAGGACGGAGCAGAGCCGACCGCCACGTCAATTGCCTCCAATAACTTGCTCAGATTGTGCGACATTCTGGAGAACGATGATTACCGAGAGAAAGCGAATCAGTGCTTCCGTGGAGCAGCTGAACGTCTCAATAGGCACTGCATCGTTTTCTTTTCTCCCTCCATACTCATTTTTCAGTGCGCCCATCGCCCTTCCCAAAATGGCAATATCTCTTCATCGTTGGCAGGTCGGATCGACCACTCTCGTGCTCGTCGGAGATCCCGAATCCGAGTTGCTCCGCGCCGTCCGTCACCGCCTTAACGACAGTCTGATTCCCAATGTGTCCGTCGTTCACATTCGCTCGGAAACCGACGCGGGCACCCTGGGACCATCTCATAAGGAGATGGGAAAGGCCCCCAGCCGGCAGTGTACATTTGCAAAGGATTCGTGTGTGATCGTCCGGTCAGAAGCTTCGAAGAACTGGAAAACAAATGGAAAGAACTGTAGAGTATCATTCCATGCCATAGATCATATTGTATCTAACTTTTGCCCCTAATAAATATTTCACCGAACATCAGTCTCACCACAATCGACCACCACGTGTACTGCTTTGCATGTAATATGCTGACCGTCTTATCACTGGAGACGGGGCTGACGCCACTGCCAAAAGTTTAACAAGCTAATTTATTAGCACTCCGACGATGGCAGCAGTATCGATTTGGTTTCATGCTCCGAGAAGGTAGCTTCTGATAACACTGAATTACGAATACCAGTACAAACAGATCAATGTCAAATGCGACCTGACCAGGAACCCCCCGGAGGTGTCCTATTGATCCCTAGCTTTTCACGAAACAATTTAGAAGAACCTCGTTGTCCTATCAGGCTGCAACTTTCAAAGTTGAAATTCATAAGGTCGAATCGGATAACTCCAACTGAGTTAAACGTCAAGGATTCAGAGAAATGTTTTGCCAGTTGTGAGCCTAGCCATAGAAAACATGTTAGTGAAAGATCAGAGCCTCTTAAACCATTTATGGGGAAGCTGGGGGCTCTGGAACTATTTTGGATGTACTGGCTGCCGGTGTTGCCGGAGCCTTCGGAGTGTGCATCCGCGTACACGTTTCCCTCCTCCGGCCGTTATCTTTATGGCCTTTCCCCGTTTTACCGACTGTCATGCGGACGTGGCTTCCTTGCCGGGGTTTTTTTGAAACCGCTCGTAGAGTTATTTCCGTACTTAATTGCTGCTTAAGTCCATTTCCAGCAACGCGTAAAATAGGGTTATGGCGCGGTTTCTTGTTGGTTGATAAAGGAAATAGGAGGTGTTCTTTCTCTCTCTCTCTCTCTGTGTCTCTCTCTCTCTCTCTTCCTCTCTCTGAATCGTTCGTCTTGATGTACTGAACGGTTGTAAATATTAGGAAGTATCGTATTCACTGTACCTTTTTTGTGTTTTAACCTCATTTGTTCAAATGATTCAGAGACCGTAATCTTTTTTGCTTTTGCGGTCTCGCCGTCATAACTGAGATTCCAATCCTATTACTCTGTTTCTCGCCTCCCCGTCCCTCTCTGCCTTTTATCAATTACTTGTTATCAGTCCCCTCTTGTATCAACACATCAAGAGCACACACTGCTCTCTCGTCCCTCTTTTTCTATTCTGAACTTAGATTTCCTATTTCCGGTTGTTTTTGCAGTTCTTAAATCATGTCTCTGCTCCGGAGGCCTTGGCTGCTCGCCGTCCTATTACTCGTGCTCGTCAGTTTTGCGGCAACTGCGTGCGAGGAAGAGGAAGAGGAATATCCATCCAGATACCCGATCGCCTACTTTGAATGGGAAAATGTGAAGATCCCTATGACGATCTGTCTCTGGCTGATCGGAGCCTCCATTGCCAAGATCAGTCAGTTCCCGTGCCCCTTCTTTCCGTCACCCTACACTCTTTTTCAGTCTTCAACCTGATCCCTCATCTCAACGAACTCTTCCCTGACTCCGCTCTTCTCATTATGATCGGTCTTATCATCGGAATCATCTTCAAACTGATCGGAGTCAACAAGAATGCGTTCTTCCTCGAAAGCGAGGTGTTCATGCTCTACCTGCTCCCTCCGCTCGTCTTCGATGCCGGCTACTTCATGCCCGCCCGTCACTTCTTCGACAACTTCGGATCCATTATCTGCTTCGCCATGCTCGGAACCACTTTCAACATCGTTGCCATCGGTACCTCTTGCCCTTTCCTCCTTTCATTTGTATTCTATTCCAGCGCTTTCCCTTTGGGCCATCGGACTCACTGGACTCTTTTCCGTCGAGACTCCGCTCATACACATGCTTTTGTTTGGTTCCGTCGCCGCAGACGTCGACCCAGTGGCCGTGATTGTCATTTTCGAGGAGCTCAAGGTGAGCATCGTTAAATTTTAATGGCTCCGATAACGTCACAGCTTGGGAAGAAGAACGGAAATCAAAGTTTGCAGGTCAACGAAGTGCTTTTCATTGCCGTGTTCGGAGAATCGCTTCTGAACGACGGAGTCGCCGTCGTGCTCTACCGAATGTTCCTGACGTTCTCGGAGATTGGAACGGAGAATCTCATCACTTCCGACTACATCAACGGAGGAATCTCGTTCTTCGTCGTCGCTTTCGGTGGAATCGGAATCGGACTTTTGTTCGCTTTCCTCGCCAGTCTGCTCACAAAATACTCGCGAGGAGATGAGATCAAAGTGCTCAACTCCGTCTTTATTCTCATTCTCCCGTACACGTGCTACCTCTGCGGTGAACTTTTCGGTCTCTCCAGTATCATGGCGTCAGTTACCTTTTCCTTCTCTCCTCGAATTTCCCTTCTCCATTTCAGAATCGTGTTCTGTGGCGCCGCAATGCGTCAGTATTGCCGTGAAAACGTCGACGAGGGAACAGTCAAATCGACGGAATCCTTCATCAAAGTGCTTTCTCTTGCCTCCGAAACCGTCATCTTCGTGTTCCTCGGCCTCTCCACAGTCTCTTCCGACCATCATTGGGACACTTCCTTCATCGTCCTCACCGTCGTTTTCTGCCTCATCTACCGTACTCTTGGAGTCGTCGTCATGTGCTATTCCTCAACAAATACCGTCTCAACAAGTACACAAAGGTCTGTCCGTGTGTTTTCTTGTGTCCAGAAGGAACGTCCCTTTGCAGGTCGATCAGTTCATCATGGCCTACGGAGGTCTGCGTGGAGCCATCGCTTACGGATTAGTCGTCGCCATTCCTGACTTCATTCCAGCCAAAAACATGTTCGTCACCAGCTGCATCATCGTCATCTATTTCACTGTTTTCCTTCAAGTACCCCCCGCGCATAGCCGTTACCGACAATTAGCCACGATTTCAGGGAATCACGCTGAAACCAATCGCGGAGTTCCTTCAAGTCGAGAAGAAAAACACGCACTCGAAGAACATGATCGAACACATTTACAGTCAAGTTTGTCCCATCTCTTCCCCCTTTCATATCACACCATTTCCACTTTCAGCTTATCGATACCACAATGGCTGGAATGGAAGACATCGCCGGATTCAAGGGGCATCACTGGATTCGTGACACGTGGATGAGTGTGAACAATAACTATTTGAGACCGATTCTTGTGAACAAGAACACTTTGAAAGAAATGGATAAGACGAAGTTGGTCAGGAAGTACAAGGTGGGTGGTAAATAGCTATAGGAAGACGGAACAAGTTCAAGTTCAGCATTTGGTCGATGAAGACGCAAAGAAGATCGCTCGTGGAGACCTGAACAGCAACCTTGTGTTCACGAGAGCACTGATTGAGCACACGAGAAGCCGGACCAATACTGTCGTGTCAGTTTCTCCCTTCTTTTCTTTTCCAATCTGGACTTTCAGTGATGGAACGACTCCGAACGGGAAAATTGATTTCGGGAAGCACATGAGAGAGCATCACGGAATAACAGTTTACGATGAGCACGAGAACCATCCCGCCACGCCTGCTCCACTTTTCCAGGAGACGTCTGAAGTGGAATACTCGATGAGCTACCACGAAAACGATGGATTCGAGTCAGATTCCGACATTCTTGACTCGAGAGTTTAGGTTTTGCACCTTTTTTGTAATTTTCCCGATTTTTTCTTCGTTAACTGGTCTCAAATAGGTAGACTACGCTTGCAATACATTGTACATTCGTCGAATGAATTTCTTCTTTCTTACCGTATCCTGTTTATCGTGGCGAGACCTGAAAACACATCATGCGCCTTTAAAGTTTACTGTAACCGGCCATCGTGAATCTGTCCATTGCTTTATTAATTCTTTTTGCTTCGAAGGTCCAAACAATGGCGGCTCCACGTAAATTTTCCCACATTACTATTTCAACTACACCATTCAAAGTAAGTTTTTTTTGTTAATTTAGAAAATCGTGCAGATATCTTTGTTCAGCAGAGAATTGACAAAGATCTGAAGAAATCCGATTTGGACATTGAAAAAGATGCAAATATTGCCTTCAAGTGCGCGGATCGTTTTAACTACAATACCAACTTTCACAGAAAAGTACGTTAATTGTCTTACATTTTGTGTAATATAATCTGGTGCAGGTTTCTCTGAGCGATCGCTTCGAACTGGTGGCGCTCGGTTTCGAGATGAAAGCGCAGTCAAACACGTTGATGCACGTTCCGGAAGCATCAGAATCGGATAATTATATTTACAGGTCAGTTGAACTGGCCGGCCACAGTTCCGTTTGGAACTCTGATCGCGACCACAGTTCCGTTTGGATCAGCTCTCGTCTTATTGATGTTTTTTTTTATAGGAAAGAGAAAAAACTGGATCCTCTCGCCTCCCCAATTTACTCTGGAAGCCAGAATCCGGTATTAATCAATTATCGGGATTGCAAGCATAAATGTATTCAGCTTCCGGCGGGTCGTGGATTCCTTTCTCCTCCAGCTCACTCCGCTCTCTCAGACACGTCCGTTTCCGCTTTCGACTTCAAGAGCACTCCGCAGAAGTCTCCGGCAACCAGCATCCGCCTGCCGATCCGATCGGTCTTCGACGAAATCCCATCGAACTTTGTTTGAGTTTTACATTTCTATTGCCTATTAGCTCATGCTAATTACTCTTAATTTGTTTTTCTAATTCATTCAGTTGTGCGTTATGCCAAAGTGCGACTCTGAAACCAAAAATTCATTCGGAGTACTGGGCTTTTTTTGAAGGGTTAACATTAACATATTCCAAAAACAAAAGGATAGCTTCATTTATAGAAATAAATTCCAATACACTTCAATATCTGGCAGTTCTGCTTGAGTGCCCCATCGCGTGCGATTGAGGAGCAGCTTCGGACTGGGTATCCCCGACATCCATGTCTGATTCGTCAGCGGTCGGGTTCTGTGGCCGTACTTTCGGGCTCTGCTGCTCTGAAAAATAAACTTCGAAAAATGTCTTCTACTTTGACTCACCACAAAATCCACAATTCCAGCAGTAGCCATGCCGTCATCATTAAAAACCGGCTCGTAAGCGACAGTTGTGAACATTCCTCCTATCGGTTTTTCGTTCGTCTCCGCCTGATCTTCGCTCACTGCTTTCGTTTCTTTCACCTCCGGAGCCTTATTCATGTACTCCATGGCCTGTTGTTTTCTCTGCTCCACAGCTTTCTGTTGGTTCTCGACCTTCCATTTCTGCCTCTTCTCCTCCTCTTCCTTCTTCTTTTGCTGCTCTCTTCCCTTCCTCATTTCCTCCTCGTGGGCTCTTTCCATATTCAGATTCATCTCCTTTTGTTCTCCGATTGTTTCTAGTGCCTCTTTCCGCAGTTTCTTCCTCTTATTTACAAATTCTTCCCATTGCTTCTTGTGCTCCTTTGCCACGTAGTCGTACGCTTTGCTCATCAATCTCTGCAGTTCCTCTATGTCCGTCACATTCTTTCTCTGTCCTGGAACTCTATCCTCGATGTGTCTCATGATCGCATCCCGAGTCTCTTTTTCCGTCAACACCGCATCCTCTGCCACCTTCCTCACAATCTCGTTGAGGGTGGCCATGTAAGCGGCCTCCTGATCGTCCAACTGCTGCCGATCCAATGGTTTCAATCGCAGTGGCTCCGCCCATTCCGGCTCTTCATTCTCTTTGCTATCCACAACTCCGGCCATCATCATCTTCTTCCACATCATTCCATCCGTATTCTTCTTCTCTTTGGCACCCGCTTGTTTCCGTCTCAGCCAGCTCTGTCCTGAGTACTCACTGTCCGAGTCGGCCCGCTGAATGCTCTTTCCGAACGCCTTCACTTTATCCTTCCACGTCACTCCTCGTCGGCTCTCTCTGTACTCTCTCCGTTCTGCGGCGATCTTCTCTCCTTCGATGTCTCTGCCGTCCAACCTGTTCTTCATCAAAGTCTTCCTCTTCCACGTCAGCACGTCCAGCTCTTCTTCCGATGAATCTTCGTCCAGATATGCTTGCGAATCGGTTCTCAAATGCTCGTCCAACTCGGTCCATTTCCTCCATCGAGTTATATTCAGACTTCGTGCATAGTTGGAGAATACACTGTACATCATGTAGCAGACGGTGAATGCCATCGCGTACGAAATGCCCAGATCGGACATTCTGTGCACGTCTCCTTCTCGATCTTCAAATGCGTCCAACATTGCGTTTCGTTCTGAAATCATTCTCATAGGGTGTGCCCAGAATGGGTACAAACTCACGATAGGCACAATCCGTCAGTATGACCTTCCTTTTGAGCCCATCGACGAACAGACGCATTCTCTGAAGCTCCCAGCACATCCGAGGAGTCTTCATCAATCGAATCTGTCCGTGCACCGAAAGCAACCCAAGTGTCATTTTTCGCAGGAACGGGTTGTTCTGGAACGTAAGGTTTCCGTCAATGATCTTCACGAATTGCAATAGACGACAGTGCGCAGTGTTGAGATTGCGAATCTCGACGTTCCCTCTTATTCTCCGGATGTTTCTGAGTGCTGTCGTCAATCGGGGCACGTCGTCGACGGATCCATCGACCACGAGATCTCCGTGTATCTCCGTGCATTTCTCCAATCCGTGAGCGCACTCAGCCTCCTTCCGCCTCCTAATCCAGAAGAAGCCGTGCATTCTGAAAACGAATTCTACTAAATATAGACACGACAATATTATCTCACTCTTTCCCTGGTTCTGAATGTCTATTGAGCTGAAGCCGAGAGTTTTCTCCTGAATTTGTATTCTCTGATTCCAAGTTCGTTCAACTACCTACCATCCACGGACAAGATAAGAACAATGGCAATTGAGCGGAATCCCCGACGACGTCGACAAACTTCTCGCACTCCTTTGCCGTCTTCAGTTTCGGTAACTCAACAGACTCCAATTTCAGATTTTCTCCGTCAACGCGAACTGCCGAATATTGTCGTTTCTCTTTCAGCATCGCATCCTCTTTCCTGCATTCAATCTCTTCCAAATTTGACAAGAAACTCAGATTCTTGACGGTCTTCGTGTCGTGTATCCACAGTTGTCCTTGTTCGATTCTGCGAATGTTTCTGTATCGTAGAAGCTGTTCATCCGACGGTGATCCGGTTATTTCGATTGTGCCACGATGATTGACGCATTGGCTCCAGATGAGTTCGGAAGACGTCGAAGGCTCACACTCACAGTCTCGGGAACTGGCGACTGCGAGCGGGCCGAGCAGACTGCGAAGGTAGCGGAGAGAGCCTCGGTTCTGGCAGTCGGCGCCGGTGTTCTGGTAGTAGAAGTAGATGGGGAGCTGGAAAATATGGAAGGAAGGATGAGGAAGTCAGAATGTACTTACTGTGAACCTTAAGTTCGGGGCAGATTTGTAATCTCTGTTTGCGCTGTCAAGTGATGGAAATGGTACAAAAGCGGTGATGCATCCGGTGATTGTGACTTCCGGAACAGTCGGAACGTCGCCTCTTCCGATTTCAGTGACTTCATGATACCTCAATTCCTTGAACCACGCACTCAACTTCTTCAGGTGATCTTCCGTTGTAAAATCTCGGATTCTGGCATATTCGATGACGTCTCCGGGATTGAACTTTATGTCTTCTCTGTCAATGACATAGTCGAATGGTTGTCGTCCGTTCAGAATTATCACTTTTCTCTTGCTCGGACAGTTGTCGATGATTTGAAGAGCAACGATTCCGAACTTTTCCCAGAGCTCGATTTTATTCTCGAAAGACAAACACCGATCAGTGGACGAATCGATGACGAAAGGGCAGATCGTTTGAAGTTTCGAGAGTCGTAATTAAGTTGAGTGAGTTCTTTGAACAGGAGAACGCTCATCGGATCAACCTTCTGGAATCTGAGACATCCATCGTTGTAATCTGAACTTTTTAGGTTGGAATAGAAGGTGAGCTCCCAACTGACCGAAGTTATTCAGTCCCACTGTTCGGATCCAGTCAAGACGGAGCGGCTTCACCAGCCACGCATCCACTATATCCATGTTCTTCGAGAATCCTTTGACTTGCATGTACGCCACGGGGACGCCTCCCTTGTGCTTCAGATCTTCTCTCTGGGCCAGATTGTACTCTTCAAAGTTCACATTCGAGGCATCGAAATTCCAATATCTCCAATTGCACGCGTGGTCGACGCGAACCGCGAATGATCCGAAGACGTCGACGAGTCGCTCGTACTTCCGACACTGATCCTCTTCCCATTTTTCAGTAATTTCCACGCGGATCACATTTCTGACCAATCCGACTGGAACTTCGAACTCTTCAAATGGAAACCAGCCATCATAGCAGTCCTTCAGGACCAATTCATTTCTTTCTGTAAATGGAAAGAAAATCAAAACATCTGTCTCTGAAGTGGGACCTTTGTATCGGAAGAATCTTCTCCGCAAGTCCAACCTTGCTCCTCTAATCATTCTGGCAGTCAGCACGTCTTCCGCGGAGGCGTTGAAGTTCCGGAATTCCAGCGATTCGAATGTGGACCCACTGAAACTGCAGTTTGTTTCCATTCTTTTCTTGTGGATTCCTCACCTGTATTTCGCAAACTCAACCATGGATTCCTCGTCTTTCCGATCCACAACGAACTCGCGATCTCTTTGATTCTCGTCGAACTTCCTCATCACTTTCATCGCCTTCACTTTCCTTTTATTCAAATGTTTCAACAATTCCGTCTTGATTCCTCGCTTTTCTCGAACATTTTCAGCTAAACAGTCGGATTCTAAAGTATCATCCCCGTAAAACTCACTTTTGCGTCCAGTCAATCTGTCGTCGGAATCGGAAGAGTTATGAGAAAGAAAGGAGAAAGCCAGGAGACATCCGAGAGTCAAGAATATTATCCATTTCATTTCAATCGCGTAATTTTTGAGTAATTATCACAACGCCAGCTTCGAAGTGATTTGAATTATGTTCCGTGGCTATCATTTGTCTAATTGGCTGGTTCACGTCAAAAATTCAAAGTTTAATAGTAAAATGGTTTATTCTTCGGGGGACTTGAAAGAATAACAACGCATCCGTACAGGGCTTAACAAATTGTGCAGATAAAAGAATGACAGGGAGTGTATTACGCATATTCTTACTAATTTTGTGTACTGGAAATCTCGAGAATGATAAGGTTAGGCAGATAACACATCATGAATACCCGTCGAGAGAAGTAATAAAAGTGAAGGAATACACTATAGAATGTGAGGAAACAGAGAGGATACAGGAAGAGGAGAGTAAGGCACGATAAGGAGCGCGTAAAGGCAGAGAATGGGAACAAGGTTAAGTGGGAGTTCAGGGAAACCGGACCTGCGGGTAGATAAGGGAAGGCACTCCAGTTGACACGCCGGAATGTATCACAGAAAGGGAGGAATGCGGGTGGGTGACGGGGGCAAGGGGTACTTTTGGAGGAATGGTAGAGGGAACGACGGGGCAAGGCACTGCTTTCATCATAAACACCGCCGCAATGACATCTGAAGGGCAAGGGCATAGGTCGTGCGAGAGTATCTCGATAACACTAAACGTCGGAATGCTTCTAGTTCTCTATGGCAATAAGTGATTGGCCAAGGGTCTCGGCGATCTGAGCTGCCAGCTCTGGCTCCTGCTTGACAAGTGTGGCCGACTCGAGTTCCAGCTTCTTCTCTGGCGTCTCTTCCGGCTGCCATCCACGTTCCTTAGCACGCACATAGTCTGGGAAGCACTCGTGGAGACGGAGATTCCATTCGGCACGCATCTCGTCGGTACTGAAAAGAACAAACTTAAAGAGATTCTGGCAAAGAGGATGGTTGTAGTTGAGGCGTGGGGAAGGAAAGGGAGAAGCTTTGGAATGGGGAGAAGGAAAAGAGGGAGGTATCACACACTCCATGCATAAAACACTAGAATCTCGAAACAACAGCTTCACACTATTCAATTATATTCTTTTTCCGTCGATAAACTTACGTGATGTCGTGGGCGTCGTCGGCGCGATGACGGCATTGTCTGGCGTGAGAGATGACGTTCGATTTTATGCCGGTGAAGTCGCAATCCCAGCACTGAAAAGAAACACCGCTACAAACTGCACACACACGACACTCAGGGTTAGAAACACACAACAGGTAAGGAAGGGAAACGAAAGCACTTCAAATGACACTTCACAAGCATGCATGACCGGAACGGACGTCCCCCACTTACCTTGTATGGTTTGCAGTCCGAGTGGATCATGATGACGTGGCGAAGAAGGTTCCAGCGGGATCCCGTCGAGTTGAGAGTCGTCGGTTTTCCGCAAAGGGCACACTTGTAGGTTGCCTTGCAGTGAACTCTTCCGCAGTTCTTTCCACGCGACGAGCGGCTTTCTTCAAGCTCATCGACTGGCAGCCAGCGGTGCTTCTTCGATGGAAGTCCGGACTCTCCACCATTGCGTCGTTTGTTGGAGGTCGACGTGGGGGTTGTCACAGTTGCGAACAGGTTCTCGGCATCGAGGAGTCCGAATGCAGATCCGAACGCAGGATTCAGAAGGTGTATCATAGAAGCGCGCACTTGGTCGTCGCTGGATACGAAGTCAGAGGTGTCGGTTTCCGTCTTCAGATCCTCTGAACTGGCCTTTGAGATCGTCTCGCTGTGATGGTTGTCTTCGTACTCGGGAGTAAGCCTTTCGAATCCGAGCGAGGAAACGTGAGCTGCCTGCTGAAGTAGAATCCTCTGAATCTCTGCCTGTTGACGTTCCTGCTCCTTCTTCTGGATGTTCATCTTCTGGTGCTCCTCGAGAATTTTGTGCAATTGTGTCAGGGAGTGTGGGTTTGATAACTGATGCTGCAGATTCAGAAGTGGATGTGGCTGCTGATGGTGATGATTTCTCTCGACGGGCGTGGGGGAGGTCTTCTTAGAAGACAATGCTTTTGCGATTGAGTCTATTGATGCTCTCGGCTTGTTCGGATGTGGAGGAACCGGAGTGCAGTTCGATGTGGGCGTTGAAATGGCGGTCCTCGGGGGAGTGTGTTGTGCTGCTGAGGAGATGGTCGTGCTTGGAGATTCCGGACTCGAGGGACCGTCTTTGTATTTAAAGGACGGATGGTCCATCAGATCTGTGACGACTGCAAATTTATCGAATCCATGAGTCACCTGGAAAAGAATGAATTAGAATCATGAAGAGATGAAGAGGTGGCTTACCAAATATTCGACAAGTGTCATTGTTGATGGCGTGTTGCTCACCTCGACTACAACAAATTTGGAGAGCATCTGAAAGTGAACGAATGAGCATTAGATTAAGGAAAAAGGAAAAGACGAGACAAATATAACAGAAAAGAGCAAGTATTCAAGAGTTGAAGCAACTCATTGTAAGGAAAACTAATGTAGACGGAAAAATGTTTATAATCATATTGTTCATTCAAAATATATGGGTATAATAGTAAGAATTGAAATACGGGATCATTGCACAAGGCAGTGGATGAGTGAAGTATGGGGAGATGACAAGATGAAGGAAGTATAAGACAGTTTATGACTTAGGATTACATGCGTTTGGGGAATGGAAAAAAGTGATTAGAGTGTAGTCATCACGTCTTCTTCTGGAGAGAAGTTATGTTCATGAGCATAGTCCTCCTCACCCGCTGCAAAGACTACACTGGCGCTCAACGGACTTGGACATCGGCTCTCTCGCTCACCCTCTCAACTCGTCGTCATCGAACAGTAACCCACCGGTGTGCTGAGCGTCCTCTTTGTGGTGCTTCCACTTTCGATATGTTACTCCAAAGCACTGATCCAGCAACTGACTCCATTCAGCTTCTAGCTCCGGCGATCTACAAAATGCGACTGTTGAACTGTTTCGATGCGAGAGAAACTTACTTAGGTCAATGATTGTCGCATTGGTTTCGTGTTTGTGCTGTGATTCAATGTGCTTCCGTACGTACGGTTTGATGTGCGAGTATCCACAGATCGAGCACTGATTGGGCTTCGACGACTGGTGCATGATCCACACGTGACGCATCAGATTCCACGTCCGTTGAGGAGAGTACATCACATCGTGTCCACACACCTTGCACGTCGCTTTGATGGAGTCTTCCGCTTTTCGTGTAGGTGTTTTCCGACGAAGAACGTCTCCGCCAGTGGGACTTCCGTTGCAACTGAACATCTCCAGACTCGAGAGCCCTGCCTGTCCGTGGGCCACAGAATTGACTGTGGCATCGAATTGACTGGACGAATTGGCCGATTCATCTTTGTATTGTTGGTCACTTTTGATGTAGATGAAGGAGCTCTAAAGACTATATCGATAGATTGCGAACTTAAATTCTGAGTAACTCACATTAGTGTAGGTGGATGTCGATGGTATCTGGTGTTGCTGGATGAGATGTTGTCCCTGTCCCGGAGCCATTTGTATTCGTTCCATGCTCAAAGTCTGCGGCCCGGGATTGCTGATCATCTTCATTAGCCGCTGTCGCTCTTCATCGTTGAGCTGCAGGAGCATGCTATCATTCCCTGTCGATTGTGCATCGTCTTGCACAACGTCTTGCTCATCTCGAAGATATGGATGGTCTTCAAGACGACTGAGCAGCGAAACACGTTCGAAGTTCTTCTTGACCTAGAATATTTCAACATTTCAATAGAAGATTTTAAAGGAGCAGAAGGAAGCGAAGGGTGCGTCGCCCGAGGCGAGTGAGGGAATGGCCGGTTTGTGCGTGAGCGAGCGCGGAAAGGGGAGGAGCGCGCGCGCGAAGGCGGAGCGTCGGCGTGCCTCAGAGCCAACGACGATCAAGGTGAGTGAGAGATTGGAGACAGAACGGAGAAGCAGAGCGGACGAAGGATTTCGTGGCGCGTGGCTCAGTGACGAAAACATTGAGGTCATATGTTAGGGTGCTTGACGAAAGAGAAGAGAGAAGACAGATGGCGTACAGTAAGCGATCAATGCTCAAAAAGCAGACTAATTAGAAATTATTCATCTGTGGTAGCGAGAATATAACTAAACAGCTTTCGAAAAGAGCATCGGAGCACAAGAATTGAGCATGAGCAGAAGGAGCAATGAAGAAATGAGGCCGGTATCCCGTGCGTCATCAATAGTCATGCGACCGGGGAGGCTCAAGGCCACAAGACAAAAGAGCGAATAAAACAGGTAATGGTTGGCAGTCACAGAAGGAAGAGACGTACCCACAGGCATTGCCAACTCAGCGAGCCCGTCGGAGATCCAAATCTCCGACTGGGTCATGACCGTAATCGTTCTGCGACTCCAACGAGTACGGGGAGGGGGCAAGGGAACACGCCCGAAAGAGTGAAGTTGTGGGAGAGGAGCGACTGGGCGTGGCGTCCCGGGTGAGATACAAACTCCACCTACAGTAGCATTGGAGGCGGAGCCGGCTCAATTCATGAATAGAATCTGAACGGGAATCATTTTTTAGAGGTGAAACATGCGGACGAAACGGAAGAATTGTAATAGTGGATGTGAAAAGGAAGGAATTGGGAGCTCGTCAAGGTCTCTGGGAATGTGTCATAAACTGCGCACATATCAATTATCAGGGCTGTCGCCGCTCCGGTGACCTAGAAACGGACGACGAGACGGCGGCGATTGACGGGAGAGGATGAGAGTATCGCAATTTGCATTTCATGAACGCTCAGTAGAACATGAAGTTCGAAGACGGACAAGATAAATGAACTCTCCGAGAGACGTTCATATCACCGACATTGGAAAAGTGATCGATTGGTGTCTAGGTTTTCTGATTGTCAAAGCCAAACCCCCGATGAAAACCAGCACGAGAGAGTCATAGAAGTCATTTCCCCTTTTCGTCTCTTGAGACACTAAGGACTGTGGTTATCATTCGATAAATTACCCAATCACGGTTCTCTGCGCACTACTCGCCGAGCACTCTCTTTCTACAGTACCCCGCTGTCTCCTGGGGGCGCTGCTACTGTTTACATCGCCGCCGCACGCCTATGAAGTGAGAGAAAGATCACGGGGAAGCAAGAGACGGCGCACGTCGAGGAATGAGAAACGTCTTCTTCGTCTTCCGACGGAGACTGTGTTTCCTCCTTCTCCGCGTCCATCTACAGAAAACTCGTTTTTGGCTCTTCTTCTGTACGTCCGCATAGTCGTTGCGAGGGCACCGAAATAGTGTGCGAGACGACGCCGAGAGAAGACGTCGGGCGGTTCTCCTCCTTCAGGAGCCTGTCACCAACACAACGAGTTTTAGAGAGGGAGAAACGAATCGCTCGCCAACTGAGCGGCAGCCGTCACGGCGAAGAAGAGTACTTTTCAGAGTGGGGAATGCAGTAGTTAATGATGAGTCAGACAGAAATTAAACGAAGAGCTGACCCATTCGACAAATGAAAGACTGCAAATACTACTGTACGAGTCAAGGCCAATCTCCGATTTGAGTGAAAAGATGGATGGAGAAGATAGGGAGCGGGGTGCTCCCGGAGGCATCTAGATAACCTGCATTACATAGTCATTTGCATTATGGATCGCACTCTAACTTCTCTCATTATTGTACTCGCAGAGGGATCCCGCAGGACTAAAACTCTTGTGGAACCGATACAGTCTCAAGTAGCAGGAAGAAGAAGGCGTCGGCAGTGGCTACGAGAAGAAGACGAGCACGCACTTGTGATGGCGTTGGTGTCGGCGACGAGTGCCAACCGGTTCTTGCTTCACTTCGTGATAAGCAAAAAGCAAATGGCGTCGTTGCTGCTGTCGGCGTCGGCCCGAAATTGTTATGGCAAGCAATTTGGGCCGCCGTACTTCTTCTGTATCCCTTGTTCGGAGAGCGCGCTCACACACTCTGAAGAAGTCGCGCATTCAAATTGGCGACATCGTCGTCGTCACCGAAGTAGGAGAAAAATGAGAAAGAGGCGAACTGTGAGCGGTGGAGTGTAATAGGGACACGACGGAGCGATGGCCCCCGAGAGAAGGGCGCCCGGGGTGACTGGCAAGCCGGTTTGCGGATGAGAGTGCTTCTGCTGTGTGCGCCGAATTGAATGGAAGATGGAAAAGAAGAAGAAGAAGCAGCAGACGAGGACGACGATCATCTGATGCGCCCGTCCGCACACAAGCCATGTTGCAACGATGGATGTGTGAAGCTAACAAAAACAAGGAAGGAACGAGTCTTCGCGCAGTGAACACAACGACGCTTTCAAGGAAATAAATGCTCACCGTATGGTAGGGATCGATTGGATTGTGGTGCAACGACCGACCGGCTGGGACTCGTCAGTGCTCAGATGTCTATCGACGTCATCCGCTGAATATCACCTTCGCTGGCAAGATTGATCTACCACCCTGGTATTAACGCAATGAGCATTAGCATAAATTGTCGCATAAAGAGCAAGGCTCTCGTACTTGTCGTGGGATTAGTCCGTTCTGTTCTTATTCTTCCCCAGCGAATGAGATTTTTGTTTGAGTTCTTTGATTCACATTCCCATTACCGCGCACTAATCTAGGCCACCTTCGCACATTTCCAATGCGCACGATCCATCGTCTTCATTGTCATTCAAACTCTTTGCTCATCTTCTCAACCCGTCCGATCGTTCTATCGGTGCCTACGGCCATCTCCGAATCGTCCTTGAAACGGAAGGCCGCTCATGCGCAACAACAACTCGCGACAAAACTGCGCACACCCATTTTCGGCTCAGTCGGCCTTCACACTTTGCGTGATTATTCATTGTACCATTCCGAAGGACAGTCGGCTGGTAAAACAAGCTCCGTCGGGGACCGTGCACCTGGCGACAGAAGATCCAACCATTGTGACTACGTTCCTGATTGCCACCGCCGACGAGCCAGTGGCGAAGGAAGTTGGAGAAGAAGGTGGAAGAGGTGCGAAGCGATCGGTAGACGGTCGTCAACGGGGAGCGGGCTCAAGGACATTGTTTAGTAATTGACGACCGAAAGAGGGGATGCGCTCTTTGCTCATGGGCACGTTTTGTGGATCCCGACGATCGCACTCTCGGGGATTTCCGTAATTGTCGCATTGTAAAATGAGCACTTCGGAGGGCCGCGCATGGTAATTGAAGAGGTGAGGTGCGGCGGAGGTTACTCGAGCACTGTATGTATGTATCAAAACAACCCGCCCGAACTAAAATTGATGGGTAGAAGAGTGTCGGCACGGTGGCGTCAGTGCGCGAGCGGGAGGGGACCGACGGCTACAATTGGTAGGCCGACAGAGACGCTCAGAAGAGACACACGCGACAGGCGGCTGTATTATGATGACAAATTGGAGTCGATCGTCGCTCAGAGACAGTGACGGATGAATGTTGAGGGATTCCGACACAGGAGGCTGGCTCCCTCTTTTGTCTAAACCGGAAATCGGCTCTTTGATATTCAATGTTCGATGGACTAGAGACCCTTAAGGGACTGAGCCAAGTTTTAGTAAGACACCGAAGAGCGCTTACTGATTAAGTGCGTCTCACCATCACTGTCTAGGTGTCTCACGTGCTATAATTATTACACTAAACGGCCAAAGTGATGAAAACACCGTTGTTCACACTTTCACTCCAGTTCACCTAAGTTTGAGATGTTCATTACAGTTCACGTGGTAGTCGTCTAATGTTTTTCCCCATGCTTTCTGCTCCCATCTGTGCACACGTTCCAACGCCGTAACTCCGACATGCGTCGGTGAATCCGGTCAATAATTGGTCCGTAGGTTGGCCTAGAACCGGCCTTGCACATCATCACTCCACCGTAATTCTATCGGAATGCGTGCGCATCGTTTGTGTGCAGTCGGGTTGTTATTACGAGCGACATGCCAGGAGAAGGAGGGAGAGAGAGAGAGAAAGAGAGAGAGAGAGAGACCCGTCTTCTTCTCCTTCTTCTGCTATCGCACACAGCACCAATCAGCGAGACGCAGACAGGAGCCAGTCCCTCTTCCCGCGTCCCGGGGAATCGCTTGAGAATCGGCGAAGAGGAAGAAGATGTGTGAGAGAAGGGGCGAGGATGCGTCTGTGTGTGTGCGCGCCAGCGCAAGACGAAGAAGTGGTGGAAGACAAAACTGGCTCATCTTCTTTTATTTTTCGACGGCTACTGTCCACTGCGCGCACGGGCGCCCTTCTGGAGAAATAGCGCGGCGAAGTGCGAGAGCGTAATCGAAGAGATACGGTGCAGCCGGCCAAGTTATCGTCGGAAGCAGCAGCAGCACAACGAGTTTCGGAATTCGAGTCGTCGTCGTCGTCACCGCGAGAGATCGAGAGATGCCGGGAGACGAACGTACGACCAGACAGTTTCGGTCTCTCGCGCAAACGTCGCCGCCGGTCATGAGTTTTATCGCCCCGACGCACCCGAATCGCGCATTTCGACGACGTTGCTCCCATTTCCAACTTGAGAGACAGGAGGAGGAACGAAAGCCCGCGCGACCGACCGGATTACGCTTACGATGTCGCTCACAACTGTCAAAATCGCTGATCTAGGGGACCGGGGATCGTATCGCCGAGCATCTGTGAATGTGCAGACAAGAAAAGGGATAGCAAGGACAGACTTTAGACGAAAGAAATATTCAAACAATACATAAGAAAGACGTCCTTGGAACGAGCAGATTTTAAAGACATTTGCACGACAGAGGTGCACCGTAGAATGGCCTTGTAAGCGCGTATTCGTACGAACAAACGTCCTAGAAAGGGATACGGCGGAATTTCTTTTTTCTTTGTGCAAATGTCGCGTGCTCTCATTTATATTTACGAGACATTTGCGACATTTTAGAGGGCGAATGAATTCGGTTAGAAGAGTGAGAGAGTTTGAAAAATGTGATGCGACAGTGTTGTCTAGGTCTATGGGATTCCCATGCACACTGAGCGAAAGGACAGGCTCATCTCTAATTCGAGGGGATTTGTGCACACGAAAGAAGGGATGAAAGAGGAGTGAACAAGATCGGAGAAACAAAAGGGACTGTTTGGCGAAGTGAATGACTACTGATTGTGAGTCATCGTAAATCTACAGGTAGTGATTGGGTGATGTTCCTACGAGTGTTTATCTCATCAAACCGACTTTGGTTCCTTTGTCTAGTCTTTTTGATTTATCAGACACTCGAAAGCTCTTCCGCACTATATCTACAGTAACCCGTCCGATTATGTTTCGCTGCCTCGCTGACTGACTGATTCAATCACTGTTTGATGCACGCTGTTTAACGACGCCTCTGACATTGGCTCTGACAATAAAACGAATGATGGCCTCGATGCCTGTCCGTCCTGGTTGTAACTCAGAGAAAACCAGTTTGAGTGGTGCCCTTCTCTCGCTCGGCGCGCCCGCTCATCTTTTCGTTGTCGTCGTCAACCCTCGATTTGTCGATTCTATTGTGTGCAATAATGGCCGGGCGTTGTGTGAATCACGCTGGTAGAACGAATCCGATTTAGGCATGCGTGCGCGAACCGACTGAATTGGCTCCAATCGACCCCGATTTATAGACCGGAGAGGCCGCGTCACACCTCCGTCAACTTCTTCCTCCGTCAGTAGCCAGAAAATTTGGGTCATCGCGAGCCGAAAGTACGGGTGTCCGTCTTTGCTGCCGGGCGGCCTCGACGGGTGACTGCGCGGAGATATGCATTTGCCTTCCACTAGGCCGAAATGGAAGAAGAGAAAGTCGACGGATCGAAATAATATGCGCTACGGAGATCGGAGGAGAAGACGACTAATGCGCACTGTGCGCGAACGTTCACATAATGCCGTAAACTCATCGCACGAAAGAAGCGAATGCCGGTCTGGATACGAATTTGAAGAGAGAAGATTCGGAAGAGAGGGACTGAACATAGGAAACTTGAAAGATAAACTCAATTTCTCGCTATTCCCACTCGGTGTTTGCAGACTCGAGCCAAAATTTCCGGAAATTAGAAAAAAATTAAATTAGAATCTGCAAGCACCGAGGGGGCAAGAGCGGTAAATTGAGTATATCCTAGAGATACATCTGCTGACCTGCTCTATTTCAGATTTATTTTAAAGGAGAAGTCAAAACGAGAACCTGTGATCAAGGTTGTTACAGTAATGCGTTTCCAGTCGCCATACATTGTAAATCCGCCGCACTGAAAGTATTTTAAACCGACGCTTTCAAGAGATCCTACTCTTCCCGCGACTTTCTCTTTCTTCCGACATAATGCTCAATTTGACCTTATTCCGGGCGCTTGTCGGCGAATTGCATGGGAATGAATTGGAGTCAAGAGCGATGTATGCGTGGAAGACAGGAGAAGAAGTCGAGGAGTTTCAATGGATTAGTGCGCGACGGATGAGTGGAAACGAAGAGGTCTCTGTCAGCGTGGATAATTGTAATAAGTGACTGTAGACACTTGCAAGACTCATCTGGGATGAGAGGATGGATGAGCTGAATGGAGTCAGAAAAGCAGTTAGGGGAGAAAGCAGAAAAGGGGAAAACGGAAAGAAAGGGGAAGAGAGCGAGCATGATACTGTCTGCCTCGGACGGTGTGCTCGCTCTTCCTTGCTCCGAATATTTGCACTCGCTCACACACATTTAGGCATTGTGCCGCGATTTTATGATATCGCTCTCGGATGCTTAGAAGACGGCAAAGAAATGACGGAAACAGCGCACAGTTTTGTTGTTGTTCGCAAGCAGCACAACGACGACGACGACGACGACGAGTACAGTTTGTCAGGTGTGTGCATTGTGCATACAGCACTCTACCCGGGCAAGAGAAAGGGATGGGAAAAGGGAGACGAAAAGAGGCATGTACATTCCGGACGACGACGCCGTCATATTCTATTGTGAGCTCTTACAGACGGGCCGAGAGCACAATAGAAGAAGCGCCCGAATCAAATCTAGATTTGCAATTGTTTTCCCAATGCTTTCGGACTTTTCTCTTCGCTGGAGCTATGCAGAGTCACAAGAGAAAAGGTTGACGCGCCAGAAAGTGAAAGCTTTCTTTCATTGTTTTCCTATCTGCCTACTGTATCCCACTCAAATGGGAAAAGAACAAATTTGGCGAAAAGCAAAGAGAGAAGGTCGGCATTGGCGTGCTGCTCGACGTGTCGGCCAAAGAGGGAAGTTACCGAAACTGTTGCGTGTCACCGACAGCGAAGGGACGAGTAGCGTCTATCGGGCGAAGTGATAGAGCGGGGCGGCTCCGTACAAGAAGAGACTCTCTGCTCTCTGTTCACTGCGTGCTGTCTCCAGCCATGAAAGTACGGTGTGCTCGCGTCTATGGAAAAAGAGAACAGAAAATGCAAAGTCGAACGGGGCGAGAGCGGCGTGGCTGCAGCAGCTCGCTTTTGCACATTTATGCGAGCGCTCCGTCGAAAAAGAACGGTCGATTCCATAAAAGTGTACAGGGAGAGAGAGGACAGGGAGCCACGGCCACGAATTTGAAATGAGCACCGTGCGAAAGAAAATGACGAATGGAACGAGTGAGGGAAACAGAAACAGAGGGGACTTCGGCTGAGAAGAGGAACATTCTGTGGATAATATCCAACGTGTATCCATTTTGTATCAAGGTTATTCAAAGCTCTACAAAGCGCAATGTCTAGACAGATTGCAGACATTCTACATTTGAAGGACGACATGATATGAATGCATTAGCGCACTAATTAAGATTAAAGACTTGCGCACTAATCAAAATATTTTTGATTTTCAACAACACACATTTGAATGAGGGAAAGGATGAGCACAAATAAAATGCGTGATCGATAGAAAGCGGGCGACAACAAAAGGAAATTATTAATTTGGAATGGACTTACGCAATAGCTGAGCACGTCGATGGTCGATGCGTCGTCGTTCAGCTCGATAACTACAAACTTCGGCATTCCGCCCGGGTTCTGTTGGTACGACGACGACACCTTTAGAAGATCGGGTGAGGCGGAGGAGAGTGACGGGTGACGCCGTCGTAGGTATTCACAAATAGAATCGACTATTCGGTGGCGACACGGCCAATAAAAACAAAAACGTTTGGTAGAAATGATAAGTGGAAATTTCATTGTAACAACGAGTTGAATAAGTAATAGAAAAATTTAACCGCATATCTATTCACTCTGCGATCTTTGGCAAGATGTGAAATTAAAAGGAATCAGAGTATGTCAAATTATTATGCTGCGCGTTAGTAAAATTATCTTTTTCGGGATTCTTCACTGAGTTCGAGAGGCAAGTGTGTGTTTTCCGTATTGATGATGCGGGAAGCACCGAGACATCGTTTCGAGCCATTCACGACGGATTTCCGGAGTTCTGAAATTTGACAATACAACCGTGGTTTTCTAACTTTGCCGCACTCTATTTCATTTTTAGAGCCCACTCACGTTAAATCTATCGGCTCGGATTCCTTGTTGTGTTGCGAAAAACAGTGCTGACGAACGCGTACCTTCCGGCCGGCTTGGTACGGACAAATTGGACACTTGAATGCTCTGTAGATCGAATGCTTCATCATCACGTGCTCATACAGGTTCCATTTCGATCCACCCGAATTCAAACGGATTCTCGACCGACACAACTCGCAATCCGCAGGCACAATGTCGCCATTCACACTGCTAGACGTACTTCCACTAATCTTCGCTTTTTTCGAAGGTGATTTGTCGAAAAGAGCCAATCCGTTCGTCAACGCTTCAGATGCCAGTTGTGCTTCCAGTTCCGCAGTCGATTCGTCCATTTCTTCGTCCTCTTCTTCGTCTTCTTCACAGCACGGCTCCACTTTCACTTCTACTCTTTCCACTCGGCTACTAATATCCTTCATCAAATCCATCGCATTTTCATGTGGAGCTGCCACGTCATCGTTTGACTGAGTCAACCAAAATGGAGTATCTGCCTCTCTGAATTCAAATATCCAAATTCGCTTACTTCGTGGCTGTGTAAGTACCTTTCGAACAAATCATCTATCACTGGCTCGTTTGATGGTGTCTTTTTAATCGGAGCTCGTCTGATTCCTGCAATGAAAACGTGCTTTCTCATCTACCGTAACCCCACTCCGTCCTTTCCATCATTTTTTATCAGTGCGACAGTAAATCTCCTCCTTCTAACGCCTGCAATGCAACTGCGCTCTAACGGGCAAGCCGTAGTACTACTCGTCTCCACTGTCTCCGCCTAGTCAGCTGCGTCAGCGTGTTGAGTGAGTGTCTGTGAGTTTTCTCCCAGAGTAGCAAGTTTCAGTGGTTGATCAAGGTCAGCCCAGTTTGGTTAGTTCTTAAGAGCATCCTCACCTGCTGGGACGGATGCTGAGCACATATCCGTGCTTCCGACGTGTTGGAATCGAGAGAATCCATGATCGATCTGAAAGTTTCGAGATTCTCAAGATGCACCAATCACTCATTCTGAATTCACTCCGTACCTGTTTTTGGCGACTTTATCTCTGTAGTGAATAGTTTCAACTCACCGCTCACAGAAAGCCACACACAAGGCACACGCAACGCGCACACGCTCGCGCACCACTCTTCGCCCGCCGCTCCCCCAGTGTCTCGGCGCTCACTATTTCTCTGCCTGCACTCATGGTCGGCGCCTCATCCGGCGCCTGCTCTTTCGCTGTTTGTGAGTGGGAATTTGCGCGCGCTGCCAGACCCCATCTCATCTTCCGAGAAGATGTGACTGCAAAAAGAGGGAGACAAAACACAGACTGGGATGAGGAAGAAGAGGAGCGAGAAGACGTGTTAAAGAAATCGGCACGCACTATTTACCGGTTAGGAAGTAGAGACACCGAAAATAATACTGCAATCAGAAGACGTCTATCATTCCGTTCTGACTTTTGCAATGCAACATCATCATCTCTTATCTGATTCTTGAAACGCTTTCATTTAAAAAAAACTAACCAGAATAGAGAGAAGTCTCTTCAGCTCGTGGGGCGATGTGACGTCGACGATCAGATGGGAAAGGTACTGTCCGTTCGGACTTGGCAGCACTGGAGACCGAGGGTCCAATGGAGTAGCTGCGCGACGCTTCCGATCCGGAATGATCATCGGAAGACTCTGTATCATAGCCGGTGGTCGCAAATGCATTCCCTCTTTCTTTCCATTGATTCCATTCTCCTTCGACGTCGAAGGGTCCGAGAGTAACTTGCTGAGCAGTGGAGCCCGAGCACTTGAATTCGAAATGGTGGTAATGAAGTGTGGCTCAGATTCTCTACTCGAAGCAGATTGCAGAGGAGAAGCAATCGGACGATCCAGCAACGGTTGATGATTGGGAGCAGTGCTGAGCAGCTGTGATCTGAAGAGAAGTTGTGTTCCGGGAACTTGCGAATCTGGACTCACAGAAGAGAATGATGGCTGGTTTCGGTAAACAAATTACCGAGCGGTTGTCCCATGGGATCTCCTCCGAACTGAAAACGGCCCGTTCCCTTTTTCACATCACTCAACCTCACCTGCTCAGTCCGTCCTTTCTCTTCCTCTTCTATGTCAAGACAGACTCTCGCGAGTTGTTCGTCGTATTCCCAATACAAATTCTCCGTTTCACGAGCTCCTCCAATTTCTCATCAGTCGTTAACAACGCTGAATTGTTCACATTTCTGAAAAGTAGATGGGCATATGCTTCTTCCTAGTAATTAGTGGCTCCTTACTTGAGTTCGTCTTTGATTCGTGCCAAAAGTACTTTCTTTCGATTGTGAAAGTGCGACTTGACGCGTTCCATCTCGGCAGGAATATCGAACTTTTCGGCGACCTAAAAAAAAGAGCCCGTTATCTTGAAATCTGCGAAATTCGCTCACTTTCTCGGCAATCCGAGACCAGTGCTCATTTCTGGCAACATTTTCTGTAGTCAATCGTCGATACGAATTCTTGATGAGGTCGTCGCTTCTCTCGAGCACTTGTGTAATTATGAAGTTGCTCACCTAAAATTGAGATGTTGTAAATACGCTCCAGAGAGGGCGCCAATTCAAATCTGAAACTCACATCTCGACTTATTTTCGACGTTCGCGGTGCATTGCTGGCGAGCATCTCCTGGAGACCGGAAAATAAAAGGAAGGAATAGAAACAATGGGTTCGCGGTGAATGATAATAAATCAAAAAGCTATTGGGCAAAGGAAAAGCAAAACTTTCTATTGATGAGAAAACACTTAGGGACTGCTGACACTTCACCTTTCGAAAGTTATGCAACGGATTGAGGGAAAAAAACGGAAAGATTGATAGACCGAGGTCATTCGCAGTACAAATGCGACCTTATTTGGAGGTATTGGACTGTGTCCCGCTGCTCGCCCAGAGAGGTCATACAGGTGGGCTCTAGTGTGCAAATCTTACGGGTTCTGGTGGGAAAGAGATTAGGTGAGAGGGCGAGTGGAGCATAAAAATAATAAGAGGAAAAATCGAGCTGAGGTCGATTTAATAGGCGTGAACCCGCCGGAAGCACGGCCCGACGGAATGCGCCCACTCGACAAAGTTCAATGTAAACTCGCAGCTGTTCGGCAGGCAAGTTGACCTGTCAGCGGAGGAAAGAGTTGCTTTTTGAGCGGGAAAACATTGGTGTCTTAATGAAAAAGTGCTTTGTATTCCTCAGGCTTCGATCTTTTCAGGTTTCTCTATCCTTTCAAATGAATAAGTGCAGATTATTTGCGAAAGATTAACATGATTTGCTGGAATTAGAAGACAGGTGATAATGAATTTGAGACCTTCAGCGGCGCCCTCGTGCCTAATCCAACGATGTCTTCGTATAATAATACAAAAAAGAGAGCGCGAAGCAGAGAGACGACGACGGAGAGCTCGGCGAGCAGTCAGCGAGAGCTCGCAGGCAACACCCGAACCTGGCGGTTAAGAGTGGAAATCGGGCTGGTGGTGGAGGGTTGGACGCACGGGAGGGGGCAGCCAAGGCCGTTTGTTGTCGGCCAGCCGACCCTTCTCAAGGACATTGCGTCGACCCCGATGCTGTCACTTCAGACCTCATCTCGAGGTCAATTCTTCTCCTACTCCAAGATATACTTATAGAGCCACTACTTCTACGTGCTAGACACTTCGGATAGTTTATTCGCAAAGAAAGATAAAATAGTAGACATTGCACAATCAGCCACTGTTCATTCGTGGCGAACATGTGAGAGTACGATAAGAACGAAATGAATTAAGCATAGTAGGAATAAATGTTATGAATCGAGATCTAATCATTAACAGACGGAAGAAAACGTTAGTAGCCGTTGTTCTCCTCCTTGATCTCGTCCATCTGGGCGATGAGCTGTTGCAGGTTGTCGATGTATCTATCCTGGTTGACTTCCTCGACACCGTAGACCGTCATCTTTTGACGAACTTCCTCCTAAAAACCGACAGTTTCACACTTGGCCTTGCAATTTAATATTCATACATTATAGGTTTCCATCTTGCAACGGAGTCTCCACATCTTGGGAACGAACTGGATACGTTCGAATACTGCGTTGTATTCTTCCGGGAAGTCGTCCTTCAGTTTGCCGGCTGCCGATGGTGCCATTCCTACGATCTTAGCAGCCGTTTCTCCGAAGGCAGTCACGTACATCTGACTGGTCTCGTCCGACAACTCCAACTGCATCATGTAGAGCCACTTGAAGTCGCTGAGACTCTTGTTGCACTTCTCGCATCGGTACTCTCCGTCGTTTTCGGACACCTTCTTCTGACAGCCATCCGAAGCGCATCCCTTGTAGAGTGCAGTTCCCGGATTGATTCTCGTGCACATTGCTTTCACCGTAACGAAGTCTCCTTTCTCGGAATCCTTTCCGAACTGCATGTCCTGGAGACTGGCAATGATTCGTGGAGCCTCACCAGTTCCGCCAGAAGTCTGACTGATCAGCTTGACTTCGATATTCGGCTTCTGGTTCATGTACCAGTCATAGAGCTCAGAGACTCCCGGAATATCAGGGACTGCCAGAATACGGCTTCCTTGGCCAGTGCTGAGAGAGTATCCGCCGTTGAACTCCTTCGGAATTACTCCTTTGAATGCAGTGACCTTCTGGAGATAGTCATCGACAATCACCTTCTCAGCCTCATCTCCCCACAGAGTCAAACGAGCTTGCGCTTGAGACTCATCGATCAGCTCCAGCTCTCGCTTGACGAGCTCTTTTCCAGCCTTCGACGTGAATCTCGTCGGTTCCTGGTCGATTCTCTCAACGACGACAAGCACATCAATCATCTGGCCGCAGTATCCAGCGATTTCTGAGAGTGGGACTCTCTTGATATGAAGTCTCGGAGCAGCAACCACCTCGCCTCCTGCCTCGATCTGCAGAGATATGAATCTTGACATGGAGTCGAGTGATTCATTAACTACCTGAGTGTCATTACGGAGAGTCAGCTCGTAATCATGGCCAGTGTTATTGAATTGCTTGTTGGCAGCACGGACAGTACCACCAGTGAGGTAGTACGACTGCAAACCAATTATCACTCTTGGAATGGCTAGTCGTTTCTTACCATATTCTCACTGATCGTGGAATAGACAGAATCGGCAGTCTCATTGAATGCAGTGCATCGGATGGTGTCGCCGTTAGTATCAGTCAATTCGAAGTTGAGAATTTTCATATTCTTTGCGGGAATCGTACGGATTTCATCTTTTCGAGACACCACTCCATGTATCTTGATCGTTCCGACGTAAGGTGTGACGGCCGCGATTGGAATGACTCCGTCTTTCGAAGTACCACGACGCGCGGCCGGTGGAGCAGCACGAGAACGAGGTGGCTCTGGAGCAGCACGAGAACGAGGTGGTTCTGGAGCAGCAGCTCTGACGCGAGACGCTTCTAGAACTGAACTGAATCATTCAAATTAGAAACGAGCTGATATACCTCCTCCGCTTTCTCTTTTCGGTGCCTTGGCAGCTGGAGGCATAGTCATATTCTCCTGGAATTCACGAGCCAGATGCTCAGCCTCTGGCCAAACGTCATCGATCTGGAAATTCGGCCTGTATCCACGATGCTCGTCCGGATTTCCTGAATGCGATCTTGACTTGGTACCCGGATAGCACAAAGTTTGGTGATAACGAGACAGGATTCGGTATCCAGTGATCAGGAACGAAGCTTTGATTCCACTTCCTTGATGGTAAATGACAAAGTTGGTGATGGCAATGATCGTTCCTTCAACGAGATTCTCGGCTTCACGCTGGATTTGATCGTCAATTTCGGCCGACAGCAAGCAGTCTGCAAGAAGAAAGATGAATTAGGAATGTAAAATAACGATGAAAGACGTACTGTATTGGAAAAGTCCGTCGCATATGCGAATTCTGTAGGTGTAATGGTGGCCCGACTGTTCTCCATAGTCCGCTTTTCCTTTCTGAAAACTGAACGATTACGAAATAAGAGAACCGAAACAAACCAGAACTTGGACGATTCCGTCATGTCCGGGATATCCGTCGCTTTCGAGAGCTTCCTAAAATGTATTCATTTGAAACTTTTTATCGTATTTCAATAACTCACCTGAATGTATCCTGTGCTCAGGCGAAGCTTTCCGTTTTTTTGATACTTGTTAAAGATTTCCGAATTGATTTCAATGGCTGCCATCGTTCGAAAGGCACTGAAAATCGAGAGAATAAGGAGAAAAAGTTGGGAGAGGGCAGTAATACAAAAAAGGGTAAACCATAATTTGAATGAGCGCTGTCTGTGTCTTTTACGCGCGAAAAAAAGTGTCGTAGGTTGGCGTGTTTGCGGGAAAGACAGCAATGACGTCACAATATTTGTCAACTGTTGGGAAGTGTAGCTTACAGAAGAGTGGGATTTTAAAAAAGTGATTGAACTCATTGATATTGATGAAGCAATCGTTTTGAATTTGAAAAACTTCCGCGCGTTCCTTATTTGTTAAATTCGCTGCGAGACTATACAGTAAATTTGTACGTGCGCCTTTAAAGAGTTTTGGTGCAATTATTTCGACAGACTTTCTAGAAAATTTCTCATAGCCAAACGCAATTGCTTCTCGCCTGGCCCGTCAAATAAAGAAATAGCAAAGAAAAGAATTTTGAAAAGTTCCGCTTTATTTCATGTTTGTATGCTCATAAACAGTTTCTTCGACCCAAATACTGATCAGATTTTTAACAATAAATACTAACTTTATTCAGTACATGTACTACTGCACACTTCTGGTTGACATCCATAGAAACTTTCGAAATCCTCCAATGGCCTAAGAACTGCCAAATGTCGGCCACGGCGAGCGCCCAAGGAAAACAGCTGCCAAGCGCATCGATCGCCATTATTCGGATGATCAGCGTCGATGAGTCATAATTAATCGATTGTCGGGGCCCGCTCTTCCGTCTCGCACGCGACAAGTTCCCAAAAGAGTATGCGGACCCGAGAAACGCAGGCATACAGACAGTTGTTAACCTACAGGCGAATTCCATCTTTTGTTGCCTGTGTAAATATAGCAAAGTGTCCTGTTCTCTGCTTTCGTTCCCTCCATTTTCTAGCTTTTTTGCAATCGAAAAGGTCTAACCGCTGCTGTTCAATTTTCGGTTTGAAAAACCGTTCAAATTGCAGAGAAATTGACCTATGGAAGCGGATGAGTACTTTACCACATACGATGCGCTCAAAGATGTAAGTGACACTGTTCCCTTATCGCCCGCTTATCATCCGCCCGCTGCCACACTGGCTTATCACTTTTTGAATCTGTGATGAGCGACGAAAAATTTAGCAGAGTAGAAACTATAAATTTCCAAAATGTACTCGGCCGCGGTTAGACGATTGAAGTTCAAGGTTAGAAAACATTGAAAAGACGAGTGTCGAAATGACAGAATTGTTCAAAATGGAATTCGATTTCAGCAGCAGAAAAAGGAGCACGCCGTGCGACGGCAGCTGCCACTCAAAACGAGTGAAAACTGCGGAATAATGAAGATCGTGTGGTCGCAGTTCGATTTCATGACAGGACCCGAACTGAAATTCGTGTGGGATGTCACTCCGTCCACTTCAATTTCGCCAGTCAACCTTTCCGGAGAAGATGGATCCATTGCCGACGCGGAAAGTTTGATGGACTCTTCTGGTTCCAATCAGTCGGTCTCCTTCGAGGAAATCGATGATCCTCTCAAAGTAAGCAGTTTTAAAAAGCCGGACGTTTTAGGGATTGTTCGATTTTCAGACAGAGCTGACCATTCTGGAAGGATTGGACGAGAACTTGGTGGATTCTTTCGCTGAACTGGACTTAATGCATGCGGGCGATTACAAGTACAAAACCATGAAATATCTAGACGAATATATGACGGAAAGCTCGACGACAAGTACGAAAACTTTGACAATGGACGACTCTCGTTTGATGGAAAGCCCTGAAAGCAGCGGAAAGTCGTTAAAAGACGAAGGCCTCGACCACTGCTGCAGCGGTAAATTTCTTGCCGAAGAAGACCGATTCGGCAGCAGTTTTGGACTCGCGTCGCCTTCTCCGAACGACACCGGAGATCTCGGAAGGCTGCTCGCGAGTAGGTATCCTAACGATGAAGACAGAGAGATCGCCGAGTATCTGCGAGAAAAGATCGCTTCTAACCAAGAGACTGCGGCTGCGGATTGTGTGGCGCACCTGACCGAGCACTACGAACTCGACAGATTGTCTCCGATTATTCATGGCGACGACGGTGGGCTATCACGTTTTTATAATATTGAAGTATTCATTTTCTCAGAGCTCCGCCAGTCTTGTGTGGATTCTGGAGTGGGCGTTTCCACGCACAGCGACTTGTCCGCATTGTGCCTGAGCCCCCCAAACGAAACGACTTCTCGGAGGTTTGAGGACGCGTTCGGAATGATGACGTCGTCTCCAAATCCGAACACGAGAAGGTTCCGAAGAGATTCAACGAGCACTCCCCCGCCCAGAGATATCTTCGACTTTTTCGATGATCAAATCGACTTTGGAGAAACCTACGTGACCGACGAAGCGTTTGTTGCCAAGTGTGTGCTGGCTGAACTTATTTGCAAGTAAGAACGTCCCTCTTCTTCGCAAAAAGAAAAACATTTCGATTGCAGTACTCCTCACTCAAGATGTCCCCTCCAGCACAAAATGATAGTATCGCCTCCCGCCATCTTCTAGTTTCTGCTTCATTTTTTCGGCTCAGAATCGCAACGGCTCGACGATCACCTACGCCATCTCGTTTCTGATGTCGAATCAGAAGCAGGAATGGTACATGGATCGACATTCTTGGTTCGAAAGAATTGTCGGCGATTCTGTGCCCAAGATGAAAGCCTCTTTGTTTTCGGTTAGAAATCTTTCAGCCAGCTTTGAAAACGTGATATATTTCAGGAAGACTCCGATGACGTTCTCGTTCGTGTCACCTCTGAGCTCTCTCGCCTCTTGTCGTTGCTCTCCGCACTAGAACGGTTCGCCCTCGTGTCTCCAGAAAGGCCTCTGATGATCAAGAACACACTTTTCACCGAAAAGGGAGCTGCCCTCTCCGAGAACCGGCTTCTCGCCAAGGCCATCTCCGGATGTCTCCAAAGTCAAGGACATACTGTGATCATCGGATCAGATCACGTTTTGGTTGCCAAAATGCTGCACACTCTCGCCTTTTTCGTGCCTGAAGCGCATCAGTGGTGCTGTCTCCGCCCTTATAGGCACAAATACAATCCGTATTTGAGATTACAAGCTATCCGAAGGGTACTTCAAACTTTCCACTTCAATTTCCATTATCTATGTTCATTTCCAGGCGGAACTTGATTCGGTGATAAAGGGCGGCACGTCGACTCCCTGGCCCGTTTGTATCATTGACCTCGACCGGGCGGCCGTTCGCGTGTCTGCTCCGTATCAAAGACATCGTGTTTTGCGAGCACGTAACGAGTCGAGAGGCGTCCGGCTGATTCTAGAGCACGCGGGAGTTATGACGTCGAAGAACACCACCATTCCCGAATTGTTGGTTACCACTTCATTAGAATTCTCAGAAAATATAACTTTTCAGACAACTCTCACACTCTCGCACTCTCGCCTGTGTCAACACATTCCTGCGGCAGATGGACGTGCTCCCAATGGAAGAATCTGTTCGAGCCGGCTTCTGTTCCCAATTGATGCTATATCTCGATAACTTGGCCGCCGCTTTCATCACTTTCGTCCGAGACGCCAGCCGTCCGGGGTTCGACGAAAAGGAGTGCGGCACCCGATCGAAGTCGTTCAGTCTCTCGGAATGCCGAAAAGCCCTCGACCTCACGAATGACTCCCTTTTTAACGCGGTACTCGCGAGAGCCGAATTGCTGCAACCGGACATATCCGAGTTCATCTACATGTAATTTCTCTTCTCCACACGTCGCCTTTATGCCGTTCTCCCTAGTCGCTCGCCCAATATTGTCGAAAATGTTTTACGAGATACTCTTTGCCTTCAGTTTCTGATGAATTCCTTGCGCATCCACATCCACCAGTTCACTTTTAATACCGTCCTTTTCCATGTGATTTTTCTTCGTTTTCTTTTCAGTATTTACTTTTAGTTCGAATGAATCCTTTTTCCTTTAGCCCAATGAGCCTTTGCCTCTTCGTTCCACTTCCGCATCCGAAGGTCGTGCTGCTCTCGCATCGTTCCCAAGGACGCCTTCTTCGCTTCCGATTCGTCACGAGGAGACAGGTTGTACTAGTGCGTTTGGCCGTCGCCGGATAAAGCGAGAAAGAGACAGCAAGTGGATTACGTCTACAGTAAGCCGCTTGTCGGAGTCGCTTGTTCAATTCTGTTGCTATACTTTGGATAGGAAATGGAGAGAAAGAAGAAGTAAAAGGGAAACGTATCTTTTCAGAATCAAACAATTCCCAGACACGCAAAAAGTGGGCATCTTCTGTACACTTTCATCTAGGTCATTCCGGATTGTATCCGAAAGTAAACAAACGAAAATGGAGGAAAGTGTGAATGGATACGCCGTCAATCAGTCGTATGACTTCAGATGCTCAACTTTCCAATTCGTGCCACCAGGCTTTTTGCGGCCTGAGTTTTTTTGGATCCAGTTACAATACTCCGACCCGAACTAAATTTTTCAGGCTTCATGAACATGGATTGAAGTGTCTTGGGTCCGAATTTCAGACCGATCTTATGATCTGGTCCGGAGTTATGCTTTCTCAAAAACCCGACCTTTCCTGCCTCAAACCACAGTATATCTCTGGAATAGATTATCAGAACGGTCTGAAACTTGGACCTATGATACTTCAGTTCGAGCCCAAGAAGTCTAAAAAGTTTGGGTCCGACCGGAATATCCCGTTGAAAGCCTTCGAGAAGCCCGGGCCTGCGTGGCACTCAACCTTTCGGCTCTTTCGCTTTCGTTCGTGCCATTCTCCTTCACTTTCTTCTCCTCTCTCGCCCGTTTCGTAACCGGTTCGGATGAGCGAAGTTGGCATATATGCATACAGAGTAACATCGACCAAAGGGCCGCCCATTTCCGAGTATAAAACGCGGATTTGGCTGCCAACCATCATTATAAACTCATCGGTTCTCGATGATGTCTCCGATGCTTTCCGCACTCATTCTTGCCACTTTTTCGACTTTTGCCAATGCGGTGAGCATTTTTTCAGTTATTATTCGAACTTGATTCCAGTATTCTGACTTCATTACCCATGTAGAATAGACCAAGTTAAGCCCCTACCCAATTGTTTCCAATCCGCTAATTTCAGTGCGTCGCTTCCGGCACCTGCGGCCTCGGTCCCTGTTTCAGTCCCCTTCCCGCCCTTCCCTCTCCCTGTCTCTCTACCGGATGCGGTCCCGGACATGCGTGCGGATCCTACGGCTGCTACCGTACCAAAGCCCGAGTGCACGCCGCCGGCACCCATCAAGGACCCATTCTGTTCGGAGCCGACCGCTTCTCGCAGTTCCGTCGCCAGCCGCCGCCGTCGCAGCAGCAGCCAACGGTGAGTGGGTATCCGGTTGGTCTGGCCGGCCGTCCGTGTGTGGCTATCAAACCGTATAATCCGATGATGCACGGACACGGCTAATAGCACACATCTGCCCTCTTTTGACGGTTTCCGCCAAACCGGTTCGTCGTTCGTTGCAGGACCCGAATGCGTTGTTCATGCAGTGCTGTGAGCAGCGAGGACTTCCGGACGCCTGCCTTCAGAAGTGCACATTCAACACGTACACGAAGGAATCCGTGAGTTATCCTGTCTCTCAGCCGAAACTACTTCCTTTCGTCTCCAGCTGACCCGAATGTACTTCCGTCAGGACGCGTGTCCTTTGGCCGCTTCGGCTGAAATCCAATTCTGTGCCGCGCAGGGAAGAGACCATCGATCCTGTTGCGTCCGAAACGGAGTCACAACCACTCTCGCCGGAGACAAATGCCTCACTTTCTGCGATCAACGACCTGGAAATGTGACCCTCCTCGATTATTCGTACGTCTCTTGCTATGATCGCTTCGAGAATATGAAGTCGTGCTTCTGGCACGACGCTGCTGAAAGATCTAGAAAACACTAGTCGGTCTGATTTTCACTTCTCTTTTTTCTTTGTCTGTACAATACATATTTATTGACGTGACGTCATCAATGCCTTTCACTTTGACACATCACTTTTAAATAGCCAACCGTTTGATTCATGAATAAATAAATTACTGTTTACTATTTACAAAAATAAACTTCGAGTTACTTAGCTGACGAAAATCTGAGCGATATCGTCGTGTTCGTAGATTCGCTTGCTGAAAGTGTCCGTGATTCGGAGGCCAGAAATGCTCTGAATTCCGACGGAGACTGGGAAGACGTCGAATGTGAAATCCACATGGCCGGAAGGAGCCAACTGGCCGAGGGAGACTCCAGAAGGCGAGCAGAAGACGAGCTGACGGTTGGAGGGTTGTTCCAGACGGAGCTGCAGATCGAGAGCTCTTTCCGAGCAGTTGTACAGTCTGCAGACCACCTCGAACGGTTTCTGAACGGTGACGCAAGCGGGAGACTTCTCGACGGAGAGTCGGACGTCTCCGTATCCAGGAGCCTGAAAGCATAAAACTCAGAGAACGAATGTAATTCGAGACTGACAATTCTTTGCAGGGCACTCGTCTGAAGCCGTCCTTTCTCTCCCATTCCCGTCCTCCACGACATATCCAACTTCCCGATGCTTGTCAGATCTTTGTATCCGAGCGTGTTGTGCACGTCAACTGGAGACAAACAGAACAGAAACTGTCGAATGTCTTTCGGCTTCAGAAGTGCTCCGGTCTCTTCGAATTCTTCCGCGTGCGAGATAGTGCTCACTTTGTAGTGTTGGCTTGGTTCCAGCTCTACTCTTTCCATAAACATATTCAAACTCGAAGTGTTCTCGATTTGAGCCTCCAGGTAGACGTCTTGATTCTGAATTTTTGATTGGAATAGATGCAACTGAAATTGGGATTTTCTCACCGCATTGTCCTAAACAAACGACATAAAATCACAGCACTCGAAGGACGAATCATGCAAATCAAATTAATTTTTGAAGAAAACAATTTGAAAATGCTCACCTCCGCACTATAAAACTTTGTCTTCACATCAATCGGTTTGGAAACGGGGAATTTAAAGAATTTGCGGAAGTACATGTTCTCGCCGGACAGTGTTTTGTAATTGACGGAGCATATCAGACTGCAAGGAATTTATTGGGTGCCATGGAAACGGCGGATTAGAACGGGCGGCTCGTTTGCGAGGGGGAACTAACATGTGCTGGCCGATCTCCTTCACTTCATGGCTGATCACTTGACCGTCGCATTTTGACGCTTCGATCGTGCCGTCTTGAATTGAGCACGGAAGAGTCACTCGCTGCGTCGCCGTCTGCAGCTCGCACTGAAAATCCACGTCTCCGGGATCTGGATGGCAACGGAGTGAACTCACTTTCAGAACAACATTCACAACACTTTTCTCGCTTTCATTCACAACATTTACGTAGAATGTGAACGTCTCTCCCAAATAAATGTTCCTGAATTATCCATTTGTCTCTGGAGTTCTTGCTTAACTTGCTCACTCAAACATTTGTGGAGCAATCAGAAACTCTCCGATCGGTAAATCGATTCTCGGTTCTTTCGAAGTTTCAGACACTTTCGATGCAATCAACTGACCGAACCCCGTCGGATCGACCGGATCGTGTGAGAACGCATCCAGTGGCGCAAACTTCGGACGAGCCAATCTCATCACCCGAAGAGCCAAAAGCTGTTGAGCAGACGAACTGCCTTGGCTGTCGGCCATCTATCCACTTTTGTGTTCTCATGTTTTTATTCAACTGCCAATCACTCAATAGTTTTGGATTGTCTAACCTCGACGAACAAATTGAGGAAATTCCGTTGAATGTGCAATATTTATTGAGAGTTCAACAGAATGGAAGGTGTCAGTGGAAAGCTACCCAATGTTAACGAGAAACGAAACACCGAGGATGATATTACTAAACAGCTCCACAGCACCCCACTAGAGCTACTGTCATTTTTGGAACGTGAAAAGCTTGCTTTACATAGCTAAAATTTATTAGCCATTTGAGGATCGGGGAATAAATTTGTATACAAAACAAGTATAACAACGAACACTAATGGGATGTGGTGGAAGAAAGGTGACAGAGCAAGTATATTTTTTTAAAGAGATTCATTGAAAATCGATCAACAGTAACAAGAAGAATGGGATACACTAATGCGGATATTATCCGTACCGTTCATCTCACAAGACTCGCGAATTGATCGATGAAAGGATAGTGGCTTACTGCTCGTCGGCCTTGGTCTCGTTCTTAGAAGCGGCATCGAAGTCACCAACAAGTTCTGTAAATTAGTGGTTAAGACAGATGAAGGCAACATTGCGATCTACCTGGCACATCCTCATCATCCCCCTTTCCGTCAGGTCCGAGCTTGGTGACGTTGTTGGCAAGTTTCTTAAGGTGGGTAAGGGACTCTGGGCCGAGCTGGTTAAGGATTCCTGGGAGCATCTCGGTGATTTCTGCAACACAAAAATACACAACTATTCTGAGACAAATGGCGCTTACGCTTGTGGTCAGCCGATCCGGTGACAGAAAGGTGTTGGCCGGAACCGAGGTCTGGACCTTCGGGTTGTTGAAGTGAATGACGGTTCCGTCATCCTTGATCATGTTCACCTGCAAAAGTACTCGTTTAAAAAATCACAACAACTAAATTATTACCTCCTCGATTCCTGGAATGTTGGTGACCGAGAGTTTCTTCAAGTTGCTCTGGAGCTTCTTGTCGTCAGCAGCAGCGGTCTTGTGGATCACCTTCTTCTTTCTGCGTGGAGTTCCCTGGAAAATGATTGATGAAAAACAGAAATAAAATTATAGCTGAAATACCTTTCCTCCGATTCTGACATGCTCTTGTTGAGCCTGAAGCTTCTTGATTCTCTCCGCAATATTCTTGTTATCCATTATTTTTGGAAGGTGATTACCTGAAGAGACAACGTGAGAATACGAATACGTGATACGAGATGAGAGATTTGCGGAGATAAATCATTTCCGAAAAGCGATAAGCGGACAGTCGCAAAAAATGAAGAGAAACGGGAAGGTAGGAATTTTTTAGGATTTTCTCTGCCAAATCGCGGAAATTTTGGCCATAACTGACCCGAAAAAATAGTATTTGGCCTAAGGAATCAAGTTGCCGAAAAAAAATAATCGAAAACGCAAAAAAATGCGAGGAAATTGGACAAAAATCAAAGAAACGGTAGAGGATTTCTCACGAGACCCCGAACATTCCGTGCGTGTGTGCCCCTCGTTTCAAATTTTGCTGCTATAGGGAAAAGGGGCAGCTACGCAGCGGCCTGGCCGGCTGCCAGCCCCCTCTCGTTTCTTACCCGTCTCTTTCTTTTGCCTGCTCTCTCCTCGCGCCCTTTCGCTCGTCGTCACTAGAACTTCGGGGACGCCCGACTATTTAGCAATTTTCTCGTCGCCTGACACTCTCTTCCTCACTATGAATCACAAGTGTTCTCGCAGCTTTAAAATGGCGAAATTCCGGTTTAGAAACTGACTTTCTCGTGTTTCAAGGCTCTTTTCTCGCAAATTCTGACTCGCCGATAGTTTGCCGTGGTATTTGAGTGCCAGATTGATTGTGAGGCTTTCGTGATCGATCGGCGCGCGTTTGCCTCGTGAGCAGACGAATCAATACTTCTCGCTGACACTCGCTGGCGCGTGGTGTTTTTCTCTGTCTCCAAGGCGACTTCTGACCCATTACTATTGCCTGCCCAGTAAGATTAATGCCTTCCATTTCCTTTTCTGACATCACAGAACCTTTCTTTTTTGTTCACAACGATTTGGACGTGAAATCGGAATGACGTGTTTGCGCCCTCGCCTTGGTTGTAACGATGACTCATCTTTCACTTCTCGTATCGCTCGCAGATTGCGAAGTGCTTTCTTTGCACAACACATTCTATTACCCTTTTATTTCAGAAAATGAGCCTCTTCGGCAAGATTTTCGGAGGAAAGAAGCAGGAAGCCCCGACTACTCCTCAGGATGCCATCCAAAAACTGCGGGAAACTGAAGAAATGTTGCAGAAAAAGCAGGATTTCTTGGAGAAGAAAGTTAACGACGTAAGTGAAGCGAAAAACAATTCAGGCTGATGAACTAAGTTTTCAGGAAAAGGCAAATGCAGTGAAGTACGGAACAAAGAATAAGCGAATGGCGCTCCAGGCCCTGAATAGGAAAAGACAGTTCGAGAAGCAATTGAATCACATCGACGGAGTTCTAAACACTATCGAATTCCAGGTAGCGAAATTTAAATGTCCACTACTTCGAACATATATTTTTTAAGAGAGAAGCTCTTGAGAATGCCTCCACGAACGCCGAAGTTCTCAATGTTATGGGGCAGGCCAGCAAGGCCCTCAAAACTGCTCACAATAACATGGATATTGATCAAGTTCATGATTTGATGGAGGACATTGCCGAACAGCAGGAAGTGGCCAATGAGATCGCTGAGGCTATTTCGAACCCGGTCGGATTCCATACGGGTGTCGATGAGGATGATTTGATGGCCGAGTTGGAGGCGCTAGAACAAGTTCGTCCATCTAGTGTTTGATAAATGACACGAAATATTTTTCAGGAAGAGCTCGACAAGCAGCTTCTCGATGCCAACCCAGCGCCTATTGCCAATCTGCCTGATGCTCCGTCCATCGCTCTGCCATCGCTTCCAGCCAGACCAGCTCGAGTTCCTGCCGCAGCGGACAAAGATCTGGAAGACCTTGAAAGCTGGGCGAACGCCTAACTTACGTAATCGGACTTGTTTCTCATTCCCCAGACTTCCCTCTTTTGGTTCGCATCCTTTCCTTGACTTCCTTTCTTCATTTTTCATAGCTCCTTACCTGAATAGGAAAGTTGTGAGAAATCTCTGGTATTATTTATTAGTCATTTCATTTGTAACAGAATTCCGGTCGTTTCGATCTATCTTTCCTCAAAAGCTGTAAAAAATGAACGGTCGAGCCAGGAGCGTTCTGGAATTTTGCCAATTCTACTCATCTTGCTCCCGAAAACTTGTGTGTATGTACTATAGCCCTTCCATTTCTTATAAAATTGTATCATTATGCGGAGCGAAAACAAAACAAGATACCGGCAGATTCAGGGTAGGCAAAGGAAAAAGTGAAGGCAAGAAATCAAAGTGATTACATTTCGTCGTGAAGGTTTTTTCGAACAGAAAGAAGACTGGATCGGGCGAGAAGCCAATCTCGTTCGAGCATCTCTTCAAGTGTCAGCTTTCCGTCGTCATCAGCGTCTGCTAGCATCATAATCTGAAAGTGGACGGATTGTTCCGAGAAGATGCACCTCACTCACATCATTAACTTCCTTGAAGGCGAGTCGGAAATTCTGAGGATCCACGTACTCGTAAAGTTCTCGGAACGTGGCATTTCCGTCGGAATTCAAATCGATTTCCATGTCAAACTCCTCACTTCTGTTAATGGGTTTTCTTTCAATTCGCAGCTTTTTCCGCTCACCTCTTTTCCTTTTCCACCTTTTCCATTTTCGCAAATTCCGGATTTGATTCATCGACGCTGCCCGGAATTCCGTTCACAAACTCTTCGCGAGTGATGATTTTGTCGTCGTTCGCATCTAAAAATGATGTGAAAATGGAACGACATGGAAATGAGCGTACCGTAAAGAGAAATGAGGTCGTTGACGATGTCGACGAGCCCCTGAGCAGAGTACTCCGGATGCAGGAACACGTGCCATTCCAGTCCATCAAGCCGTCCGTCGCGAGTGATATCCGACCGATTGAACATTCGTTTCTCGTCCTCCACTTGTCCCGGATCTGAATAACTCCCCCGTTCGTCTTCTTCATTTCATTTTCCCTCAAAACCTTCAGTTGGCACTTCGAGCCCTTTGTTTTCATCAAATTTAGCGTTCATCTTTCTGAAGTGCGGTTCGAACTCTTCCCACTCGATCATTCCGTCCTTGTTCGCGTCGACCATTTTAAAGAACGCATCTGAATCCCTTTTGCTCTTGTTCAAATGCTCTAACATATTCATTTGAATGCGGATTTTGAGCTCACGAGGAGTTAGGAAGCCGTCCATATTCGTGTCGGTTCTGAGATAATCGGAAGGTATGGAGAGCGAAAAAGGAGTGGATGTAAACGAACTGTTCGAACATTTCCCTGATGTCCTCCGTAAGCTGATTAGTGTCCGAGGTGTCCAGATTGTGCGAGAATATCATTTCCTGCCGGAAGTTCTCATTCAGATCTCCGTCCCTCTCGATTGGCATCTGCTCCACGTGGTCATTCAGAAGAGAATCTGAGCGATTCAGGGGAATTGCTAGGGTGCCGTACAGCAGAATTGCGGCGATAAATGGCCGGAGCATGACTGAAAATATGGACTGGTTAGAGAAAATTAGGAAAGAATAGAAAATGTTAGATATTATTTAGTGAACTTGGAAACAGAAGGAATAGTTCGTGAAAAAAGTGATTGAATCAGTTTTATGATACAGATCGAGAATACTTGTGAAGGATTGGGAATGCAGAGGGTGCAGGAAGATAAATTATTAATCACAAGAAGAATGAGCCAATATTTAGAGTTATGACTGTTCTTTGAACATTTTCGAGTAGGTGCTCTTCGAGTCGGCCTTCTTCTCGGCCCTCTTCTCTGTCAAAATCTTCATTTCCCGGGCGACGAGGGCGGCGGCGGCGGGGTGGTTGCGCAGCAGCAACTTGAGGTCCTCCTCGGCCTGAAAGAATCCATTTGAGCGAAAGTGCAAGAGCAACAGCTGCTGACCTCGTCCAGTTTCCAGGCGGCGATCCTCGCTTTTGCTCGACGAAACAACGCTTTTTCGTTCGTCTCCTCGCTGGAATTTGACAAATATGAATGTACCTGAAGGAGATCGCCTACCGTTTCAGCACTTCGCTGGATGTTTCCTCTGCCTCGTGGAGGTCTCCAATGTTCAGAAAACATTGCGACATGTTTGAGTAAAGAGGGATGTTCTGAACATTACATTTACAATACTATCAAAGTTAGAGCTCATAAGAAACCTTTCGATCAAGTTCAATCCATTCTGGCTCTCCGGGTTTTTCTCGGAGAATCAGGGTGTCCAATCTGGTAAGAGCATCACGGTAAACATCGATCGCCTCTTTGTACTCTTTCTGAACTTGAAGCATCAATGAGAATGATATTTTCATGGCAGCCTCACATTCACAAAGTGTGTATTCCCTCTCTGTCGCAACACTTCCACCGATTCAAGTTTTCCCTTTTCGTCCAATTGCCACGAATCGTGCTCGTACTGATCTGGTTCCAACACTTGCAGCAGATGGAATACGAACCGAAGCGGTCGCGGATTCTTCATCAGTTCGTCCAGCTCATCGTACCCGGTGCCTTGAGCGACACTCGCAGCGCACATGTGAGTAGTGTGAGCGTGATGTTTTCCATCGCACGGCTTCACAATGTCTCTCAACTTTTTCGAGACAAACGGATACTGAATGAGATCGATGCAGCTGATGTCGAACTGAGCAACCTCGTCGATGTGCATCGCTTTGAGGCACGTCTCGAACACTGGCAGCTGGAATTGCTTTCCGAACACCAACTCGAGCGGTTTTCCGTAACCTTCTGGCCAGGCCTTTTTCGTGTCGTCAATGACTTTGAAGCCGTCCCTGGGGGAATTGTAGATTAATCGAAGAACTTTCAGAATTATAGTTTACCTGCTCTCCGGGAGTCTCTCATTCTTTTCCGGTTTCTCAAGGGGAAACAGGGTTTGATAGTGGAAAATGGCCTTTGTTCCGTCCTTGTACGTGGGCAGCAATCCCTTGCCGCCACTCAACGTCTTCTTTATTATTGGTCCTTTGAACGACATTCTGGAACTTTCTGTTGCTTTTTCAGTTTGTCTCTGATGAGGTAAAACACTGCATTCACAAACAGATATCCAGAGAAAACTGAGGGAATATCTATCTTTTTCATATTCTTATTATGCACCTTATTATTCACAAGAATGACGAGATTACGAATGACAAGTGACGGATATAGTTATAATTACAGACTTTCAACAGGATCAGAACATTCTATGAAACGGAGAGAGAACTGATGGAAATGAGCATCAAGAGAGAGGGCCATTTGGGAGAGGAAGAGAGCGGGGAGGAAAGATGAGGCGAGAGAAATATCGAATTTATGCAAACGGGAGAGTGACCAGTGATTAGCAGGACGGAAGGGAGGCTCACTTGAGATTATCCGGCCATTCCGGGATGTAGTACCTGCAAAACAGCTTATTAGTGCACATCGCCAAGAACGGCGGAACGCTCACCTTCTGATGGATCCTTCCAGAAGACGATCCATCCAATTGGGGAAGCCGTCGAGCACGTTCTCGACATTGACGCCTCTCTGCGACGAGCTTCTGTGCAGCTTCTTCTTCTCGCCCATCGACGCGAACTCGTCACTGCGATACGATGCCTCGTCGTCGCTGCTCGGCTCTTCGTCAGTGTCGATGAAGTTGCGGCGGCTCAGCTCGACGTGCTTCGGATGGTAGATAGAGAAATAGAGCTTCCATCCGCACAGAGTGAGCACAGTTCCAATGGTGTGTCGGTGGTTGATGAGCTTTAGACGTTTGTACATGGACTGGCTGACGTCTGGTTCGGGCGTCGGGTTGCCATCTGTAGGGAGAGTGTGCTCAAGGAGCTTTCGGAACCAGTCCAAATTCTTCGGAACGACCAGGTATCCGAAGGAGAACGTTTTGTTGTTTCTGAGTGGATACACATACTGTGAGAACTTATTGAGCAGTGCTTCTTTGCTTTCTGGATCAACAAGAAGGATCATGGAGCGACAGCCTGGCTTCAGCAGACGGATCATTCCGAAGTACGTTTCTGCACGCAGTTCATGGATTAACGGCTTCATGATTACCGCCCATTTGGACTTGGCAGGTACGCTCTTCGAAGCGTCTCCCTCTTTTTTCTTCGTGTTCGGATCGTCTGGGTGCCAGTCATTGGCTGTCGTCGCGTCGCCCGTAAGATCCGCCACGTCATTGGCCTTTGGTTTCCGTTTCTTGATGGCATCCGGCTTCTCGCTGAAGTAACTGAAGAGCCATCCAATGCACATGATCATTGTGAGCGTTCCGACGGCCGAAAGGAACATGTAGGTCTCTTCGTTCGACAAATGGAACCACAGCACTTCCCACATTCGCCAGAGGGACCGGCTGAATCGGGTGAAAATGGAGAGACCGTACTCGTTGTTGATCGCATTCACAGTACAGCTTTCATCCAATCTCTTCCTCTGCTCAACCACATTCATTATCAAATCGTCCGTTTCCTTCCTTCCGGTCCATGCTCCTTCCAGCCAGGTGAACTTTGCCTTCACGTATTCCGTTCTCCAGAATATCAGCAAATCTCTTCCCTCGTTCTTCAGTTCTCCTCTTCGTTTTTCGGCGAACGGACGCATGAACTCTTTCTGTTTGTCTATGTAAACGTACGAGAAGTGCACCTTTTTCGCCTTCCACATCTCTGCAGAGTCTCTCACGTAAAGACGGAAAGCCTCCACGTGGGCAGCCTCGTAACTCGTGGAAGTGACCGGCAGAACGACACAGAGATGGCGAGGAGAACGGGAGGAAACGGGACAGATGTCGTCAAGCATCGCTTGAGACGATAACTGAAATTATCAATTTTAGGATAACAATCGACTGCTAATCCGAATTTACCCGAGGTAAAGTGAGCAACTTGTTCTTCTCAATGAATTCGTCGAGTGCCTCTTTCGTCAGTTTCTTGCTTCGCTGATCGACAACCGATCGACCGCATCCTCGTGTTCCATGTCTCCATAGATAAGAATGTTCTCGCATTGAACGCATTTTATGTCGACGGATTCCCTCAATGCTCGCACGTCTTCCGAGTTGTCAGCCAGCGAAACATAAGCGAATTTGGCAAAATGAGAGAAATTCATGGCCGCCAGAAGGTATCTTGTTCTCGGATTTACAGCCGCTCCGAAAATGACAACCGAAACTTTGTTGCTGGTTTTCCATTGGTCGACGAAACGAGACAACATGACTCTCGAGCTGATTCTTGTCATGAAATACTCTGGAATTACTTTCCGAGCAAATTGGAGAATGGTCCTGAAAAGTACGCAATGTTAAATCAATAGAATTGAGCTGTCCCACTTGTCACTGAAACCCGAATCGATGCGCATCGGAATCACTCTTCCCTCGACAATTGCCACGAGAGCAGGAAGCGCTGAAACTCGCAACTTTTCGAGAAGATTTCCGTCTCTGAAGGCGTTGACAGTTCCGATTCCGTAGCCTAAAGGCTCCAGATCTGCGACAGCCTTCTTCCAGAGCGGCTGGAGTCGGTAGCACATTTGACAGTAGTTCGTGTAGACGAAAACGATGAACGGCTTCGTGTTCGACAGCTCGATGATCTTGAACTGATACTGCTGATGCGACATTCGATGTTTGTAATCGAAAACGCTTTCGTCGAAGCCACCGAATCCTCCAAATCCATACTGAAAACAAACCAAATTAATAATTAGTGACAAACAGGACGGAGACTTACGAAGGATCTGGCTCTCTCGGCGGTTTCATCAAACTGCTTGACGTCGTCGAACGTTCCGAACCGATCGTATCGTTCCTTTTTGACAGGATCGGACAGCACTTCGTATGCTTCCGCGATCTCCATGAAACGAGTCGACGAGGCGTCATCAGTACTTCTGTCTGGGTGCCTGAACTCTCTGATTGCCATTGTAAGGATCACTCAAAACTTTTACCATTTCTTGGCAAGCCCTTTATAAGCGCTTTTAATCTCTTTGACCGAGGCTCGCCGACTGACTCCGAGCACCACGTACGGATCTTCCCGGTGCGAACGAGCGGCTGCGAGCAGGAGCAGAACCGCGAGGGACCAAAGTAACCGCATGGCTCAGAACCCTGCAAAATGTGTCATCTTTTGTGCAAACCGTCGGAAAAACAGAGGGAAGTCGGAACGCAAATACTGGCAGAGATGAACAAAAAGTAATAAAGCCGAGCGTCGGCGGCAGCGGACTGCTCATTGTTTCTCTCGCGTCTCCGTCGTCTCTCCCCTCACATCTCGGCTCCCTTCCCTCGAGTGCCTCCGCTCGGCTCTCCAGCTTATCGATCCGCTTCTCAAGACATTCGAATGGAGCACACTTGCCAATGGAAAACTGAGTCAATGCATTTTCAATCAAACAATCAACGAGATTTATTGCAAGAAAAAAAGCTTCAATTCGACATGAAAGAATACTACTGAATTGGTCACATAAAACAAAGCTGTAACTGAGAAGGGAATGCATGAATCGGTGAGCAATAGACCCGCTGAATCTGTCACATTACTAGTTTGAAGAACCCAAAATGTGAGTAAGTGTACAAGAAGGGTAAACAGGGAGCAAAGGGTACATTTATACATCTGTGAGGAAACGGTCTCGGAATGTGCATCGTCCGATGTCCAGGAGCAGCTTGGAGGCCGACTGGATATGATGAGTCTCTATCTGCACGAAATAGGCAGTGGCCTTGTTGAAAGCCTCGTTCATATTCTGGTTCGCTTTTTGCTGAGCCAACTCCTTCAGGGTTGATATCCGAGAGTTGAGCACCGGCGAGTTCGCGTCACATCGCGGCCGTTTCCCTTCGCCAAGCGTCTGTTGAGTCAAGTAGAGTTCCAGAATTTGTAAAACTACACGCAGCCTGGAAAAAAAACACACTGAACATGATGTTTCTGTGAATGTATCACTTACTTCTGAGAGTGTGACGTCTTCTTGCTGCTGATAAGGGCGGTCAGAAAGCTGGATTCGTCTTTTCCGGCCTTTCCTAGATAACGAATAACGGGAGGAAGTAGGTCGTCGGTTGGAGCAAAGTGAGTCGGGAGGGTGGGACTGCGGGCAGCAATCCATTGAATGAGACGGGCCAGAAGACAAACGAATCCGGCCTCCGAGGTGACATGTTTCGGTCGGATGCACGTTACGTAATAGTGCAAATCAAAGAACTTGTTGTCATCGGAACCACCGTAATCCATGAAGACTTTTAGTGTGAGCGGAAGCATCTGTGCCTTGTTTTCGGACGAAGGAACTGTCATCAGGTAACTCTTGATCGTTTTGATGCTGCCATTTGGGAACTGAATCCAATGAAAGAGTTCTGCCCATGTGCTGTCAGTTCCTATAATAAATTAGTTGAGATTAGGAACTCAAATATCCGGACTCACTTGAAAAGTATGCGGCGATAGTCTTTTCGACAACTTTCAAAGCAGTTGTCAGTTGATCCGCATTCAATGAATCGATGACAGTGTTGACGGAGGTAAGGACGAGCGGAGAATTCGAGTTCGCGGAGAGATAATCGGTCCAAAGAGATACAAGAGATTCTGGACGAAAAGTAGGTCGTGGAGACGGAGAAGAAGGAAAAAGGGAAATACCTCCTAATTTGGGATCAGTGATATTCTTCCACAACGCCGTCAGTTCACGAGCCACCACTCTGTATTCTCTCAAATTGGCTGAAAAATAAACGTTGTTTAATTAATCGAATATATCTAACTGACAATGGTTAACAGCTAATAAATTCACATCCGAAATCAGAGAATTGTACATGACAGGAATCTGTGCAGCATCAGCTTTGAGTAGAAGACCGCACTCTGTTTTGATCCATAATGTCTGTTTGACCAGTGCGTCATGCGAGAATGGCTCCCGGGCAACAAAGCAACAGATCTTCCTCCATATCACTTGGATCACCGACACCATTTCGACCGAACTCGGAAGAGTTAAACTCTTCGAGACGGCGTGAGCGATTCCAGTTGCGTCTTCAGGAGTTAAACGGTTCCAGTCGGTTCGCAGGGAGAGAGACTTGACCAATTCCAGCAAAGAAGCCCGAACGTTTTCGTAGTTGCGAGGACGAGCTGCCAGACGGACTAGAACTCCGAAGAGAGAAGCCAGGTAGCTGGGACTGCTGTCCTCGTGCATAGTCTGCAGAATACTACCCCACGGAATGCGTGCCACGATCTGTGAAACGAACGAAGCACAGTCGGGAGAACGAGTGTCCAGACATGTTTCCATAGCGGTTATCGCCAGTTTGACGGCCAAAGAGACTGCCAGTTCAAACGAACGAGTTGCCGTTCGATGACGTTGTAGTAGTGTTGCGTGCCGTGGGTCAAGATCGACAGCTTCTCGCAGTAGTACTGCCATACTAGCGACTGGATGTTTTGCATACCAGGCGGAATACACGAATTGAAAGGAAGGTCCGACAGAAACTCGATGAAACGATCAAGAACGAGCACCGCCTGAGCCTCGTGCGATGGGGAGAATGGAGGATGAGTTGGAGAATAGGGAGCGATGAGCGGGGAGAAGACGGCGGCAACACGAGCGAAGTACTCGTAGCACTCTCTCTGAAGCACTGTCATCGGTTGGTTCGGCTCGAATCCATCACGGATGGGCACGTAGAGGAAGAGTTGAGCGAGGCGAGTGACCGGATCCAGATAGCGAGACCATACACTGAAAGTAAAAGACAGTCATTGTGGACGGATTACACATCTCTTACCCATAGAAATTGGGCAGTTTTGTTCTCGCTTCATCCAATCTTTTAGCCAGCACTCGAGTACATTCGTCAGCTTTAGCGGCACCCATATCTAACGATATTTTATTCTTCTTGAATTCCTTCGCTTCCAACTTGTCCACGATTGCATCCAGAAGGGAAGCGGGTGTTGAATTGGTATTGCAGCCTTCCAGAGTGAGATCAAGTCCATTGACGATATTGTCTGGGAAGTGGTGGAAAACAAAGAAGACGACATGCTGAAAAAAAAATGCGTTTCCTCTCCTCAATTTCCCTCTGACCTGCAAACACAGCGAATGGAGAGGGGAAGACGGGTCGGGTTGGCTGGCAAGATTAGCGAATGCAATTGGAAGAAGAGCAGCGAATTGATGAGGAGGAAGCCCTGCTGCTGCTTGTTGCATGCCAAGTCGACCTGAAATTGTCTGCGCCTCTTTGTCTCCCACGCTTTTTCTTTTTGAGACGTGATGTCCGCATGCGCTCTATTTGACGGGCAAGCACAGAGTGTGAACTATTTTCCACGATTTTTACGAGAACACTAGGAATATTTAGAACATTTATAGCTTCAAAATGAATCAGCAGCCATCCGTTGAGATCGATGAAACTCTATCTATGCTTAGAATGCTAATGCAAAGAGAGTTTATACACTATCTGGAGACTTTGCCAGGTATCGTAAAGGAAGAGCAAGTTTGAAAAATTGATCTTTCCAGGAACGAAAGAGTTGTTCATCGAAAATTGTCTTTTGCGACCTTTAGATATGATTGCCAAATCGACTGATATGAAAAAGCACGGAGTGAAAAAGATAATAGAGTTTGACTTGAATAAGTCTCCTCAAGTGAGTTCTTTTCTGGAGGAAAAATGAATAGAGTAGATATGAAAAATTCAGGTTTGGAATCAAGAAGTCGATCATCGAGTTTTCTTTCTTCGACCTCACGTCGAAAATGCACGGAAGATTGTTGAATACGTGGAAGAAGGAGTGGAGAACCGAGGAATGTGTGTCATTTGGTGCAATCGACAGCTAGAGGAGTGCGATTTGTGTTCGAAACCGCCGGAGTCTTCGGATGCATTACACAAATCAGTCTCAATATGTGCCTATTGCCTCTGGAAAGTGACCTATTCTCCCTGCAACATGCGGAAGCTGCTCAACCGGACATTTATTCGGTCGCCAACATGTTTGTGGCTCTGCAGAACTTATACGGCATTATTCCGACAATCTATGGACTAGGATCTGAACCGAAACATTTATGGAACCTGGTCCATAAACTGTGCAACAACGAGCTACGCGCCCGACCGGATCAGTCGATCAGTCATCTCTTTCTTTTCGACCGCCAACTCGATCCAGTTCCCGTTCTGCTCACAGGTGCTTCGTACGAAGGTCTCCTTCACGAGTTCTTCACTATTGACTGCGGGAAACTCGCATTCCCGATAGATATGCGAAAACAGACATCAACAGGACCGCTGGATTTCGATTGGATTGAGATAAATCCGGAAGATGACAAAGAGGCAAAACACACGAATCGAGGAGATGTTGTGAAGCTGGACAATTGTGAAGACATATTTGCCTCTATTCGAAATAAGCACGTCTCTGCCGCTCTTGAATTTTTGCATGCGAAAGCAAAGTCTATTCAGAAAAGTATCGAAAAATCTGCGACTATTGATGATGTCGCTGACTACCGTAACTTTGTGGAAAAAGATTTGCGGGCTCTCAAATCAGATCACAAACACTGTGAACTTCACATAAATGCGTGCGAGATGATGATGAACAAAGTGAAGATGGAGGACTATCGGACAATGTTCAAACTGGAGCACGAGATGCTTTTGGGCACTGTAACTCAGGAGGACTATTTTGATTTCGTATTCGAAAGAGTGCCCATGCGATCGTGCCGAGATATTGTTCTCTCGATGATGTCTCTGGCTTCGCTTAAATTGGACGGAATTCCCGATGATACTTACAACGAATTCATGGAAATGTATCTTCAGAAGTACGGATACGAGCATATGTTCGAGCTACAGAATCTTCGAAACTCTCGCGTCATCTACGCTCGTCGTCATATTTCTCAAGACCGCAGCATAAGCGACAGAGCAAGAACGTGGGAAGCTCTAGCGCGAAAGTTCAGAATTGTCAAAGGTAACGAACCGATGGACATGTCGAATCCATCGGATATGAGCTATGTGTTCGGAGCGAGAATCGCGCCTCTTCTATGCAAAATTGTGGAAGATACAATAGATCACGGATGGAATCGTGCAGAATACGAAAGAATTATGGGTGAGGTGACTTTCTGATAGAATGTGCGATTACTATGCTCTGCAGGGAAAGACAAGGTTCTCGTGGAGGAGAACACCTACATTGCTGCGGATCGCCGTCCGGACAACCGCATTAGGAAGGCCATTATGGTATTTGTGATCGGCGGAATCACTTACTGGGAAGTGGCTGCTTTACGGTGAGTTCGCGCATTTTGTGATTGAAAATCGTTGTGCATCTTGCAGATTACTTGCAATTCAAAAGAACTTCCGCATCCTCATTTGTGCTACTCACATCATAAACAAAAGGGAATATTTGGACGTAAGGGGCAGGACGCTTCCTCAGTTTTCGGATCGTGATGAAATTACGCTTATAAGTCAGAAATTTGTATAATAATAAATGATTGATTTCAAAAAATAACAACCCACCTAAAAGCTGCAGGGCCATTTTGCTTCGTTCCGGCATTCTCACTGCGTTAGACAGTCGCCTGTACGCTGTGCACAAATCGTCGGAATTGAGCACTTCCGGGGTGAAGACCTAAAAGAATCAAATGGGTTTCCGCGTCGCTAATACCGCGCGTTTCTATATAAATGGGAATGTTAATTAGCCTGACCTCAACGAGCGGTTCGGAAAGCACGAATCCCTCTAATGCCAGTTGCATCACGTCCATTTGCTCTTCCGGACGAAATTTGACAAATTCCTGGAATATGATGAAACTGAAGAAGAGTCGGGAAAAGATAATTCACCTCTCCGAGTGCCCGAAGAGATTGACTGAAGGCTTGGGACGCGACGTAGAACAACAGTTCGTTCTCTCCAATCGAAGAAGTGATGAGGTAGAAGAAGGACCTTCCTGTCAGTTGCACGTTGTTTCTGCTGGCTGGCTGAAGTGTTGCCGCCATGCTGGCAATCGTCCGAGCGAGATGTTCCACACTCGCAGTGGCCACGGCTGCTTTGTCCATCAGAGAAGCGTTCAGCTCATTCCAGAACTCTATCCGTTTGTTCCGATTCAAGCTCATTTGAGCATCGGTCTCTCCGTTCAGCACATTGTTTGCACACTCATTGTACACGCTTTCGGTTTGGAGCAGTACGAGCACCTAATCTCAACGGGAACGGTCTGCTGTGTCGGCTGGTACAGAGCCGTGATCAGTTTGCAGTACGCCTCGTCGTCCATAGTCATTTTGTCTCCGCATTGAGTGTATTGCCTGAAAGAGAACAGTAAGTCAAATAGAAAATAAATAAATCTCTTACTGAGCCAAGGTTTTTATGATTTTTATGAAAGGCGTGGCCATTTGCATGACTGCGTGTTGCTGGAAAAGCACTGATGGATCGACGAGAGGTGCTTGGGGGAGTCCGGAATGTGCCGGCAGAACAACGAATGGTTTGGCGGCTGCCCGATTTCCACGCGGAGATCCAAGATCCGGTGGTAGAGGAGAGTTTCGATTCTTCGGAGCAAGCTGACACGTCACGGAGTACAGTTTCTGTTCTGTGAACTCTTCCGACGAGAGCTGCGGCATGTTCACAAAATCGAGCCACATGTTTTTGTCGCCGGAGAGAATCAGTTGAAGCAGGTAGTCGAGGTCGAACACGGAGAAATCGAAGCCAGTCCGAGTGACTTCGTGCTTAGTGAACAGCCATCCGACGACTGCTTTCGCCAGTCCCTTCGTTTCCACACTCGTCTCTTCAATCGCTTTCCGGCTGCCCGTCATGATGTCCTGCACTTGCGCATCGTCAATCAGACGACGTGCATAGCACAAGTTATGGTTGTTTCCTTTCCGCAAACGGTACGCCGAGCCTGCCAGCTGCTGCAGAAGAATGGGGAGAAGCTGGCTGTCCTTGCACAGAGACACCAGTTTCGCCCATCGAAACACTGCGATTCTCTCGACTGGAATCGTTGTCGAACACTTTGAAGCAGCCTTCTTCACCGCGTCGTTCAGCGTGTACTTGTCTTTTTTGGCGAGCGCTTCGAAAAAGTGTCCGTAGAAAGTGTTGAACGATTTTGTTCAACTCGAAGCATCAGGTAAGATGCAAACGGAGAGATTCCGAGCATCGAATCGGGAATGAGTGGAGAAACTGTGTTGTCTGAGGAGAAAACGGAAAAGAGACCTTTCGATTGGTTCTTCTCGGCTGCCATTTGTTGCTGAAATGTTGTACTGATGAATCCCATTAAACACGAATTGATAGCTCACCTGATAAGCTTGAAAGATTATAGAAGAGATTTCAAACTGGTTTTGGGTGTCATTGACAAATGCGATCCTGGCAATAGTTCCCACAATCTGGTAGGTGACTGCATCTTCATTCCATCCACTTCTAGCCGAACACAAAAGAGTTATCCAGGCACGAAGATAATCTCGAGGTGGCAACTTTGCGGAGTAGTACGAGAGGGCCGAGCATATGAGACGAACGATCGGAGTCGGGGTCGAGGAAGGACCACTCATCCATTGGACAGCGTAGGGCAGTTGGTCAATGTGCAGAAGACGTTCGAAGGTGGCCATGAAGCTAAAAAAAAACCGTAAAAGGAAAGAAATGGACATTACACTCACTTCTTGTCAGCCACCATCAAATTGACACGGTTGTAATGCTGTGCAATGAGACGGGAAAGTAGAACGACGCAGGCGACAGAACTGCCGGAAGACACGAGGTCCGACAGCAAAGGGACGCCCTTCTCCAGGTACACCACGACGTCCTCTTCGTACATCTGCACTATCCTTACATAATGTGCAGTCAAATCATTTGCACCAGTGTCGCTGGCACCGTTGGAAGTTTCAACTTCACAAGCAGGTCCCAACAGAATTGCTGAAAGACTGACTCAGCGTCTCCGACTTTTGAAGCAAGTTTTGATATCTGTTTTATTGATTTGGATATCATGTTATTTGATCGGGAGCAATGCACAGAATGTGCTTTGACGACTGTATCCGCGGCGAGCGCATGCACGTCCACGTCTATCCACAGATTCTGTCCGTCGGCTGCCAATCCCCAATGCAAACTGGAGAGAACTCGACGAGCAAGTCGATTGGCTCCGTGCTCCGGCGGATTGTTTATGAGCCACTTTCCGATGATACTGATCATCGATTCTGTGAGACGACATTCGAAAAGTCGGGACGAGGAGAGCACGTTGATGGCGTAGGTGTCCATGTGCTGAAGATTCCGATCGACGACAGTCAGCAACTGATGAAGAGTGTCCGGCCGTTTCGTCAGAATCTGTGCGATTGCTTCCCCTCCACACTTGTAGAACTCATTGCGAGTCGCTTCATCGCAAAAGCACACCTAAATCACATGCATTTGCTCCACACCATTATTTCTCTCTCTCTCACATCTACAAGTTCCTTCAGAAGTTGTCCTACATCTGAATTCGAGTAAGATCCGATGGATGCTAACGAGTTGACTAAAAACTCTGCATCTTGTGCGCCGAGACTTTCGATCCTTTTCACAATTCCCTCTGGAAACTCAATGTTCTATTTTATTAGCCAATTCTTGTTTCAAGGAACTCACGACTGCGGATTCTGGCCTGTACTTCACAGATTGGTGCCTCGTAGATCTCGTGGATGGACATTTTCTGGTTCGATCTGAGGGCGTACTCGCACCGATTTCGACACTCTTCGGAGACGACGCCGTACGGAAGAGCGACGACGAATTGGAAGAGACCGACGCTGTCACGATGAATGAGATAGTTGAGAGCGAGAAGTACGATGCGATCCACTTCTTTCTGCAGATGCTCTTCGTCTCCGGGACGTACTTGATCTTTGGTCAGGCGCCAGTTGGAGCATAACTCTCGGACGCTGTGCCTGAGGAAATAATCAAAGATTTGTTTATCGATTTCAAGATGAAACTCACTTGAGACTTATTCCGATTTGCTTACAAAACACTTTGTATCCCGGTTTAGCGTAACTTGTCAAACCATTATCGAGAATCTTCATTAGCAAGAGCTGAAATGCGACCATGGCGGTGAATTGAGATCCTTTATCGGGATGAGAGGTGAACGCAAGATAGGCGATCGAATAAAGCTCGGAAATGGGAAGTTGGTCGAGGAACGCAGTGAGATCGGACTCATTGATCGTGACGAATGAGAATTCGTTGGCTTCGCCGTCGTCGTCTGCCAAATCTCCCACGCAGATTCTTCTTTTCAGATTGCGCTACGTGACGAAGAATGATTCGCGAGCTTTGATTGGATTCAGGAGATGCGTGAGAAGAGCAACACAATAATCCAACTTAAGACGGGAGGCGATTGGCTCTGGATGAAGGTTTGGACAAATGGAGCAGCCCAATGATCAATCGGAGAAGGAAGGCGGAGAAGGTGGCAGAGGATGAAGATGCCGTCGTCACAAGACTGACGCATGCTCAATATACATGTCTGGAATATACATGTCGCGATACATGTGTGAGAGGCATGAAAAATGGAAACCTCACCAATTCTTTGATCCATCCAATCAGTGTATCAATAAATCGCTTCGAGAGTCTCGGATATCTCAGATGGTAGAAAAGATCGGAAAGAGCGGCGCGAAGACTGATCCGGCCCGGTGTCATGGGACAGTTTGCAACCACTGAAAGTCAAAAAACGCTGAAGAAATGAAGACTTTCGAGTGCTTACAACTCGGTGGACAGTTGATCGTCAATCCGTTTTCTGCCATGAAATTGTTGTTGATTATGATAATCTGCCACTGGATCTGCAATGCCAACGACCGAAAAGTGGTTTCTTCGCACAGGGTATGGTCCATTAGATTGCTCCTGTTCGTGGACAGAAGCTTCTTCATCTGATCTAACATCTTCTTTTGCAGTTCGTACGAGAAGTACGTGGCTTTCCCGGTTCCGTCGTTGTTGTCTCCACACTTTCCTTTCCCTTCTACACTTAATGTCTGTTGTTTCCAGCATTCTCTCAAACATTTCTGTAGTTCTTCAGTGTTTTCCTTCCCTTTCACTTCGCTGACTGTCATTGAATCGCATACTTCTTTCATTCGTTTCAATAAAGGAAATAGGGACCCCGATTGAGTTGGAACTTCTTCCTCTTTGATGAACTGATCGACGAATATGTCCGCGTGCTCGTAAAGCGGATTATGGTAGAATGCGACGAGATTTTCCTCGGTCATGAGTCCGTACTCGTTCCGTTCGTACGTACAAATCGATGGATACAACGGAGGAGCTTCTCCCTCTCGTATTCGTTCCCGTTCGACTGGAGCCGAGAAGCGAGTCTTTTCCTTAAATACATTTAAATTTAAAAAAAGTAAGTTTGGCAGTATATACTTACAGGAAGTGCGGCTGCCGAGTGTGAGTGCTGGAGTTGTCGTCCATTGATGACAGGATAGATCTGTGGATGTTGGAGAGCAGCAGTGTAGGAAGGAAGTTCGGAAAGTTCGGGAACGGCCGGATAAGGAGTCACTGCCACACTCCTCTTTGGAGCAGCCACTGGAGTCGGTTCTTTCGTCGTTTCTGCCACCATACTCGTACTTCTGGGGAAGATCATGGAGCGAGGGGGAATCGGAGGTACACTTCTTTCTTGGGATCCTCGTGGGGGAGGCGGCGCAGGTCGTACCGGACTGCTTCTAGAATTCGTGATCACTTCAACTTCTGCGTTTTCCTTTTCTGCAATCTCCGTATCTTCTGCATCGCTCAAGACTCTAAAAGATGAAGGTTAAATGGGCTGTGTAATGTCCCGCTCGTTACTGTTCTTCTGGTTCCGGAGACGCCGATCTTTCCCTTCGCTGTTCCAGAATATGCGAGGGTACCTGTAATATCGATTTATGTTTTACACGTTTCTCTTCCCGTTCTTGCTCACAACAGGCAGACGCAACCCGTTCACAATCAATGGCCGGTCCGGAATCGTCGGTGCAATTTCGCTGCTCTGCGGACGCTCCCTGTGTTTCGTCTTCTTTGGACGGACCAACTCCGCCATTTATGTCTGAATCCAATCGATTTTTAATGTTTACTCGTATCGAAGAAGAGGAAGGAGTATGATAGCAGAATGGTTTCTAGAACAAAATTTGCAACGAACAGCTTTTCAATGAATGCAAACACGCACGGTTCTTATTTGCTCGGCGGTCAATGCTGTTTAGGGAAACAAAGAGTCTATTTTCACTAGAATTGCAGTGTGAGTCATGCTATGATGCGGAAAAGATATCCGTTCGACAACAAACAAAAACCTGACGACAAGCACGTGAAATTGATGACGACAATTTACGCATTTTACCGTCAGCGTGTTTGCACACATCCTAGCCGGTCAGCCGTCAAAAAGGCGGGAAAACGTTCTAAAACAAACATCTATTCATGGAAAATGTTATTCTTTACAAACTTGGAGAAAAAGCCGTTCGATCGATCGAATTCGAAAGTGTTGGTTGAGAAAGGGACGAGCAGGAAGAGTGATAAAATTGGTAATCGATTGAAATGCAGAAAGATTGAGGCAGAAAGAAGAGGAGACTGTAAATACAAGTGGGAAGAAGATAAGGGAAAAGGGAATCAATTTGTGTTTCAAGATGTTTATTTTTTTCAAAATGCACTAAGACCATTTTGCAGCTTCCTTCAATCAAATGGATTTTGCTGCACTGCAAACCTCTACAGAATCCATACCCATTTGAACACTACCCAGTATTAAAATCGACCAATATTTAATTGAATAAAACAAACTTCCGGGATTTTGACAGCAGATCTACTTCAGGCTTGAACTTTTCACCACAGGTGAAATGCGGTTTAGCAATTATACAATTGCGCTAATTCTAGACAAATTCTCGGCAAATCTAACCAAAAATTCCCAAATATTTGTTCGGGATTTGTCTAGAATTGGCGCAATTTTATAATTGCTAAACCGCATTTCACCTGCGACAGTACCTTCAATCACATCCAGACAGTTCGTTCGAATCTGACTTTCAGATATCTGAAATGCGTCTTTTGTTTCTTACGTGAAGTTGCCGTGTTTGATAGCATTCGGAAATGCAATCCTCCTCACGGTGTCTCTGATTCGGGCTTACGTCTGCCCCGATGTGAAAATGTATTCAAATGCACACTTGAAACATGTTCTCGTTTCGTATTTATATACGAGAAAGTCTCATACCCCAATGATTCTCTTCTAGGCTGACCCGATTGTTTGACTGCTTTCTACCGAGCTTCTCGTTGCCAACGACTTTCAATTTCAGCTGGTGCGCTTATAAGTAAAACTCTTGATTTCCACAGAAAAAGTCTCGGAAATATGATTATTGTGCTGTTCAGACAGTTCAAAACAGTCAATTCAATAAACTTCCTGTTCAGTTTGATCCCTTTCTCTGCATAGTCAAGTTCTCAATATCTCAATGACGATTAGTTTGTTTTAGGAGTGTGAATAAAGGTTTCAAACGGAATCGGATCGCGCGAGAAAGTACGCGAAACGTCAGAGACCCCAGACACTTTTGACAGGTAATTAATAGCCAGTTAGTGTGAATTTCTGCGATTGGCAATCCAATTCGCATTCGCTCACAGCGAGTTTATCGCTGATTCGTCCTTGCGCAATTGAAACATTTCCTCGCTTATCTGTCACATCTTCCGGACACGAGATTAATGGCGTTTCGAATAGGAATTGAACGGGATATCAATTCAAATGAGAGACGATCAATGAGCAGGGTACTGTAGACAACTGGTTTCGAGAATTCGTTTGGCTTCGGTGTTTGTCATGAAGGACGGACGTCGGATACTGTACTCCAGTGCTCTCCCGATCCCCTGCCCCAAAAGGAACTTGCGTCGGCTGTCCCCGTCCATTCGTTCCCTTCTCAATGATATCATCTACCGCCAGAAAGTGTCCGCGCAAACAAAGTTTATTCAGCAATGATTAATCGCCGGAGACGTTCGCGCATTTTTTTCAAAAAGGAAGCGGCACTTTGTGTTGCTGTTCGAGACGGCATGCGCTTTGACAAAAAGTGAGAGAGAGAGAGAGACACGATTAGATAGGAAGTACGGTAGATGAAGAATCAGGACACCGTAAACTGGATCGGGTCGGAGCAGCTTCTGGTTTCCCAGACATGTCACCCAGTCCCATTTGACAGTCATCGTTACCGTACTCCTTAACAGTTCACCATTATCACCCCATTGTCTCTTCGCAATGTGATCCCATGATGTCGGAGTGATTGCGTCGGCACACTACCCACTTAATCATGACAAATGAGAACCGATTCACCCTAATTGGCTCGCCTCCTCTCCCGGAAGAATGAAACCCAGAGAGTGTAATATTCAATCAGAATCCCGTCGCCCTCTCTTTCTACTTCTCCTTCTTCTTCTTCTTCTTCATTCCGACACGAACACACGTCTCGCCCGATCGCCCACTATTTCAGCCATTGAATCACATTACTCGCCACATTTCGAGGTGAGCGGTTCGCGCAACAATCAACCCCCGAATGTTGCTTTTGCGCCCGTTGGCATACCGTACTCCACTCTTTTGATAGAACACCGCGTACTGGTTTCACTTTAGTTACGACGGTTTATTGCAGACGTCTACAGTAACCCTGAACGAACTGTGATGGGCGGTCTCGTGGATACTGTACTCTAGAAGTTCTAATGAACTTTAATGCACTATAGTCCACCTTTCCCGCTTTTATTTCTGCAACATTTTGCTCCCCGGTCGGTCCTCTCGGCTTCGATCGATAACCCTACACATTCCGTTATCAGTCTGCCATTGTACGTGTGTAAAACGCTGAAAGCATGTGTGATGATCATGCACAAATACGCTCACTTCCATCTGTAGTCGGCATCTGTAAGAAGAAAGGGAAGGTGATAAAAAGTTCTTCTTCCTCCTCTTCTGCTTTCAGCTTGGACCCATTTGTTGCCCTTCTCTCGCTTGTGATATAGTTCAACAAATTAATCGTTTCGAACTGAAAGAGAGGAGGCCGATAATGGTGTGCTCGTACTTCCATTGATAGTGTGAAAGAAGAGTACAGTCTCCGGTCGAAACTGTCACAAAGTGTTGCCTACTTCCGAAAACAGTTCTTCTTCTTCTTCTTCTTCCGTTGGCAGACTGATAACCGTGTCTCAAGAGGCTCGCTCCCCTTCTCCGCATTCCTTCCCTAAGTCAACATCCTTTCAGTCTCCTCCGGTCGCTTCCCTTCTGCATCCGATGACGTGTCCTCCCATCCACGTCTTCATCCCATTCTCCCATTCATTCCCAAATTCTGACTTATCCGCCGCCGCCGCCGCCGCGCGTGGGCACCCTCAAAACGCCGGCAGGGGCGGCCAATATTTGTCACTCACCTGACTAATTGTTTGGTTAGACCTACAACATCCCGGGGCGGCGCGGCGTCCGTCCGTTTTCAACCTATTGATAGATATACACTCACGTACAACAATCCACAGGTAATTGTAGGGATTAGAACACGTTTCACTGATTGCATTCGTCCCGTTCACACTCTTTTCTATTGTCGAAGACGTCCGTTTTTCTTTTGGAGAAAGGGGACGAAACATATGTACATTTGAATGTAAATAAATGTAAACGTGTGAAATGAGGTAGAAGTGCGTGAGTGAGGACTCGAAACGAATTGATAAAAAACTTGAAATGCGCGGCGGCGACGGCGTCGAAATTGAAAGTTTTCGACAGAATCATCGAGAGGACGACCGTTCACTTCTGCCACTTTTGTTTGTTTAGTATAAGTTACCGTAACCTTCTCGAATGAAATTTCTCGAGGTTCTCCTTCTTCTCCTTCTTCTCCTCACGTCTTCCGCCTTCTCTAAACGAATTCATTTCCGATTCTGATTCCAATTTTCTGCTAGAACACGCCGGAAATCTTCCGCTTCCCTACAATTCCATCGTCAAGTTTTTGCTAATTAGGTCACGGGCGGATTAGTCGTCAGAGGGTCGTCCCTCCGATTCTTCCAGACGCTTTCCAGCCGTGAATCGGTTCCGACTCGCTCGAATTCCGTCATTCCGCCCACGGCAACATCTCGATTTCAGCTCAACCTGACATCACACTCGCTGCTCGTTTTCCCTTACGTAAACGATTTAGAAGAGCGAGTGTGCGCGGCGAGGAGGCTCCAGACAGTGTGCTGATAAAAATGACCATTTTGGAAAAGCGCGTCGTGCACCATCGAAAGCGCGTCTAACTAAACCGATAACAAGTGATAACGGGACGGCCGCGAGAAGCAAACGACGAGCCATTTTGAGTTGCTTTTTGTATATTCTGCAAGAAAGAAACACAGTTGCCATTCCGAAGTGATGAGTCTCTCTGCCGAATTCATTTCCTCGCCCCTACCTCCCAAATGAGACATCTGTGTTTTCTTGCCTTCTTATCCCTATCCGTTTTCATGATTCACCCGACTGTTTTGGGTGCGGTCCCGCGTGATTTTTGCACTTTCTCCCGATGAACATTGAAGATTTCCCCCTCTCAATCATTTTCGAAAATATTCTTGTTTTCTCTCTCTTTCTCTCTCTCTCCAAAAAGTTGCATCACAATAATGTTTCCGATTTTGAAATTTCTTAGCATAACCGAACGTGCCGGAGAGCTCATCTTATCAGTAATGACTTATAATCTGATTCTGATTACGCACAAGAGTTTGCATTTTGAAAGAGAGAGAGAGAGAGAGAGAGGGAGAGAGGGAAACCTGCCAATTCCATAAACAAGAAAACGTTCTTGGATGGAGACAAGAAGCCGGATTCAGAGGTTACTGTAGATTAGGTTATCAGTGTAAAAATTGACCTGTGATCAGCAACACCGCACTCATTGTTGTTGCCTCCTCCGGCTGTGTGCGTGTGTAATGGCATAATCAGAATGGAGCGGCGCCTTCCCCTTCGTCGACGACTTCTTCTCAGATTCAGAAGTTGGTGTCATTCTTCGAATACCCCCTGGTTGGATTCTTGTTTTTTGTCCAAAAATTCGCAGGAGAAGCGGAGAGACAGCAGGCAGAAGCAGTCGTAATTGATTATATGATATGATTGAACATGACTTCTTCCCTTGCTGCCACTTTTTTCGTCTTTTCATTCAGAGAGGTGGTCTCGTCTCTCTTTCTCTCTCTCTTTCTCTTTCCCTTCCATTTTGAACCGTTTTGCCACTAATTCATTGGCAGAAAGCGACCGGCGGAAAGCGAAATCTGCGAAGTAATCACTTGACTGATTCGATGTGATTTTGGCACGGATCAAAAATCGGCACCCAGCTAAATATACACGATTTTGCGTACTCAAGAACATCTTCCAAATAGTTTTCACCTCTCTATCTAACCCCAATAGGTCTTCTCCGATTGGTTGTGATAATATATCACAGAGCGGAAGATGAATTGTCTCGGTCATCCAGTCTTACGGTATCTGTCTAGCTTCTTCTTCTTCTTCTTCTTCTTCTTCACCATCATCGTCTTCTACCCCTTCAACTTTTGAATGTTTTCAATACGGCGAGTATCCAATCATCAGAAAGATACAATTGTTGTTCTTTTCTGACTCATCCGCCATGCTCCGTCCATCTTTACGAACGCAAAAGTTCAATTCAATCAGGTGCTTCTTCCTCCTTGTCACTTATCATTTTCACTCACTCATTTTTTGTGGTTTTTTATATAAAGACGACCCAAAACAGACGATCATAAACCATTTTCTCTCCTCGTTCTTCGTCGCTTCCCTCAACGACTGCCCCCAGAAAATGTGGGCGGAGTCTGATCAGCGATTGGGTTGCAGTCGGTCGGGCCGCAGTCGCCCCAGCACGCCTCCGTGCCCGTCTCTTCCGTGAACATGGCCGGACCTTCAGGGCTCTTCGCTGCTCCGATCCTTTCGTTTCCGTCCCTTTGATCGTTCACTCTTTTTCTCTCTCATTCTCTTTCTTTTCTTTTCAACAGAGTAAATACACACAAACACAGTTTTTCTTGCTTTTTCGTTTTCTCTTAAATACACACGAACAATTTTGCAGTCGACACTGGATTAACGACACCTCGAAACTGATCGAGAATCCGTCTGAAAATGATGAGAACCATCGAGCAGACTCCGCCGAATTACTCGACTATCAATGACGAGGTTTGTTTCGTTTCGTTTCTCTCTTTTCGCCTCTTCTTATCATTTGGGTCATTTCATTGATAATCACATCACTCTGAAACTTCTCTGACGTCTTCTTCTCTCCGACAAACGAGAGCTTTTCCGATGCGTTCAGTCACGGCTCACTTCCGTTTCCTTCTGCGTTTCGATTCTCTCGTTTTTGTATGACAAAGTATTACGAAAGTGTGGCACGTACATACGAAAATATTGTCTTCTCCTCCTCCGCTCTGCCTTTTTAGCCAGGTACATACCACACGCATATAAATTACGTACAATAGCGGGGACGAGGTGTCTGACTCACTGCCCGGGTCCTATTCAGAACCGTCCCTCTCCCTCCGTGCGTCCGAAGAGAAAAAGTCTCTCTTCTTCGAAAAATCACTTTGTTGCGCTTCCTTCCTTCCATTTTTGTTGAGGGGTTTGTCGGGCCTCGACGAAAAGACGGCTAATCAATGGTGATAATCAGTGTGCGAGAGCGTGCGCAGGATCGAGAGAGTGCGAGACATCGGGATGGCCGGGTCGAGAGAACGGACGCCCAGAGAAGACGGTGTATTAATTAATGGCACTGGTTTTTTTTTTGGAATCATCGGGAGGGCAAGAGAATCAGACAATCACAGACCGCTGCATTTTTAAGATTCCGATTTCTGCAGAGTTCTCAATTACTCATGATGTTTCAGGAATGGTCGGACATTTACGAGTTTATCAAAAGAGACTCCAGCCGACAGACTGTCCCACTTATCGAGGGTGAGTCATTCGGTTTCGTCCGACTTTGAAATGAGTTAAGGTTTCAGGACTCGACCACCGTCGTCCGGCCTTTTCTCCGCTGGTCACTCCGAATCTCAACTCTGCGGGAACCGTCAAGTCCCGGTTCGCCCACGTGCACGTGCCGGTTCGAGAGCCTCCGTGCATGCAGCTCCCGCCGCCAGGACCACACTTTCAGGCGCCTCTCTCTCCGCATCCCGTTCCCGCCCCGGTTCCTGAATACAGTCCTCCTCACCCACCACCGAACTATCAGTATCAGGATATCTACTACCACCCCCATCCGCCACCAATCACTTCCTGCTATGACGTGGCAACCACCTCATACGGAAATCCTCCGTACTACACCGAAGTGGCCACTCCGATCGCTCCGGCTCCAGTCATAACTCATCATCAACTGAGCCCACCGGCCATCAAGAGCGAGACGCCTCCGTCGAGTCCGGAGACCAGTTGCCTGGGTCCGATCGCTTCCCAGTTGCCGAGTATCAACACTGAAGTTCCCCTGGCACGGTAAGCATTTTCATGTCACATTCCGTAGACCGATGTTATGATTGCGATTGCCAAAGTGTTTTCCTCCCACCGGATCATCCGTCCGAAATCTTTGATAGAATGCGCGAAAAAAGGGGGGAGAGAGAGAGAGAAAGACTTGAATCGATTAGCTGTTTACAACCATATAAATCAAAAGCAATTTCGTCTTCAATCTTGGGTTTGGCGGCAATATGAAAAGAGCGAAGTGCGCCACCCGTTGCCCGACTTCACCTTGTCATGCAAATCAGTGCATTTGGATGCGTGCGCGGGCGGTCGTCACAAGCTCACAGTGGGCGGTCTACTGCTGCCATTTTCCCTCGTTTTGCGCCAAATTGCCGAAAGGAATCTGGTTCAACCAACAAGGAAATGTCGAAAGTTGAAAGGCTTCGGGAGAGAAGAAGTGCGTGGGTGAGGGACCGGTGCCACGTAATAGACTGCTCAAACACTCTCAATGACTCGAAATCCAGTTGGGTGCATGATTAGTCACCCGCTCGAGTCTATTTCTGCCACCCCCGCGGCTGCTGCTAACAGTTTCCATGTTTGTTGACATAATACTTCTTTTCCTTCGGCGCCCCGACACGGTCAACGATCAGCTTAGTGGGGGCCGCCGCGTTCCGCAAAAGAATACAGTCACAGATAATCAATGAAGTCGCGGTGACGCGGAGAGCGCGTTTCGCACCTTTCCATTCCGAAACGGTCGCACATTCCAGAAGGCCTCGCGGGCTCCCCCTGGAAGTTTTTGGAATCCCTTCTGAAGAATTCACTAAAAGAATTCTCTACTTCAGGGTCATACACTTCATGTTTCATTATTTATCGCCGCGCAAACAACAACCCGCTGCTTGTCATCACGCTTCCCTTTTTATCATCTCTGATCACCAACGAATTCGATTACAGACTACCGCACTACGAACTCGATTCAACGCGCTCTTCGCCCTCCTCCACTTCCGATGACACGTCCTGTGAGCGATCTCCGCCGCGCAAATCACGTCTCAAAAACGCAAACCCTGATAAGAACAAGGTCGTGCACGCATGCACCTATCCGGGATGCTTCAAGAAGTGAGAACCGATAAGCGTGGATTAACATTTGTGAACCGTTCCGTTGCAGGTATTCGAAGTCGTCGCATCTGAAAGCTCACGAGCGGACGCATTCCGGAGAGAAACCGTTCGTTTGCAAGTGGCAAAACTGTTCTTGGAAGTTCGCGAGAAGCGACGAGCTCACCCGGTAACTAATCCTAAACACCTTTCATTTCTTCATTTCTAATCTCTTTCAGGCACATGCGAAAGCACACCGGAGACAAGCCATTCCGCTGCAGTCTCTGTGATCGTAACTTTGCCCGTTCGGATCATTTGAGTCTTCATATGAAACGTCATAGCACCATCTAGATTCTGCCACAGTATTTCCCGAATCCCATCATTCCGTACCGCTTTAACTCTCTATTTATCCGCCCGATTCCTTCTCGTTTGCCCACGTCACCACCGTCTGTGTTATCTCCCTGTTCTCCTCCGTTCCTCTCACTTTCAAACATACTGGTCCTTTTGTATAAACGCAACATTTGCTCCGAACCTTTTTTCTTTTCGTGTTCTACTGCCCTTTTCCAAAAGAAAATAAACAGTTTTGACTATTTCTCAATTCAAAATGGAGCCGAAACAGTCGATGGATTGTATCTTGAAAGATCCTAATGTGGCGGCGAAACCGATGACGCCAACGCTGATCACTGTGAGTAATCAGACGTGAAATAGAGTGATCGAATAGCAAATGTGTTTAGGTGAACCCTTTGAACATTGTAATTGAGCCAAAATCCGGACAGATTGATAAGTCCCTCGAGATAAAGTGAGAACCTGATCTCTTCTGAAATGAAATCCATTGTCCCTTCTAGAAATATCTATCCTTGTCGTGTTGCTTTCCGCATTCAAACGAACGGTCCGACCAGGTACACAGTGTGCCCGAACAAGGGATTTCTGAGCATCGGAGAGAAGTCAATCATTCGCATTTCGATGATCGACGGCAGCAAATACCAGTCGAATCATCAGTTTCTCGTGCAGGCAATGCCGGCTCCAGGGGACTTTGCTGACCGGAAACTCATCTGGAAACAGCCGAATATTCTGGGCATTCTGACGAACACTCGCATCAGAACCATGTGAGAGAACCGATTTGGAAGCATAGAGTGAAAAATATATTGCAGGAGACCGGGTCAGTCGAAGTCCCCGAGCCGTTCTAAGAGTCCCTCCAACTCGGCCGCTTCTTCCTCCTCGATGGACTCCAGTACCGCCGGTTCCCCTAGCTCGGACGCCGCTTCCAACGACTCCTTGAGTACTCCAGATGCTCCAAGCTGGGCAAAACCAGCAACTGCTCTTGATCACGGAGAGTTCGCCGATAAGATCAATGAACTGGCGGCTCAAGTGAAAAAGGCGATCACTGAGAAAAAGGCGCGTACGGGCGAGATGGTTGAAGTTGTGAACCAGATCAAAGCGGTCGAGGTGGAACTGGACAGACAGGCTCAATTGGTGAACGAGCTGAGTGAGAGGGTCAAAAAGGGAGAGGTGCAGTACTCGGTACGGCAGATTGTAGACGACTTGTTCGAGTTAAAGTCATCATTCCAGAATCTTGTGGTGCATGAACGGAATCTGAGAACTGAGTTGGAACGTATCAAGAACGGCGAGGTCGGATCGCCATTGCAGTGAAAAATGAACTCTAATTGAAATGAACTGTTCATTGCGAATCTTTTTGAATTCATAATTCCATCAAAACTTTTGAGTATCACTGTCATGAAAGAAAAAATTGGACTGAATTGTAAGTAATCTGCATTCGGGTGGAAGATGACGTCGGAGATCGAAGAGTTGTGAATGAAAGGCAATGGAAGACGGAAGTGGTCGGAAAGCACTTGGGATAGATGGTTGAAGAGCTGAACTTGGACTGTCCGATCATCTCATTTTCACTAAACCGCTCACCTGCTCTGTGAACGTATTATCCAACCAACGATTGGACAATTGCGATTTGAGCCGGATGAAAAGCTCGTGCTCACTGCTGCAAATCCAAAAATAATTAGAATGCACCGCCCGTCCGTTAATCTGACTTATGCAACGGAGTGACCATGAAACTGCGGAGCTGGGTCTTCTCCTCTTTATCCGGGTACGTCTCAAGACTCGTTACGTGAATGATGATTGTTATGGTGTCTGCGAAAGGGTAATTCATGAGGACAGGTGAGGAAGTAATGAGACTCACTTGAGAGTCCCTGCATTTTGACGCTCGTGTTCAGACACAGATAGCTGACGGGTTTCATCGAGGGCACGGATGTAAAGTTGCTGTCGAAAAGGCCCTTCTCGCAGATCGCGTCCAACATTTCAGCCAGAAGTTTCTCATGAATATGGTACGCCACGTGGCGTACCACTGTCCGATCGGTCAGCTCATTGGGCAGAAAGACAGCCGGCTCGTTGATCGGATCTTCTATTTCTCCTTCCAAAAAATACCGTACCTGCTTAGAAGGAAGGATGAACGGAGCCTTTTTGAACATTCGATAAGACATTTCAGATGAGTCTGTGAAAATTCAGAAGTTTGTCTGGATGGGAATGAAACAAAATACATACTGGCGAAGATGGGAAAGTCCACTTGCAACTCGTGAATGTCACTTCGGATCTTCCTGTCAAGAGATCCAACTAGTTTGTAGCAAAACAAATTGTTGAAATAATCACTGAAAGATTGAACATTGAAAATAACTGGGAAAGGAATGCCTACTCGAATGCATCTCGAATTAATCCAGTTACGAACCATCCGTCTGTCTCAGGATCTTCGAGGACTGAAGATACAAATCCACTGAACTCCAACTCACTGTTTCGTTTATGATTTTCGCAGTAAACTCACCAATTAATTACACCATGAATGAATGGAAATCCATTTGCAAAGCTCGGAACTAGAGCTCCGAGAGAAACGGTTTTGAAGCGAACTTTGATGGAGAATGAGTCTCGAAACTTGAAGAAAAGAAAATTCCGAACGTATTGGCCGGAGAGAGTGAGTGAGAGATCGGTTATCTGGAAGGAAAATAGTATATTAATTTAAAGGAGTAACTGTGGGTACATTCAAATAATAGTCTTCGTATGGTCCGGCCAATTCAGATGTGAAATTGTTGAACTGAATGTTGGATACCCTGGTGTCTTTGAGAATTATGCCACAAACGAATCGAGTTGCTTCCATCTCAGGAAGTTTCCATTCAAGAATCTCGTTTCGAAAGTGATCGGACATTGAAGAAATATATTGTTCAATTGCGTTCTGGGACACCTGTTAACGGGGAGAAGATGTATAGAATTCGGGATATGAATACTCACGTCAATGATCAAGTTTTGTGATATCGAAGGTGATATCGGATAAATGAGAAGAGGAAGAAGAAGTTTGAACATTGTGGGCTGAAAGTGGGCAAGAGTTTGGCGATGAAAACAAACAAGTGAGTCAGAAGTCATCCCAAAGATGGGAAACGAGACAGAGAGGAAGGAGAAGTGCAAGAGATAACAGGAAAGTGTCCGATTCCGTACTATTTCAAAGAATGAGCACGTTCCGAGCGTTCATTCCGTTTCTGAACGAGATGATTCATCGCGAACGCATCAATTGTGCAATAAAAGCTGGCAGGAAGAAATGAAGAGGAGACCGACTATACACGGTGGAGCAGACGGACAGAAGACGCATGTTTGCACACGAATGAAGTATCGATTCGACCGTCTGCAACTCTTATTATATATCACACGTATCAGTGTTCTTGTTTCACGAATAAACTATAACAAACGTGTTGGAACGATTTGTGCGCTCATTTCTAGGAACAGCCGTTCAAATAAAAGAGCATTTCATGACAGAAGGTATTGTGCAGCCGATCGCAAGATTCGACCCGTTCGCAGTGAGGCACACAGATACCGGACTCGTTGAGCTGCCGAAGGGCAAAGTGGTCGGCTGCTCGTGGCAAGTGGTTCGGAAGCTCGGCGAGGGCGGATGCGGAAGTGTGTACTTGGTGCGGAATACGGAAGACGAGACGGAGGCGGCGATGAAGGCGGAATCGAACGGAGCCGGCGGCGGATGTGTTCTCAAACTGGAAGTGGCCATTCTGAAGAGACTTTCCGGACGGCCGCACGTGGCACAGTTGATATTCGCCGCAAGACTCACTGACTTCAGCTATATCATCATGACTCTTTTGGGCGAGAGTTTGTACAAGATTACCAAGTGAGGAGAATGTGAGCGTCGGTTGAAGTGTATTGTTCGATTCTAGAAGACTTGGACGGCAGTACACAGTGTCTTCGCAGGTCAGAATTGCTGCGAATGTGCTCTTCTGCATCAAGCAGATCCATGACGTTGGCTTCATTCATCGGGATCTGAAGCCTGCGAACATTGCGCTCGGATACAATACGAGCACGGAAGAGTGTCGGTTCTTTCATATTCTCGACTTCGGACTCGCGCGTCAGTACGTCGTCCCGCAGACGGATCAGCCGAGCAAACTGGTGATGCGGAAGCCTCGGGAACGGACACACTTCAGGTGAAATGTTCAGGTGATCCAATTGAATACCGCTCGTTAATTTCAGAGGAACAACACGTTACTGCTCAATCCGGATGCATAATCGTTTGGAGCAGGGAAGAGTTGATGATCTCTGGAGCATGCTTTACATGCTCGCCGAGCTCAGAGGACCACTTCCATGGGCGGCACAGATGTTTCTCATTTTGAAAGGCTCTCATTGTATGGCGAATTTTCAGTGACAAAAGACTGGTCGGGGAAATGAAGAAGTTGTACACCGATGATATTGTCCTTCAGAACAGTCCAATTGAATTCCTCGAGATCGCTAGTCATCTGAGGTTTGTTAAAGTCTTTTCAGACCCTTTCAACTGTTTTCTTAATTTGCACAGAAGCTTGACCTACTTCAGTCGTCCCGATTATCACAAGATCTACATGATATTGATGTCCATTATGGAGAAGGGAAAATTCTTGTGGAACGATCCGTTCGAATGGGAATTACCGTATGAAATTGTCGCGTTCCAAACAATCATTCAATTTCTAGACCTCCGAGAGGATCATCTGCTTCGCCGATCAAAAAAGTCGAGAGACGGACAAAGCGAGCAAAGAGAAAATGGGAAAAGAGAAAAATAGCAAAGAAAAGTTGAGCAAGGAGAGGTTGAGCAAAGAAGAACTGAAAACCGCGAAGATCAACAGCAAAGAGAAGGCGAGCAAGGAAAAAGCGAGCGGTTCGGCAGAGAAAACGTGCGGATCGGCGGAGAAAGTGGAGAAGTTTGTGCGGATTCTGCCGTTCGATCCCGATTTCTTTGCACTTGATCCTTTCGGTTTCTGAATAAAAACTCAACACGTGGATAGTTGTCCAACGTGAACCGATACAAGACTAAAACGAGAAGTTTCCCGATGAAATGCATTGCGAAATTCGTCATCCTGCAATGAAGATTGTTTTTCTGCTCCTCGCTCTCGGAGTCTTCTTCGCATCGGCCAAAAAACAGTCGGTTCGAGTCAAAGGAAGACTTTTGTGCCGTGAGCTCCCGGAGCAGTACGCCGAGCTCCAGCTCATTGACAAGTGGATGCTTTTCCGTGAGTCTTCCACGAGTCATATGCCCTTCCTCACAACTAACTTCCAGCAAACACCGTCATGGCCCGTGACAAGTTCTCCGACCCGTCCGGATTCTTTGAAATTGCTGGCTTCGTGGATTCGAAATTCGACGTGAAGGTCGCACTTCACATCTGGCACCACTGTTACGAGCATCCGGCCGAGCACAAGGATCCCTGCCAACTGAAGATCAAGGTGCCCATCCCGCCGATCTTCGTTCAGGACGGCGCCACTTCTCCGAAAGCCTGGGACCTCGGAGACATCGCACTCGACACATATGAATCCAAACTGACGTCGTGCGACTGAAGGCAGATGAATTTCTCGATCCCTACCCGAATGAACTGTCTCTATCATGCCGTTTTCCGTTTTCTAATTCATTCTCCTATCTTATCAACATGTCGTGCACATCAAACTTGAGATGAATCGTCACTTTTCCCCGATAGAATGAAATTTTCCTTCCCTTGAAACGAGTACTGAAAACAGATCGCTGGAGTGATAACTGATAACCCATTTCCGCGTGACGTACTCCAAAATTCCAAAAGGCCCCAGTGGCGCCACTGATTGTTTGCTCCTGGAGCAGTGCTGAGTCGGAGGTTTTGAATAAACTCGAATGTTTAACGATAAGAAAAAAAATTGAAGATAAGGGAACTTCTCTAACTCTAACCAGTAAGGAATGTTCGAAACCGAACAAAGTGTCAAGAGTACGTACAGCTGTGATTCAGAGGAGGCACTGCTGGGCAATTGGCCGGCCCGGGCTTTTCGTTGACGTGACCTGGACTTTAGAACCACTTGCAATATTCCGATCGGACCCAAACTTTGCATGATTGTTGGACTTGGATTGAGGGCCATTGGGACCAAGTTTCAGCTCGATCGGATCGTCGGGTCCCGAGATATGTGGATCATTTGCCGATTTTTTCCAAAAAGGCTGGGCTTCTGGTCAATTTCGGCCAATGATCCACATATCTCGGGACCCGACGATCCGATCGGGCTGAAACTTGGTCCCAGTATGCTTCAGCACATGTCCAAGAACCCTGCAAAGTTTGGGTCCGATCGGAATATTGCAAGTGGTTCAAAGGTCCAACGAAACGACGAAAAGCCCGTGCCGGCCAGTGGCCCAGCCCTGAGAAGAGGTGAATCATGCGGTTAGAGGGCGTGCACAGTAGTTGGGAACTACTGAAATGATAAACATTGCGAAATAAAAAGGTGTCTTCTCTACAGAATCGCTGATTTCAGAATTCCAAAAGTCCAAGTTTCACGGAGCAAACCTCAATCCGTCGCAGACCCTTCTTAAGTTCTTTTTGTCACCACTCCCATTCCATTCAGGTTATAATCCGTTATAATCCGTGTGTCTTGACAGTTCTTAGATTACGTAGGAAAACAGTTATCAGCGACGTCGCCGTAAGTATTTCAGTACCTTCTGCACCGAAATCACATTCCGCCAGAATCGCAACATTGCCATGTCCTGAGTCAGAGTCGTAAAACCTGCAGCTCTATTCAGAACATGGCCCTGTTTGCCGACATTCCCGCCTCGTTGCCGTTTTCCGATCCTCCGCTCATTCTGAATCATCGTCGCCCGCTCGATTTCGATGATAATGATGATAGTTTTGTGCCAATCAGAGTTACTTTTCGCCTCGCTTTGCAGATGATTCACTGCAAGTCTAGAACCTGATAAGAGTCGCCATAAAGCCGATTGGCGGTAAAAGAGGAGGAGTTTGAGGGGCGAGTTTCCATTGACATCACCCCTCTATAAAGCACTCTCTTTTCTCTTCAATTCTTGTCCCAAATGACACAATCAGTGAACTACGACTTGCAGACTCAGAGGATGACTGCTTCTCAGCAGAGCACCAAGATCTTCGGCAGGTTTGATCCTATTCACATCGCCCTCGCCGTCATTTCCATCATCTTCTTGATCCTTTCCATTGTCTTCATCATTCTCTTCGCTACTAAACACGGTGAGCCTTTTTTATGCTGGACATCTTTCCACTCTTGACCTACAGATACTTCCACTGGATTCTTGGCAACTGGTTTCTCGAACAACAATTCTGACGATGTGTCCAATGAACTTAGAGGTCTTCTGAAGAACAAGTACACTGTGAACTCTTTTGCTCTTGAACTCGAGTAAGCTGTCTTGTTCCCCACATTCTCGTACTCATAACCTATTTTTATTTCAGAAACAAGGCAGTCAGTGCAGTGTTTTCCCTCCGAAACTCGGTTTCGACAGACGACGTGCAGAAAGTTCTGTCCGCTTCGAAATTAGTGACCCAAGTGGAGACAACTTGTGAGTCGTTTAGTTAATATTGGCGGCGGCGTGCGGATTAGCGTACCGGAGAGGTGTGAAACTTTGTGGTTGATAAGAGGGAAACGGATGATAAGCGAACAAATAATGCATTTCTTCACTTTTGCGCATGATTTATGATGAAATTTCAAAAATTTCTCTTCCCGAGTTTTTGAGATTATGCACAGTTTTTCTTCAAAACTTTCTCCTCACGTTTGTTCAGCAGACAGAGGCGGTCATTTTGAGCACAGAGACGTCCTATAAAAAGCAAAAATAACTCAGGAATTCAAGTTTTTGAGGTTCAGGACTGAGACTCACAGAAAAGTGCAAATTGTGCGTTTTCTAGTGGGCAAAACGCTAATTTAAGGTCACAGCTGTTATAAACAATTCTGAAATTCTCTGTTTCACCTCATTTTCATTATTTTGTGATGAATTTTCGGGTTTTCGGAAAAAAAAATCCAAAAATTTCAAACCTGCTTTTGTTTTTAACGATACTCCGTTTTAGCGCGGCGCTCAATTCAGCATTAGCTATTGGGGAGGCAGTTAAACGAAGAAAAAGTAATAACTAAAATTTTATGGAAACAGATGGAGACAAGGCCACCGCCGTTTGCCGTCAGGCCCAACTCGTCGTTTCGACCGTCGCCCCGAACACCACCACTTCTGCGCCCACAACGACGGCCGCTCCGACCACTACCGCTGTTCCTCCAGCTTCTACCAAATGTGAGTGCCAACTTCCAACTTCTAACCATGCTCGATTGATTTAAGACTGCAAGGGTAACCCGGTCACTCGTGATATTCTCCTCGTTATCGACCTGAACCAGTTGCAAAAGAACAACCAGACCGAGAAGGTTGCCAGTCTTCAGAACGTTCGCCAGAAGCTTCTCAACGGAATCACTTTCCCGCAAGCCAATGTTTTCCTGAAGGCCGTCGTCGCTGACAAAATCCAGGATATCTCGACCACCTGGGCCAGCACTGCCGCTCAACTCGATGCCGACTTCAATAACCTGTTCGGAATCACTACTTTCACCGAGACTACTTCCCTCAACTTCGCCTCGATTCTCAAAAATGGAGTTGAATCGTTCAGAAACGGAAGATCCTACGTCCCCGGAGCCATTTTTGTAGTCACTGACAAGCCGATCTCTCAAGACCCGGTCACTGTGACCCCCAGAGATTACGGATTGTTCGTCGGAGTTGCTGGAGTCCGTGCGAACTACGTCGCGCAGTACACTTCGTATGCCGATTCGATCGCTTCCTACGATACCTGGACCTCTCTGGCCGAGACGGACCCATTCCAGACATTGGTTTGCTCCTGTGAGTAGACTTAAAAATGCTGGCATTTGTGAACGCATCATTTTCAGTCTACTCCCTTCCCGCTGCCCAACTCGCATCTCGTTTCGCCTACCCGTTGGCCGAACTTGATGGTAAATTGAACTGCTGTCTTGACACCAGACAATAATTTTGTTCAGATCAAACGAACACTCCAAAGTGTCAAGTTCTTGACATTATCATTGCCTTCGATACTTCCGAGTCTCTCTCCAGAATCATTCTCCCGGTAAATCCTCTTTCTGTACGAGGTTTGTTTTAATTTTGTTTTCAGAAATACGTCGACTTCGCCAAGAGACTTGTTGCCCAGTACAAGTACAATAATGACGAGTTCACTCGTGTCGGAATTCTCACGTTCAAGTAGGTTTTTCCGATATCATTGACAAATAGTCATTCGCCTTTTCAGCGCTGACGTCACCGAGAAGCTCACTCTCACCAACGGAAACAACTTGGCGGCTATCAATGCCGTCATTGATTCCGTTGTGTACACTGGAGGACTGACCGACGTTACCAAGGCCCTGAAGGAGGCGAAGGACTATTTCACAACCGAATCGACCGGTACCTCTTCGAGAGTATACATCGTTCTTTCCGATGCCGTTCCGACCGTCGATACCTACCAGGATGAGATTCAAGCCGGGCAGGACCTCAAGAACATCAACGTCGCCACCTTCTTCATCGGATACTCTTCGTACAGTGATGACGTTAAGAAACAGCTGGGACAAGTGACCAACCCGGACTACGTTTTCGGAGACATGTCCGACGCCACTTTCACTGGAGTCACCAACCAGATTCTCATTGCCTATCCGTGCCCAGTGCCGAGTACTTTCAGTAGCCCAATCACCTCTTAACAAACTTTTTTCAGAATGTGTCACTGCTTACTATGCCGTCGAAATCAGTGAGGCCACCAATGACTACGTCGTTCAGAATCTGAAAGACGTAATTACAATTGCCTCGAACGCCGCCACGCAGCAGCCTAATATTGCTTCGTATCAACTCGTCACCTACAACGAAGGAAATACCAAATTCAACCCAGTCGGAGATGCTTCTCTCAATTCATTCACAGCCTTCGTCCAGGATCTCATAGACAATCCGGCAAAGATAGCCGCTCTCCGTTCTGGAAACACTCGTCTTGACACCGCAATCATCGATGTGTCGAACCAGTTGGCGGCTCAAGCCCTTAAGAACTCTCGTTTCTCCGCCAACATCATCTTCTTTGGACAAGCTAACGACGCCGTTCTGGATCCGGATGAGAACACCGCCAAGAAGAGGGCCGATCTTCTCGCTGCCTCCACGCAACTGAAGGCGCAAACAGCCGGACTCATTTTTGTTGTCGACGACTCCAGACCGGCTGATTTGTTCGGAGAAGATCTCTGGAACAGTGTGACCAGCGACAGTCGCATCATTCAGAAGAACGACGACATCAACAGTGTGCTCGAGCAGACCGATTACTACACCACTTGGTCGAAGCTCTCGTGCTCTCTGCCGCCACTCGGAACTTGCTTCGACACGCAGCTCGACGTCGCTCTCCTCATTGATCTTCAGAACAAGACTACGTCTTCATGAACTACATCACCACTCTCCTCGCTCAGTTCTCTGCTCAGGATGACACTCATTTCTCCATGATCGGCTACGGATCCCAGAAGACGTCCGTTCTCTCTAACCTGACACCTCACAGTATCCAGGAGATCCAAGATTACTCGGTTGTCTTTGAAGACTGGAGGAACGGAAGCGATTTCATGACAACCATTATCACTCCGGCTCCAACGCCCATCACTGAATCTACCAAAAGTAAACCGTTGATTTCAAAAGGATAAATTCCAATGTGATTGTTTTTCAGTGCCAGCTGACTTCTGGAACAACAATCTTTACACGGTTAACAAGGACACAATCTCAGGGTAAGCTTCCTTCTCTACATTCATCAGCTCTGCTCATTTCGCATTCTCTTCCGAAAGATCCTCAGACTTGTGATCTTCCTCCCAATCATAGGAATCCGTCAATGTTTTCGGAAAGTAGAGCACTTTGATGCATTCGATCAGTTTATCATAGCACGGCTCTTTCGCCGGGTCCATCTCCGAGCACAATTTGAAAAAGTCGACGAGCAGATTGTTGGTTCCTTTAAACATTTCCGGGTTGACCCCATTCTCTGTCTGCAAACAAACGAGGATGAATGAAGGAAACAACTCGCTTTCTGACCATTGTCTCTTTCAACTGAAGCACCTCCTCCGACTTCTCCAAATGCTTCCACGGCAGTTCCCCGGCCAGAAGCTCGTACGAAGTGTACATCACCGAAGCAATGTCATCGTACGGAGCCTGTTCGCATCGGCGATGTACTCGGATCGAGACGTAGCGAGTGGTTCCTCTGAACCCGGCCCGAAGTCTCGGTTCCCTCCACTCGCCGGTCTCCGTCTTGTATCTCCGAACCAGACCGAAATCCAGAAGAATCAAAGTGTGGCATGTCTGGATTCTAAAATTCAGCAGCAATTCGCGGTTCTATTCTGATACCTGCGGATATACTCCGAAGCACATGTTCGCTGGTTTCACATCCCGATGCACATATCCCGTTTCGTGAAGATCGCGCAAAGCGGAGAGGACTTGATGGATGATCCGTCCGGTTGTGCACTTGCTCAGTCTTTTGTTCACGCTGCTCTTTTTCATGTCTCCGACGTTGATGCTCAGAATTTGCATAACTGAAAACAGACTTCATTTGCCTTGTACCCAGCTCCCCAAACTTACTGATAAAGTTCAGTTTCTCCGTATATCCGGAGCCGTAAATCAAAGGCACGTGGGGCTTCCCCTGCATTTTGAACAGCACGTGCTGCTCGAGAATCATCCGCTTAGCCAGTTTTCCTTTTCTTTTCTTCGGCTCCACCTTGATCGCCACTTCTTCTCCTCTCACCACATCAACCGCCAGATAGATTTCTCCGTATCCGCCTTTCCCAATCATGCCCTGTACAGCCCATCTTTTCAAAAACTTGTCGTTGATTGTCAGTTGGCTCGGCTCTTCGCAGTCAATCTTTTTCAATTTCGGCAGAATATCCTGGTTAGCAAACGTTTTCTCTTCGCTCCGTTCACTCTGAGTCGCTGCCAGGGAAGGAGTCTTCTCTGCCTCAACCTGTTTCTTTTCCTTCATCATTGTTCTTCTTTTTTACTGTTTCACAATCGTAAACAAATCAAAAATGTCATCGCTCGCCGAGTGCAAACAAACATTTGCAAATGAAAATGTCAGAAGGGCCGTCACGGAATGAATCATTATTTTCAGCGTCTTCGATGCAGTCAGCACTCAGTTCGGATGCGGGCACTACAGTGACAACGGGGACCGTCTCTTCGCCCCCAACCTTTTCATTTTCGCTTCCGACAACTTTGGAACGTACACGGACACAGTTTGGAGTGATTTCCAAACGGAAGTCCACAACAGATACGGCTGCTGGGACTGTGCTGGCACGCCTTCTTTCCTCTTCATTTCGAGGACAGACGCCGCAGCCCCGACCAACCTCGGCACAACGGTCAAACTCTCGACCACTGAGTTGGACATTGATGCGACTGACGACACGTCGACTCAGGCAAACATCAACAAGTTCAACAGCATTGTCAACTCGATCTGCGTGGCTTCTCTTCCACGTAAGCCCCTCTTATCAACGATCCCTTCTTATTTTATCATTTCAGAATGCGCATCATACACCTGTTCGTCTTGATTTCTCCAGGATTTCATTCTAGTCCACTACCCGAAGAGCTTTAAGAATATTTCATTTTGTTGTTGAAAAATTTTGAAGAAACCAAATAAAGCAAATGTATATGTGAGAAATAAATGTCTATGATACACAGGCTAGTTTGTATTTATTAATATTACTGCTTCGTTGGTTCCTCATCCGACAAACGTGCTGATTGAAACGCATCGGAAAGCATCGGGAAGCAAAGTCAATTTTTCCACCGATTGTTCTTTTGCAAAGATAAGATAAGGCTTCACAGTTTCCTGTTTTCCCAAGCTCTCGGAGCAAGCTGCGGAATGTCTTCTGCGTCTCGCACGGCACATTTGATCCAAACAATATCTAACCAATCGGAAACAAAATGAAGAAGAATGCTCGGAAATACATGGGGCGATTTGAAATTCTTTGGAAAGGCGTGTCTTCTGTACGGATCTAATAAAAAGGCACGTATTGGCTCAGATGTGTTTTGAGGGGTTGTTTTTCCAATGGAATCATTTTCTGAACCTGAAGATGCTCTAAAAGTGTGAAAGTGACACCGTGAAATGTGTCATTGACATTCCTTCTTTCTCTTCCACTTACCAATTGTGCATCGCCTTTTTAGAGGCACCCAAGTAAAACGGAGAGTCTTCCAGACAGTGTCGAACACTATTCAAAAGTTATTTGCTTTTACACCAACTAATTTTCTCTCAGAAAATGTGAAAACCATTTTTTATTTTCGTTTTCGTTTGTCATCCTCCTTTTCCGCAAAAAAACGTACCTTCTTCAGTGTCATCATCGTTCGCCACTGAGAGTATCTCAGGTAAGCAGTTGATTTCACGAAACCTACCGCCCCGTGGCATTTTCCATTAATAGATGTCATTGGCGATGTTTTTTATGTACTCGATGTGTTTAGTATTGTTGTGTTGAAGCAGTTGCTTCTTTGGTGGCTCATTGTCCGAACTCTTGGTACAAATTGGTTCAAGAGTTCGGACAATGGGTCACCAAAGAAGCAACTGCTTCAAGACAACAATTTTCCATCAACAAATTCCAGAATGATAATTCAGTCAGCGGCGCTAATCTGCTTTGCCGCGGGCGCCGCACTGGTCCATGGCGGCGTGGTAATCAAGGCAATTTTGGTATCTGTACTCAATTTCCGGATTTCAGATCACTGCGGATCTTCTGCACACCAATGTAACCGTCAAGTGGTCCACCAATTATGAGCATCAGGATGTCGAATTCTCGATTTGGTTTGGAGTCCGAACTCCCGATGTCTTGTTCCTGGGATTTTCGGACTTCGGAGAGATGAACAACACCGACGCGCTCGTGTATTTCGACGGAGAAAAACATGTCAAAGTAAGCACTAAATCTCTAGATCTCCCGCCCTCTATCATCTTCTCCAAATCTTTCCTTGATGGAAACACTCGGTAGTAATGCCCATCCCTAAAAAAGGGAATCTCTCCGATCCCTCCTCCAATTGCCTTGTAATAATGTTTCAGGACAGCTATACGGACCGAAACTTCAAAATCATGCCCGATGTTCAGCAGGACTTCCAGTTGATTCGAAAGAGGAAGGATCACATTGTCGTGAGACGAAAGCTTACCACGTGTGATTCGAGGGATTACGCTTTCCAGGTACGGAATTCGAGGTTGTCAGCCTATAATCCATGAGTGTTTTCTTTCAGGCAGGAACTACACAATTCTACATTGCTGGCACTTGGAATCATCTCGATCTTTCCGACATTCGTGACGAGAGGTGGTTTGTCGTGAGTCTCTCGTATCCATTGCCTTCAAAATGACCCCATTACCATTCAGGACAAGAAGTTCGGCAAGGTTGTCGAAGGTCCCACTGACCAACCGAACGCCGATGAAAGCCAGCAAAACTGGAGAAGGATGTGCAAGTGGTGGTTGTGAATAGCAACAGCCCGGATCCGATTCCGAACGTCGAGACCACCTATCAATGCATCATCCGCCGGATGCCATTCGACACAATCAGCAAAACGTACCACGTGGTGAGAATGGAGCCCTACATCACCCCGGGAAACGAGCACTTAGTGCATCACATGGAAGTGTTCATCTGCCGTGACGAAGTGGAGGAGTGGAGTGGAAGTTGCAACGACGCAAAGAAGCCGGCGAAGGCGAAGTCGTGCAGTCATGTGATTGCTGCGTGGGCAATGGGAGAGGGTCCGATTCAATATCCGAGAGAAGCCGGACTTCCGATCGGTGGAAAGGGAAAGAACGAGTATGTGATGGTGGAGATTCATTACAATAATCCGGAACTTCACAAAGGAGTTATGGACACTTCCGGATTCCAGTTCTTTGTCACGGGAATGTTGAGGTGAGTAGAGAAGAGGTGACGCGTGACGTTGATGGAATGTGGTATGCTTTCAGAAGATACGATGCCGGAATCATGGAGTTGGGATTAGTTTACTCGGATGCCAATTCAGTCCCTCCTAATCAAAAAGCTTGGGCTATGAATGGATACTGTCCATCTCAATGCACTCAAAATGTAAGTTTGTACTCAAACGAAAATATGCGGCGCGTCAAAAACTGTTTTCTAGCTGCCGGAAGAGGGAATCAACATCTTCGCGAGTCAACTGCACGCCCACCTGACTGGAAGAAAGCTGTTTACGACACAGTACCGATCGGGCGTTTCCGTCGGTGACGTCAACCGAGATGAGCACTACTCGCCCCACTGGCAGCATTTGCAGCAGCTCCGTCCGTTCGTCCGGGTCATGCCAGGAGATACACTCGTCACGACATGTGTCTATGACACTAGGAAACGTTCGAAAGTGACGTTTGGTGGTTATGGAATCACGGATGAGATGTGCGTCAACTACATTTACTACTATCCGGCTTCCGATGTTGAAGTCTGCAAATCGGCCGTCTCCAACAGCACTTTGAGAGCTTACTTTTCGCAGAGGTACATACATTTTCATCTGTGTTTCTTTCTCTCAGTAAGACGTCCTTTCAGACATGGCCTCGACGGAAAGACAATGAGCATCTCGGAAATGTACAATAGCGTCCAAGACTGGGGAAATGGCGTCGATGAGGAGTTCTACAACGTCTTGTCCGTCGGAAATTTAAACATGAACTGTCTGCGATCCAACGGAGAAACGTTCAAGTTCAGCAGCAAGGACAAGCGACAAAGCTGGGAAAACATGGCGAAGCCGCAGTTGTACTCGGGAGCATTCATCAGAACTCGCGATCGTTTCCAGTGCCCGGCGATCAATGACATGATCAACTTTGAGTAGTTCAATTCACTTATTTCATCACTTATCACACATGTTCGGAAATTGCATAACTATGAATATAAAGACTTTTACCGCAACGGTGCTGACAAGACTATTAGAAGAGCTTCATTGTGTTGTTGAAAACTTTTGAAGAAAGCAAATGAAAAATGTAAAACAAAGATGTTGACAAGCAATGATTATTCGTTTGTTGCTGACATGTGAGAGAAAAGGGCGGGATAATAGATATAGGAAACAAATAATTTATCTCGTCAGTTGTGCTCAAACGGAACCAGCATAGTTCTTCAGTTATTTATATAAATGTTCATCGGCAAAGGGAAGAAGACACTCAGATTGCACAGTCCTGAATGTTAATGGCCGTCTTTGCTTGCTTCGGATGAGAGATTGTGGTTTGATCGAAACGGAGCGAGATAATGCAACCGTGGAGTCCCGTGAAGTCACGACCATCTGGGGATCCTTCCGGCAGGTAGTTGTTGCCTGAAAACGTCAAGATCCGTTGAGGACCAGAACACGGGACTGGCTTAACTCACCAACAAACACACTTCGGTAGACATTCAGCTGTTCAGCTCCGGCCGGGGCGAATCCTGTGATCGGGTCCTCTCCATTCACCGACAGCTTCACTTCATTCTTGTTTCTGATCACCTCTACAGTAACCCATGTCTCTTCTTCAATTCTTTTCGGATGCGTCAACACAACCGTTCCGGATCCCAAGTTCAGAGCGAAACGAACGAATCGGTTGGAGTCGATGGCGAGCTCGAAGAAGTCGTCCTCGTGTGTGACGTCACCGCCCGAGACAATCACTTGTCGCAAATTTTGAGTCAGATTGCGAATTTTGAAGTTGACAGCCATGTCGAGACTGTCTCCAGTGATGCTGAAAATCCATTTGTTTGTTTATTGAAGTAAAGAATTACACTCACTGGCTCATGACCGCCTCGTCATTCAGTTCCATGTACGAGAATCCTCCGAACGCCATCGAAGAGATTTCGGATTCCGAGGAAAGTGCGCACTTGTGCCCGATCATTGGCCATTCGCACTGGCAAATCGGCATTGAATTGTGGGCAATGCACTGTTTCGGGCATCCGAAAGTAGAACATGGATCTGTGAAGCACTCGGAGACATTCATAGACTGGGAAGACTGCATGGGAATGGAACGGCCGTTGAGACGAAGCTGAAAAAAGCGCATTGAGTTAGACTTTCTGCTTTTACCACTCACTCTTTTCACGCATCCAGAAAAACCATCCAACTGCTTCACGACGGTCGGGCAGTCATCTTCATTGAGAGATCCTATGTAAATGTCTCCAGTATCCTCGAACAGCTCCGACTTGATTCCGTGCAGTTCCGACTCGACCCAACTCTGTTTGTTCACTTTCAGAAGCACTCCTTTTCCGCTTCTCCACACTTCCAACTTGTGCCAGTGGTACAAACTGACTGCATTCTCGGATCTGAACAGATAATGACTAATTGTGTGTTTACTTTCTCAAGTGAAACCTTAGAATGGTGGTGTCCAGTCCGAGACTTGCGTACACTTTGACAAAAGAGTTCTCGACAGTGACAATCAGGAATTTCGAGTTGTCCTTCCAGAAGAAGATCACTCCGTTCGGTTGCTCCGTCTTGAACTGGATTGAGAGCTCCAGATAGCTGAGGATGCTGTTCGGTGCGGGAACCACAAGTTTTGAGTGTCCATTGAAGTGAGCGACTTTCCAAACGATCGGCGCTGAAATGGTCCCGGGAACTGAAAGAACCATATCTTAAGAAAAATAAAAATCTTTCGCCTCCCCCCCCCCCTTTTTCTAGTGACGTGACTTTGACTTCTCATTAGGCTTCAACTAGCTCATCTTGTAGTCCTCATAAAAATGCTCTCAAATTTCCGCGCCGTTTCATCCTTCTTCTTCCTCTTCTTCGTCTTGACTCTCGACTCTCCGAAATGTGTCACTCATATCCCGTGACATTTCTTATTTGTTATGCATATTTCAAGAAAGTCCGTCAGAAGGAAGGAATCGAGAGGAGAAAGATTAGGGCGGCTGTTTCGGAGTGACTCTAAAGTCATTTCGGAAAGGAATGAATGGCTGTTCGGCGGCCACAAAACAATGAGTTTTGTGTGCGTCGTCGCTGAGAAAATAAGGGCGCTAATAATGGAGAGCGACGGCCGAAAAGCTTCCGGCCAAATAATAGAATATTCCAGCGTGATTAACGCCTTCCCCCCTTCCCCAATTTTAGGCAGATGGCAATACTTTGTGCCCCTTTGCCTTTCAAGCTATCGTGGTGACTCACCTTGGAAGATTTCCTTGAGAATCGGGTGACCCAGTGGAGGCAGACTGCTCGGCTTCTCAGTTGTCGGTTTCACTGTAACAGTAGTCGTCTCGTTGCGCACAATCTCAGATAGCTGCTCGGCGAGCATTTGCTCAATGAACATGCCGTAGTAGTCGAATGGAAGTGCGGTGCTCAGGTGTGCTCCGAGCAGAAGCAGACACGGTAGGAGCATGGCTGGAGCAATGAGCGCCGGCGCGCGCGCGTGCCTCGAAGAGCCAAGTTTCGCGTCGCTTCTGCAGTGTCTCACGAAATGGCGACGCGCCGCCCATTTTGGATTTGAGCGAAGAGACCGAAGAAAAGCGGGCGCACTTTCGAGTGTTTTCGTTCGAGCTCATACATTTTGGTGCTCGTTCCGAAGAAAAAACGGCTAGCAGAGGACGAACAAAACGACAAATTGGGTTAGAGGACGAAGTGATGGGGATGCGCGATGAGGGAGAAAGATTCGCGAAGTGACGGAGCACGGATTCCGAATTCAGAGAAATTTTGAAACGAAAGTAAGTGTGCGTTGTGAATGTTTAATGGGTAGGTTGAATTTTAGAATATTGATACCTGTGCAATGTGTACTTACTTCCAGGAGTCTCCAGAATCTTGGGAATTCCTCTTTGCGTCAGGTCAAACATCTCGATCTTGATGACGTCGATCTCTTCTTCTTTCTTCTTCTGTTTCTCCCCAATCGTTTCCTCTTCTCCGCAGTAATCTGAAATTGTTCACTTTCGATTCGTGCGAATTCCCTTTTCTATTCTCACAATTAATGGACGTGTCGAATGCCTTGTTGACGGTGTCGTGTGAATTCAGAAGAACTTCGCCGTTGACGACGAGCTGAAAGCACACATTTATATCGAATTGTCCACGGGAAAACAGCTCGCAGAGAAACGAGTTTTTGCTAGAAAGAAAACAAGGCTCACCAATCGAACACATCCTCGGAATCCTTCGGAAGAGCCCGTCTTCTGCTGCAGATATTCAATGTTATGGGGAGCGGCGCCGAGGAAAACGCCTTCGTCCATAGTGATTCCCTTGTAGTTCTGTAATTTCAGATTCTGATTCAGATTCAAATAGGGAAGTGTCTCACCTTAAACTCATCGGCTTGATCCACCAACTTCCTTCCTCCGTCCACCATCATCTCGGTCAGATCACAGTTTTTCCTCCACACGTTGATCTCGTGCCACTCTCCAATGCCAAACTTTCCGTGATACATGTCTTCGATGGTTCCCTCTCCACAGTCATGTCTGCAATTCCCATTGCTTCAAGATTTCAAGATTCCATTACTAACGAACCTCATAATAACGTTCGGGCCATCGAGTGTGATCGAAATGAAGTCGTCGCCCATCAGTTCGCCAGCAAAGAAGATAATGCCATCCTTATGCTCATCAAGTCTGAAAGTTCATGTTCCAAATTATTTGCCCGGATCAGAATACGTACTTGAACTGAATTGTGATGTTCGTCTCCAAGTACGCGTCCTCCTTCACAGGAAACTCTGCGTAGTTGTTCCCTTTGAATGCCAGTGGCCTGCTCGCATCCAGCTTCTTTCCTTTCACCGCTTCCACAATCATTCTCCTTCCCGCTGCTACCGTACTCGTCTCCATTTTGCGAACTTCCACAGTCGCCGGGTACACTTTCCTTTCTTGCGAGTACTGCACATCTGTGTCCAATTTGCAAGAGAGCCCGTCATCCTGGAGCACATGTCCTGCCCAGCAGGCGCATTGGTAAGTGTCTGGGGACAGTGCCTCGCACAACTGCTCACAGAGCACATGTTCCTCCGCGCATGACCCTGCAATTCATTTTGTATCATGAAGAATGCGGGCGGCAAGCGGATGACTAAGAGGGTCAGTTGTTCTTTCTTTCTTTCTTTCTTCCCGTGTGCTATTAGTAGACACGCTGCTTTTTTGCTAATAAAAAGCAGCTTGATGGGAAGTGCTCTTGACACGAGAGCTTCTTTCCCTCTTTCTCGTTCCACGTCACAAGTCATCCCCAGAAAATGACTTTCTACGCTCGTCTCCTTGTCCCCGCACACAGCATGTTCTATAATTTGTTTGGCGTGTAACCCAGCCAAACATAACGGAAATTAATTAGATTCGAGTGTTGTGACCGCCCGACTTGAGCTTCGAAGAGGCCTCCCGCGCACGCACAGAAAGGACACTTTTTTGCATTGTCGGCTGGGAAGCAGCAAATTATCCGAGTACCTCTTTCCCTTTGTGCTCCCTCCCGAAAAGTAGTAAATTCTGCTCTTTTTCTCTCCAATTCGCAACTCTTCTACTCGCGATAATCCCTCTTTCTGCTACGTAAATAGTATTCGGGAGGAGGGCGAAGCGAGTAAATCTTCTGGAAACCCCCTCGACACTCATCAATTTCTGTGCGGGCGCCAAATGTCACAACCATAATTTGGTGGGGGGAGAAGAAGTGATGGGAATCGGAATCGGAATCGGCCTCCGTTCTGCTTCGTTACCGTACCCAATCAGCCAATGAGAGCGAGAGAGTGTGGTGATTGAGGAGAGACAAAGATGCAAATTAATTGAATCACAAGTTGAAGAGGCAGAACGGACGACGGGGAGGATTCAGACGACGTGGGAACGAGGCAAATGCGAACCGATTGCACGCCGATTTGAACAAAGAATCCGTCGATCCCTCGAGACCTTCAGGGGGCTTTCTCGGCACTCACCTTGGAAGACGTTGGTGCTCGTGGCGATGGACACGAGCCATAGAGTTAGAACTGCGTGGAAAGGGTGCATGTCAGGACATGAAACACCTGAAAACGGGCGGGATGAAGAGAAGCGTGATAAGTGGACACGGTTGAGAGGAACGCGAGATTACAGAAGGAGAGACGGCAGACGCAGACACCTCCGACCGAGATAATTATAGTATTTTGCACCGGAAATTGACGGCGCGGCGAGCAAGATTTATCGGGCTTTACAAAGATGAGGAAATTGAGAGGATTACTGTACTGAAGAGAGAATTAATTGGAAGAAATTCGAAAGGACTGAGTCACTCGGCAAACCATAAAAACGAAACTCAAACGGACGAGTTTCGAAACTTGTTTCCGTTTTCCCTCATTGCCTCATCTCGGATGCATCTTTGCTCGAGTTGAAGTGGAAAAAATGAAGGATATGAAAGAAAGGGAAAAGTTCTTTTTGCGGGAATGAAAAGGAAAGGTTCCCAAATGGCTCTGAAGGTTTTCGTTTCGTCGCTAAGCCGTTGCGAAGTGGGATGGCCGTAAAAGTGGAAATAATCGGAGGAAGAGAGGTCGGAAACAAATGACGGACACTTTGGTTTTCCGCCAATCCAACTCCATAAACGGGGGGACGGGGGGAGGGAAATGAAGAGTGTGGGGACCGCAATTAAAACATTCGCACAGGGAGAATCAGATGAGAAGAACAACAAGTTGAAAAAAGGAGAAGGGAGGGGGAGGCGGCAGACGGACGACGACTAACTAAACGTTTTTGTGTTGATGATGATGGCGGCGGAAAGGAAAGGAGAAGAAGAAGGAAACGAAGGAGAAGAAGAAGACGTGGACAAGCACGACGAGTACTCAAATGACTGAGGTAAATGAGCAAAGCATGATGGAAGAGAGAGAGAGCCGTGTTTTGAAGGTTGAATGCACAGGAGCGACGAAGCGAACTGAATTATTCGCGCAAATTTGATGAAACATCGGAAGAGGGAGCGAGAGAAAGAGACAGGGATAGACGGGAAAACGGATTGCCACGTCACAAGTCACGAAGAATGAAAGAACTGAAGAGAGCAAGATAATCTGGACGACTTCTAAATATTAAGTGGAATTGGAACCGCTTAGACGTGCCAAAAAGGAGGCGAACTGAAGAAGACGGAGAAAAGAGCGGATTAGAGATCAGAACAAGAGCACTCGGTCGGTTGCAAACTATAAAAACAGATCTGGATTGGAGGACGAGACGCAGATCTTTTATCGAGCGGGTTCGCCCATTCCAAAGATGTTACAGTCAACGAACGAGAATCCCATCTTCTTTTATTATATACTTTAAAGAATGTGCAATCTCCATGGACGACAAAGAGAGCGGAAAAGATGCACAACAGGTGGACGAAAAGAGGATGGAAGAGGAGGAGCAAGCTGCCAGAGGTGACGGAAAAAAAAGAAAAGGGAGAAAGGTGGAGAGAGGGGAAGGAAGGAAGCAGGCGGGGGAAGAAGGCGTGGCAACGGACGCCATGGCGAAGACGGCGGTTTCGCATGCATATCGATGTTTATTAGGCGGATGGAGGGAGGCGGCGGCACGGACGGCGGGAGCTCCGGATGTCGAGAGTGCATGGCGTGAACATGAGCACGGGAAATAAAGGGAAGCGAGGGAGGAGAAGGCCCGCCATGAAATATAATGCTAACCTCACGGCGCGATCCAGAGACTTGTTGACGGGATTGGAGGAGTGCAGGTGAATTTGTACGAAACAGACCTAAAGAGACCACGTTTTGCAGATTTAGAAGTAAAAGTAGTCCAAATGGAACCAGAACCAGAACAATGCAGAACTCAGGTTTTAATGTTCTCGGAAAGTTTGCATTCGAAATGTGAGTGAATGAATAAAAAATGTGAGCGCGAATTGCAAAAGAAGTGAAAATGATGAGATTGAGTAACCGGTTGCCCGTCCGATCCGTTTGTTCATTCATACGAATAACTCCCAACTGCCGAGAGAACAACGAGTAAAGTTCGGGAGTCGGCGGGACAGATGTCGCCCGGGCTCCCGAGCTCCGCGTCTCTTCTTCCGGTGTGCTCTCTCTGTTACTGCACTTTTTTCTGACGGAAAAACAGCACGCCGAGGCTCGGAAAAGTCGTTTGAAACGTTTTTATTAGCGAAACTGGTTGAGTAAATCGAGCTTTCACTGAGAGAAAAAGTAAGAATGCATGCGAGCGAAAGAGCGAGAGAAACGGAAAGTATTTATTTGAATGAATTCAGAAAAGGTTTTGGCGGTATGTACGTTGCAGAACATATTGGCTCAAAAAAGAGAGAGAGAGAGAGAGAAGGGAAAGATTTGCATATGCGTCAGAACGTGAAAACTGAGAGATGAAGGTAGAGATAGGCAACGACGGACAAGAGTGCGAAGAAGGCGACGGCGCTGCCTTTCAGGGCTTCGGCGACGGTCTTGCTGTCCAGAAGATCCGCGTGTTCGTTGTCGTTCCATGACTGGGATACTGTGAATGTGACCGACTCAATCGTTGATTCGTTGCCGACTTTCAGCGTTCCGTTGCAAACGTAAACACCACTGTGATCGGTGAGGTTGAACGATTCGATAAGCAAGTCGTTGTGGAGTGGAGGAGGAAACGAGTTGCTCTGAAATCGGAGGGGATGGAAGTGATTCAGAAGGAAGCACCTACCGTCTTGATCTTGATTTCGACTTCGTTGACGAGGCAGTGAATATCCGTGACGTTATCTTCAAACATTCTCACAAAATAGTTGTTCTCCGGCTGAGCATTTAAAGTCGCGCCGTCCTCGATAACGATGTTCCACGAAGGAGACGGCGGCGCTTCTGAAAACAGAACCCTAGAGAACTTGTAGGAATCCGTGCCAACCAGTAGTCGTAACGTTCATTTCTTCGGCTGGAACTTCATCCAGAACGGTCAGAAGAGTGCTGTAGCAGATGAAGGATTGGTAGGCGAGATCGGTGGAACGAATGCAGCACTGATAAACACCGGAGTCATCGGAATCCAGCACTTGAAACCTGAACGAACTACGTAGCTTTGGAAGGCGTTCAGTTTTCTGAATCACTCGAGACTGCGGTTACTGTCAATGAATGTCTTGTCGTCGGCCGAGAACATTTCCGTGTTATTGAACATCCACACTTTTTGGAATGTGCGGAAGTCCTTGTCGAGCATGGTTTCAGAGTCGGCGCAATCGATGCGGCATTTGGAAACGGAAGAATTGTAGGCAACTGAAGGGAAAAGATCCGAATGAGCAAGGAAGAATTCACGGGAACTCACGGAATGAGGTGTCGTTCAAAGATACCGTTTTGGCAATCTGTTCCGGCTGAACTATGACTCCGAGAGTCGAAGAGGACAGAATTCCGACTGCGATCAGGAACAGGAGGAGACCCATTGTTAAACTGAATGTTCTCCGTCTTTAGATATTATTTATATACGGACGGATTCTTGACTCCGAAAGAATGGGTGGAGCCAAGTAGTACAGCGGCGGAATTGTCGGAAAGAGGGCTCTGTGACTACATTCGAAGGGCTTATCAAAAACAATCCGGCGTAGAATACAATGCAGGTATTGAGTGACTAATCGGACAGAAAGGAGCAGAGAGCAAAAGCCGACGGAAGGGAAGGAAGAAGAAGAAGAAGAAGACGAAGAAGAAGAAGAAGAAGAAGAAGAAGAAGAAGAAGAAGAAGAAGAAGAAGAAGAAGAAGGAGGAGGTGAGAATGAGGAGCCCGTAATCCGGATAAGGAGATGGACGAGAAGGTGGTATTGATCTACCCGTGTTAGAAATGTATAGAGGTTCTGAGAGAAGATTCCCGAATTCACTGAAATTATCTGACTTTCAAATGTTTTCGGATGCTAGGCGTAGTGCTTCCGGACCCGAAAACATCCGAATGCTTTCATAAATTCTGATATTCGAATGATACGTAAAGAAATGAATGAATAGCTTCTGATAGGGATATCTCAGTAAGCGGAAAAACGAATCAGAAGGCAGCAGGCAGCGGGAGGCTCATTTTGTATCCAATTCCATTGGATTCCGCCAATAACAAGACGAAGAAGAAAGATGTAAAGTGATAAGAAAACGAAGACGAAGATGGACTGACGGAGGGTAATCCGAGCAGTCGCAGGTATTCAATCCTATTCATTTTCTCTGTGCCTCTCCGTCATCCGTGCTCTCTGCATATGTATTCAAAAAATGTGAAAGCGAATTGGATTCTAGATCGAATAGGAATGCATTCGGTTGTACAGTCAGAAAGAGATTCATTCCCAAAAAGAATCATTTAGTCCACGAGTTGTGAGCCATTCCATGTGAGTGTCGACGCTTCCGGACGCGGCAGTCATCTCTCCAATCGTGCTCTTCCTCCGACGGATCGTCTCCTTTGTTTTATAACAGATGACGATTGGGAGACAGAGATTCGCATAGGTCACACCCTGAAAATGAAGAATATTATCGGGTTGATAGTTTGAAAACTCTCACCGGAAGGAACGGGACAATCGTGTGAAATATGTCTTCAGGAATGGCCGATTGAAGGTTTCTGATTATTGTGATACCATAGGACGAAATGATAATGCACAGAAACTGCGAGATGATAATCAGACAGACGGTCTTCGTCGTCATCACATTCTCGTAGGCCATGTAACGAGTGTTCGTGTCATAGACTTGGTTGTGAATTCTGGAATTTCATAATCAGATTATTGATTCGCTTCAAAAAAAGCTGCTTACCTTTTCTCCGCTTTCATACTAAAAATCAAAATGAACACAGTGATTCCAATGCAGAAAAGCATAATATAAGTCCGGAATCGGTTGATAGTGTCAAAGTTGTTGGCGAGTTGAGGCGGAAAAGTGCACATCGGAACGTATCCGGCCAGAGAAACACCGAGAAAGCCGTAGAGATGCGTGGAAACGGCGAGAATGAGCTGGAGTAAAAGGAGCGAGAACGGAATGAGCTTCTGATGGGATGAGTAGATGTTGGACCAGAAATGGGCTATCAATCTGTAAGATTTTGTAGAGCTTAAAATTAGGGGGATATCAAACCTGTCAAATGTCAGCGAGAACAGTGAAAAAGTCGAAAAGAAGTTTGTGATGTAGTAGAAATACAATTCGTAAACACATTCTGATGAGTGGAATTGGATTTGACATCTATTCTCCTCACACACGAATCCACGGTATATTTGCCGAATCTGAACAGAATCGAGTAATAACATCTTCCGAAAAAGAAGCAAACTCACTCGAATTTCCATCATCGTAGTCTGGTGCGCTATCGAATTGATAGAGCCGACGAGCAGAATGAGTCGGGTGCATTCGGAGAAGATATTCTGATGGATAAGGGTTCTGAGGGCTTTGTATGAGAAATAGTAGCTGAGGAGGATGACAAAAATGATGAAGAGACAGTTGAGTTTCATGATCGGAGAGGTCAGTGCTTTGTACAGTCCGTCGGAAGCGCACACTTGTTCGTCCAACTGTTCGGCGGTCAGATTCATTTCAAGAATATATCAGTGATCAGGGAGACAAGCAGAAATTCTCGAGAGCTCGGCGGAGTAATTGGCGTTTTGCCCGAATCTCATGATAGACGAATCTCACGAATCTCATGAAGACTGCTCATAGTCATTAAGCACTTTTAACTGAGCTTTGGTGTCTGGATGGCCGATGAGCGCTTTAATTGGGAAAAGTTCGGAATCACGTGGATGTTCCGCATGTGTTCAGAAGAAGAGGTAAACTCTTTTTTCGTCTAATGTGTTCATCGAGCGGAAGATGCTCACAAACAAGAAATCAGCAGCAAACTACGAACATTTGCCCCACGCGACTAGATTGTTCTTAAGTCTCCCGGGAGTTCGCCCCGTGACTTTCCCGCTAATGAGCTCCCACTTTTCCGTCTAAAATAACTTTGTCCACACAGATCACTCTTCTCGCGCCCCACAATCAGCACGTACGCCTCCTCTTTTATTCTTACTCTTCCCACTTGACTCACGATGAGCAGCTCCCGTCAAATTGGCCGAACGTATTTCAACCAGACGGTCGAGGAGTTGGAAGCGGACAAATGTGCGACTGAAGGCATTCTCACCGCGTTGACCTCTTCTCTCATGACCCTCAATCACTCGTTCGTCATCCTCATCGTCTTCGCCAGCTTTTTCCTGACTGCGTTCGCATTCCGAACCCTCTGGAAACCGAATGTATTCCCGAAATGTGCCCAAATTCTTCTCTGGTCGGCCCTCGTCAACGGATTTGTTCACCAATGCTCAATGCTTATTATTAGAGTGAGTTCGGAACAACAAACGGTTAATCGAGTTCGCCCAATCGGTCCTTTCTAGGTCAAAGCTATTCATCACACAATACTGTACTCTTCCGACGCGTGCTCTATCCAGTTCCACACATCACAGTGCATGATCGACAACTTTGTCTATTACTTCACAAATCTCTTCGGCTCCTTCTTCCTGGCTTCTCTCTTCCTCGACCGACTCATCTCCATCAAACGGCACTATTCCCTGTTCAAGTGCATAGCTCTCTCCGCTTCGTCTACATCGCCTTCCAAATCGTCGGCGCCTGCCTCGTCCTTTTCTGGGTCTTCTACAATGTTCCGTTCGTCGGATACGTTCCCACCTGCGTCTATCCTCCGCAGGCATCGCTCATCCGATTCTACAAAACCAACGTTTATCGTCTAATTGCTCTTTTCCTCATTCTGTTTGCGTCACTTGTCGTGCTATTAGTCAACAGAAATCGAGAGAAAAGGTGAGTATTCTCAGAGTAGTCTTAATGAATTCCGAGTTTAGAATGATCCACATTGTCTACGACACCGAATCTCGCTACAAATCCTATGAGAACTTTCTGACGACCAGGGCTGTCTGCCTGATAATCTTCTCCCAAATCGGGTGTCTCGCGTCCACGTCACTTGGAAGTAAACTCCGAGAGCATTAGAACCTATTAACAAACTTGTTTATTTTCAGCCGGCATCATTCACATGTACGAACTGCAGATGTCCGAGTCTCTCTTCCATTTCCTCGTCGCCTGCATGACGGTTAATTCTACCCTTTCTCAAATGTGACTCATCCTTTCCATTTCAGGGTGTCACCTACTCGAATTTCTTCCTCCCAATCGTAATCTGTCAACAGAATTCTCAAATCATCAACCGTCGTCGCACTACAATCGGACTTTTGCGTCAAGAGAAACGGACGCCCGAGGGGCACTTCATTTCGCTCGGAGAGGCTTGGAAATAGAGTGTCGAGCGTTGAGTAATAACTAATTCATTGAAAATTATTCGGATTCGAATCACTCCCACATTTTCCTCAATGATGAAATGTGCGTATCCACGTGATTTGTCTGCTGTCTCATCTTTCCGATCGACTTCCTTCTCTGCTCTATGCATTTGTTCGTTTTCGTGTAAATCAATATAGGAGTTGCAAGATTCGAGTAGAGAATTCCCTGAAACGTTTAAAAGTTACACACGCATTTCCGTTTCTCCCACTAACCGTTACATATTGAACAGTTATATGATACACGTCTTCTGCCAATCCCGCTTCGCAGAATCGGACGATCGCGACTGAAAATGCAAACGTCATTTCATAGCTATTTTGCTGTTTGTGTAGAATAGCAATTATGAGAACCTGCTGCCGCGGAGAGGCTCAAAAACACGAATTGCGTGGAGGTGATACTACAAATCGCCTTCGTTGTCAGCAGATTTTCAAAAGAAGCATATCGGAGTTTGGTTTCGTAAACGGATTGCCTGATTCTGAAATTAGTAATTGTGTATAATATAAATGCGAAAATAATTGACCGCCGGTCTTTATAGAGACTCGCAAGGAGTATGAAGACAGTTAGCACGCAGTTGAACATTGTGAATGCAAAGTTAGCGTCGTTCATTGTTTGAAATGTGTTCAGAGAAAGCTGGGGAGGATAGTAACAGGCCGGGATGTATCCAGCACGAGACACTCCGAAGTAGGTGATTGAATGGACGACGAGTGAGAGGATGACCTTGAAATGAATTTGTGAGGTGAACAACTGATAATTCGGAAGGAATACCGCAAGTGAAATGAGGAAAAGTGATATTCCTTTTGAATTGTTGCAGTAGAAATTACGAAGGAACAAAGCCAAAAGTCTGAAATCTAACTTTGAATTGAAGTGCCTCCAGAGTAGCATTTACCGATCGCATGTCAACGCACACACGAGCCACGTGGAGAGGACGGAGGTGAACGCGAAAACCGAATGATCATAAGTGCAGTCGGGAGTGTGGAACTCTATTTGGCACGGGTCTGTGGCATGGATCAGCACGTGGACGAGATGGCGAATCTTAAATCGGATTGGCTGATGACTTTGAATCGATTAAAACTAACTCTGATTTCAAAATAAACTGCCTGATTGAGATTGGCATTGAACAGAGTAGACATGAGCAGGAACTGTGTTCCATTCGAGTACACATTGTGGCATTTCAAGATCTTTGCAGCTTTCACACTCAAGAAAAATGTAATCAAGGCTACCAAATACACTAATCCAAAGTTAATTTTCATCCACACAGAGTTCTGAGCGTTGAAAATGCCCTCGGAAGTGCATCGCATCGCTTCGAGCTCTTCGGCCGTTTGGTTGGTGAACATGGTCATTGCACGTCAGAGAATGGAAGAAGGGAGCCAGAAAAGTGGGACGGAGTCAACAATGAAAATGGCATTCACGGATTGCGTGCTTTCTTCTTATCGAATGATTTTCTGAACTCTGGTACAATAAAGCGCGAAGGGAATCGAAAGAAGAAGAAAAACTTGATGTTTGGAAGAGGTTCTTCTTTGGTTTCAAACTGGTGGATTGGATGCTCATGAGGCCAGAAAACATAAGGCTGGCACAAATGTCTCACTCCTCCCATTTGTAGTTTTCGTAGTCTGTATTTAGTACGGGAGACAAACAATTTCATTCATCTGCATATTGAAAGTGCAGTGCCATAAAAGAAACAAAAAAAACTCAGAAAATCAGTTATCTCCGAAAATGTTCGGTTTCTTGTCGAGATGCGAACGGAAGCAATCCCTGATGTTGTTGAAGTTTTGCATGCAGAACACGTGCGTCACTTGCTCATTCGGCACCGTTCCCTGAGCAGCACAATAGGAAGACAGGCGGGAACGACGTTGCTGAAAAGGACATTGAAGTCGGGAAGATTGGAAAGGGACCGACTTCTTTTGCAGCATTCTGTGTGGTCCGCTCTCGAGGAAGCACAGTCCCACATCAACTGAACCGTTTGGTTTTTAGGGCCGCAAGTGTTCAGATAATGAAGCATCTGAAAGGAGCAACTTTGCAGACAATCAGAGGTTTCACTGACGTTTCCTTGATGGATGGCTTCAAAGTCACAGAACCTCTTTTTGCACATTTTGTCAGCAGTCTTCTGGCGAGCACAGCACGCTTTCAGCTTCTGGTTGGCGTCCCGTCTCGCACAAATTCTGGAAAGGGAAAATGAGTGAACTGGCATGACGAGTTCAGGACTCACATTACAAAAAGGAGACCGAGTAGAAAGAGAATCGATCGCATGGTGTACAAAGGACAATACTGGTACGTTCGGAACGGTCACTTCGCCCCAGTCTAGGACCCTCGAATTTGCATGTCATTGCCATAAAACCGCAAGAGGAGAGACACACAGACATTCTGCCGCTTCTGGAGTAGTTTTCTCCGCACTGAACTTTCATCTTCCCTTCTCGGATGTCGCCTCTCCCTCCCCTTTTGTCTCTTTCGAGAAATCCGAGAAAATACGGCTAATTGATAAGGGCAAAACGGGTCTTTGAGGGGGTGATAAGAAGCCCTCAACGCCTTCTGCTGCTTCTTTTATTCGATTCGTTTTCCATTCTCGAGACAGAAGAAACGATGAAGCTTCTTCTGTTAGCCGTTTGTGTCATCGGTAAGTGGCCTAGATTCTCTGATGTTTATCTTCTGTTTCCAGCAGTCGCCAATGCCGTGGAAGTGGTACCAAGAGCCAGTGCACTGCGAACAAAGGGAGATGTTAGAAGGTATTGTAAACGATGGAATAAAGTATTGCACACAGTGATTGCAGAGCGCCACTGCCTTCCATTTCCTCCTTCGCTCCCCTCGCCAAATCCCTCCGCCCTGCTTCCACCGGCATCCGTCGTGCTCCAGAAACTGTTCGGGTCTCAGTCCGCAAGGCTTACCGTCCTGCCAATCCAGCTCCTCGTGCTCCAATGACCCTGCCAGTTCTGCCGAATCTTCTCCAGCCCCTTCCACTTCCTCAATTCATTCCTATTCCGGTTCCAGTGATTTCTCCTCAGGATCTTCCAACCCTCGGAACTCTTCCGACCCTCGCCCCACACACTTTCCCCACTTTCACTCCGATCCCAGGATTGCCAACGATGCCTGGACTGACGATGCCTCCGAGCTTCCAACGTCTTCTCGGAATCACCACGACAACAATGAAACCAGCTGAGAAGTCGACCGAAAACAGAGAGGAAACTGAATCGGAATCAGAATCAGAATCAGGAGCCAGAGCTCACAGGTAATCGTAACTTGAAAGGATGTTCTATATTCCTTTCCGTTCAGCGCTCCGACATTCACCAAAGACCTGAATACTATCCGTTCGCGACTTTCGAAATTCGTGAGAGGAAGTGAAAAGAAGGCATCAAAGGCCGAGGATAGCGCCGACTGGATCGTTCCGTTCCATTGATTTCCGAACACGGAACTTCAGCCTAATAACAGTCTAATAAGTTAATAATTCAACCCCACGTGACATTTGAATTAGGATCAGCGAAACAATCTCAATGTAATAAAAAGTTGGTTTTATTCTTACTGGTCAAACTTTGCATCAGTCAATTCGGCACATTGTAAGTTAGCTTCGGCAAAAAATCAAGCCACCTAGGGGACTCGAACCCCTGACCTTAAGATTAAAAGTCTCACGCTCTACCAACTGAGCTAAGGAGGCCCACGACCGCACTGGTCTCAACGGCGTAGAGGCTCCCGGCATATACTGGAACACGAGGTTGAGACGGCTAGAGAAAAGCATTTGCAGATGACGACCAACAACAATAGTTTCCATGTGAAAGGCAAGGAGGACATATCATTCGAGCGAAAAAATGTGGTTGTGGCATGTGACGTGGCCAATGGAAAGGTTTTGATAAATCAGAATTGAAAATGAGTAGAATGTGTGACGTCAGATCACGTACGTGGACGTGAGCAGTCAGTTGATGGGTGTGCTCTTCGCCGGAGATGAAATTCTGAATGTGAACGGAGAAGGAGTAAGAAAAGGGGGTGACTTCAGAAGAGGAACGAAGGCTTTCAGAATATCAAGACGACCGCCGACTTCATCCGTGCCATCTCTTCGAAATGTCCGGGCAAAGTGAGCATCGAATTCATGCGGGACGACCATTGTCTCGTCGAAGAGAAGGTGCTTCCGCCACGTCGTCCAAACACTCAAATGTTCGAATTGTCGCTCACCTATCGTGGTGGAGCTGCCACTGGAATAATCATTCATCGGGTGGGGACGAATGACACTACAGAAGAGAGAAAGTGAAGGGTTTCAGATGACGAGTGACCCGAAGACGATCACCATTTCGATGGTTCAATCTGCTTCGAACGCATGCCGTCATGTGAAGGACGGAGACGTTCTTGTGAAAGTCAACGACATCTACGTGCTCGACAGAGACGCTGCTCGCAAGGTGACCCTCTCCCTCTGCCTCTCAATCATCGCTGACTTTGCAGCTTCTCTACGCAAGTGTGAACAATACGAAGGCGGTCCGCCTGACTCTGGAAAGATCCACGACAACGGACCCTCTTGGGCCGGCTCCCCCGCCTCCCGAGGGCGCTGCGACTACTGCTCTTCCGACTGGAATCAAGAAGCCGACGGGTGGCTCCTTGATGCTCCCGCCGCCGAAACCGCCAACCGGCAAAGCGAACAAGCAGTTCGATGTGGTCAGTTTGAACCCGCTTATCATCCATTCCCACTTGTTTTCGTTTGCAGCTGTTGCCTCAGGACGTGTTGGAGATCATGAAGAACAACAAAGACTTCTACAAAAAGATGTGCAAGAACGGACCGTGCATCGTCAAAACCACGGCCCAATCGATGGAAGCGGCGACTCCCCCGGCTGCCCCCGTTCCGACCTCCCTTCCGACGGATCCTGCTCCTGAAGTTCGCATCCCGTACAATCCCTCGCCGAAGCCCCTGAAAGCCACTCCGAAACGTGTCGGATCCTAAATGAAAAAATGTTCGCAATAAACAAAAAACTGCCGGCAAATATTATTTGTTGTTTACTCTCCATCTCTGTGCCCGTTCCAATTTTCTTTTTCGTCACAAATATTTACAATTCCCACAAGGGCTTTGAGTTAAAACCGCAGAATGTGGGCGTGGATGTGCCACGTCACCGGCACGGCGCCATCCTTCTGCCCCCCGGCTCCTCTTCCTCTTCACACGGTCCCTTCTCGTCAAACATCGTCCATCGCTTTTTTGCTGCTCGGTCCGAGTTGCAAATGTTCGGCACTGGGGGTCTGCGTCTCTTCGTCCCGCCCAATCTCTCTCCCCTCCGCCATTCATCGTCTGCGTCTCCACGAGTGCACGGCCGGCGACGGCGACGGCGGTGCCGCTCGGTACCGACTCTGTGCGTCTGGCTGCTGCTGTCCCCGTCCGTCCGCCCCGCACACTCTCATCAAAATATGACTGGATTCGTGTGGTATTGGTGGTTCCGGACGATGGCTCGCTTAAATTGGGAAGAGATGAACATCACGATTCGGGGGACACCTCGTCTAGATGATGGGAACTTGGTTCATTTCGATCTTTTGAAGATGGTCATCCATCATGTACTTCATATTTCATAATCGTTCTAGAACCCTCCTCACACACTCACTTTCCCTTTCTCATCCAGCCCTGCATATCTGCCCCTCATGGACCATTTGCACCCACCTCGGCCAGACTGTCCTCCTTTGACCCGTTCTCTACTTTCGTCTGTGTCTCTCCTCTTCTCGCTCTCTCTCCCATTCTACCACAAACTGTTTGTCCGAGAAACTCGTCAAGGTGTACGCAAACACTTCCCTGACTTGTTCGACTTCGGATACCAGGGGTGCTATCAGTAGATGAGTGTGTAATAGACACTCTCTTCTTACGTAGTTATCTGCCAAATTTCAAGTGATTCCCGTTCGGCCTTGGCCCTCTTTTCATCTGCAAACCGCCGTTCTGCGCGTCTCTTCCGAACTGCACCGCGCTTATCAGATTCACTTTCGTTTTTGAGAAGAAGAAGAAGAAGAAAACTGGTCGATAACAAGTTGAAACTGGCAGCCGCCAATCGATGAAATACACTCTGACCGCCTGTTTCCAAAGGGAAAGGGCATGTGTCGAAATGAATCGTATGACCGACTGACTGACTGATTGCCGATTCGTGTCCCGTTTCTGAAAACAACAAAGTGCTTCTCTGCTCGGAGTCATCTGACCCCATTTGTTTATTTGTTCCATCGTTTTCCCCCTCACTATCCTTTCATTCCGTCCACTCGCTCCCGTCACTTTCGCAATAATCACAGACTTTCGTTCCAGACTCCAACAGGAGAATGCCCACTTTTACGCCGCTTGCGGCAACGAACGAGAAGAGCGCCAAGATCCCAGTGGTCTGGCACGAAGAAGAAGAAGAAGAAGAAGAGGAGCCGGTGGCCGAGAACCGCGGAATTGTCGCATTCATCTTCAATGTGAGCTCTCTCTCTCTCTCGCTCGCATCAAAATATAATTGGTTTCGTTTTGCAGAGTCGAAACGCGCAACACGCGAAGCTGCTGGTGCTCACCGCATTGGCTCTAATTCATTTTTATTTCCTCAATGACTTCCTTGTCAAATTCGCGGCGATGGACCGTCTTACGAGGGACGTCGATTACGTCAGACACTCCAACATGGACAATCGGATGGACGTCTCTTCCGTGAAGTACACCTTCCAGGGATTCATTGATGTGAGTTCGAACGTGCAGGCATACGGTAGCCCTCATCTCTCGACTTTCAGTACAAAAAGAACCTGTGGATGACCGTCGGCGCGATGTGTGCTTCGCTCGCCACCACGACCTCGCTGCTCACCATCTACAGCGGTCCCCGTGACGCGTTCAACCGCGCCGCGATGGTCGTCATCCGCGTGTTCGACCTCTGCGCCTTCCTCTTCATCGCCTTCCTGCTCTTCGCCCGCATCTCCGCCGCCGTTATCATCACTCACACGACTCAATATTCGCTGCGTGCCGCCGGTCGCATCTCCGACAGTCTGATCACAGACCTCGGCAACGCTCTCTCCTGCACCATCGAACAACGCGATGATCTTCCGATTTGCAACCGCGCTATCATCGACTCGATCTTCCCCGTCAAACTCATCGAATACCTCATCATCCTGTGCCTTCTGACCGGCGCCTACATCGGATTGGGTGAGTTTTCTTCCCTTCCGTCCGTTTCTCAATCCTTCCCTTTCAGCCTACCTCATCGAGTGGTGCATCCGCCATTTCTTCCCGCCGACTCACTCGAAACTCACTCCGATCAGCGCCATCTCCCGCAACCTGATCACCGGCTCCCAGGGCTCGAACTTGGACGACTCCGTGCTCATCGCCGCCTAATCACTTCTTCCGCTTCCCTCCTCTATCAGTTTCATATCTCAGCTTTATTCTCTTCTCTCTGTCCTTAGTTTCTCCTCGTTCTTTCTCTATCCTTCCAGTCGTTTCTTCTTTTCCTTCCTATCCAATTTGTAGATTCTTCTCGCCTGTTTGCCCTTCAAAAGTGCTCTTTCCGTAAGGTAATATAAGTTCCAAACTACCTCCTCTTTTCCCTTTGGCAAGTACCTTGCGGAATTGGCCTTGTGTCTCACAGAGTTTCTCTCTTTTCCTATTTTTCTTGGCTTCCGAAGCCGTCCCTCTTCCTGTCATCTACCTTTTTACTTGTCGATTCACGAGTTGAATACTCTAAGTTCGCTCTCGCCCTTCCTACTTCTGTCCCATTCATCTACCATCACAAAACCGTTTCTCTGTATTTATTTTCTCAAACCTTTTCTTTTTATTTTCCTCAATAAATGTATTTGATCTGTTCTATTTGACTTCGGTCTAAAATTGGAACTGACCTACACTGCAGATCATTTCATTCATATAATACATTTGACATTTGAGATTAAAATGAAACATACCGGGGCAAAGAGTATCTAAATGAGATCATATTACAATTTGAACTTTTTCATCGCGGGTGGTCGATGAGAAGAGGACGACGCTCGGTGGATCGGAGGTTTCGGCTGAGCTGAAGAGCTCTGTCCCTCTGAACTTGAACGGTTTTCCTGATAAACATAGTCGGTACCGTACCACTTTCGCCTTCCGTTTCTTCTGTTCCATATTCGTGGATGAGAATCGCTCTGATCATTTTCAACTGATTATAGTCTACTTCATCTCCAAGGGCGTCTTTCCACGGAGCCAGACGGACAATATCTGAATGAAATGGGTATTTCCGTGCTGTTCTTTTTTCGTTTTGCTCACTGGATCCCAGTTGCTGTCTCGCCGCTTTCAGAACTTTTTCGATGAGTCGTTTGTCGATGTTAAATTTCGTCAGATAAACGGGCAGTCCTCCCTTCTCGATGGCCGTCGACAGATAAGTGTACACTGTGCTATCACGGATTCCATACTTCTCCGCAATATATTTCTGTAACATTGAAGCATGTTATTATTTTCATCTCAATCTTCGAGAACCGCATCTCCTCGGCAGAGAATGTGTTCCCTGTAGATTTTCTTCATTGATTCTTGCAGTTCCCTTTCCATGACAGCCGTGATGTCTTGCGGAATCTGACCGAAAAGTATTCGTTACTTTGACAGAATTCCGTGGTAAATCACCGTTTCATTTCCGTTCACATTCAGAGAAATGCCAGATTCCACCGCGAACTTCACCACACAATCCACGAATCGTTTTCCGTATCTATTCTTTTGAGCAGCCGACATTCCGTCTATTACATCTAGTTTCGCGACGCTGAAACCCAAACGTTTTCAGAGCCAAACTATGTTAAACTTACGAATTGGGACGGAAGTTGACGAATGCGTCGAGGACTGAATTGGAGGCAATCTGGAACGGAGCCACTTCGAACATGTTCGCAGTTTCGAGCCGAACGTCTTCCAGTCGTTCACGAAGCTGGCGAATCTGAAAGAGAACTTTTGAATTACCCGCTTGATGCCCCAAATAGGTGCCTTTTCAGGGAGACTCGCATCGCTCTGTTGCTTCAAATTCATCAGCCTCGGGTCCTCACTTGCACATTTGTATTCCCGCTTTTTGAGTGCCAACAGAATGACTCTGGAAAACAACAATCTCATTGCGAGCATTCCTTTCTCTCTCTTCTCACTTTTTATCCTCACTCGTAGTGTTTCTCTGTGCTCCCGGTGTTCTGGGTACTCCCGCCGGCGGCCTTCCCTTCTCTTTTTTTCCTTGTAACAACACGGGAGTTGCCTCTATCTTCAACTCTTTTCCGGTCAAAAGCCAGTGCTCGGCAGAATTTGAGAGCACAACACAGCTTCCGAATTTCATGTGCATTGGTCTGATCTCATCAAGAAAGCCGGCGAGCCGAAGGGCGCCTCCGAGTGCTTTCCACCACTTTTCCGACAAATTCTTTCCCACTCCGAACAGCTGCTTCTGCGGATTTGTTTTTATTCTCCACTCTTCTTTACTCTGAGAAGACGAACTTCCTATGGATATTCGAAATGAACAATTACCGATCCTCTCAAGAACTCAATTGGTTTGCCAATGCCTGTTTTTCCATTGTACATATCTTGGATAGCCTTGAAAAGCCATCTGGCCTCCACTGCCACGTCAACTAGACTCGAAGAACAGTCTTGATTTCCATTGAGCATTTCGGTGCACCGATCACAACAATCTTCCTGCGGAGTGGTTGGTTTCACGATGGACGGGTCGAAGTGCTTCAGAAGTTGGCTGGAAATACACTTTAGAAGGAAACAACGTGCAAATTGATCCCACTATCTGCGACATCCCATTGTATTGAGCACCAATTCGAGTTGTCTGAGCATCAGAGTCATATTCTCGACCACTTCTGCCCCCAATGGCGAATTCCGTAGTTTGAATCTGAATCAATTAGTATCAGTCCAGTTCCAGCTCAACTCATTCACTTGTTGGTCGCAAGATCCTTTGGAGCCCAGAACACTCTGCACACACTCGGTTCTCCGTCTCTTCCGGCTCTTCCCATCTCTTGATAGTACGATTCAATGTCTTTTGGGCCTGAAATCAAGAGGAGAAATAGAGGAAGAGCAGAAAGTTCCTATTTACATCCGTAATGAATGACATGTCGAACGTCCGGCTTGTCGATTCCCATTCCAAAGGCGACTGTCGCGACGATCGTTGTAATCTTATCCCTCATGAACTCAGTGTGCGCCTTCTCTCGCTGAATTTTGGTGAGTCCCGCATGATAATGAGCGGATCGGACTCCCATTCCTGAAATATCATGCTCATTTGGATGAAAGCAAGCGTATCTAACTTCTGAGAGCACTATTCACATCATCAACCATCTGTTTCGTCTGGCAATAAATGATTGTGGGTCCTCCGAAATGTCGTCCTTTTGTTTCATCCGTTTGCAGATATTCACCCAGGTCGGTGGCCATATCCTTCGAAGGGTGCACAGAAATGTACAGATTCTTTCGATCGAAGGACGTGGTCGTAATTCGAGGGCTTCTGAGTTTCAGGTTGCCAATTACATCATCGCGAACTCTGACGGTGGCGGTCGCAGTCAGAGCGATCAGTGGAATATTGCAAAGATCGGAACGGTTTCTGATGGCAGCGAGATGGCGGTAGGAATTGCGGAAGTCGTGACCCCACTGGGAGACGCAATGTGCTTCGTCGATGGCCAAAAGGGAAAGATCTGAAAATAAAGTGAACTGAAGAACGTGAAAATAAGATTCTGAATACATTCACTGCACTTCTCTAGCAATTCGAGCCCTCTACTGCTTGTCGCCATTTCAGGAGACACGTAAATGAATCGGATGCGGTGCAAGTTGTTCGAGGCTCTTTCCCAATCCTTCATGCTCGTGTCTCCGTCCAGTTTGATCGCATTGATTCCTTTCGCGACCAACGTCGTCACTTGGTCGTTCATCAGAGAAATCAACGGAGAAATGACGATAGTCATCGAGTTGAGAAGAAGGGAAGGCAGTTGGTAACACACACTTTTACCGTATCCAGTTGACATGAGCACGAACTGATCGTTTCCCGCAAGCACATTCCTTACCACGTCCCACTGTTTCTCGCGGAATCCTTTGTGACCGTAAAACTCTTTCAGCGCTTGCAGGGCTTCTGGTGGTGGCGACGTCATCTTGGCCCACTTCTGCTTCGTCTGTTCGTCCACTTTCACAGCCTGTTTGCCAGTCAAAAACTCTCCTTCGTCAAGGAAATGTTTCTTTCGTTTGATGGTTGATGATTCCTTCGCGACGAGAACAGATTCCACAAACTCGGGATCGTCGAGAGAGTCATTCATAGACGCGTTCGACTCTTTCTCCGCTTTTACCTGTGCCTCTTCCTCGTCCCACGAATTCTCCGCCGCCGTCACTGGCTTCCGCTCTCTCAGAGTGTATTTCCTTTCCTTCTGGGTCTCGTCGTCATCGTCAGCGGGCACAAATTCGCTGTCGTCGGCGTTTGATCCGTCGGAAGATGATTCCGATTGCACGGTTTCATCCAGAGTTCTCTTTTTCGCCGGCGTCTGAGAGGGCACAAAATCATCGAATGAATCATAATCTTCGTCAGCGACTGGTCTACTCTGCGTTACGTTTTCGAACGAATCGTCTGAATCTGAAATGATCTCGGTCTCCTCTTTCTAGTCGTTCTCCTTTTTACCATTTCCGTTTTCCGGGTCGGTCTCTGGCAGATCGTCGACGTCCTTTCCATCTGGAGAGCCCGGCCTTGTTTCCGGCAGATCTTCTTCGTCGCTTGACATCTGGGAGCATTTATGTGAAGTTTAGATGGAAGAGCATGCAGAAAAATATAAATTTGAATGATGAAATCGGGAAAAACGAGATAAACGTTTAATTCAATACAAATTTTTATGTCTTCTTTAAATGGAAAACGGAAAACAAAACAATGTAAGGAACAACAAATCAACAATGAAAAAAGTACCCATCATCAACAAAAGGAAATAGAAAATAAAAATAAAAATCAACAAATGAACGAAACTTCTAAATTCAACGTTCTCTAATCATCCTCATTCTGCTGAGCCTTTCTCTGCTCCGCCGCACGCCTCTTCACTGCTCTGTACGGCTTCATCTGATCCAACTTTCTCTTCCGCGTCTCCGTCTTCTTCTTATTCTTCTTCCGTCTCAAACCAGCGGCATCTTCTGGTGCCGTCACTGCCAATTCACGAATCTTCCTCTTTCGGTCCGTGATCTTTTCCGCAGCACTCTTTTGGCACTTGGCGACGCGAGTACCGTACTCCTCCTCTCCGATCTTCTTCTTGATCAGACCGCACACTTCTTGAGTCAGTTTCGACAGTTCGTCGTCGCCTGAAGTCTTCAATTCTCTCACCAAAAGAGGCATGAAGGCATCGAGAACGATGGCGTTCTTCTCCGGGTCCCCAGTTACAAACAATGCAGCAATCAGTTTGAAACAGTTATTCGCTGAAAGGAAGTGTATTAGCAAAGTCCAAAAGTCTTCCAGCTGAATTGAAATTACCTTGAGAGTCTGCTTCACTTGGTGCTTGATCTCGTACCGACACGCAGCCGCGATATAGCCAATAAGCGTCTGGTAAGCTTCCGAATCGATTCGCTTCGTGAGGAACACAATGTTCTTCGAAGCTTGCTCGCCCATCGCCGTGTCCATTTTCTCGTGTCTCAAGTGTCTGCTCATCCACAGACACACTTCTTTGGCCAAATCATCAGGGAGCTGGTCAGTCTCCAGATGAGCGAGAAGCTGTCCAATTAGTGTGGAAGTGGCAAGCATCACTCCAAGGGATTCTTCACATTTGCACAATTCACCCGACGATCTGAGGAAGTCGACAGCGTCAAACTCCGTCAGAGCATCCTTTCCGGCGTTCGAGATGATGCGAGTGAGCCCATTCAAAGATACCGTGATTGTTGTTTCACTGAAATCGAATCAATATTTGTCTTGATTGTCGAAATGCGTCCAATTACCTGTTATTTTCGAATACGTCCTCATCGAACAGAGTTTCTTTGACCCTTTTAACGATTTCCCCAATCTTTGGCACCATCGCTTCTTTCTCCACATAACTCAACTGAACTGCCGTCTGAATTCCAACAGCCTTCGCGTTCTCGTCCTCCGTTTTCAGCCACTGACAGATTACTTCGAACGTCTCCTGTCTCTGTGCATTTCCGACCGTCTCCAGAAGGTGCCGAAGTGCCAATCCGATGTGATTCGCCACTTTCGGAGAATCTTCGTTCATCATGGCGGCGCCCATTTTGACGACACACAACATATGAACAGGCGCCAATGACTTCTGAAACAATTGAGTTCATAACTTTTAATTGTAATGTGTGCCTACCGCCACCAGATTGCTGAACAGGGCTTCGAGCATCTCAGCTGCACTCAGCCGTCCTGTCTCGTACTCGTAATCCAACTGATCCAGGAAGAATTCCACGTGTTTATCCACACTCTTCGTCTCATCCGAAGCACCGCCAATGTAGTCGAGAAGGGTATCCCGGCACTGTGCTCTGATGTTCACCAACGGGGATCGGATGGCTGTTTCCGACAGATGATCCATAATTTCTCCCAATCTTTCATGTCGAACTCCTCTCTTTACGAGTGCTTTGATCAATGAAAACATGGTCGCCTGCTTATGTTGATCCAGCACATCGGCTTCAGCGTATGCCAAAAGAAGAGTCAGCTTGTCATTGTCCAGAAATTCACTTCCAGTTGTGGTGATCAAGTTGGTGAATCCCTTGTAAATGAGTTGGTTGAGTTGCACGATGGCCGGCTTGTTTCCTGCCTGTCCGATCGACGAATAATCACTGAGCAACACGAAAAGAGTGTCGGAGACCCGTTGAGAGTTGGCAGCGATAGCGGGCAATTGCATTTTGATCATTGAGCACAGTGCTCTCATTGAACACGAAATCAATTTCTCATACTTGAAATCGAAACAATCCAGAATTAGTTTGACGAACGGATTCAGGCGGGAAACCATCGAATCGTCGGCCAGGTCGAACTTCTTTTCCTTCAGAAGAGAGGAAAACAGCAGGACGAAGAACTCGGCGAATACGTGATCGCGACTCCTAATGACTACTTTCGTCATGGCTCCGATCCTCTGAGGAGCAGCTGGCAAAATGAGACAGCTTTCAGGGCGTCGGCCTTTCTCTTTTGCATCCTTCTGTCCGTTCTTCGACTCGACATCCACCAGCTTCTGAACATCGGATGTGAGCGACTTGAAGATGTAGGTGAGCAGTTGCGAGTGGTTCAATCCTTCGTTGTCCTTTAATCCACCGGCAAACTTTGACAGAAGATCGGAGACCCGTTGGATCGCCTTTGCAGATGGATGCTCGTTGACAACATCCCGGAAAGGAGCGAGAACCATCTGGATTCCGGCCGGGGAGACAATCCTTCCGAGGTGTTGCATCATTTCCGGAGTTCTGTTTCCTTTCGCTTCCGGGCATTCCGCTTTCACTGCTCCGTTCTCCTTGTCCTCGGCTGCGAACTGATCTCTGATGCACATTTTGACAATCACGTTGATCGCTGAATCGAGGTCTCCTCCCTTCGTCACTTCTCTCATGGCAACAATGAGTGTGTGAACAGAGTAAATTGCAACGTGGACCTGAAAAAGAACGTTGTCCATCTGATTGGATCAGACTGAAATACCTGGAATCCTTTCGTCATTGTCAGTGAAATCTCTGTGATAACGGAAGCGAGGTACTTCGGTCCGAGACATTTCACAATCTGCACAAGGGTCTTTCTCGCGGTTTCTCGCACGTCGTACGAATGCGTCATCATCAGATTGCACAGCTTCAGGATCACTCCGTGAAGATGCTGACCAGTCACGGCTTCCGGCAGTTTCTGCAGTAACTTGACGATCGCAAGTGCAATCGGAGCACGTTGGATATCCAGGTGAAGAGCGGTTGCGTGCGTCTCCGCGGTTCTCGCATTTCTCTCCACTGCTTGAGTCTGAAAATATACAATTGAAAGAAGGTACTTTGATTTCCATTTCACCTGGGAATCCAAACTTTTAGTCAGACGAGGAAGGATAACTCTGCTGATTCTCTGCAGAATCGTGTGCTTCTCGCTTTTCTCCGCCTCTCCATCGTCTCCGTTTCCTTCCACTTCGAATTGTTCTCCTTCTTCCAGTGACACGTCAAAATGGAATGCCTCAATGACGGCACCGACGATGCGAACGAGTGCTTTGTCGGTGAATTCGTCGTCCTTCGATGATGACGTCGCTTTCTCCACACGTGCCAACCAACTTTCCAGGTATGAACAGTACTTTCCCCATGGCGCCTTCGACATAATCATCTTCAGAAGTCTGAGTGACTCGTCAGAAATCGCGTTGAACTTTGCAGAGTAATTAACGAGATATGGATGGATCATTGGAATTAAATATTTGTTCATCGCATTAAATGAGATGCTCTTTTCTCCACTTTCCATGCTTTCCACTAGTTGTCTGATGGCTCTCTGCCTTCTGTACAACTGAATGTGATTCATGTTTTTCAGGAAATCGTGCTCTTCGTCTTCGTTCGAGAATGCGTCAAGTTCTGCCAAATGCTGGCTCTCTTTGAATCCCTTCGTCATCACGCCCAACGCATTGAGTGCTTCTTCCCGGACCGCATCGACAGCATGTTTCATGAATGCGATGATAGTTGGACCGAGATAACTGTCGAGGAAAAGTCTTTTCTCAGCGATCGGGAGTGTTCTTCCCGCGTACTGCACCATGGCTCTCACATTATTACCAGCAGTCATTCTAAGCGAGAGATCCGAAGTCGTCGAAATGAGATGGAAGTGAGAGCTGAGAATCATCGCGAGAACCACGTGGTCCGTCTTAACGTCTTCATTCCAGATCGTTGTCAGACCCGAATATGCGGCGTATCTCCGTTCAAAGTGTGGCTCGTCGACTTTTGTCTTGTCCCACGCATCGATTTCGCTGAGCAAATGGAGGATTTCTTTCGTCCTCGGATCCAGGTTCTTAGACTTCACAAATCCCTCCACCATCGTCATCAGTGCATCTCTCAGCGTTCTTCCCTCCATTCTCGCGAACAATTTCGGAAGTCTCCTAAAACGAGAGGCTAACAATCTTGGCTTCCTTTCTTTTATCTTACCAGAAATACGTCTGTGGCTCTTTGAGCAAAGGTGCAATTCTTGCCAACGACTTCATCATATTGACGAGTGTCTCTTCGTTGCACTTTTTTCTCTCCACACAAATGAGCAGCGGCGTCGCCAAACGATTCGCCACGTCATCGGATTCGGAGACGAAATCGGAGAACCGTTCGAGAAGAGTGATGCTTTCGGGAGCCGGTCTTTTCGTTTCAGAAACTTCCCTTTCAATCTGATTCGTCAGGAAGTCCAGCACGATTCTGATTTTGCGGGTGAGAAGAGTCGTTCCGAAATTGACTCCTGCAAAATGACGATTTCTATTGTTTGCTTATGAGACGGATCCACATACCTTTCTTAGTTTTAATCTGTTCGCAAGTGACAAGCTCTGTAATCGGAATCATTGTCTCGTCTGCCAATTCAGACAACTTCAGAATTCCTGTTCGGATCGTCTTGAACATCAAATCAAAGCATCCTGCCCATGCGAGAGGAGCCAGAAGAAGCTGAAAACCGGAAGTTATAAGTTATTACAGTATGGGGAAAACTCACATCCAAAGTGTCGCACGTTTTCTGAACTTCTTTCTCTTCTTGAACTCTCCATTGAATAGTGATGGTGAGCAGCTGATAGAGCGACGGAATTCGGCAGATTGAGGCGAGAAGCTTGACGACGGCAAATGGAGCAACCGGAATATCGCCTTCTGATCTGAAATTCTCTGGGTAACAGGAGACACGCCCGATCACACATCATACCTTTGGATGACACTGACACGTGGCGTCTCTTCGACATAGCAGTTGAGAATAGTATTTTTGACGACATCAATCTCTTCCTTGAGCGGTTTTCGGTCTGGGAATGCATGGAAAAACTGAAAAATTGAGCTATACGGTGCTCGACATTCGACTCGGCTACCTCGGAAAGTCTGTCGCAGACGTTCATTCTCAGCGCCTTCACCATGTCTCCGTTCATTTCCGCTTTTTTTGCGTGCTTGCACACGATTGCACAGGCGAGAATCACTTGCAAAACCATCTTTTGTTCGTTCTCAGTCATCGACCTCGCAATCTTTTTGAGCATTTCCGAAACTCCATTGAGCACGCTGCAAGAAAAGTGATCAGGTGTCTTTATTTTCTTCTTGTCGTGTATGGATAATAAATGTTTTCTGCGCTCGGATCTATTTTCTTCTTCAAAATTTCATTTATAAAAGATGCGCCAATTCTGGGCCATGTCTTCTTTTCAACAAGTGTCTAGAGCGACAAACAAACGAGTGGAAAAACGGAGAGTATCATCATAGTCTTTTTTAGTATTAGAAATTCTGGATTTCGAGACCCAGTGGATAATCGGCTTTCATCCGACCATCTCCTGCCACATCAAATCTTCTTTCTTCATTCGTGAACATCTTTCCCACTCTTTACAAATCTACCATTCCCAATTTTAATAAACTTGCAATGCCCTAAAATCGGCGTGGGAAATGAGGGGTGACGGAGGAGAGAGGTCCTTCGCTTTCTTCTTCTTCGCACAATATGCAACTCATCGAGCAGTCACTTGATACGAACAAGTGCATCTCTTGACACCCTTCTTCTCGCCCATTTTTTGATGCTCCCTCAATGAGCCATGGATTCATTCGTCTATAATGCACTTTTACGTGCCTCTATTCACACCCTCCGTCCGGCTGGTAATAGTTAGTCCTCTCTGCGTCCCGTTCAACGTATAATTAGACTAACGTCTTCTTTCCGTCCAGCTGAATAATCTACAGTTACCCTTCCGTTACTTACGAGATTTCATTTCACGGACGGTAATTACCGAATGGAAAAGTGGAGGCCCCACAAACAACTTGCTTCAACCGCGTGTTTCCGCACCAATCTATCACTCTTGCTCTCCCATCACAAACCTATGTAATGCCACCTCTCGTAACATACATCCTGCCCGCTTGATTGACAAAAAACTCGGTGAGGAGACCACGAAAATCGAGACAGACTGGGGCCAGCATGACAAACAACATATTTCATGTTACTAGCGCCTTCGCCAAGGTGATTTCGGGAGGTGCGTCCTCTTGTTTTCGACACTTCCGTTCTTCTCCGAATCTCCCCCCGCCATTGACCCCTCGAGGAGTCGTATCCAATTCATTGGAAGAAGACTAGCAAGAAGAAGTGAGTAGTATAAGCGGAAGGTTAGTCGGTTTCGTTGCGACAAGACGAGAGATTTCATTGCTTTTCACATCATAAAATATCCATGATCGCATGTCCTGAATTCAACGACTCCGCTTAGCAAAAACTTGCTCAACACGTAAAAAATATGTACTTCCGTGATTTTCCGCATCCATCTGATCTCTACACTACTTTGTTATTCTAACTTCGAAATCCTCGAGGACGTCATATTGCTCGCAATCCATCTGCCTGATGTTTCTTTGCGAAGTCAGCCAGTCATCGGCCATTTCGTTGTTGTAATCGGTGCACTGAACTCTTGTTCTTCTTAATGCGAAACGTGTTACATTCCCGTGCCTCCGCCGAGCCCCGAGTGATGATATCTGCCGTGTGCTCCCTCGTTTGCTACTCCCGTCGGTCTTCTCTTGCGGGAGGGTGTCACAACTGTTCCCGTTGTTTCACTGTCGCCGCCCTCTTCGCCCAGACGAACTAACTGCCGCCTTCCGCCTAGTTCGCATAAATAAACGTGTCAATTATCTCGGCCGGATGACTGAACGACTTGTCATATCAGTAATATATCAATTCATCGCTTTTACGCCTATTTGTGAATGTGTCAGTATCTTGCGGCCTCTCCATCTCTTCACATTTCAACACCGTCCATTATCATAAATTCCTCGCTCATTCTCGTAGTTAACGACTTCTCGAATTGCAGCATTCCAAAGACTGGTGATGCTTCCTGATGCCTTCTAAACAAACGTTACTCTACCCCTTTCTGCTGCTCTTTCTACTGAATCCCTCCGTTCTTTTATCGAAAAATCATAAACGGATATCAAATGATGATAGATGCAGGTACATATTACTTGAAGTGAATACTGTCTCATTTTCCCATTTCTAGATTTCCCGGAGATGTCCACGATATCTGGTCGCACTGTCAGTGCATTTCAGTGCCCAGTATCCCAACTCCTGGAGTATTTAGCCACGAGTCTCCAGTCCATATTATGTGCCACCACACTTCGTCAGCTACAGTTCCACAACTTCCAAACGCAGAAACCACAAAAGGACCTCCTCCGCACATTGTTGCTCTTTCGATGACCGACGGTTCGATGGCATTCGTGCAGCAGGACGCATTCAAGCACCACGACATGCAGACTCTCGATTTCTCGAACAATCAAATTCAGACAGTCAATGTTAATGCCTTCCGTGGATTAGAAGTGAGCAATAACTTGATCTAACTATTATATCATATAATTTATATGACAAAAAAACTTTTAGATGAAACTGACTCAACTGGATCTCTCACACAATAATCTCTCCGTTATTCCAACTTGGGCATTGACTTACTTGCATAGTCTACAGATTCTGCATTTGGAGAATAACAGAATTGACGTGCTTCGATCGAATACTTTTGACGAAACCCAGTTGAACAACTTACAGTTTCTCTATTTGGACAACAACCAGGTTAGAAGAAAGTTGACGTTCAGACGACATTCAAGTTTTTCAGTTACGAGTCATTCCGAATTTGGCATTCAACCATCTGCGTCTTGTCGTGCTGATGCTCTCAAACAACCGAATAACTGAGATTCAGAAGATGTCCCTCCCTCAAACTCTCAATTTTCTCGTCCTACGGAACAATCTTCTCACACAAATTCCCTACGTCGCATTGAATGACTTGAAGATGTTGCAATCTATTGATTTGGAAGGAAACAACATAACCCATTTGATGGATAACAACGAGGTGACATTCGAGTCAGAGATGAAGGTTGTGCTGAGAAACAACAAGATACGGAGACTCGACAAGCATTCATTTCGGAGTTTCCGGAAGATTCGAGAACTGGACATCAGCTACAATCAGATCCAAACAGTGGAGGATTCTTCATTCGAAACTGTCGGACACATGCAATCTCTCGATCTGAGTTATAACCGAATTGCCTACTTGCCACGCGGAATGCTCAAAAACTTTGCCAAAACGCTGAAGAAACTGAAATTAGCAGAGAACATGGTGCACGCAACTCCGGAGGCTCTCCGAGATCTACGCAATTTGACGCATCTGAACTTGAATGGCAACAAACTGAACAGAATAGACGGTGATGTTCTCAGAGGATGCAAGGATACTCTCGTGGAGTTATTGATCGCTAACAATCACTTGGAACAAATCCCTCATGGGCTGCTGAGTGGAATGAAACAATTGGAGCACTTGGATGTCTCGAAGAATAAGATTCGGTCCCTGAAAAGTCCCTCATCGTTGCTGCCTGTCGAGAAGGAGGAAGCTTCGAGTGTTCGTAAGCTGAATCTCGCCGGCAACCGAATTAACAACTTGACTGATGTGCGCATTTTTGAACACATGCCATTGTTAACGTATGTCGATGTTTCGTTCAACCGCATCAAGTTCATCTCTCCAAGAGTTTTTGAGAAATTAAAAAACTTGGAAAGTCTGTTCCTGCAGGTCAGAAAGTATCTACAGACCAGACAAACCGTTTGTTTTCAGAACAATCAACTAAGTCATTTTCCATCGTTATTTCGGCTTGAAAAACTACGTCATTTGATGCTGGACAACAATCAAATTCAGAAAATTGACAACTTTTCATTGGCAGATCTTCCGAAGCTACAACATCTTTCTCTTGCCGGGAATGAGATCGATGTGATCACAGAGAATGTGAGAAGTCCCTAAGAATTAAATGACAGAAGTGCTCTTGCAGATGTTTGGCTCGAGCAGCTCTTCTGAGCTCAAGTCTCTGAACTTGGCACATAACAAGATTATTTCGATTTCCAGTCGATCATTTTCTGATCTTGACAACTTGCAACAACTGCGACTCAGTCACAACCATATCCGAACAATTCCATCCATGGTTAGCCAAATACTATTGAGTTGAACAACTTTCCACTTTTAGGCCTTTGCAAACCTCCGAAACCTTCGTTATTTGGATCTTTCAAACAACAGAATTATTAAAGTTCTTCCCAGTGCACTCTACCAACTGCCTGCTCTGGATGTCTTGCATTTGGATCATAACAATTTGAATGAAATCGACAGGGATGCGTTTCGTTCGTTCAGTGATTTGCAGTCAATGAAGCTCTCGCATAACGCGTTCCGTCGGTTTAGTTGCGAATTTCTGGGCAGTATTACCCAGGTACTCCAGCTAGATCTCAGCTCGAATCAGATCACTGAGTGAGTGATTTTTGATTGCAAAAAGAGTTAACCGACATTTCCAGAATTGACATCTCTTGCATTGCCCGAGGGATTCGAAAACTGTCACTGGCTTCGAACAGCGTTGAAAAGATTCACAGACGGCTACTTCAAGATGCAACTGAGCTCACTTCTATTGATCTTTCCCACAACGGAATCATAGATGTGGACAATGACGCGTTCTCCGAGTGTAGGCAACTCTCATCTGTGAAGCTTTCACACAATTATATTCGGAATTTGTGGAAGGGAACATTCCAATATCAGGTGTGACCTTGAACGCTGTGAACTTGTGAATAGAGGATTTTCAGGAGAAATTACACGATCTCGACATCTCGTTCAACGACATTCTGTTTCTCCACCAAGGAACTTTCGGAAAGAATAATATTCTGCAACTGCACGCGAGGAACAACAAGTTATCAAGGATTCCATTGGAAGCCCTTTCTTCCACAATGTCCTCGTTGCACCTTCTTGACTTGGCGCACAATAACATCAAGTAAGAGAACTGTACAGTTATCAGCCAAATGATTGCATTTACAGAATTGTCGATTCTTCTCAACTGACTTCCTTTGGAAATCTTTCAATTCTTTCGTTTGCCAACAACAAAGTGGATTCCATTGAGGACGGTGCTTTTGAGAACCTTCTCAGTCTCAAGATTCTTGATTTATCAAACAATCCGGTCACTTCTTGGTCTCCCACCGCTTTCCGTGACCTGAGTCATTCCATTTGCTCCATCAACATGGCTAACACCGGATTATTCTCAATGCCAAAGTTCAGTCATCGGTCGATTCAATCATTGAACATTAGCTGGTAACAAAAACGGAAAGTTTTCAACTTTAACACTGAAATTTTCAGTAACAAGATCTATGAACTATCAGAGCGAGATTTGGCTCCTCTAACTAAGCTGGTGGCCCTTGACATATCACACAACAACTTGAAACAGATCAGTCCTCTCTCATTCGAACCGCTCATTCATCTCAAGCATCTAAATATATCCGCAAATCCAATCACACATATACAAAACGATCACATTCAGCAGCTTTATCAGGTCAGTAATCAACTAAAGTAATAATAGGAAGAAAATAATGTTATAGCTAGAAACACTGCACATTTCTGATATGCCTGCCCTCTTGCGACTCCCAGATTCTCACTCTTTTGGCCAGATGAACAACTTGAAAAACTTCCACGTAAGTTCAGAAAGCAAATATATGGAGTGGAATTATTCCCTTTCAGCTCTATAACATTCCGGATATCGCACAACCCTATCAAATCAGTTCGATTCTATCCAACCTGCCTCCCTTGCATACAGTCCACGTTGATATCAAAGAATCCGTACTCGACCGTCAGTTCTACACTGCGGACACGAGACTGTTGAGGCATTTGGTCGTTGCGGGAAGGAATCTCTCTAAGGTGAGCAACTGGAAACTGGGAATACTAGAACATCGAGTTACAGATTGAAGTAGGAGCTTTCGCCACAATTCGTGGCTTTCGGGTCAAAATTGAGATTCATAACACTTCTATACAAGAGTTTCCCGAAAGAATATTCGACACTCTTACTGGAATTTCCATTCTATCTCTGAGGTTAGACGACGTGATTCTTCAAAGAACACATTTAGCTTTCAGTCTTACCGACAACAAACTGACATCTCTCAATCCGTTCTATTCGACAGTACCACCGGTTATCAACCAGCACGGAACCATTATTCAGTCTATTGAACTGCAGGTCAGAGAAAGGATTTAACACTCATTATCGTTCACTTTTCAGAACAATCCGATCGAGTGTGATTGTCAGTTCAAGTGGATCGACGAGTTCATTCGAGTGACCAGTCTCCTTTCGGATCAATCCAAATCTCACGACTTCGACAGAGTCGAGTGCAAAGACTCCCAGGCGTCCAATTTGGAAAGCCTTGCCTCGGCGGCCAACGAACTCTTCTCCTACCGTACTAAACTGACATTGCTCTCCAAATCCGATGACTTTGATCTCGAATGTGTCGTCCAGTCCGCCACTTCATTCATCCTTTTTCCCGTTCTTATTTTCCTGTTTTTGATTGTTTGGTAATCACCTCCTCCTCCCCCGAACATTCTTTCTCACTTCTGTTTACGGGTCATCCAGAAATGCTTCCTAGTTTTCCATTATTTGGGTACGGTTTGAAATAATAAACTTATTTTTCTGCTGATGAACTCACTGTTGGAACACTTTGATGTTGAGATTTCCGAGGAACGATTCCTTTTGGCACTTTGACTCAATCTCTTCAAAACTGGCTTCTGGCCCGAAAACTTTGTAGATTTGTGCGAAAAAGAGTCGAAGGAAGAACGTGAGTTCGGCAGAACGACAGCCTCCGATAACGAAGAGGATTCCATTCCGTCGGGAAATCATTCCCTTCTGCTTGTTGTTCAGGAGCAGTTTTCCATTCAGGAGACGGAGAAGGATCGGAACGACTACAGAACGGTGCTCATCGGCCACCTGTGCATCGCCTTCGTCTTCCGACAATTTGAAATATGGAAGTGATTGACGGAGCGTTTTCTCATCAATCAGAGCATTCAGGTTCTCACTGAAAACAAATGAACAAATAGTTTTTTTCGTGGTGCAATTCATTTACCGATAACTGGCCAGAATGGTGTTTCTGTAGGAAAAGATGCACGCCAAAGCAGCCTTCTGAATTCCTTCGTAGCGAGATCCGAGTAACTCCTCGTACATTTCGAGCAACTTCGGCTCCATGTACACGGATTTTGCGGCGTTGAACTTTGCGTAAACGGATAAAAGGGAAGTAAGGGCTTTCAGAATGAACGCCGTCTCTTTTCTGTGATTCAGATGCTCTTGTGTCACTTCTTCTTTCGGATCTTCTGGTTCTTCCTCATTTTCTTCTTTCTCTTCTTCCTCTTCAGCTGCAACTGGGATCTCCGAAACGACAGAAGTCGTGGTCAAACGAATGTAATCTCTGAAGTCACGCTTGCGCTAAACGGAATCGACAAGAAACTCACTCATAAATGGCCAAAAGAAGTGGACTGATCACTCTAGTTCGTCTCTCTGCCACGTCCGGAATCGTTTCGAAGAAGTTGAACAATTGGATTCTGGCATTGACAAAGTCGGATCGATTGAGTTGATCAATGCCCACTAGCCGTCCTTCTCCCGATTCATTACCTCTCTTTTTTATGTCTGTAAATCAAAGATAACTATTCGCTACCATTTGAAATCCAACTCACTCTCATTCACATTGGTCAACCACATTCCCATCACTTTCCAGAATGTGTCAATGTTCATTTCATTGGCGAAGGTGGTCAACACTTCGTGCACTCCTTTCCAGAGAGGCGAGAATCCGACGAAGAACTGCGAGACGATGTCCGTCACGATCATCATTTCGACCTTCTCGCTTGATCCAATCGGAATGAATTCTTTGTGGTGCCCGTGTCTCAGTTTCCGCAAATGGAGTAGCCGTTCTCGGAAGTTTGTCAGTTCGCTGTCCTCTGCTTCGTATAGCACTTCGAACACGTTCATCTGCTGTCGGTGCACTTTTCCTTCTTCGTCTGAAATCTCCGGAAGAGGCAGTTTGAAGTTGCTGAGGATCTTGAAAGTAGTCTTTCGGACTCGATCATTCGGACTGAAGACAGCGGGGAAGAGCAAATCGACGACTTTGTTCATGTAGTTGACATCTTTGGAAACTCCGTACACGGAGACGAACAGTTCGAAAGCGAGAAGAGAAGATTCCGAGCAGTTCTGACGGCCGAGGAACTTTTCAACGTCTTCCTTCTTCACTTTGTTCAACAATGCCTTGTTGGTGAGAAAGATACCAGCAGTGCAAGCGAAAACAAGCTGACTGTTGGCGACGCTAGTGTCCGATGAATTGATGGCCTCTTGAAGAGTTTGCAGAACGTCCTCGGTACCGTGCGCAGCCTCCGCTTGTGAGAACAGCCAGGGCCAAGCAACAGCCATATCGATAAGAGATTCGGTGGATAGCTTCTTCCGATTGACACCTGGAAACGCATTAACGAAGTTCCGGAGAGTATTTGATTGACTTACTTTCAAAGTTGGAAACAAGCCAATCTCGGAAAACGCGATGATCGGAGAGATCGAAGAAGTTGGAACGAGAATCTGGAAGTACGATTACTTCGAGTTATCCGTACAACCAAAACACAAGTACCTCTCTCAATAGTTTCTCGAATTGGGTGTCTCTGGGAACAAAGAATGGAATAGAAACCGACGATCTGCTTGACCAATCCACTATCTTCCGATCTTTCTGTGACGATTTCGGCGGCAATTTTACCGAAAGCCGGCATCATGTACAAATCGAAGGATTCCAGTTCGATCGTCTTCAGAAGGAGCTCAATCACAATCTGATACTCTTTCGATTTCTCGACAATCTTCAAGGTGATGTCTCTGGAGAAGAGGCGGTTTTGGTTATTGTTGAAAATAGTGAGTAGAGTCTGAAATCTCGGAATAAGAATCGAGTTCGTCTCTCCGAAAGTTACCTCGCTGAAGAAGTCGACAACGTGCTGCTCCAATTGAAAATCGTCGATTTTCACAACGTTCTCCAAACTTTTCCTCAGCTCAGGAACACACACAAACTCCACTTGCTCCACTTTTTTCAGCTCTCTCTTTCCTTTATTCTTCTGGTTTTCTTTCTCTTTCTTTTTCTTTTTCTTTGTCACTTCATTCATCAATTCTTCGTTTTTCTCGACGATACACGGCTGGAGTAGACGCATCAACCTCGTCGCTTCCGACATTTTCTTCGATTCTCCCAACATTTTCTGAATTTTTAATTTTTTGTTCCGTGCTAGAAGCAGATTTTTACCGTTAGAACTTTCTGATAGAAATGACGGTTTTCGTACTTGGAGCTTTTTGTGTACTCAATTGTATATCCGACCATTTGAACCAGAATTCCGACACAAAACTCTGTGAACTCCTCCTGATTCTCTTCCGATTCGGCGTGCACCAATGCGTGAACGATGTCCCGGAATATCTGTTCAGAATTGCTGTGGAAGCTTCCGGCGATTCCGATGAAAGAATTGTAAAAAAGAAGAGCGCATCCATCGAAGAGATAGCTGTGCGGAGTTTTGAATGCCTGCTTGGCCACAAATGTGCAAATTGCTCGCATATCTGAGGATTTCCGAAGAAGATAGGCGAATGCTTCAGCGGCGAAACGACGGGCAAAGTCACGACTGCTTGCGAATAACGGTAAAAAGTTGCTGGAATTCAAGAGAACTACGTTTGAATAACTCAAATGCTCTCTTACTTGAATGATTTTTTCAGCTGTTTGAACAAGAAACCAGATTGTACTTTGACAAGAATGGAGAAGCAGAGATAGGCGCCTTCCAGATTCTCCGCCACTCTGTCGCCGAAATCTGAAATTAAATCACATTCCAGTTGAATTCTGCAAAAGAGTGCAGTACCGAGAATATTGACCAGAATACCAAATGCTTTCCAGCAGTATTTGTTGAACTTTTCACGCAGATCACGTGCAAAGGCAGCGAGGATTCCGCACAGAGCGGGAACAGAGCGAGAAGCCGGTTTTGTGATGTGCTCGCAGAGAGCTTCGAAGATCTTATCCGATTTGTGCAGCAACTGAGCATAGGTCTTGATTTCGTTCACTTGAATCGCCATAATGAAAGCATCTGAAAACACTTCTGTTCTCCCCCAATTCTTCCGTTTTTGTACACCAACCGAGATCTTCTCCCTGATCTTCCCCTCGCCAATTATCGATTGCATCCTCGAAATACGTCTCAAACTGAGTTTCGGCATTCAATTTCCTGGAGAATCTGCCATTGTCTCCTCCCATTTGAGAAATTCTCTCATTGAATGTGAGAAACTGAAAATCTCGATTTACATGATCATTCGTTTGGGACACGCTCACTTTTTTCACTTTTTTAAACTGCTTTTTGGCTGCATAATACTTGGCGAACAGCTCATCTTCGCTTGTTTCCTCCATATCTGACAAGTTTGAATTTTAGGGTAAATGTGAAAACGAACAGAAGTAATGAATGACATAGCTCAGAGAAAAAACTTTTAAAGATAAAAGTGATAAAATAATATATAATTCAATCTAATTTTACTATTAGATGAGAAATAACTTGCTTTGAGAAAATTTTAGATTTTTCCGAAATGAATAAAACAATTTCGGAGGAAGAATGCAAGCGCGCTCCATTGTACAACGGCATCAAACGCGCGGTGAATCAAATATTAATTTCCGTTGCACACATGCAGATCGTTTTCTTGACTGTTGATTACTAAACAGAAGCAATATAATAGCTTAATGTTTTTATTCATTTAACCCTGTCATTTAATGAAAACAAAAATCAGGTCATCAAGTGATAATTTAACATATTTGAGCCGTCGAAAGAGACATGAGCACTCTCAGAAATATACAGAAAATCATAAAGACAATGAACAAAGACCTCGTATTGCAAATCAGAAATAGTTATCTATCGTTTCGTGACTACGACATTCGGGTTCCGAGTTGGCTCCTCCGTCAGATCATTCGGGCGAGTGTCCGGTGAAAAGCGTGCTTGAACTGGCACGCGGCCGCCCGGAGCGAGAATGACTTTTCGAGCAGACGGAGCCGAGAACCCACGTGGTCGAGCTCCGCCGCCGAGTCGCAACGGTCCTTCGCCGGGCAACACTGCTCCAGTTGACGGCAGTACGTAGACCAAGAGTCCAGGTTCTCGCACGTCACGTGCTTCTCACTGATAGTTTTCTGAGCGAAGCATCTCGTATTCTGAAGACAAATGTTCGTTTAGGCCTTTCCTTTTTCAGTTGCCAACCTGTTCTTGAGAACTTCCGACGCATTTGATGAAGAACTGAAGCTTGTTGTTGGAAGCTTCATCGATTAACTGAAAATGGAAGATTGTTCTCGGCTGGAGTCGTTTCAGATTGTTACCCTGTACAGTGGAAGCAGCTGAGCGGAGCACTTGTCGTAAGGCGTCGGATAAGGATCTGCACATCGCAACCGCATCTCGACTTCCTTCCGAAGACACGTATCGTATCTCTGACAGCCTGTCGCCAGTCTTCTTTTGTACTCTTTCATCTTCTCCGCATTGTTCTTGTTCATGGGCAATATCACAATCGGCTTCATTCTGAATCCTTTTATCACTGTCCAGTCCCGTTTTCATCACTCACTTTTCCATCATCTTTGCTCCCATCGCCTTCAAACGATGTCTCTTTCGGATCGGCAACGGCCACAGCTGGTTGTCCAACGGGGTCGTGCTGATTGATGGCGATGGAGTCACCTGCAAATGACCGTCGGAACTGCTGCCCTCTGTTCTCAGAATCACTTACATCGATTGATCCGAATGTCTGCGCGTCGGTCGGCAACGGAATCAGATCACTGTTCTGTTGCTCGCTGAGCATTCCCGGGCTCAATGGAGCTGCCGTCGTTCTCAGTTGCGGAGTTGTCGTGTGCCCTGTGTGATGGGACGGATGATGGGGTCCATCCATCGGCCATATCGAGGGAGAACTGTTCGCTTGTTCATATCTGGCAATTGGGATAGGGAAAGGAGGAGCAGCGGATGTGCTCGGCTGAAAAGCAACAGTAATAGGATCTGATCTGAGAAACTCGGAAGTTACCTCAATGTCCATAGCGCTGATATCAATGTAATCGGCACTCGAAAAGTCAAACTCATCCTCGTCCGATTTCGGCTTCTCCATATGTTTGTTCAAAAGCTCGTGTGTCACGTAATCAACCAGTGGGTCCACAGAGAAAGAAGACGTCGAACGGGTCTCAGTTGTCGGTTCCGCTTCTGAAGACGTCGCTGTCACTTCTGCAGATGTGGTGGTTGTTGGTGTGATCGTGATCTCCTCCGTGCTTGTCGTCGGCTCTTCCGTAGTAGTCTTCGAGACTCTTCTAAATGGCGCAAAAGTAAATCTGGAGGATGGAGGGCGAGCAGATGACGTCGTGAGCAGAGTGGTCGGGAAAGTGATGGTGGGAGGTGGGAGCGTGCTCGGCGGAGGCGGCAGTTCGGTCGTCGGTTCCGTACTTGGTTCCATGGTCCATGCACCATTGTTATTTATGAATGCCTCTCTGTTTTCAAGACCAGAAACTGGTGTAGTTGGCATGAAATGTAGCTTGGGCGGCTTTTCGTTCACTGCTTCTCCCACTTCGTTCGTCAGTTCGTTGTCACTGATCTGTGACTCCACGAGGTCGTCGTAAATCTGATCAGGCGTCTGTTTACGCTCTTTTCGTCCAGCAAAAGTCGGTTGTAATGGTTTGATCATTGGCTGCGCGTACCCCAGGAACTTTCCCTTGTTCTGTTTCACCATCAACATCTTTGGCAGAATCGATCTACCGTACTCTCCCTTTTGCTTCAGATTCCCATTCAGTTTGTCCAACTTTTCGACCGCCTGAAGAAAGTATTCGCTCTAAAATGGATTCACCGAAAAACTCACGTGCTGCGCGTCGAACCGCGACTCGGTTATCTTGGACGCCTGGGCGAACGGCGGCTCGTCCTCGAAGTCGTGCTTCTTCTTCCGGTGTCTTCTTTTCTTTCCCTTCCGCAATTTTCTATTAAATCGCGCTTCAAAGTCGATGGACTGGAAAGTGAACGGAGAGAACGCGGGCGGCTGTGACGTCGTCTGGATTACGGTGCCGCCGTGGTGAAGAACTGTGAACGGACGGAGCGAAGTGGTCGGCGGCTCGATCGGCGCGTGAAGCGTCTCGGCTCTTCCGGCGCGCACTGTCGTCGAATACTTTTGTTTCGAGATTCCGTAACGACTTTCTGGGCATAAAATGATTATCAGTTAGAGGGTTTTCGTGCGAGTGCTTCAACGTACTGATTGGTCTTTTGATGCCTTTCGGTCGGTTCGAGAGGAGCGCTGCGAACTCTCTCGCTTTCTTCCCTCGTTTCGTTTTTGGTCTTCTCTGAAATTGAGAAATTGTCTGCTACCTGCGAGAGACTGTTCGAACCTGAGGATCTGGGTAAACTCTGAACGGCACCACACTTCTCAGCATCACTTTCGTCGCTTCGCTCACTTTCAGAGCTATCATTGCGTCTTCTCTGAAACTTCACTCATTTTCAAGTCCCTAACTACCGTATACCTCGAAACAGGAGCCCTCAGAACTGCACTCATCTCAACAGAGCACTCTTCCAATCTCATTTTCATCTGGCTCTTCTCCAACTCAAACTGTTCCGTGATCAATTCCCTCTCGACCTCGGATGCACATCTCTGAGCTGCCGGACAACATCTACTCAGTGCGAAACATCTCTGAGTCAGTCTGATTAGATCACTCCAACAAGTGGCCGAAGAGAAAGAGGCAGGCCAAACGGCCGCTTCAATTTCAGTATTGCACGAAGGATCAGTCATCAGAAGGTAGTCGATCTCGCTGATGGCCGAATACTTTTGTGTGCAGTCTGTGAACAGGGACTCGATGTCGTAGGACGTCGCTTTGTGATTTCTGGAAAAGACGAAACACCCATAAATTGCTCAACTTCATTCCTTACGAACCCGTACAGACTGTTAATCTTGCACGCGTGCTGCGTGAACCTCCTCGACGGCTCCGCGCACTTCCAATGCACCTCGAGCAGCTCGCTCCGACACTTCACGTACCGATCGCATCCGTTCGCGTCCGCCTGAAACAGTCTCCCTTCGGCAGCTCCTCCGCATTCACCCGTTAGCTTCCTCCACTTCACCCCCGTGTAACTTTCCCCTCTCCGGCCATAATTGCCACAATTATTCGTGTCCGAACGGTCTCCGTTTTGCTTCTGTACACATTCCGCCGTCAATCAACCGCGTCTCCCCGGCTTCCCACTCTATTTCGTGGATGAACAAGGAAGAAGTTGAGACGTCAACGGAGATGTTGCAAAAAAAACGGGGCAGAGAGGCAAGCCAGTTGAGTGATCGGAATGGACAGAGCGGCGTCTGGGTGGCCGACCGACTGCACTCTCGCCGCAATTGGCTCTCTTCTTACCTGACCGATCGAGATGACAACGAAGAGAAAAAGATGAAGCAGAAAAAGGGGCAAGACGGGCGGGATGCCACGGTGCCGACTCCTGTCGGCCATCTGGAACCGATCTGGAAGACGAGCGATATTGAGAAGTATAGATAAGAGTTTTGAGAGCTACAGTAGGAAGTTTGGGAAAGAATATCGACAGAAGACGGGTTTCCAGAATAATAGTTAGAAGAATAAGAAACTTTGAAGAAAATAGAATCAATATGGCGGTGGCGATCTAGTGGGGGAAGCTTATATGTTTTACAGGAAACCATCACCGGGATGGAGATTGGATTTTGATTGGCAATGAAATGGACAGGATGGAAAGGAGAAACGAGAACGGGCGCTCTCAGTTGACTCGGCAGAATACCTGAATGCCGAAGAACTTTTGCCCGAACTTTCTCCCAAATGGGGTGGCAATCGGTTCGAAATGCCAATAACTTTCGGATGCCCTTCCCCCTCCTCCTGCTTCCCTCCCCCGGCCGGCCCGGTTTCGACGTACGCAATACTAATTGACTGCCGAGTGAGTGCGGGTCGGTTTCCCGTTCAAAAAGCGACTGTGTACGTGTGTGTTGTTCCGCATAGTATAAAGGAAGCATCACACGGAAAGAAACCAAACGAATTAGTCAAATTTGTTAAGTGAATCAGACGGAAAAAGGAAAAAAAAGGATGATGGGTAAGTGCGTAAGCGGCGAAGGGCTTTGATGATTGAAGACGGATTGGCAAAAGGGAGGATGGGATGGATTACTGTAGTTGGAAAATGAACGGATGAAAAGTGATACGAACTGATAATCGGAGACTCTTTATATAGCAACTTTGAGACCGAGATCTCGTTATCATTAAATTAAACTCGAATCTCAGACGGGGACGTGTGGCATTCTCGAACAAGATGTAACAATAATGAGTTGTACATACACGACGTCATTTCAAAACAAACTGGGGGTGAAAGTCGGAGGGAAAGCGAGAGCGAGAAGCGACGGAATTTCACCGGAACACAGATATTATGCAGATTTCGATCGTCGCCTGGCAAGCGACAATGAGATGCTTTTTCGAGATTATCACGACTTTCGACCTGAATCCCAGACACGTTTGAAACGGAAAACAAAAACGAAAGGGAGGAGGATCAGAAGCAGAACAAACTGTGGAGTACGGTAAATGGGAGCGATTAAAATGGAGACAGTACAAAGAGTAACCGAATGGAATGGCAAAGATCGGAGGATCCGCATCAGCTGTCTACGTCGCCGGCGAAACTCGGCGAATATAATGGCGTGGTCGGGGCGGATCGGCCGGTGGCAAACCGCTTCGTGCTTCTTCTTCTTCTTCTTCTCCCTCTTTTCCGTCTTCTTCTCCGTCTGTTGCAAGTCCTATTAAAGTGCGGCTGAATAATAGGTGTCCGTCCGTCAGACGTCACCGGCCAGACCTTTCTTTTCGTCGAGACGGGGACAGCTACTCGATTATCCGATTTACTACTGCGCAATGACGGTTTAAAAAAAGCAGTGAGGGGATGGCTAAAGGAGGCTTTGAAAACGATGAGAAGGAGGTGAAAGATGACGCAAATCCACGATGGCAGCTGAAAGCGGAAGACGGAAAACTGTACGGAGGGCGTCGGAATCGAGAAGCCAAGCGGACGGGTATTGTCTGCAAAAAAGCGCTGACTAGTTGCCCACCTCGATTTCCAGCGTTCTCCCTCATAAATGCTGCATTCGAAATTCTCTAATAAAAAGAGAAAATAAAGGTAGGTGTGCGCGCGCGTTCATCTCATAAATCAGATGGCAACTCGAGATATGGTTTTGTGTTTCCGTTTCGACCGGCTTCGGATAGAGATTTTTATTCAGTGACCAACGAGCGAAACTGTATCCGAGGGACCCGATGTTGAGTGTAAAGAAGTGGTGAAAAGTGAATGGATGGGGAAAAAAGATTGGGTACTTTCATGTTACAGGTAATGCGCGGGTAAAATGGAGCGAATGGAAGCCTAGAACGAGAATTATTGGAAGCCTAGCATAGGAAGGGAACACGAAGAATCAAGCAGAATACTCTCATTTACAGATTACAGTAAGCGGGCGACAAGATTAAAAAGGAGTGACAATGGAAGAAGTGCTCTTGGAGCTAGGAATAGAATCAGAGCATGTCTTTGAAAAAGCGTTTGTACAGGGCAGGATAGCACTTGGCAAAGTTGGACAGCTGTTTCTTCTTGTCCGTCAAGGACTTCTTTTTGTCGTCCAGGGAGGCCTGCAAATGGGAAAATGACTTCTGCTGATATTATAACCTTCTCACCTCGATCATCTGAACTAACGCCGCTTCTGTCTCCGTCAGTCCGTCCTTGTTCTTTTGAGATCTTCCACGCATCGGCTCGCGGGCGACGGTGAATCGAACGGGCGTCAGCTCTCCCTCCGTCGCGCTGTGTCTACAAATTGAGAACGTGCGGATGAAAACAACATAGAAACGAGGCATGCAAACTGAGAGAGCCATCCAACACCAGACAACACTGATCTTGCACACTATACTTTCTCTCTGTCCGCGACCGCCTTTCAGTCGTCCCTTTTACGCACTTTGCTCGTAACGACTGCTCCAGCTGCAGTGGTCGTTTTCCGAGTCGTCCGTCCGTTCGAAGATCGACGAGCGTCTGTAAGATAACAGATTATTCATTGTTATACATAAATTCACAATCTAATTACCTCGATGAAAATGTCCTGTTGAGCGTTTGTCATGCACCCTTTGGGGAAGATGAACGCCCGTAGTTCGTCGATGATCACCTTCACATTCTCCTTATGACGTGGCTCTTTTCTGCCCAAATAGTACGGACTTCTGAGGTCCTCGACAGCATCGGTGCGCATGGTCAGTTGTAGCCAATGAATGAGTTGATCGATCGTTTTGCGAAGCGGATGGGGGACCATCAGGAATATATACATGACAGCTGTGAACAGTTTTTCTCCAGATTCCAAATCATTGATCAACTGCTGGGAGATTTTGGTGAGCAGAGGTGCAAATTCGACGGGGAACAGCGGCGACGCGCCGTTTTGAGTCATTTTATCGAGTTGGGCGGACACAGCCATGAGCGCTGCTTTGCACCACAGGAAAAGTTGCATTTTCGTGCTCGTTTCGGGCGTCTTATGCAGATAGAGCATCGGAGCACAGCAGCGGGCCATTTGGAACCATTGGCTGGCGTCTCTGATCAATGGGTGCGTCTCTATAAGAAGATCCATTTCGTCCTCTTCCTGCGGATCCAGTCTCTCTTCACTAACTCCCAATCCCACCTTCTCCATGATTGATGTCAAGAACGACGCGTTTTTCTAAATACATTAAGTTCGTCTTATGCAATAGAGCCAAATTCTTTTGAGTTGAGCGCTTATTTGGTCATATTGGTTCAGTTTCCACTCATTAAAACCCACTAGGATACCTGAACATTTATTGAAAATTTTTTTTATCCTTTTTCACAGGAGGGGTTGTCGACGGTTCGGAAATTTCAATCCGACGTTCGGCGTTTTTCAAACATCCCGCATCTTTGTAAAGTTTACCTTAGCATCCTGAACAGGAAGTGCAACATCTTCCAGAAACTCCACTTCGATTAGACTAAGCAAGTGGAAGAGCGCCAGTTCATAAACCTCCGCCTCTTCCTCCTTTATCATCTGCTGCTCTGCTCTTTTCGCTTTCTTCTCTTGCTTTTCACTAGACGAGAACAGACTCCACGTGGATTTCAAAAGATTCGAAGAGCCGTCCTTCGTGCTGTCCTTGTCGCGACCACGCGAACTCGAGCGATTTCGGCGAACAAGAGGGGAGAAAAGTCTCTTGAAGCTGTTGTTGCGACGAGTGCTTGATGACCGGGAGAGGGTCGTGGTGTCTTCGTAAACTGGTGTCGGAGCCGGTGAGCTGGCAATGTACAAGCTGTAATAGTATTTTTTCATGTAATGTTTTCTATGTTTCTTTCACCCACCAATGCTCGTTTTCGCCTCCCAAACGATAGAATGCACGTTCCGAATCCACGAATCTTCTCTGATTTACATCGACACAGTTGATGACCTTCTGTTGTCTCCAGATTTCGAGCAACTGAAAAATTGATTGAACTACAAAACACTTGACATTAGACAAACCTGAACAGCGTTGTTTCTCCCGACATTTTCGACTGGAAACTCGCTTTTGTGGCTTTCTATGTAGGCCGTCAGAATATCGGCAGCTTCTGTTCCTGTGAACTCTTCTGATCGACGAATCACTGCTATGCTCCTCTTGAAATAAGATTGCATCTGCTCCATCGTGTTCTTTGCTTTGAATTGCGTCTGTGGCTGAACTTCGTTTTCCTTGTTTTCTGAAAATTTTTCGCTCACACTCTTTTCTTGAAAAAAGACAAACCATTATGTATGGGCTCGATCCTGAGAGCGCTTCTCTGTGGTTTTAGAGGTGCTCCTTTCCGCATTATACCTCTCGGGGGCTTCGGTGGCGGCGATGGCGTCTTTTCGAGAATCACTGAATGCAATACGTCTTCGTCGTAATAGTGGAGACTTGTCGTGTTACGAGAAGACAAGCTCATTTTGTGTCTGTGAATGGAACGGACATTGTTTTGGGAAAAAAGCGGGTGAGAAATCATGCAATGCACACACGGATAATAAAATCAGCAGTTTTAACAAGAGGAAAGTGTTTTTCAGAAAACATTAATTTCGTTTTCAATTTTGTTTTGTGACAAGACATTTCGTGGAAAAAATGCAGATATTCAAATTTATTTAACTGCCGCGCAATAAATTGTGCGATGGAGCGCGTTTGCTTTGCGCATTAGGTAGAAAGGTCATCACGTTTTGGCTTCAAAAATTCCTAAAAATACAGTAGAATGGAAAGAAAAACTGACAAAAAGGGAAATGGAAACGATGAAGACAGTTTTCCCAACAATAGTGGCATCATGGAACACGGCCATCGGTCGTTTTTTTCTGTGTGGAACAAAACATCCATCGTAAAACATGTTGCGATCGATTCGTCATCGCTCGGACCTGCACACACTCTCCGCTGCCTTTTCTGTTTCTGTTTACAATATTGCCATCTTCCCGAAGATTCTTGCAACTTATGTTCTCACGCTCAAAGTTTCAGCAAATGCTGTCCGCGTTATCAGTGGAAACGAGGCGCTTTTCCATTTCGTTGAAACCGTTGTCCGATCACTGATAAGGCCGATTCTTCGCCGCCGCCGCCGCCGTTCGACCCTCCTACACTTCCAGCCTCTTCACTCATTAAAGTGTATGCTTTCATTCGACACTTTTTGTTTTCAGCTACTTTTTTGTTTTCAAACCCATCTTTTGATAGTCCAACAAGAGTCCGGAAAGTGTGAGTGCTCTCTTTTTGTGCACATTTTGGATTACGTCATCTGTCGAAAGTTGTTGTTGTTGTAGATAAATCCCAGCAATTATTTACAATGTTACTTCTAAATGAGACCCATCTTGATTGACAGTTGCCATTCAGCCTAATAATGAGGCTGACGTGTCCGACTTTACCTCAACTCCCCCAAACTGGTCGAGATCAGTGGCATCGAAAGGCAAAGCGTGTCGTCGAAATTTGCATGCGAAGCTTCTACCGTATTCCCCAAGCGGCCGGGCACGCGTCATTTGTCCGTTTCGCTGACACAATCAACTTTTTTAGGCCAATATTTACTTGCCAACTCTTGGCTCTAAACCAAAGCCAATTCTGTGATAAACAACATTTAACGTGCTATACATAGATTGCGCCAAATGACGCTGAAAAGGGTACGGTAGGAAGTGAGCGCAGCTGGCAGAAAAGAGCACGCTTTGCAATTTGAAAATTTTGAAGTTTGGCGAGAAAGAGCCGTACTGATTATTGATTAGGTATTAATCAAGGCGGAACTAGGAGAAAAAGCATTCATGCGCTGTTATCAGCTTCGGGAGTGTACAACTTCCCCAACACGTGTTAGATATCATCCAGTAGGCGTCAAAATCGTGTTCCCTCGTCTACCTTCTGAGAGCCGCAACGCGACCACGTCATCGACGAGCCTTCCACACGCTGGGTGGCCGAATGCCCGCACACACCGCCCGGCGTGCTTTGTCAACGAAATAGCGGTTCCGTCGACGACGGCCTGCATAATGAATGATGGCCTCTTCTCTCGGGGGGAACCCCCTCCGACCGCAGGCAGGCTGCCCGACCCGGGCGGTCACTCGATTTACAATTACTCTTGGTGCAATGACCGTTCCGATGTGTTCTTCTGATCTTTGGTCATCTCCTAGAAACGCCTTCTGCTGCAGTCGCTTGATTTATTCTCTTTTACATGATTCTTTATCATTTTATCGCACACACGCTCCCAGTCCCAGTATTCCTTTTTCGTATCTCTCCGTTCTCCCTGCAAGGTCAGTTGTCCTCCGATTCGAATGGTCATTGCAATAGGGAATTGGTGTAAAGCATTATCTGTTCTGTAAGCAACGGTGATATCGTTCATGTGTTTGCCATTACACATCACCACGCGTATCGGAACAACTCCGTAGTTTTCTCTTCCTATCTCCAAGGATTACGGTCCCTGCCCTTCCCCCGTTCGCATCCACCCACGTGGCTTTCGTTCCTCTCCGGAGATAAGAACCTTTCGTCATCGGATCGTAGATCATCTGAGAACCGCCCTGTTATTCAGGTCTTTCGAGAGGATGACACCTTGCTTCATTGTTATTGGCACCCTTTTCGACGCTGAGTGTAAGGGGTATAACGTGCGTGTTATTGATTCCCGGCTATCAGTCTAATCTGACTGATAACTTGAATAAATAGGAAGCGAAACCATGTGTATGCTTGATCATCAAAACTTTTGCAACCGAAATCGAATTCCATCTCGTCCACTTAAACGGGCACTTATCATTCATTCTGTTGGTGACCTCCGATCTCTCCGTTTTCCGGATCATTCCATCTGTGATATCCGTCTGGCATATGCCAGCTAGTCATCGTTCTTTTGTCCCTTCCAATGACCAATGAGCACCGCTCAGAAAAGATCACTGCTCTCTCCTCCCTCGCTTTCTTCGCACATAATAGGGGTGGCCGATAAGAATTGAGCGGCGACGAAAGTGGGCGGAGCGAAACGCCCCTCCTCCATCCACTGTGTCCATTCGATCGGCACGTTTTATCACTTATCAGACGCATGCGGTGCTCCCCCGACTCCGCCCCCTCTCCAACAACACATCTGATTGCTCTCATTTCATTTTTTCTTTTTCAGGTAAGAGACAATGCAAGTGCTCCGCCAGATGCCCCATCAGCTCGCGTCGTCCCCTTCCTCTTCTTGTGACATCAAATCGATCTACGCTTCCGAGAAAGTGCGCGAGGCCATCAGAGACCACGAGCAGACGATTGCCACGTCGACGGCGCCGAAGCACAAAGCGAAGGTGGTGGTGCTCGGGGATTCCGGAGTCGGCAAGACCTCCATCATCTACCGCCACCGCTATGGAGCACACTACCGACCGGTCAACGCCACGATCGGAGCATCTTTCGTTTCATTCGACCTGTAGGTTCCATCCAGTCCAGCCAACCTCATCCAACTCGTCCTCTTTTCAGCGGCGCCGATCGTGACGATATAGTGCGTCTTCAAGTGTGGGATACCGCCGGCCAGGAGAGATTCCGGTGTATGGTCCCGATGTACATGCGGAATGCGGACGCCGCCCTCGTTGTCTACGATGTCACCAATCGGGATTCGTTCGAGGACATCGAAAGGTGGATCAAAGACTTGGACCGTTCCAGCGGCACCGAAGAGGCGAAAATCTTTCTGATCGGGAACAAAACCGATTTGGTCGACAAACGAGAGGTTTCCGAAGCGGAAGGGAAGGCGCTCGCCGCAAAGATCAACGCAAAGTTCTTCGAGGTTTCGAGTGACCAGCCAAACTGTAAGTTCTAATTGTCTTCAAGGCCCTCAATAATTTCGGTCCTTTTGCAGTGTTCTCCACAATTCTGTCCGAACTCGCCGACGACGTCCTCCGCAGCCGGCGGCGAATCTCCGAGAAGAAGCAAGAATCGATAGGGATGCGGAAGGACAAGGTGGCGCTCGGAGACGAGTCCAAGTTCGACGAGAGCTCGGCGATCCTTCTGCGACCGCGCAAGTCCAAGTGCTGCTCTCTTCTCTAACTCCATTCGATTTCTCTTCCTCTCACTGGGCCCACTTGTCTTTCATTGTTATTATCCCTCCTATATCCCATTCTCCTTTCCCGTGTATTTCCCTTACGGGTCTTCGAATGGTCTTCGAAAACAAAGCTCTGTTTTTCCCTTTATCTCTCCCCATTCTTCATGTCGTTTATTGTTTCAACCGTTCTTGTTACATTGATTTTATACACACTGAAAAATAAATAAACCGAGTGTTCCCTAAAAAATTCTTTCCGCTGCTTATCATCGTCGATTGTTTCGACCACTGAATTCTATTTTGGGCGCAGACGTCGCCGCTCCGACTGATTTGCTTCTTCCCGCCGTTTTCTTGGTCTTTTGGTCTTTCTTTAGACGCCGTTGAAGAAGTCGGTCCCTCTGAGCACTCCGTTCCTCAATCATCACTTTGTTCGAACTGAAAACAAAAGTGTGTCAGAGTAGTTCAAGAATGTGTTCACCTGGTATCGATAGCATTATCCGGGAGGAAGTACCAAGTGTCTCTGAATGACTGTCCAACCGGCACGAGCACGTAGGCTCCTCTCGACATGAGTTGGGTCACTTCGCCCACTTTTCGCCCGTCCATATCCACCAACTTGCCCGGATTGACACTATATCTTCTGGCGATCAGTTCGAGCACGTAGTTCATTCCCTTCTCGAGTTGCTTCCTTTGAAAGTTCATAAACTGGCACTCCATTCCCTGTCCGTTCAGGAATACACTGTAATCGAACGTATTGCGTTTTGCACGAGATGATGTAATTCGGGTGGAGGATGAGATTGTGGGGCAAAGAGAAGACAACGGGGGGTTACGACGACTCACTAGATGAGATAGACGTCCGGATGGGTTTGGTCCCTTCGGTTGAAGATCATTGTGCTCAATCTTCTGGAACGCTGAGCCTGCTTCCTGAAAAACAATAGCTACTTTGGAAAAAGCAAAACTGCTGACTGCCGATGTTTCTCCAGTGCCGCTTTGTCCTTTCTGATCGTCTCTTCATTATCGAATTCACTGGAATGAGGGTTCCCTTCGAAGAAATCCATTGTCGTATCAAAGTTCTTCGGCTCATTGGCATCTCTTCTGTCTGTAGTTAACCTCGGTTGCATTCTGTCTGCTGAGATGCTCTTACTTTTAGCGTCTTGCAACGCGTCATCGTAATAAGAATCGTACTGTGACATGTCAACGTCGCGCGTTTTTGTCTTCCTTGTCTTAGTTGTCTGAACTGCAGTGTATGGACGCGGAGGAGGCGTTGGAGGCACGGCGACTGAAAAAAGAAGCATAAGAGCCTTTGGCCAACGGTTGATTTCATTTACTGTTTGCAGGATAAGTTGATCGAACTGAATTGGACGTGTAGAATTCTGGAGCCGAAAGCGAAGTGTACCGAGATTGGTTGTTCTCCATTCGAGAATAGGCCACATCTGGGTCACTGGAACGACGAGGATTGGCGGTTTCGGGTCTGAAATGGGGAAAGCTCAAAACGGGGCAGAAACTGCCAGAAGTCTCACAGCATGAGTGATTCATCTCCGGCGACATAATAAGTTCCGAGGTCCGTGATCTCGTCTGGGTCCGTGATCTCTTCTCCTTCTCTGAAACTGTCCGAGTCTCGTGTGCTTTTCTGAGTAATGCTCACAAAGTATAAATGGCAGATGCTCCGTCGTCCATTCCCACGTACGGACCGATGTCCTCCAGCAACTGATCTAACCGCGGGCTCTGCCACTGTCTCCACACAAACAGTTTCGGTCTGTAACGTTTTGAATCAATCCCCCGTTTCCGTCCGTTCACTTTTGCCTTCTAAGTACACTTTTCTTTCCACTTGATGATCGTGTTCTGACCCACAAAAGTTTCTCACTCACTTCTCGTAAATATCCTCTCCGTTTCTCTTGACGTAAATCTTCTTGACCTTGGGCCGATTCATTCGATTCACCAATTTGTCGCCCTCGTGTCGAGCACCGTCGCCGCGCCGTCGCTTGTTAAGTTCCACGTACGAGATCTCGTTGAAGTCGCCATCATTGACTACAATTTTTGGATGTTGCTAATATCAAAACTATAAATAGTACTCACATGACATAGTAGAATAACGGAGGGTAAGGAAGTTAGAGAGCGACAGAAGAGTCTGCAAACAAACAATGGACGGACGCGTTGCTCCGGACAACTGGGACTGCGAGCACATGGCCCTCCCTCGTGCTGTGCTCACTTTTCGAACGGAAGGGATCAAACTCGAATTTGTTTCATTTCTCATTCATTTTATTTCGACTTTATGTGTTTTTGCAGTTGAACCGAAGGTTCAATGATATGAATGAGCAGGGAAATTATGTAAAAAGTGAGAGATAAACAAGAAAGGATTGCGAAATTAGTGATGGAATCATTGGGAGAATACGAAGGAGGATAGAGGTCCGAGTGAAGATTCATCGCCAATTTGCACATGAAACTCGGGAAAGTGCAGTCATCTTCGTCCGTCGAGTTGGACAGCGTTTGCGAGATGAGGAAGGAGGAGTAGGTGAACGGATTGGCCGTTCCGGTGTAGTACAGAGCTGATGAAGTGGAAGACGTTCTGGAAAAAAGACAATATATACTCGAGACGGACAAAGGATACCTTGTGAGTCCATTTCCGGTCACAAAGAACAGCAAAAGCACAATCGACTGAATAATAAGAATATTAGAGCAATCCTTCAGATATCTGGCACTAATTGTGAAGATTGAGAAAGAGAAAACGGAGAGAAGCAGGAGATTCAAACTAATTTCCAGCATTTCATTCATGTTGAACGACCTAAATAAAAACTGCATTTGGCGGATATCAGAAGCCATTCTGACCATAATAAGATTCCCGTAAATGCAAATGATTGGAGGGAGATGTATGCAAAGAAGAAGAGCGAAAAAACAAACAAACTGAGCGATGGCGAATAGAGATTCACTTCCAGCGCACTGAGAAGACGCGTTTTCGAATCTGAAACTTGATTGTTTTCGGAACTACTCAGTTCAACTCACAACTTGGGAAAATGATCACGATTTGAAGTAGGAGGAATAGGAAACTGGACAGTTTCCAGAAGAACAACGACGATGGAAGACTGCTGGATCTTAAAGATGATGAGCATCATTTGGAGCAACTGATAATCATAATGTAAACCTGAGAAATGAGAAAGCACATCCTACTGCGGGAATTGCAATAAGAGCGGACAGACTGGCGGAAGGAGTCGAGGCGACGAGCGAGAACATCCGGCGGAACAGGATCGCGAAGGCTGTGGACGTGGACGGGCGGTGTCTCCTGGATTCCAGAAGGACTCCCGTTCCTGTTATTGTGGATCCAGAAGTGTTTGAGGAAGAATCAGTCTCCTGGAAACGAAAACAAACTTAGGACACACTTGAAAGTATGTACTTACAGCTCGAAACGTAACTAACTTCGTGGCTGTCTCCTGCGTTTCCATCACCTTCTCCATGCTCTCTTTGTCAATGGTTAGAAGTGAAACTGAAAAAAATTATTGAAAAACACGAACTCGATCACAATTCTCACGATAATATGCAGCCGGATTCTCATTTGTCGGACATTCGTATCCGGCTTTCTTGAAATGAGTCGGCAACAAACGCATCGGACCACTGTAGGCCACTTCGCCGTAGAAGAGGAAAGTGGCGGATCCGAGAAGATGGGAGAGATCGGAACGAACGTTCCGAAGGGTTATAATAATGATTCTGTTGAACTTGGCCGCGTAAAAGTGGAGAGCATACACGAGTTGGTAGGCGGATAGAGGTGAAAGATCAGCAGTCGGGTCGTCGATTATGGTAAGGACTAAACTATAAATTGTCGGCCGACTTTCAATTTTCCTTCACTCACTGGGATCTTTGAGCAACTCGAGCACTGTCATAACCCGTCTCTGAGCACTTACGGAGAGGTCCTCCAACTTGTCGTGCGCGTAACCGATCACATCGAAAAGAGCTGTTAGTTCACTGATCTGGAACAGAAAAACGAACAGAATAGTGATTAAGTAAACAGAGGAATCGGTATCACCCTGTGATCGATTTCAAGGCTGGTATGGGAGGAAGCGAGGCAGAGGCGAGCATGATAGTAGAGTAAACTACGGACGGAAAGGGCGGAGGGGTACTGGCTGCGGTAGTTGATATGAGAGCAGTACTTGTTGAAGCGGCGATCTGGAAAAAGAAAGGTCCAGTTTGCACAGACATAGAAAAGAGAGAACTTACGGGTGAGCATGAACTTGTCAAGCATCGCAATTCCTCCGATATCCCCTCCGGCTCCACTGGTCAGTGCCTCCAGAAGAGTCGTTTTCCCCGAGTCCGCCACGCCCACAATCCCATGAACTTCTCCGGAAACAGCTGTGAAACTGACGCTTTTGAGTATTTGGAATACTGACGGAGGCTTGTAGATCTTCGAGAACCTGCAATCGAAAAATGAATGAGATTACTGTAGATAAAAGGCGATGTCTTACCAGGTACCATTGGAGATGGCCGTCATGAACGAGATGCTCTTGCATTCGAGCACATGCTTCTCGTTCATTTCTTCTCGGATCGATACTGGAAGTTCGTCTTCTTCGTGGGACACTCCTCCCCTTTCTACCTCTTCTTCTTCTTCTTCTTCTTCTTCCTCTCCGCCGTTGTCCTCAATTATCCCGGACGGCCTGTGTCTCGCCGTCTTACCCGTTCTCCACACCTTCTTCGCTCCGGGCGCAGGGCAATTATTTTTGGCGGCACGAGACCGTGAATCCTTTTGTACGCGTACCTCCAAAGGAAGCAGCCAACTGCGAGTAAATTTACTGGTTTTATGAGGTGTCGTCGCTTGCTTTTTCCATGTTCCTTTCCAACTTGCCACGTCACATCTTCTTCTTCTTCTTCTTCTTCTTCTTCTACTTCTCCATCTTGCCACGTCATTCTCTTTCTCTCGAATCCAGGCTAATCTGTTTCACCATTCTTCTCTGCGTGAACCCAATCCCGAAAAATGCGTCTCCTCGTTTCATACACTCTCTTCTCGTCTTATGTAAACGTATGCAGTATCCAACTGTGAAATCCTGACCGGTTTTATACCAATACATGTTTCATTTTCATTCCAGAAGGTTCCAGAAGGGAAGCATGTCCTCTGAAGATGTCCGCATCGAAAGTTTGTCTCCAGATGAGGATGACAGCAGCGGACGGTGAGCAGTGTAGAATTGAAATGAGAAACAGACGATTGCAGTGACTCGATATACTTTTCGACGATTCGAAGCCGTCACGCCGACCATTTCTTCGCCGACATGCACAATCACAATACGCAGAAGGAAAAGAAGGGAGTGATCCGTTACTCGGCCTACGAAGTCGTAAAACCCCTCCGCACTTCCACTTATCCCAATCTCCTTCTCAACAAACTTTCGTTCTCAAGAGATCTGCGTTCTTCCTCGGACAAAGTACTTCTGCGACTTCCAGTTCTCAAGCAGGAGTTTCATAACATTTCATTCGAATTGAACAGTTCCGACGTGTTGGCGGTCATGTACACGAAGGAGTCGGAGATGCTCAGTTTCCTGAGAGTCATGTGCGGAGTCAAGGATGTCAGAGGGAAACTTTCCGGGGATATTCTGGTTAATGGGCACCGGATGAGCAGGGATAGACTGGAAAAACTGTAGCGTTCGTTTCCTACGAGAGTCCCGTTTCGAACCTCACCATCCGACAATATCTTCAAGTTCACTCAAGTTTCAATCCTCCGATGACAGAAAGATACGGAGGAGTTACTCATTTGGTAGAGAATCCTATTTCCCTGCCATTCCACAGTCCCATTTCAGATAAACAAACTGATGTCCGATCTCGGCCTGGTCCCCGTCTGTAACATAATCTGCAGCCGTCTCAATCGTTCCCAGTGGCAGAGGGTCAAAGTGGCGGCTCAGTTGATCCGTGACCCGAGCGTTCTTGTCTGTTCGGATATTTTGAAAGATGTCGACGTGCACGACCAGTGTTTTCTGATCGATTATCTCAGGGAATGGGCCATCAAGACAAATCGGATAATAGTAATGGCAGTGTGTCCGACCAGTTTGCAAGTGCTCAAATGTTTCGAAGAGTTAGTTTCTTTCTGAAAATATGCCTGAAAATACTTTTCCAGCATTGATACTCGCTTCCGGACGAGTGTTGTACTTCGGTGCTCCCAATTCAATGCAACAGTACTTCGAGTCAGTCGGATGTCCGTGCCCTCCTTACAAGAATCTCTGCGACTATTACGGTACTGTTCATGTTCCAAGCAAACAATAATTTCAACCGTTTTTCCAGTGGACCTGGTTACTCATGACAACTTGACCTCCGACGCTTCTCGAGAGTCGTCAGTGCGAATTGCGAGGCTTGTGAACAAGTGGAATCAGTCGGCGCCCCCCATCAGAAGAACTTCCAGCGGAAAGTTTCTGCTTGACCTTCCGTCTGCCGGGATTCTGATGAGAACCTTCACTCTTCTGGGGTAACCGAATCCGATTCCCATTCTGAATGACGTCGATTTCTGTTTCAGTCTGTTCTGGTTCGATTTCAGCAACAACCGAGTCTCCCGAATCCTGCTCCTTCTCCTCGTTTTCTCCTTTTCCACGTGTCTCTCTTTCTATCTCTCCGACCTTCCCCCCACACTTCCAGAAGCATTTCTAGATCGAAACACTTTTCTGGATCTAGTCGTATTCTACTTTCCACTCATGATCGGATTCATTAACTTGAAGAAAAGTGAGATAACATCCTCATTGAAAAACCGAAGAACTTCTTCAGGCCGTCATCGTCTCAGAGAGTTTCTGAAATTGTCCGTGTTCCGAGCTCACTGCTCTTCCCTCCTTTTCGCTATTATTTCTCTGCTCGCGGAGTTACCGGGACTCTTCCTGCTCGCCACTGTGTTTACGATTCCGATCACGATCTTCACAGGTATGGTTTCAAGAACTCTCCGAATCTCCCAATATCCCTCATTTTCAGACTTCCATCGCAAGTCGCTCGCCTATCCGACTTCGTTCGTTTCGCTCTCTTCCTCCGTGTTTCTCGCCCTCTCAACCGTCCAATTGCTCGTCAACTCCCTTTTTAATCTTACCAGTGAGCCGCTCGCTTTCTTCTTTTTCGGTCAGTTCCCATCTTTTCCTCTCCCTTATTCACTTATCATTTCAGTTGTTTCTTGGATTTCTCTGTACCTCTGCACCGGTTTCCCTCTGCCGGTTCCCTCTCTGCTCAAGTATTCGACGCCACTCCAGTTCCCCGCCTTCTCACTTTTCAGATTTTTATACGAAGGTATTAATTCTCGATTCTCCACTTTTCAATTGTCTATATATTTGCAGAGAATCCGTCTCCTTACCCGCCAATCATTGCCAATTTGTCCGCTCCGATTCAGTTGTACTCTTGTGGTCGGACGTTCCTAAATGTCTGTTATCAGCGATCCGCCAGACTATTCATCTTAAAGTATTTCAGACTTCTCAAGTGACGAAAGGACCTTGCCAGAAGGTATCTTCCATGGAATTGCTCTCGTATTACGGATTCATCGAAGATAGAGAAAGAACGACGTTCAAAGGGTTCATCAGCTCAAACCTGATTATTGGATACATTTCGTTTTCTAGTTTTTTGTTTTTCGTATCTTTTGTGTTGTTGTATCTAAATAGGTCCAAATTGGTTAAAAAGTACGCGAGATAATAAAGATTGAATTGTTCTTCTCCGACGGGCGACGCAACAAGAGGTTTTGAGGTGTGGCGAAAAAGAGTACGGTACGCTATGTACGCAAACACCGCCACGTAATTCTGCACAGAAAAATTTTCTTTTTAGTTTACAATTTTCTTCGTTCCCAATGAACGCTGTTAATGGTTTCTATAATGATTCAAACTTACGAATTTGTTATTTTCCGTTTAAAAGTATAATTTTCAGCAAGATCGAACACAATGGCCCGCTCACGCAGAGATAAGAACGGTAAAATTCCGATTTTGTCTGAATAATAACTGGAATGTCGCATTTTCAGTTTCGCTCACGAAAGTTAAGAAGAAGACCAAGGACACCAAGGAAAGCTTGATCAACGAGGTATATATTTTCAATTAGTAATCGACGCTTACTAATGCGCTTCAGGTTCGAGCCAGTGTCGACCAATACAAGAACTTGTTCATCTTCACAATTGCCAATATGCGAAGCACGCGATTCATTGCTGTAAGAAAAGAGTTTCACTTTCTCCAGTCATTGTTACTGAGTTCAGATCAGACAAAAGTACAAGGAGAGCTCCAGATTCTTCTTCGGAAAGAACAACGTCATCTCAATCGCTCTTGGAAAGACTAAGGCTGATGAGTACGCCAACAACTTGCACAAGGCGAGCGCCATCCTGAAAGGTCAATGCGGTCTGATGTTCACAAACTTGACGAAGAAGCAGGTCGAAAGGTAGTTGATATAGTCGCGTTCTCATTTTTATCATTCCATTGCAGTGAATTTGCGGAGGCTTCCGAAGAAGACTACGCGCGTGTTGGAGACGTCGCCACGGAGACGGTCGTTCTTCCGGAAGGACCCATCGCACAGTTCGCTTTCTCGATGGAGCCGCAACTGCGAAAACTTGGTCTCCCAACGAAATTGGACAAGGGAGTCATCACTCTGTATCAGCAGTTCGAAGTGTGCAAGGAGGGAGAGCCATTGACTGTCGAGCAGGCTAAGATCCTGAAGCACTTTGAAATCAAAATGTCTCAGTTCCGTCTCATCTTCAAGGGACACTGGAACAAGAAGGACGGCTTCAAAGAGCTCGACGCCTAAACATTTTCCCCATTGTTATTGTTGACTTGTTGATTTCACTCTTCCCACCACCACCTGAATCTATCGTTTCCATTTGTTTATTCCCTTTCCAACAATAAAATTGTTATTTGTTCGGAATCCGTGTAAAGCCATCAGTTAAGATGCGAGTAAGGGTGAATCTCCTTATGATATCACGAAGAATGAATGAATAGGAAGATTCGGAAGAGAAATTAGAAGGTTCAGAAAAATGTGGCGAGTAGTAAGAGAAGCCAGTGCACGAGCTCCAATCTGGATGCAAGCGAGAGGATTGGCGGCGAAAAAGAGCACAGAGCCGAAGTTCACACAGAGCGCCGCGTTCCAAGTAATATTCCAGTTTCGAAGGGCGCTTTGCACAGATGTCAATTTCAGGGCCGTGGCTCGATCCGAGGAAATCCTGCCTTCAAACAGGACTATTATACGTCCGACGCCTACGCGAACAAAAAGGTGCTTTCGGCGATCGGGAGCGTTCTGGCACTTGCACTCTATTTCGGATGGCTCCGGGAACCGTCGGATCTGGACGAGATCTGGAACACCCCGCCGCATATTTTGACGTCCAATTTGGAGCGAAAAATGATCCGTGAGCAGATCAAACAAGCTCAGGAAAAAGGAATGGACACGGCATTGCTGAGGGCGCAGCTGGATTACGTGGATGTGAAGGAGGAGGCGTTGCGGATCCAATTCGAGCAGAAGAAGTCGCAGGAGGAACGCAAAAGGCAGTGAATCATCCAATTAGATCCTTTTAGACTTTGTAGTTTGTTTTTTATGTTGAGCACGGGTCAGGTCTGTGGCCTTATTTCTTATTTCTATTCTTATTTACACACAAAATATCGTTCGAGAAGAGTAATAAATAGAGTGACACTGAGAGACTAGAGAAGACGACAATACAAATCACTGGGCAAAGTGGATCGAATTGTTCTTGCTGGAACGGATTCGAGAGGAGACGAGAAGGAAAACAGAGATGAGAAGGATGGAGAGGACGACGAGAGCAGTGACGAGAAGGCTGAAGAACAGGGAGGAAGAGGGCGATTCGCAGACGGACGAAGGCCCGGAGGACGAGGATTTCGATTCTGAAAGCACCGCATGCCGGCGTCTGGAACTTTCCCAGTTCTTACCGAAGTATTCCACGTCCTGCGGGGTCTCGAACACACGCAATTCTCCGACCATTTCCATCTCCGGATATCCATTTCTCATCACAAACTGCTTCTGAGCTCGTGGCGCCGTGTTAATGAGCACTTCACGGCGGTGACGTTTCGGATTGTAGCTGGAGAACAGTTCAGAAGTCATGAAGATTGCTCAGAGAGCTCACCCGACACCGTAATAAATACTTCCTTTCGTCGGTGCTCGTCTCACGAATTCCAACGAAGTGTCATCGTCGGGGCCGGTCAGATCGGAAGGCATCGACGCAGGCGGACGGATTTCCGACGGAGAGTCTCTGTAAAAACGTGCCTTCTTTTCAGATTCGTACGGCTCCGTACGCGAACACTTTTCCTTTCTCCGGCTCTTCGTTGAACCTCTCCTCCAGGGTCGGGCAGGCTTCCGGCGGCTGAAAGTGTCCGATTGAACTGATTTCCTCGTGCTCTCCACTTACAGATAGTCTCTTGCAATCCTCGCCCTTCATGCAAATCCTGATCTGACAAATGAATCGGGTGACCGTTCTCTGCGCAAACTTGAACACATGCGTCTCCTGAAACGCCACCGACTGCTGTCCGTTGTAGACGGGAGTATCCATGACGTAGTGGTCGATGCCGCACCCGTTCTGATCAATTATCAATATCTTATTGCCCTGGCCGTCCTCCACATGGCAGTTCTGCACGAGAATTCCGTTGTGCTCTCCGTCGCAGCTCCACACATGAAATACGCTGTCTCCGATAGATGCGTACTGCACGGGCGGTCCGTCTTTTCCCTGTTTTCGAATGGAATAGTTGCACTTTGGCATCACGGGCGCATCGAATTGAGGGGAGAGCTGGAGAGGCGGAGCTTCACTGAAAAGTAGAGATGGGCAGGAAAGCGAAGAAGAACTGACCTGATGTCCAGTGTGGACTCGATGTTCTTCATCACATGCGAATCCATATAGATGCATTGAGCACAGTAGCTACGATCGGCCTCAGTCACAAAGAGAGGATGGAGCTGAACGAAGATGCACAGTCGACGGATGGATCCACTTGGCTGGTCCTGGATCAGAAATCATTCAGACCCTCTTGGTAAAGCAGGAAAACTGACCGTTTTCTCGTTAACCATTCCACATTTATCATGCGCCACTTCTATTTTATTCTGATTCCTCGACACACATTCCAAATCATTCTCCCTTCCATCCACGTAGATATGCGAGGGGTTCGAAATGGAAGTTTTGATCTGGAAGCGACTGAAACTTAGAAGGGATTCCATTCCAATCTCACCTTGATTATAATCCTGTCGGACTCGCAAATCACGATCGGAGTGTCAACGATTTCGTTCGGATACTTGAGCGAAGAGACTGCTAACAAGAATAAAAGCGAAGGGAAGAGGAAGATTAGCATTCTCTGAGAGAAGGCCGACGTCGCCGTTTTTTCAAAAGCTGCCGTCACTTCCGAACATTTATATAGTCGACAGATAGACAAGTGTCTGTTACGGTTGCGATGACTGCAGCCCTCAAGTGGCATCGAAATCCTTTTGTTTGCCCGCCCTAACTGCTTCATTGTCGACTTGATTTCACAGCAAACCACGATCACACTTTCGAATTTCAACGATCAAGTGAAATTGATGATGATGAGGGAAAACTGCAAGAAGTCGTCTTTTTCTGACGGGCCCCTTCTTTATTTCAGGGTTCCCTCGTACACCTCAAAAAAGTTTATCGAAAGGTCAGTGCGGGGCGTCTTCGCGGCCATAAATAATGCGGGCGAAGACAGCTGTGCCTGCCGGAGCCCGGGACGGCCCGCAACGTGCTCCTCGCAATCACTCTCCTCCGGTTGTTACTCGTCAGCCCGAGGATGTTGCGATTAATTGCAACTTCTCCATTGATATTACTACTGCTCTCGTTTGTTGTGTCCGAGATCAATGCCGACGAAACAAAGTGTTCTATAAAACCGTACGAAGCGAAAGGGGACAAAAGCCCCGGGAGCAATGGATACGTCATCGAGGTGAGCGAGGAAGAGAGGGCGAGAGGCGGAAGAGAAAGAGAGGGTTCAGATCAACGGCACTTCCTCAAAGTCCATGGACACTTCGAAGGGATTCATCCCCGGAGAAGTCTATAAAGTGTCAATTCGTGGATGGAGAACCCAACACACAGTGAAAACGTTCCGAGGATTCGTCATCTCTTCCTTGTTCGAAGATAACTCGTCCGCCGGCTCCTGGCAAGTTGTGAAGGCCACGGAGACGCACGTACTTCCCCCGGATGTCGTCGTTCCGGAGTGTCACACTCGAATCTCAAGTCGAAGACGTCAGTCCACATGATGTGGAAGGCTCCTGAAGTAGAAGATCTTCGCTAATCTCTCCCCATACTCTATCCATTTCTTAAGGTTTCGTCTGGATGTGTCATGTTCCGGGCGTCAGTAATTGAAACCAAGTACGTGTGGTTCACGGAAGCAGAAGGACTCACCGTGAAATTTTGTGTGCAGAGTTGGAACCTTTACACTTTGCGAATCCCAATTGCCTTGCTTTCAGAAGGAACTCAGATTCTGAAGCCCGTGGACGATCCGTCGGCCACGTGTTGCGCCTGCGACATTGCGCAGTACGAGCTGGAGTTCACCGGAATCTGGAGCAAGCACACTCATCCGAAGGACTATCCGACTCGTGAATCACTCATCTCTCCCGCCCTGAATACATTTTTTCAGTGGAGCACTTGACTCACTTCACGGACATGCTCGGGTCTTCGCACTCTGCCAACTACTCCCTCTGGACTATCGGCGCCATTTCGTCGGACGGAATGAAGGAGATTGCCGAGTGGGGAAACACGTACAAAGCGGAGAGCGAGGCGAAAGCGAAGGCGTCCGAAGTGCGCAGTCTGATGAAGGTGAAGGGACTGTGGTTCCCGGATGTGCAGGGCACCACCAAGTCGCAGTTTGTGGTCAACAAGTCAGTCGACTTGGTCTTCTTTTCTATCACTGCCGCCTTCCAGGTATCATCATTTCGTCTCGCTCGCCACCATGTTCGGCCCTTCGCCCGACTGGTGCGTCGGCCTCAATTCCGTCAATCTCTGCCTTCCCGACTGTTCGTGGGCGGAGGAAAGAACTTTCGAACTGCAGCCGTTCGACGCGGGAACCGACTCCGGACCCGGTTACATGAGTCCGAATCTTCCGACGGAACCCCGCGAACCGATCCATTGGATCACAACCAAACTGAATCCGCAGAGTCCGTTCTACAGTGAATCCTCGGATACCATTCCCACGTTGGCAAAAGTGATTCTGCGCAGAAAGAATTTGACGTCGTCGGAGTGCAAAACAGACGAAGCCTACAAGGCAGAAGCGCACAATATCACAAACACAAGTGAAGATGAGGAGTACAAGGACAGAAGTGAGAAAGGGAAATGAAAACGGAGCAGTGTAAGGATCGTACTTTCAGGGGAATGCATGATGACGCAGTGGGAGCCGTGGAGTCTGTGCTCTGCCACGTGTGGAAAGGGAATCCGAATCCGCAGTCGTGTCTACGTGTTCCCGATCAAGGCCCAAGTGTTCCATTGCCACCGACAGACCACCGAGAAACAGTTTTGTAATGCGAAAATCAACGAGTGCGAGAGTAATCATCCTCTTTCCGATGTTTCATCTTTTCCCATTCTCTTCAGATTCTGAAGCATTCAGTTCAAAGTGCCAAGTGAGTTCGTGGGGAGCGTGGGGCGAGTGTTCAGTTCAGTGCGGCCACGGAATGCGAGGCAGGAACAGAACGTTCCTGAATCCGGCGACGAACGCCGAGAACTGCAATGTCGAGTTGGAAAGGAAGGATATTTGCGTGGGCGAGAACGGAGAGGATTGCAATGTGACTCCGGACCCGCTGTGCAAGACGACGAGCTGGTCGGACTGGTCTCCGTGCTCGGCCTCCTGCGACGAGGGAGTCCGCGTCCGCACCCGTCTTTTCTTCTACTCCGAGCACGAGAAGCGGTGCCAGCACGTGAATCTACAGGAGAAAGACACGTGTGTGATGCAATCGTGCAGACGATTCATCGAGATAAACTCGGAAGGTGCACGGATTCTTTCCGAAACTCTTCCAATAACACCCCCTTTTCAGAAATCTGTCAGGAGGAGAAACAGTCGGGACAGTGCGCGGGCAGCTTCCCCCGCTACTGGTACAATTCGGAACGAACGCAATGCGAACGGTTCATCTTCACTGGTTGCAAAGGAAATCGGAATCAGTTTGAGACGGAGGAGGAGTGCAAACAGATCTGTCTTCCCGGATACGAGAAGAGCAAGGCGCTCATTCCGAACCACCAGCTGTTCGAGGAGTTCGGCGGCGAATCCGTCAACGACGGAGGCGAGAAAGTGGACTGCGAAGTGTCGAAATGGTCCGACTGGGGCTCGTGCTCGGTGAGCTGCGGCCGGGGAAGGAAGGCGCGAACACGGCAGTACGTGAAGCTGGCGAGGAACGGAGGGCACCAGTGCTCGGAGCACCTCACCCAGGAACTGCAGTGCCGACTGAGACCGTGCCGTGAGTGCCCGTCCTTCCGATCTATTCTCAACTCCCTTTTTTCAGCCGTCAAACTAGCCTGCCAAGTGGGACCGTGGTCCCGTTGGACTCCGTGCTCCGTCTCGTGCGGTGAAGGCGTTCAGACCCGGAGAAGAAGAGTGATCAGAGCCAGAAATGATGATTGGGAGGAGATAGAATGCAACGAAGCCGAGACTGAGTCACGAGAGTGCACAGGCCGCCATCACTGTTGATGAAAATCATTTATTGCCGTTCCACTTTATTAACAAAATTCCACAAAAAATGATTACTCTCATAATTTAATTGAGCGTTAGATAGTGCTTATGTGTGAAGGGGGCTTTAATTGAGATAATTGAATGAATTTTAGAGATCGATTAAAAATTAAAAACATATATTGGGATGTTTGGAACATATTCATGGGCCCCTAATTGCTTGATTGTTGATCGAATTAGTTGGCGAGAGAAGGCGGCTCTTCAGAAGTGGACGGCGGCTCGACAAATGAGGCTTCGGAGAAGGTAGTGGGTCCGAGATATTCGGTTTCCATTTGGGCGACTTGTTGGTGCCACGCAGCAGAAAGATGCGGCTGGACGACAGGTGCGTGTTGCGGATGGGCTTCACGCCAAACACGATATCTGCAAAAACACATTTTACTAAACACATGGTGACGTGTGCACGTACCCAGGCGTCAGCTTCCATTGGTAGTAATATTCTATCAACTCTCCGACTTTACGATACGGCAGCTGAAAGTAAACCACATTTAAAAAGATTTTCTCGTCACTATCTTTACCCGGAGTCTTCTGATCAACGAGAAATCTTTTCCATACAATTCTAATGACTCCTCGAAAATCTTTGATTCACTTTCGTCAAATCCCAAAGCATCCGGACGGACAGTGCGAAATGGCGCGTTTATATGCGGGAACGGGAACGATAGTTTGGCTCGTTCCGTGTCGAAGTTGTTGCGGTATAATGCACAAAGAGCATCTTCGTCGTCACGAGTCTCGCAGCCTTCTGGTGGCACAGGCTGTTCGTGCGCTTTTCGCAGTTCAACGACATCCTTCAAATACGTGTCCAATATTTCGTCGCTCGGTTGATTTGGCTGATCAATAGCCCACAACACGATGTCGCTTTCACGAGCGGCTTCAGTATCAGCATTAGAAGTTTCAATATCCGGAACATCGGCTTGGAACAAGACCGGATCAATGCGAATCGAGCGCTTCCAAGGATCAGGTGGCGCGTAGTCTTCATCATCGTCGTCGAGACCGCTCAAGGAGTTGCCCATATCGAGAATCGTAGCGTCGAACAGTTCGGTTGGTGCGGTGCTGGACTCCCCGACTTGCTGGAAAATGTTTTTATTATTAGGTTTCAGCAAACACTGCAAGTTACCTCATCATCGCCATAGTCCTCTTCGTCGTGACTTGGAGCAGCCGCTCCGCCCGGAGGATAGCCATACTTACGTTGAAGTTCTTCTAGTGACATCTCCCCCTCATCTTCTAAGTCTAGATAGCGAAATTAGTAGAGAAAACAACTAAAACACTGAAACCTTTCAATTCGTTGGCATAATCTTCTCTATCGAGTGTTTCTTCTTCCTCTATCGTCGCTGAAAAACTCATCTTCAGAAGAAGAAGGAAAAATATCTGAAAATACCTTCGTAGTCAGCGCCATCGTCGTTATCATCTACATAATCTTCCTCATCAGTCAGAGACGATCGAGAATGCTCATCTTCCATTTTTAGCGAGCACAAACAAACGCGAAACGGCAAAAATGCGACTAACCGCGGAAAAACTGTTTGAGTTTGCGCGTCATTTGTAACGTATTAGCGGGACGGTGTTTGCGGACTCGCTTACCGTAGCTGACCAGTCGCTTTGACGTCAATTGACAGAAAAACGTGAAAATGCGGAAAATAAAGCAAAAAATGTGAATATGGAGCAGTTAATGAAAAAGTTTATAACACAATCAATAATTGAAAAATGAAAAATAGCACAAAAGGTATTTATAAAAACGCTTATGCTTAAAAACATAGAAATTTGAATTCAAAATCTACAGTATCCAGTAAACTTTACACCAAAGGCACATAACGGTTTTTGTTTTGGTCTCGTCACGAAAACAAGGATTCAAATTTGAAATTTTGATTTCCCGGGATTTTCAGGGTTGTCATCCCGTCATCATGACAAAAAGCTCTCGTAAACCATTTTGTCGCGTCGAATCGTTATCTTCTTCTTCTGGTTTCTCCGTTGAGTCATCTAGTTGCAGATGGGCGAGCAAAGCAGGGATAGTGAAGCCGAAGAAGCGGCGGTCTCTTTCCATCCGTTCGTTCGTACTTCAGTCGAATACGATGCGAACGCGCGTCTTCAAATGGCCGACGAAATTGCCTCTTCTAGGTATTTTCCGGTCTCAAAGTCAGTGCATGTGTGATTAGTTTCAGAAGATTGAACATTTCATCAGCCCTCAAGGAGATCATCACCAATCCCGAAGTTTTCTTCCATCAGTGCCAACAGTCAGCAAAGGTTCGCTGTTTTCCTCGTTCTAAATTTAATTCGTCTCCGTTCAGATGGCCGAAGACGCCCACCAAAGGCGTCACATGTCTTACAACACAAAGCGCGAGGCTTATATTGAGCAGAAACGGGCCGAGGGAATGCCACTCCCCTCTAAAATACCAATGGTTGGAAAGAGTCCTGATCTTATTTTGAAGTTCACTTTGTTTTTCCAGATCGAGATTAACCCAACTAGAGTAACCCTGAGTCTTGAGTTTGAGTCCCAGTACTATACACTAATGACGAAGTGAGCGGTCTTATTGATAATGAACGAGATCATGCTTCTGATTTCAGCGACTACGGGAACCATGAGAATGTCGCCTCGATCATGAGCCAAACTAACACCCTCATTCAACTTCCCGACTCTTCCGAGAACACTTTTCCGGACCCGTTCGTCCAGCAGGTCACTCTCACTGGGCTCTACAACGACGTCGACAGAGCGCGAAAGTTGATGAGGGTACGGGCGCGAAACTAACTGATCAAAATAAACGTTTTCATTTAGGAGAACAGTCACGTCTCCGTGACATTGTCACTTTCGGAAATGACAATTCCCATATCTGATCTCAAGATGTTTGTTGGACACAATCTCATTCCAAATGTAGAACTGACTTTCATGGACGCATCATTAGAAAAGGTCAGGTGGAGAGTTGAGACGGAAGGGGACAACGATTTTCAGACTGGATCATCCGTTTATCATCTCCGATTCACTAGCAGAGCTAAAAACGAGAAAGACCTTATTAAGGTTGCAACAGAGGTCTCAGAGAAGGTGTTTGAAGGCGGAGAGCTTCTGCAGAATGTGAGAAGGACGATGAATCCCTCAGACAACTCTGTTTTCAGCAATTCTCTCTTCACTTTACATTATCCACATTTCACGTTGAGCACGTAGTTGGATTGTCGTCAACGACACTTTTAATGGTTTACATTACTTGTCTCCTCGATAATTACACTTTTTCAGCCCGAAATTGAGAAGCACACAAAGACGACCATCACTTATCCCAAGTTCAACACCCGAGATGATATCAACGATAATATTTTCGTGATCAGAATAGAGGGAAGTGTGAAGAACGTGCTCAAGGCTAGAAGGTGTATCATGGTGCGAACGTGTTTTCAGTATCTCTCTGACCTACGAGTTTCCAGGATCTGCTCCCAATTTCGCTGTGCTTTAACATGAAAAACACAGATATGGCGGCGGAATGCGGGAGAACCGACCGGTGTGTGTATGCAATGATCGACGGTAGAACGATGCTGAAAATGACTCCTTCCGTGTACGAGCCTATCGAGTTGTTGGCCGAAGAAGTGCCTCTGCACTGTGCCAGCCTTCGTTCTAAGGAGTTTAATATCAAGCATTTGTACGCAGCGTATCAGAAAGTGTTGGCGGTGCGAGAACTGTGCATGAGGCTGTGATATGGTCATTTGCTTTCAGAAGAAGAACGACGTCGTCGCTCCGCAGCCTGATGATTACGACAACTCGATTTGGCATCAATTGCTGCCGAGCAGCTTTTACACGTTCAATATGCCGGTTAGCTATTGCAAACTTCTGAAACAGCGTATAGTATGTTTTCAGTGTCGAGGTGAGGCATCATCTGACAGTGCTGGAGGGCGTCGAAACCGCAGCGCATCGCTTACCTCAATGTCCAAAAGGTCGGGCAAAGATAAGAGGTTCAGCGATTCCGCTGGAGGCTATCACAGATACAACCAGAGAGGGTCATCGACTTCTGAAAGTGCTGGTGAGAATCAGTCTAGTACAGCTGACAATAGTGCTGATTCAGCAACGCCACTCCTGAACATGCAGCCGCCAATGTTTGCTCCGATGTCAGCTCCGGCAGCACATTTTTTCTACTTTCAAAATCAGCAACAGCAGCAAGCGATGGCAGCCGCTATGTTGAAAGGTGCATAAGAAGAGTTCATACCGAAATAACCATCCGCCTTTCCAGGAGCGACGGGATTCCCAAATGGAGCGCCGGCACTATTCCTGCATCCTGCGCCCTACTTTGTTGATCCCCTCGGTGCGCTATACCATACAAATGTTGTCCCAATGCCTTTCGTAGTTTCACACAGATATCAAAACTGAAATTCTAAATTCTTGTCGCCAAATTGTCCTCGTGTAACATTTTCATCGTGTGTTATGAACTTCATGCAAAATTTGCCAAATTTCGGACAGTTTTAAGTCATTCACCTTCCATCTCGTCCCTCATGTTTCGATCTGTTCAATCTCTGTTTCCCCGGTTGTGATGATATGTTTCCACAAGTTAAATAGCCGCAATAAAACGTTCGCTTCCGAATATTAAAATGCCACAACGATTGTTTCTATTTCAGCCACATTTGTCCGTCCGGAGTACTTGGCCTCTCTTCCGCCAGAAGCATTCTATTCGAGTCCGCCGCTTCTTCCTCCGGGACTTCCGCTCACTGACGGTTTGTTCCTCCTTCCCTTTCCTTCTTCCATTTCTCAATTTTCAGTTGATTTGCCGATGGGAAGAGCCGATTGTTCACTCCGACAATATCACAATCAACGAAAGAGCACAAAAATTTTAAGAGCGCAGCCGGTTCATTTGACCCATCAAACAGCAACTTCTGGATCCCGCGCGCCACGTCTCTATGAGCAAGTGAAAGAGGACGACGGAAGAAGTTCGACGAGGTCGGCCTCCAGAAGAACGTCCATAAGTGGGGACGATCCGATCGTCGGAAGTTTCGATGACAGTAAGTGAAATAAAGGAGGGTTCATGAAGATCCGTTAATTTCAGAGAGCTACGAACGACCATTCCAACGGCAGTATCAGAAGTTCTCGAAGGAAGATCAGATGCGGTGGAGAAGTGGAAGCCGTGGGGACATCACGAGAAGAGGCGGCCTCCCCATGCCGGACTACCGTGGAACGCACGAATTCCACGTCGGATCGGCCGGATCTGCCGAGTATCCAACGCCGGAACAGATGCAGTTTCAAATGACTCACCATCTGAAACTGAAGAGTGCCGATATTGATTTGGAGCACGAACGACTGTTCACTCATGACACCTCGCAGGTCGAAGAGCCTATGTACTCTCCCTCGCCTGTGAATGAGCTGATGGACGGGGACTTTGTGCAGCGGCTGTTCTCGTCCGCCAGCTTGAATTCGCCGTTCGAAGCTGGAAGGAGATCGAGAACAACAAGCTGCTCTGTGGACAGGTGAGCTCTCCGATTGATTTCCATCATAATTCTGAGCTTGCAGAGACGAACAGACTGCCCGTTTCACCGATTCTGATTGCGGATACAGTCTCGCCGAACAAATGGGACCTCTTCACTCGCGTTCGTCCATCGAGAACTTCAAGAAGCTTCCGATGGTCGGAGTGACGAAGACAATGCTGGAGCCACGCTGTCGAGCCGATAGAGCCTATGGAAAGATAAGCCTGGAACACAGAGGGAAATACAGTTTCAACGAGCAGCAAATGGACGGCGAGAAGTTTCCGGAGAACGGCAGCTCGCTGCTCGGGACCAGACAATTCCGAATTGATCCGATGAAGTTGATAGCCAGTGTGCACGAATCGAGTGAGCAATTGCCACGTATTCACGAACGCCAGTTCAGCGATGTGTTGAATGATAAAGAAAGAGAGGTGAGGAAGATTGATGGCAGTCGGAAATTTCCATGTATTCTTCAGATGGCTGCTGCGTCATTGAAAGATTTGAATCTGGAAACGCCGTCGGTACAGGAGCCGTCATTCGGTTAGTGCTCAATCCATCCGCCCGCTAAATTCTTCTTTCAGAGGAGTCTTCATCGATGGACTACGCGTTCCGCAGTGAGCAGTCTTCCGAGAACCTCCAATAACTGTTCGTCTCTCTTCTTTCCCAACGTATTTCTTCTTCACTTCATTTCATTCCAAACACCATTTTATCCTACTAATTTGAATTTTACAGTCGAGCCGAAATGCGAGACCGCCAGACCTTTTTCTCCGGTGACTTACCGACCTGATATGTGTTGTATTCTCGGTGCTCTTTTCATTTTCCACGTCTACTTTTCCCCCTTCGTTCCCCTCCTGCTTCATATTTGTTGCCCCGCCTTTCTTGGTCTCTGCTGTTTTTTTTCTGCAGAAGGCGACGACGACAGCCGGATAGATAGCGACTGGAAGAATGAGAATATTTGATGAAATTCAAAATTCTTGTGCTCCTTCGGTCGGATGCTCATATTCATATTTATGATGCTATCTGTTGGTATTCTAAAGACCGAACGGTTTATTTTCCACATACACTTAGAGCATTTCCCCTTTTCACGATACCATTTCTTTTTTCGGATATTTTCTTCCCAGTTTACGTGTCTTTCATAGTTCCTCCCCTTTTTTTTGTATTGCAGATAGTACTTCACTTCACCAATTTCCTCTACGGTTCAGTTTACAAATAAACGAATTGCGGAAAGGCATAGTTTCCCCATTCTCCAATCGACCGCTTATCACGCGGGACGCAGTGTTCTCCATTCGATCACTTCGCCAAGGACACTTTTGTCAATTAGTATTAGTTTCTCGGAGGGGAAACGTCTTCTTAATGGGCGGCCTGTTGCCCGGGAGCCCTCCGCTTTCCTTCTCCACCTTCAAATGTACTCTCTCTCTCCCTCCACTTCATTTTCTTTTCCGATCAATTTCCTTCCGTAATACTGTCGTAACGCGTGTCTTCTTCGTCGGAATCTTCCGTCCATTGGAGCCAATTTCTGGCGTCGAATGAGCCAATCGACGGCCGCCTGACACTGTCTCCCCGCTGACTCCGCTTCCCTTTCGCTCAACCACACAAAAAAGTTGTCGATGCAATGTTCTTTAGACAGATTTGGCAGTCACTCTCATCTCAAAAATGTTCATTTCTAATCGAATCCTTTCTTTTCCTTGGTTTACATCTAATTGACTCACTTTGTTTAGAAGGACACACTCAGGTTAAACCTGTCGGCAGAACTGGCTGTTAGCTATTATCCGGTCGCACACTTTGGAGTATTTACCTTGAAAGTTTCAGCCCAATCGGATTAGATTATCTGGTCCGGAGGTGAGGCCTCAAATCAACAAGTCGAGACCGGATGATCAGAAGCTCTTTAAAGTGCTTACTCTAAATGAGAACTGAACGGTCCGATCGGGTCAAACGCCTTTCTTTGATTCGAACAACTGCAGTGATTTGGAGGGAAGCTCCTGTTTCCGGGGAAGCAACGATTCTCTTCCTCTTCACTCCAAATGAGTGACCCCGTCCGGCTGCTCATATCAGCAGTGCTTGCTCCTCCGCTCACCGATCATCATCATCATCATCATCAGCAGCAGCAACAGCAAAGTGTTTTTCGTGTTTATGTTTTTGTGCTGCTCAGTAGGTTTCCGGTGCTCCTCCTCTCCTCGCATGTTTTTCTCCGTTTTCAGCAAACTGACTCACTTTGCTTTCTTGTTTTACTACAGTACTCCTCCTATTGTGAATGTTTTGTTTTGCGCTGATGCCTTTTGTTTAACTTCTTATCAGCACGCGACGAGGGCGACATCATTAAAAAATTGCGGAAAGAATGCAAATTGTGAATTGTGAATTGTGAATTCATTTCTATCTCTGTTTCTCTCTCTCTGCATCCCTCCTGCTGATCCTCTGGAAGTAGGAGTTCCTGGAAGTGATCCGGTCCGGTATTGTCTTCGTTTTATATCTCTGATATCCACTGCCACTTCTTCTCTCTTATCCGCCGACCCCTTCTAATCCCCGACTGCCTGACATTTACGGGGATTTTACGAGAGATCGCCGCCGGGCGTGGAGGCGCAGACACGAAATGAGATGCACGTGGAATCGCCTCTGATAGCGAGGAGCCATCCGATAGATAATCTGTGTTTTCGTGCACTCTCCGCCACGTCAAAATGCTCCAGAAGTCAGCTGAAGTCACCTATTGTTGTTGTTGTTGTTGACGTGGCATTCTGATGATGATGATGATGAGGTCATGGACCCACTGATGGAAATGTGATGTTCGTGCGCATTTCGACGGATTGTGGTCCTCCCTCCTCTAGTCAGAAGGCTACAATCGGCACAGAATAACGAATTCTGGAAGCAAGTGAAAGTTGTAGTGCATCTAGTTGGATCCTCTTCACAAAGATTTCCGTTTTGCAGCACATTCACTTTCACTTTGAGATTTCATACTTGTTGCGCGATTACCATACGTTTAGGCTACAATTAATGCGTTTTTTCCATGTTCGGGCACTTAATCGGTTCCTATCAAGCATTCCTATGCATTCCTAGATTCGGAGCATCTTCAGAGAAATGTGTTCCTTAGAGCAGACTCTTACTCAACGTTGACCATTTCGCATTCTCTTCCTTCAATTCCACCCACACCTGTGTTTGCTATTTCTATTCGTCTGTTACTAACTCCGTCCTTCCTGTCCCTATAAATATCTGCTCGACTCCTCCGCTTCCGATCCCTCCGCTTCCGGCCCGCGACCCTTTTCCCATTCACAAATGTTGCTAACTCGCATCAATCCTTCCGGAGAACTCCTCTTCCGTCTTTTCGGAGCTCACCTCATTTTCAGCTCATTTCCATTCGTTTCTCAGTGTGATTCACTCGTGTATTTCCAGTCGTTCTTCAGTAACACACGTGCTCCCGTCCACACAGAGCCCCTAAAAATCCGCCGCATACTAATCTGAGCGGCCGGATCGTCACTCTTTCTCCCCGTGCACGACGCTTCCACTTCTATTTATTTTTTGCTCGATTGTCGCCCAGTACTCTCGCAATTTCAGCGCGTCCTCTGTACTTTGGCTGCTTGTGTTTGCATGTCAGTCAGACATGAACAATTCGATTATTCCCTCCCCTTCTTCTCCATCTTCTCCGTTTTTTATCCTTCTGAATATCCTCCTCTCTCCCTCTTATTCGTGGACCCTTTCTTGAATTGGCCGCCTGGCGCCGTTCGTCCCAAACTAATCAGATTAAATCGTTTCCCTCTCTTTATCAATTCTGCGTCTCCAGATCCCTTACCCATTCTAACCCTTCCTTTGATCCCCACCACCATCAATTTATTCAGTTTTTTGCTCCGTTTGGATTGATTTTCCCTTCATTCCGTCAAACATGAACAACTTTTTATATCTTAAAATGCGTGGGAATGGCAAGCTAAAAGCATCCGAAGAGGATCACAATGACTCACGATTCGGAGGGCGAGAGGAGGCGTTAAGAGTGTCTGAAACTGCCAAAATCCTTTTGATTCGTGCTTAATGCTCGAATGAAGCGGATTCTTTGATTTCAACTGAACACTCCTTCCCGAACCGTATCCACGTGACGCCGCCGATCTGACGTGCCGCCCGTTTCGCCTAATCCTCCACCCTCAATATCCCCCTCTCCCCCGCCCATTGGCTCCTTCTTCGCAGGTCTTCCCCAGATCCAATGTTCGTTTTTCGTTTCTCTTCAATGCTCAACATTTCCTTTTCCATCAGTTCTTTTCCAATATTTTCCTTCTTTCAGCGGAGATGATCTCTCCATACTTTGCCGGTTTTCTCTACTTAGCCACAGTTGCCACCGGCCTTTTCGGTAATATATGGGTCGTTTGTTCAGTAGCCAGAAGTCGGAAACCAAAGTGAGTTGGTGCGAACGTCGGCGGGATTCAAAACCGTACCCTTTCAGATCTCTCATGTCCCGCAGCTCGCCTTCTGATCGGTTACGAGCCTACATTTCCGTGTTAGCAGTCATCGATTTGACCGTTTTGATGGCTCTTTTAGTCAGAGCACTTTATCATTTTTTACCGCATTTTATGCTCGGTAAGCACTATTCAGTTTCTTCAAGTAGGAAACTTCAATTTATTTCAGATTCAAACAGTTGCCGAGCAATGTTTGTGCTTGAGAACAGTGTGAAGATCACTTCGCTCACAGTTCTCTCGTGTATTTCTATCGAAAGATACATTACAATACGGAAACCGTTCTGCAGCGAGGTACCCTTTCCCCGACCGCCCCTTTCCCCATTTCGAACTCTTCCAGGTCCGTCGTCAGTTCGTGAATGCGACTCCGCTCGGGGCCGCCACCTTCGTCGCCCTCGTCGTCGGAGCCATAATCGTGCAGATCAACTCGGTCACCGTCTCGACGGACGGTCTCAATTGCGTCCGTTCGTACCGGGGAAAAGCGATCCCGCGGGTCGCTTCCTACTTGACCGCAGTCGCATTCCTCGTCGATCTCACCATCATTTCATTGAATTACTCTCAAATTGTGAGACATGTCAGGAGGAAATTCACGAAGAGACGAGCAAGAGGTTCGTGAGATCGTTTCCAACCACCTTTCTTCACAAAAGTGTTACTTTAAGTGCAAGCCAACTCGCGGGTCCGTGAGTCTCTGGTCAACGAGCCCCGCTACATGCGGGAAATGACGGCGGCGATCGTGCGAGTCGGAGTGTTCCACGTCGTCTGCTGGCTGCCGATGTCTCTGATGCAGGTCAGTTCGAAGCACTTCTGATATGATTTCAAAGAGCGAAAAAAGACAGAAAAAGAATGCTACATCGACTAAAAGTACATTTCAAAATGAAAAAGAAGCTCCAAAATGCCAGACAGACATCAAATATATTTGTGATCGGATTTCGGTTTGAATTTGATTTTTTCAGTTTATTCCCGACAATTCGATCCAATCGGAACTGACCGCCGGCATCCGACTCTTCAGCAACTTCCGGGACTTTAGGTACATCCAGCCGTTCCTTTCCGTGCATCCAACCCCCTTTTTCATTTCAGTATCACTCGATGGCTCATCTTCATTGCCACGTTGCTCACGTCCATAAACGCCGCCGGCGACTGGATATTCTACGCAGTTATGAACCGAGATCTCCGAAATCTCATCAGGTTCGTCTTCTTCTCTCTCTCTCTCTCTCTCTTTCTCTTCCGGTGACTTCACAATGCATATTCCGATAATCCTTCGCCTCCTTGTTTGTTTACTAAATCATATGAACACCCTCTAATCCTTTGATTTGATTCATTCAAAACGGAGGTTAATCTCATTAGGCAAAAGTCACCGGGAAATGATCGTCTCGTGAGCGCACTCTTTCTGACGAGGAGATATCGGATCATCAGGTGGCAGAACAACGGCTTCTTCCCCCTGAACTCTGATTATTGCCTCGGAAGCAGACAGACCCCGATCAAAGATTCTGTTTTCCAGATTTGCCACTGAGCGACGGAAACGATCGACCATGTCGCACGCAGCCTCTCCGTCGACGAACCGGAGTCTCCGGCAGCAAGTGCCTCCCTCGATGAAGGTTCTTCACTCCATCTCGTACCGAAGTTCAGTCGGAGGATCGATGGACGACGCCGCTGGAGCATCATTCCTGCAGAGCTCCCCGAAAGAGTCGACAGTATCTCAGGAGCCGAACAGTCCGTACGGAGTCCGCGCGAAGATCAGTATACTTACACGGAAGGGATCCGACGGTGATATGGTCTGACGAATAGCTCTTTTTGTACTTTATATTTCTCTTTTCCTGTTAATTGAATTACGGGTTCAGCACTGGTTCTTTCCAACGGGTTCGCTCGTGTTTTGATTTTACATGCAATTAATAAAACTTGTTTTTTCTTTATTTCTTTTATGAATTTACTGAAACTGGCGTCTAGTATCACTTCGAATTCACGAGAAACATTTTTGGCACTCAGATTTGAGTTGCCGCGCATATGACTCATAGTGGTGCATGTGCGCTCTACTGCGAATATCGATTGCCTGCCGTTGACCGCTAGCGCGCTGCGACCCTTTCGAAAACAGTTGCTCTCTGTTCCGTGTTTTCTGTTCCACGCCGTATTTTCTCATTTCTTTGCGCTTTTCACTGTTTTTAATTCAGACAACACATCAATTGTTTCGACTTGAACAACAAAAAAAACAATAATGGGTGAGAAATCAATTTCGTTTGAAAACGTTTCGAATCCATATCTTTTAGCGTCTTATGACCAAAGTCAGCCCGACTACAACACGCCTGAGGCGGCATACTGGTATCAACAGCAACAGGCACAATACCAACAGCAACCAGGAGCTCAGCCTGAGGTGAGTGAGCTAAATGTACGTGCCGTCATTTATCGTGTTCGATTAATTCTAGCAGTATGCGGCGTATAGTAATCCCGGGGCGCAAGCCGTGGCTGCCGGAGCGCATGCTCATGACATGTACTCTAAGCAGGCGCAGGATCCGTACGCTGCCGCATACGCATCTCACGATCAACAGCAACAACAGGCACATGCTCAGAATCCGTACGCTCCGCCACCACCAGCTGGAGCCGATCCATATGCTCAAGCCGGTGCCGTTGGAGTTGATCCGTATGGCCAGAATGCTTCGAGAGGAGGCTCAAGCCACGGAGGATTTCGGGGAGGTTACGATGGTGGACGTGGCGGTGGAAGAGGGGGATTCGACGGAGGTAGAGGCGCATTCGGAGGCGATCGTGGTGGACGTGGAGCATATGGAGCAAGCGGGGGAAGAGGTGAGGGAAAGTCCAAACAGAACAGAAGCTGAATACCTGTGTTTAGGAGGTGGATTTGACGGAGATCGCCGTGGCGGAAGCCGCTGGGACGACGGAAGCAATGATCGGTAGGTAACCGCAAGAATATACTAATCTGTGTAAAACTGAAAACCAACACTACGTCGTCCGCAAACTGAAAACTTGTTGTGTTGTGTTGAAAATCGAAACTACAGAGTTCAGAGTTTATCAAAATCTATTCCCAGTTAAAAATGTATCGTGAATTGTATCGTAAACGAAATGGTGAGTTCTCGGAAGTAGAAGGTCAGTCATTGGTTGAAGCCACGTATGTGTGCTCATTGAGTTCAGGGCCGGGCCCCCGGTTCCTCTCAAAATGTTATGTAGTTCAGCTTTTATTGCGTGTAATTGGTATCAAAACGAGTGAACAACAAGAAGTCGACAAGATGACTTCAATTGTGAAACAAGAGACGCTCCTGTCCGAAATCTCTCATGCTTAAAATGACTGAAAATCTGTTATCAAAAAGCTTGTTCGGGTTATGAAAAAACGCGTGAATTATGCAAAATGAATCAAAAACGAGATGAAAAAAACTGAGCCGAAAATATTAATATGCGCGCGTAAAACTCGGTGAAAAAGACGAAAATAAAAATTCGAAAGTTTCGGTGTGGTATTAGCATGAGAGAGGAGGACAGGAGGCTCTGAATGAAGAATGATGTATTGCAGACAGGGAGGACCTCCCGGAGGAAGAGGAGGTTATCAAGGTACAGAACATGTCATTTCCTATTTATCTTTGTATACGAGCTTAACTAAAAGTGAAACGAAGAATTGGAAGTGATTTCCATGCATGATTTTACTGTTATCGAATAATTAGAGATACGAAATCGTTCAGTGCGTCATTAAAACATTACAGATAGAGGACCACGGCGTGACGGACCACCAGGAGGCGGATTCGGAGGAGGCGGTGCTCCAGGTGCTGGAAGCCGCGAATTCGGATCCGATGGACGCGTCGAACTGAAGGAAACTGTCTTTGTGCAAGGAATTTCCACTTCGTAATTAACCCATTATCACGGCAAAGATCGTAATTCGACCTTTTTTCAGTGCCAACGAAGCCTACATCGCTGACGTGTTCAGTACCTGCGGAGACATCGCCAAGAACGACCGCGGACCGCGTATCAAGATCTACACTGACCGAAACTCGGGAGAACCAAAGGGCGAGTGCATGATCACTTTCGCTGATGCTTCTTCCGCTCAACAAGCTATTACCATGTACAACGGACAACCGTTCCCGGGATGCACCAGCCCAATGAACATCTCGCTCGCCAAATTCCGATCTGACGGAGGAGAGCGTGGTGGCCGTGGAGGTGGCTTTGGCGGACGAGGCGGAGGCCGTGGCGGCTTCGGAGGAGGTCGTGGAGGGCCACCAGGAGGTCGTGGCGGATTCGGCGGCGACAGATTCGGAGGTGACCGCGGAGGTGACCGCGGAGGTGATCGGGGAGGTTTCGGCGGTGGCAGAGGTGGATTCGACGGAGGACGGGGAGGCGGCGGTGGCTTCCGTGGTGGAGACCGAGGAGGATTCCGCGGAGGAGATCGTGGTGGATTCCGTGGAGGAGATCGAGGAGGATTCCGTGGCGGAGATCGTGGAGGCCGTGGTGGTGGACCCAACGCGAACATGGAACAGCGAAAGAACGACTGGCCGTGTGCCCAGTGCGGAAACAACAACTTCGCTTTCAGAAGGGTATGCCCAGGGGCTGAGTTGACAATCAAAATATTGAGTTCTTTCAGGAATGCAATCAGTGCCAGACACCGCGTCCGGACGGAGGCCGTGGAGGACCACCCAGTGGCGGAGATCGTCGCGGAGGTGGCCCGCCAGGAGGAGACCGCTACAGACCATATTAAACTCGATGGATAACTTAACCAAAATAATATGAATTCTCTTTACTTTCTGTTCGATCTCTCCGATTGAAGAGATCCACTGCTGTCACATACTCTCAACTATTTCTCCTTTTTATGTTTTCCTATGCTTCTCTGTTCGACTCGACGATAAATAAATGAAAGTATGTTGGCCATAGGCGCGGGATGTTTGAGAAACGCTGAAACAGTTCCATCATGACGTAGTAAATGGTACAAGATGCCCTCGTTGAAAGTTCATAAATGCCAGATAGTGTACACAGGGGCCAGTTTGGAGAGTGAGATATTCGAAAAGTGGGTGAAACTTATTGTCGTTTTAAAAACAACCTGTCTAAAAATTTTGTCTGCAGATCGAGTTATGCAATTTGATTATTTAACACTGCGTCTCAAACCGATTACTGAACGAATGGCTCGAGCCATCATCAATTCGTATAATTCCGCAAGTACAGCACAGGTGATTCGTGATCGGTCTATTGAGAACCGTAGGCCTATTATAAACCAATCGCAAAGAAAAATTGCCTACAATACGTCTATCGCGAAAATTTTTTTTGCATTTGCTCCATTCGAATCTAGTTTTGGTGCGAGTTTTATTGTTATGAGTGACAGTGAAGAAATCGGAGGTGATAAGGCCCCTTTTCCCGCTAGCATTTTCAGAATTAAAACTTTTGGAACCTGGGCCCTCTGCGCGAAAGATAAAAGATAAACATTTTTTTGTGGGAGCCTCTGAATCCTTACGAACAACTCATTTTCTGGTGATTACACAAGGCCAATGACCTCAATTCCTGACTTGGGACGACTTTTTTCACTAAACACTAATGTTAACCTGTTTCTTCGTGTACCCGTGCCTACGGCTGCCAATTTTTTTTCCGAACCAGGCCCCTCTTTGTCGCCAGGCGCTCATCTCAAGACACCTATGATGTTGGCACACGTCCATATGTTTGTGTTTTTGGGGGCCGTCCCTCGGCCTTCTCCTCCCATCAGCTGCTGTGCGTGTCACAGTCTGTCTCTCGGCGCCTCCGCTCCTCTTCTGCACTATCTTCCGTTTCCATCTCTCTTTCTTTCGGCCGCCGCCACGCTCATTCTCCCATTTTGTGTGGGAGAGAACTGTGCGTTCGACCACGACGATGAGCAGTATTACAGGACTAGAAGGTGAGCATTTCCACGTGACAACACGGTTTCTCTCCGCTGAATTATTGCCTGAGAGCTTCTAACTTTTGGGCTCGAAACAGGGCGCGTCACGATTTTATCGTGTATTATCTACAGTAATACCTCGCATGAAGCTCTTTTTTCATTCCAAAGCTCCGAGAGCAACAGTCCATCACCCCATACATCCGTCCAATTTCCTTCCAAATCAGCGTACAGTCTGTAATGACTCTTCTCGATGCTCTTTGCTCCCGCCGTGCTCCCGTGCTCCCTCTCCAAACAAGGAGCTTATCCGGTCATGTCTTTCTCTGCGTCTCTCCATTCCCCGTTCTCTTTAGCCTATTTACCCAATGACCTACGAATCGTGTTTCGAATCAAAAAATGCAGAGGTGTGGCGCCTGTTTGCCCACTTTTCTTCATCAATTCTCCGTTACCTACAGTAACTTGGACGATATCTAATCAAACAGAAATGAGAACGAAACAGTAGTGATACGAGAAAAAACGAACAGAATGTTTGCAGTGAGATCTTTGCGAATTGGAGTGGAGCCAGTGGAAGTGGAGTTGGATGAGGACGCCGGAATATTGTGGACTTCCCTGCAGACTGCTTTTCCAGGTGAGACCTAAAAAGACGGGAATGAAAAAGAAAGAGCTGTCGATTGGCGCCAAACCCTTTTCTAAATGCTCAAAAATCAAACTCCAGGAGTGTTCACGTGAATTCCCTCTGACTCTCGCCCTTTTCTGTCAACTGATACACAACCGTCTCTTGTGTTATTTCTGTCGAAACACCCCGACGTAGTCATCAAACATGCCACCCATCCGCTACATTTCTCTTCTTTTTTGCTGACCTTTTTTCTTTTCCTTTTTCAATGTAATCAAATCAGGGAAAGGTATGCAAATAATCGGGGAGAAGCATCTTTCTGACGGTCTCCGTCTCTCTGATTTGTACACTCGCTCGCTGCTTCGAAATGATAATGCTGATGAAACAGAAAATGATAGCATTAGTGGAAAGGGTGGAGAAGATAAGAAGAAGAAAAAGAAGAAGAGGAGAGGGATTCAATTGCAGGATGTTCGGAATGTACTTTCGCGAGACGGGCGATCCGTGCAAGAAGTCTGTCCGATTCGACGGCAAGAAGTTTCTGGCGCCCGGCGGAGCATGGAATGATCGAGAATACTTTGTGACGCTGAGTAGGGATCACTTCCAAGACGGATTAAAAGTGAAATATTTCAGGTCAGAGATGCCACGCAGCTGCTGGCAATCCGGGACACACGGCGTCGTACAGCGACGCGACGAAACAGTTTGAGAAGAGTGTGCAGGCGGTGCAGAAGATGATGCTCGCGTCCGGAATGAAGATTGGTGAGAGAACTGAGAGGGACCACTTGCATCGCCTTGTTCAGATATGAGCCACTTGACGAAGAAGAGACATCACACCTCCTCGCGCGACACCGCCTCCTCGACTTCCTCCTCTACTGCCGACCCAATACAAGCCATTCAGGAACGTTCCGAACATTTGAAGAACGCCGGTCGCGAACTGACACCGTTGGAGCAACAGTTTTTGGATTTGTGCAGAATTTCGACGGCCAAAGATCAGATAATCGACGCGAACCGGCAAGAAATCTCGAAGCTGAATGAATCATTGAGAGCGGTGGAAAAGGATTTGAAGGAGACGGAAGCAAATCTGGCGGAAGCGAACGGAATGATTGATTGCAAGCAGCAGGAACTGGAGATGGTTCGCGAGGCGCTGAGCAGATTGGAAGAGTCGAGACACACGGTGAGTGGAGGAATCTGGGGGAAGAGAAGGAACGCGGGGATGTTACAGATCAGAGAACTCAACCAAAAGTCGGGAAATCTGGAAGAGAATGTCACAGAACTGCAGCTCAAATTGATGAACTTTGAAGAAGAGTGAGTAGAATGAAAGTGATCGGACAAAAATATGTAGGAGGGATTTCAGAAACCAAGGACTGAAGGCACAACTGGAAACAAGTCAGAACAGAATAAAGGAGATGGCAGACGCGATTTCGATGCTTTCCTCTTCGAAGGAACTGTTGGCAAAGGAATTGGATCAGCTGAGACCGTTTGCGGAAGCAGCTGGGATCGAGGATTACGAGAACATTCCCACCTTCATTCAAGCCATTCAGGAGAACAAAGAACTGCAGAAGGAGAATACGAAACTGAAAACGGAATCGGAAGAAACGCAGGAGAACAACAATCAGATGCAGAGCATTCACTCCGAAGTGTTCGAGGAAAATGCGAAGCTGAGGAATAGGTAAAATAATATTGGAAAGGGCAGAAAGACAGGCAAACGATTCAGAAATGAAGATCTGGAGAGACGATTCGCGCATGTGGACGAGGAACTGACGTGCGTCAATGAGAACTGGGCGAAAGAGTTGAAAGAGAAACAACAGGATTGGGATAAGATTGTGAGTTCGGCGGGCAGATAGAAGACGTTCACGGCGGGTTTCAGAAGTACCAAGCAGAATCGGAAGTGTTCTCTCTTCGGGAACAACTCGGTCATCTGCAGGCGATCCTCGAAGCGGCGACGCGCGAAGCAGCCGAAAATGCCAGAAGGTCAGCCGATCCTCTGCTCGAGTACTCTCTTTTCTAGCGGTTTCTCTTGCGTTTCCTCCATTTTATTCACTTCAGACACGTCATCTGGGATTGGTAGTCTCGTAGAATACGGTAATCAAAGCATAGTAGCATCCAGTTATTTTTTCTGAACATTAACGGTTGTCCATAACCAGAGAATCATCCCTTTTGCTCTGAAAATGCACAAATTTTCGTGTCTCTCGACCGTGCCAGGAACGTTCCCGAAGCCATATTCCTCCCGATTTCCCTCCCTTCCCGGTTCCCTCCGTTTAACGGTTTCCCCTCTCGGTTATGCTCAACTCCTAATCAGTTTCGATTTTTATAGACATGTAATAAATGATTTTATGATAGAGTTTTTGAACTGAGGGAACCAGGAAGGAAGGAAGGAAACGAGAGAGGCAGATTTCTTGAATTCATGCTTTCAGAGTGTCAGAGTTAGAGCACGAACGCCACGAAATCCGGAGGCTCTCGGACGCAGTTCACATTAAAACTCAGGTGAGCGGCAGTCCCCGTCTGTCGTCGTCCATTCGCTTCTAACCGACAGACTGCTTTCTTTCTCATTTACATCATCACTCACTTTCATATCACTTTTTGTTGTTGTGCAATAAAGTATTTTCTTTGTTCTCGTGTGGTGCTTTCTTTCTGTTTGCATGGCCTCCGCTTCTAACTCGATTCCACGTCATTCGTCTTCTTACAGGAAGATCTGAGCCGTCAAGTGCGTATACTGAAGGAGAGACTGGCCGAATCCGACAGTCAGGTCGCCGAGCTCAACGTGCTCGTCTCCTCGCTGGCCGCAGACGCCACAGCTTCCCGCAGAGAAATTTCGGATATTTTGTAAATATGTTCACTGAAAATGATATGATAATGATGAGCAAGTGCGGAGTAGCCTTAGAGCCAAAGAATTGTGCATTTCCGCGCCGTGAATGAAACTTAGCTTCACCAATCTTTTCCAGACACAAAGCACGTTTGTGTCCATTCATTGCGTCACAAACACTCTCTGACTTGGCCCGGAAGCATAATTTTAGACACAGAAAAACTGATAACTTTTTCAAGAAATGTATTCTTAATGCGTGAAACGCGAGAGGAGAGAGCGAGATGTTTGATGAAACAGATGATATGCGTAGTCTGTTGACCCTTCTTTATCGCAATTTCTCCCTGTTTCGATGATTGTGTGTAGCCTGATCGTCCCTTATGTCATTAAAGAGAGAAAAGCATAATCATTTTGTCATTGAGATCAAATAGAAAAAGAAGGATCAGTCGTCGCCCAAATGACCCGTCTTTCCCTTCACATGTCTTCTCCAATACTGATCGAACGCCACGAAGATGGACTCTCCGATGGCGCACATGGCCGGGAAGATGGCGAGCGCCAAGAACATCCACTGGCCGTAGTTGGTGCATTCCGACACGGTCGGGAATCTGAATTGAGGTTGAGCATTGAAGGGGAATACGTGAAGTTAGGTACCCTTCCGTTGTTGTCTCCAGAACTGTTGAATTGAGAGATGTGGCGTTGAAGATGGAAGTTTCGAGGTTCTGGCAGGGAACTGTCAGCTGAGGATATCCTCCCTTTTCAAGGAACAAGGAGAGCACGAGGACTGGAGCCAACTGGTCGGCCGGTTTGTTGAAAAGAGCTTTCAGCGTGAAAATGATTGTAGAAAACGGGGTTCTGAAGGCTTTGTTTTTTAAGATAATCCAGTCCGAAAAAGCGGCAAAGCACTAACTTTCTGTTATTTTGCTTCATGTCAGTGTCGACGACTTCTCCAGCCACGACAATGTAGAATCCTTGCCAACCGCATCGGGAAATTGCACTGAAATAGCAAGTTGTAAAGCTAAGATTACGTCTAGATTACTTTTCAAGAATGATGAAGATGGCAACGGCCGTGATATTATCCATTCCTGCATACAAAACGAAGATCACATTGAATATTGAGAGGAAATTGAGCGATTGTATGACTGCTTGCGTTCCGAACCTGTTCGTCGGAGCCCAAAGAAGAAGGAACAGAATCTGAAAGACAATAATTAAGTGCGCAGTTTGGTGGGTTATCTTACGCTTCCACAAGATCTGGCAAGAATGTAGAAGAGTCCGAGAGTTGAGGAGTTCTTCTCGAAGAAACCGTGTTTGACAAGAAGGCCTTCGGTGAAAACGATCAAGAAGTTCTCATTGGCCATGAATCGGAGGATTCGGAAGAACTGAGCGCCCACGAGACAGATGAAGCGAGGCTCTTTGGCAACTTGCCACGACACGTGGAGGGCATTCTTCCAGCCGTCCTGCTTCTTTTCCTTCACAACTTCTCCCTGAATACGTCGGTATGAAAGGAGCATCGAGAAGGAAACGCCAAACTCACATCTTGGAACTTCTCTAACTGATGATCCTGATTAATAGGCCTGGTCACTTTCAGATTGTAACCCGAGTAAGCCATGAGAGCGGCAGAAACACACGCGACGACGACGCAACACGTCTGGAAGAGCCAATAATGCTCATTCGTGTGTGGCATCGTTTCCAGCGGGTAGATGAGGAATCCGGCGATGATTGTGAATATCTCTCCGTACACGATGACCCTCACTCTGTCCTGGTGGTTCTGCGAGTTCTCGACACATAGTCCGCAGTACGCAGAAAGGACCAAAGTGAGGAGAGTGTCGTAGATGAACAGGGAGACGAGCAAGTGGAGGGCGGTAATCCATCCCACTGATCTGTAAACAAACAAAAACTGAAAAACATTACATAGAGAACTCTCTTTTGCATAATCCGGGAACACTTCCCTCTTTCTGTCCCGTAAGTTGTGTTTTACACCTTCCAGTCTCGGGTTTATGACTTTAGATAGAGTGCATCGACTCTCTTATCAACTCACGTCGACCAGGGGAACCAGAAAAGGAGGAACGAGGCGGCGAAGACGGGGCCGGCGTAGAGGATCACCTTCCGACGGTCCATGATCCACGTCATTCCACAGCATCCGAGATCCTTCAAGATCTCGCGTTCAGTGGAAAGGACAGGTACGATACCTGCATGTAACCCATCATCGGATCGTTCACGGCATTCCATACCAGAAAGAGGATCTGGACGACTTTGAGGTAAGATGGAGGTAGATGGTACTCATCGAAGAAGACCTGGAAACAGAGATCAAAAGGTAACAACGATTAATTCGTTTTGTCTGTGTCTCGTTTCTTAACGAACAAAAGCGACTGATAACACAAAAAAAAGAGAAAATGCAGTGACCTGAATGAATTTGGAAGTGAATATATAGTTAATTAAGTCGGATGCGAATGAGACGAGCCCGATGAGGAGGGCCGAGTAGCTGAGAAGCGAACGGCACGAGACCATGATCGATTCCGTCCGTCTGTTCTCCTTCTTCTTCTCCTTCTTCTTCTTCTTCCTCTTCTTCTTCGTTCTACCCGTATCAACCGGGGACAGACGGCAACACAACAAAATAAACAGGCACGGAACCGCCCCCTTCTCACTTCTCTCTCCGCTTTTCGAACTGTATCGCACCGTTTTCCGCACCGTTTTTTTGTTCACATGTATTATGAGGTTTTGTGTTGTTCGCACTCACTTTTATATAGTAGAGACTCGAAATCGAGAGGATGAAACCGGCGCCGACGACGCTGAGAACGAGGTTGAGCGTCGGCGCGTGAATGAGACCCATGTTGAGCTGAAAGAGCACCGAAATGGAAAGAGCACGGGGAAGAAGCAAAGTATCGAAGGGAAGGGAATCATGACGGACAGGGGAAGGACAGTTCACTGAATGATTGAATTCCATGCTGGAGACCGACTAGAACCCAAGCCCTCCCCCCATTTGGATGATTGACGGTGTTGAAAAAGGATAATAGTGGGGAGGGAGTACACAAAAATGAAGTAAACTACCTCCCTAAAGTGCGGTTGAGGACAAAGGTCTGGTTTTGATATAAAAATGAACCGACTCTTCGCAAAGTCACATTTTTCGACCTTATCAGTAGCCCCCACGGCTACAAACGACGAGTTCCGCGGCTCCTCCCCTGTCGGTTCAATTCAGTGTCTCGGAAATCTCAAATGGTAAACCAGTCCAGAAAGAAAGGAGGGCACAAGGTACGTTGTGCAGAACGTAGTCTAGACTGACAGTTTTCAGATAAGGCAGGCAATGTTCGAGAAGAAAACTTGGTGCTCTATCAATATTATAAGTAGCTTGAGGAGCACTAATTTTTTATAGTGACAAAATGAATTTGAAACAGGAGAAGGTTTATCCGGAATAATATTCCTTGGACATTTACGATGCTCAAAATTGCTTAAACTCGAAATAAATGTAGAAATTCTAGAGGGTCCGAAAAAAAGAAGTAGATCGTCTGCAAAAGATCTGATTGTGTTGACGACCGTTCTATAATCGCCAGGATAAACCCGTTGCCCGCCCTCCGCTACAACCTACGAATTGACTGTCACCTTGTTTTTGCGGCCTATTTTTCAAAATTAATCGCGTAGTTGTCCTTCAAAGAACCACCCATTTTTCTGTTCGTTTTCCTTAACGAGCGAGCATTTTATTCGAGTCGAGCTGGGTTGAGTCGTCAGCCAAACAACAAAGAGAAACGGAATAAAGATAAAGTTAGTTAAATGATGGAAGAAGGAAGAACAGCATACAGCAGAAGCACCGCGAATCGAGAGTCACGGCGAGACCGGCGGGGTCTAGTAGCCAGGTGGGGTACGTGGTTCCGGGCAGTGATCGCAGGATCCCTCGTCTCCTGGCGGTCCCTGTGGTCCTTGTGGTCCAGGTGGTCCTTGCCCTCCGACTGGTCCTGGTCCTCCGTTGTCTCCTGGCGGTCCTTGTGGTCCTACCTCGGTGAGTCCGGCGATTCCTGGAAGTCCCTTTGGTCCTGGCGGTCCCTTTGGTCCACGTGGTCCTGCTGGTCCGGCTGGTCCGTTGACCTGGATAACTCTTCCCGGCTGTCCAGCTGGTCCTGGTGGTCCTGGCTCTCCGACACCTCCTGGTGGTCCTGGGGGTCCAATCATTCCAGGCTCTCCGTTCTTGCCGTCGCCGGCTCTCTCCTGAGATTTTCCCTTCGGACCTGGTGGTCCCTTTGGTCCCTGCTGTCCAACGGCTCCCTGTGGTCCCGGTGGGCAAATGATGCAAGGCTCGGATGGCGGGAGGGCAGAGCTCAGAATTGATCCTTCCTTTCCTGGCACTCCTGGCGATCCGTGGTGTCCATCGTTTCCGTTCGGTCCGACATCTCCTGGTGGTCCTGGTGGTCCAGCTGGTCCCTGTTGGCAAGGACAGCAAGTTGGTCCGATATCGGCTCCAGCTCCGGACGGTCCTCCGTATCCGCCGCTTCCGGATCCGCCTCCTCCGCTTCCCTCCTTGTACCCGGCATTTCTGCGGCTACGGGTGACTCCCGACTTGTGGAGAACCTGCATCTCGACCCACATGTCACGGGCGCGGGACTTGCAGAACTCGGTCTCCATGATGAGATGAGACTGGAAGGACTGGACGTACGAGTAGATCATCGGGAGCGTCACGATGCTGAAATTCACTTGGTAAATGCACTATAAATACCTGGAATATTACCTTGAGATGACGGCTGCGGTGGAGACGGCGACCGCGAAGAATGCGACGCGGCGCATCTGTTGCTGCTGATCGTCCTCTTTGTCAATCTTCATGTTCAGCTGACGACTGAAGTTTCCATGCTACGAACACCCTTTTATACTCATCGTTTTACTACTTCATCCCACTGATAAACACGTTTTCCCGCATCACAACAACAACTGGTAACCGGGTAAATGGGTCAAGAAATGAAAAGAAAAGAAATGCGGACGGAACGCAGAGAGATAAGCCAGTTTATTCATTCGTTTATCAGTTAGGACAGAATGACGTTGTGATTGGCCGCCCAGGATCTGATGACTTTGCTCATAAAGTCGCTGTTCGTATGGGGTTTCGCCTCGATCAGCTTGAGCACTTCTCGCATGTTTTCGATGTTGGTTCTGAAAAGAAACGAATGGAATGTGTCTTACAATTGGACACCTACAGGTCACTTTTGTGGTTGGCAAGTTGTCGGAAAAGTCCGGCGCATGCTCCTCTCTTCCCATTCCAGTACTCCATTGATGGATCGATCAGCTCCAATTCGTGGAATGCTTTGGCCGCGAAATAAAACTCCAAAGACTGGCATTCAAAAAGGGATTTTGTGGAAACTTTGAAGTTCTACTCACCATGTAAGATTCATTCGCAATCAGCTTCAGAAGCATAATTTTTTCATCCGGTCTACTGGTTTTTACCATGATTTCCCATGCTTTCAACGGTTTCTTGTTTCGAATCACTGAAATGAAATCGCACTGATTTGTCTCGCTGTCATTTCCGAACTCACAACACTTGCAGAGCATGCTCTTGTACAGAGCCGTATCTCTTTCGGGACCGACCACTCGAATGAAGTTGTCTTCGGCCTTTTTGTAATCTTTAACCATCAGATACGCTTGGCCCATATTCAAAAGGAATGGATCGTTGTTCGTGAAGTATTCCTGCAAATTGGAAGGCCATCAGATGAACGGAAACTTTGTTGATTACCGAAATCGAATCCAAGTACATGATTACATCTGCGTACTTTCCGGACAAGAACAGATAAGCTGCAGAGGCTTGCCTGCCGACGACAGTGTCTAAAAGAATGGAGAGTTGAATGGAAACGGATAGGAGAAAACCTTGAACGACTGGAGAATCGCCGACGGTTCTGAAGAAGCTCTCGGCACGACTCAGATAATCGCTCTGAAATGAAAATACTTGACAGTTAGTTTTGAGTGTTCCACACACATCGGATTTCAGTTGTCCATATATGAGGTAAGTTAGCGCTTTTACGACAAAGTCATAGGGAGTGGTTGGATCTAAATCATTAGCCAGCTCGAAGGCGTCATTGATATTATCTGGAAATCAATTTGGGAACACTTTTCATACAGAACTGATAACTTTTGTTCAAATGATACAAAATGAGATTGAGTCTTGCTTCCGGCACGTGTTTCATCAACGAAGGAAGCACTTGAAGGGCCGTTTCGCAGTTCTTGAACAGAACGAGATTGTGTTTGCAAATGTTTTCAATCTCTGGATACAGTCTTTTCTTGAGCAAGGCTTCCATCTCGGGCGCCAACGTCTTCCCATCTTGCACTAGATTTTTGGCCAGCTCGGATTTTTCCTCCAAATTCGTCTTCGAAGTGATTGTCCGATAGACTACCGCGAGTAAAAGGTTCTTTGCAAAAGGACTATTGGGAAAAGAACGAAGATAGTTCTTGGCGAGATTGTAAGCCACGTTAGGCAAGTCCATCTTCGCATAACACAATGCCATATTTATATTGAGGCCTATTAGGGTCCTGATATGAAAAAAGAATGATTGAAAAACCTCATGTGATTCAACTCACGAGCTCTTCGCAAGTATCGAAGTATAAACTTCAATGGCCTCATTATAATGCATTCGATAGAAATTGACGCCCGCCAACGATAGCTGATCTTCTAATGAATTCTGAATGAGAACTATCTTTCCAACATGTTCACGGTATTGTCTTACTCCCAAATTGGAATGGAACGAGAGAATGCGTTTCTCGTCGTTCAGTCTCAATGACACATTCATCATCAATCTTATACAAAGTGGAGTTCTCGGACACTTTTCCGCAATCGTTTTCGCCTCGACATACTGCTGCATGTAGAACTTGCAGCACGCAAGAAAGACGCCCAACTCAGCAGGTGCGTTCGGCCTGAAACTTGAAATGAAAGAAAGAGGAAAGATTAAATGCGTTGCTCACTTCTCCATCATTGCAGTATACACTTTCGCTGCTTCATCGTACTTCCGTAGTCTGTAAAAGCAGTGGGCCAGCCATAACTCTGTGAAGTGTTCCTCTTCTCGACTAAGGTTTGAGCTTTTGATTTTGAACTGGAACGTTTCAGTTTGGCGGCAGAGAACATTTGTTTGTAACATCCTACCATTAACAAAGTAATCGCTCCTTCGTAGTCCTGATTGGCCAGATAATGATCCAGATCCGGCATCGTTGGCGCCTTTTTGAGAGTTGCACCAGTCGCGCTCTTTTTTGCACGTCTTAGCATATTCAACTGATAAACACATTGATAAAGAGTATTTTAGCGATAGCTTACCATTGTGCAACTTTAGTGTCGAATGGTGTCGAGAAGGCTTGGTAGTCAGGCAGGGACGGCCGCACAATTGGAGCCCAGCGGGCCGTGGCAAGTTGTCATGGAGATTCGAATGCAACAAATTGGCAAAGCAGCCAGGAGCACGGCTCTCATGCCACTGCTCCGGCGTGTTTTATATTGAAAGGCTTTACGCAAGTGGCTCACTTTTGTTGGATGCCAATCGAGAAATCTTGAGACGTACACTACCGTTGTTTTCGGTGTTTGCAGACTCACGCCTAAATTTATTATTAGGCTTGAGTACGCAATCCCCGAGTAGTCGTTTGTTCAAAGTTCAGTGACAACAACGTTATAAAATAAAATTCTTCATAAATGGACACACGGAAAAGAAACCCGAATCGAAATAGAGTTATGTAGGTAAAGAAGAAAACAGGATCACAAGGGAAAGTATTGCACGGCGGAAAGCTCTTTGTTTTTGTTCGGTCACGACTCGTCCGGATCCTCTTCTTCGAGGTAGATACTCCAATATGCAAAGTTGAAAAGAATGAATGCTATCGGGAAGATTATCCTGCAACAAAGGATTCCTTCGTCATCCGAACATTTCTCTCCGCTCACCTCGCAATTATATCTATCCGTTCTGCCCTTCCACGCGACGAGAGCACACTGCACCAACGAACGAGTTCCACCCGTTTCCGCTGTCCGATATACACCAGGTCGGTCGTATCGTGGAATGTCCATCCTTCCTCCATCAGTCCCGCACTCCTCGGCGGTCCCCGATCCGACATTTCAATGGCTTCGAAGTCTCCTTCCAGCATTTCCAGCGACTTTTTGTTCCGTCGACGGATCAAGCGCTGTGACTATTATATATGACATATGGAAATCTACAAAGAATCGGACCCTTCACTCACTTTTTTCTCCTGCGGACTGAAAGTCAGCGACTGAAGCGACTCCTCGAAGTTCTCGTTATCAATGACATTCGAGAGACGCGATCTGTTGCAGGCGGCCTTCCGCATCTGCCTGCAAGTGACTCTCTTTTGCATTTCAATTCGACGTGCAAGTCTTTCTCACCTGTGCTCATCCAGAATTCCCATGTAGTTGACGACTGCATACTCGATGAGGGAGAAGAAGATGAACACTGAAAGGGCATGTCTGACCAGACCAACTCCAGAGAGAATAACTCACCGACACACGCGCCGACCCAAATGTCGATTGACTTTGCATAACTAACTGGAGGAAGGTTAGAATTGATGGCATGTGAAGTGGTAATCATTGTGAGAAGCGTGACGATGGCGAGAGGGACACGAGCGGCGGTGGACTTCCAGTCGATCCAGTAGGAGACCCAGGCGACTCCGACGAGCATCGAGGAAGGGATGTAGAGCTGGAGGAGGAAGAACGAGAAGACGCGGTTCAGACGGATCTCCACTTTCAGACAGGAATAGGTGCCCGTGTTGGTGGTTGAGGTGCACGAGGCATTCTTGAAGGACGCAATCTCAAAGTTCGGAAGTGCTCCGTTGGCGCCTTCGTGGATTTGAATGGCAGGAACATCCCAGATATACTCGATATCAGCTGTTGTGTAAGCGTCTGAAAAGAGAGAATGGACGTTTTAGTTATAACTCTGGAATACTCACAAGAAGCGAATGCGATTTCACAGTTCTGATGGTCCATTGGATACCGGGAGAGGTGCATCGAGCAAGCGAGATGGAGGGTGAGCCTTCGATCATAAATGAGCTTTCCATCGGATCGTATCTTCAGAAACCGATTCTCCTGATTCAACATGTGATACCATCCGTTCTTTTCGTTTTGGAAGAACGTGTCGGGAATCCAGAGGGACTGATCTCTTGCCACGTGGATGAATTCAAAGTTGCGGTAGTCCGAAGAGAGAAGACCTTGATGTTCGATAAACCGGAGACGATCATCGTACCATTCTTGACGGAAACGAAATTGAGCAACGAATTCCTGGAAATTTCGATGAATCTCTAGGAGACAAACGTTCCACTACCTACCATATTCTTCTCAGAGACAGCTGAAATAGATCGGATATTGAGGCTAGTGGTGACGAGGACGGCGCCGCGCGTGTCGTTGTACGGGGTCCTTCCGGACGGTCTCACAGCCGCATCGTAGTCCTGAAGGAGGTCGCAGACTGTCATCTGTTCCCGCCATGCCTGGTAGTTGGTTGTGTGACGACTGAACGCCGTTCTCTTGCTGAAATCGAACAAGGGCATTGCGACGGAGGGCATGTGAAGGTTACCATGATTTCGGTTTAGCTTTCCTTGCAATATTGGGTTTGAACAATGAAAATGTGAGCAGCAGAGCCACGCAGATCAGCGTTTTCATTACGAAGAATACTGAACGGATGACGGTTTTCTTCGCATTTCGAGCGATTCCCTCCGAGATGGAACGAGAGGGAGATGGCGACGGAAGGAGGGACGCTGAAAGTGAGAGAATTGATAATGGGCGAGTGTAGAATAGAGAAAAAGCGAAGAAAATATGAAGGTTTCAGAGAATTCCAGTCCGGAAGAGCTTACACACTTCTCTCTCTCTCTCACTCTCTCACTTTTCTAGAGAACTTTCTGCAACAAAGGCGATAACTGGAGGAGCACGACCTCCAGACACAGAGAAAAAGCATACCTAGTGGTCGGGGGCCGTGCCGAAAACCACTTCATTTTAGTGGCCATTTTGTGGAGAGAGAGAGGGAGAGTGACTGAGAGTCAACGGGCGCACGCGTGCACATGCCACATTTGGGCCCTCCCGGTCACCCGCCTAATACACCTGCCTGCATATTTCCTGCGCGCCGCCATGAGCGCTGCTATCATTTCTAAAAGGACCTCTGAAGAAATGAGCACCTTCCGGCACTTCCGGCTTTTGAACACTTCCGCAATTCCTCGTCCCGTATTACGGTAGGTCGAGGAATAAAAAGTTCGAACCGCGCAGACAGGGGCTCCATTAGAGCCCCATTGAGAGGAAATAAAAGCTCAAAGGGCTCTTGAAAAACAAGAAAAGTCTCGTCGTCTGTTTCGTCGTGCCCTTTCAAAAGCTTTCAGATCGTATTCAAATGTGCCGCCTCAATTGGATTACCGCGAGAAAGGGCGGGAGATCAAGAGTTTCAGAGAAGCAGACGTGTCCTGTGTGCAAAAAGTTCACGAAAACAAGTGGGGGGAGCGGCCCGACTGAATTCCTCCTTTTCGCAGAGGCTCTCCGTCACAGATTTGTGTACATATATGGAAATTGGCAATTCGAAAGAGAGGTGAAGCAATTATGGAGGGAAGAGCCGGAGAGACGCAGAGAAACTGTGGTGTTAGATCGGTTAGCAGCGGGGAGCAAGTCGGTCAGGAAGGAATGACCGTAGGAACCGAATCGAAATCCGAGGAGTCGAGGGCAGTTTCGAGTTGCGAATTGAGATGGGTGCAACTTGTAATGGGATGAAAGCAGGAGAAGGGGAAGAAGAAGAAGAAGAAGAAGAAGGAGAAGGCGTGCCCCGCTTCCTTCTTCTTCTTCTCCTTCTCGTGCGGATTCATCTCCAATCGGAACAAAACGCGGCAAAGAAAGCAAAGAAAGGTCCGTCGCAGAAGAATGTATCTGAGAGCACTGCGAGGGCTCCTCCGATAAGTGCTCGTTGAAACTTCTTTTTCTTGAATATTCAACGAAGGAGAAGCAATTGATGAGCGAGAGATGGCGAGGAGACTAAGAAGAGAAAAAGTACAGATTAGGCTAAGCCATGAAACTGAGAAGGAAATGGACTGCACACAGATTCGAGTTTGATTCAATGCTCTACTGAATAAGTACGAAGAGCCTTTTTTACAAATGCAACTTTTAGGTTTACTAGTTAGAAAGACTCTCGGATCTTGCTGAAAACTTGCGAGTTTCTTAGGTGAGCCAAGTGTTGAAGAAACTGAGAATCTTCCTCAACTCAAAGCAGCAATAAACAAGGAGAGGGCTATTCTCAGAAACTCTTGAAAACTGATTCGATCTGATTGTGAGGCGGAGCCTTTTGACCGGAAAGTGTCAAATTTGACTAATTAGGAGGGTACTAATGAGTCAGAAAGGGGAAAGAAGCTGAAAAAAGAAGAAATAGAGATGGAGATGGAGAAATGACAGGTTATGATGGGTGGATATGAGACGAGAGGAGACGTATTACAACAGCGGAGAAAGGGAGCGAGAGGAGCTTCGAGATTAGCCGCTCTGGCTCATCATATTGTGCTCCTCCGCGAGCCACGAGGCGCTAGACGTCATTGACAAAGGTGAATCCGATTTTCGACTCGTGTCGGGACCTCTTTCCGCGAGACGCGACACTGATTGGGTATTCAACAAGTTCAGAATTGGCGAGCAGGTCCCTGGGAAGAGGTTGGACGGGTTCTTCTCGGGCATCAATGAGCACTAGGGTTACGGAAAACGAAGAGTACAGTGGAGCGAGGTTGCGATGAACATTGAACAAAAAAGAGAGAGAGAGAGAGAGAGAGAGAGAGAGAGAGAGAGAGAGAGAAAGAGAGAAGGAGTTCAGAAGCAGCTGATGCATGGAAGGATGGGATTTGCAGCAGGGCGTCAAAGTATCGGGTGACCGCCTGCGGCACATCCCCTCGTCGTCTGCGCCCTACCGTAATCCGTGTACTATTTCTACTTGCTCAAACATTTTTATGAATTTATTATTATTATTACTACTACTTCTACACTTTCTCCTCCGCCGCCTCCTCAGCTCTTTTTACCACAAAAAAGAGGTGATGGCAATAAATGCGAATGAAATGACAAGGAGCGGCGTTTTCGGGCGGTCGGAGCGAGGGTGTGAAAACGGAAGATGTAGGAGGAGACAATGGAATTTCGAGGGACAAAACAATAAGAATTGTGAATAATTGAAGTGTTTTTAAAAGCTGGCCAACGACGGCAACGACGGCGACGTACGCGGTGAAAGCTGGAAGCGACACGCGACGGGCGGCGCCGAGCAAAGAGTATTACTGTAGTTCGGGCGGGCTGAAATTGTTGTCGTTTCGGGTGTTGAAAACGACACGAAGAAGGCCGAGTAAGGCGTGAAATTCGGTTTGTGGCCGGGCCGCTTCCTCTCTTCTTTCTTCTTCTTCGCCGATTCTTCCTTTGTGACCCCCTCTCTTTTCCCCCGCTTTTCTATATCAATTCAGTGGCGAAAAACGAAGAAAACAAGGTGGTTCGCACTGATGGAAACGGAGAAAAAGAACAAAAGAGGGGCGAAATGAGGAGTAGATGGGGGCCGAATTAGCCGGCGCTCCAGGGGCAAAGTGGCCGCCGCCGCCAGCAGGAGAGCTCGCAGTAATCGTGTTTTTGAAGCGCATCTCGGCCCATAATTAGTCACGGAAGACAGCGGTGAAGCGACCGGAAATAGGGCCAGGCGGGCGGAGAGAGCTTCCGATTTCAGCTGCTTAATTCGGTTAAACCGGAGATAATGATGGCGGCTGCGAAGGGAAGAACAACAAATAGCCGAGGAGGAGCAGATCGAGAAGTCTCCAGAACATTTCATTCCTTTGGAAGCTTCTCGACAGCTAGGTTACAGATGGTTTCTTCTGAAAAGATCGGCCTTATTCTTTCTAATACAGTAACTATGTTGAAATCCTTCTCATCACAAATCATATTTCAATGAATCATTTTCACTGTGTTTTGTGTTGTGCGTCTTCATGAAATATTACGAAAACTGTCGTTGAGCATGATGAATTCTTCACAGAAAAATAGCTTTTCATTTCTGCTTCGAAATTGTGATCTTCGGCGTTGCGTCATTTAAAAACAGAGAAAGTCCTTTCAGAATTCAACTAAAAACAACAGAAATCGTTTCGCGGCTAGAAAACTTGGCCTCGGAAATCTCAAACAGAAGGGATTCTGAACAAAGCGAGTTCGCTTTGAAATAAATATTTTTTAGATAAACGTTGTCTCAATTTGGCTCACGTTACACTTGTTTTCTTATTTTTAATAAAACTTACACCAACTCCCTTGAATCCTCTCCGACGTGACGTGGCCTTCAGACACCCGTTCTCTTATCATCCTTTCCCCCCAATCTCACGAGTTCCCCTACTGCTGCTCGTGTGCCCGTCTAATCGCATCTTCCCGTTGCCCGGGCGACTGCCAATCGGGAATGCACGCTCTTTTCGCACGCGACCTGCCCAAACCGCCCGATGCATTGCGCGCGTCGTTTCGTTTCATTTCCAATTCATCTCTCGCCTTCGATTCGTACATCAGTTGAACGGATTCCAAGTGAATTAACGGGAAAGTATCTGCAAGTACTCTCTTTTCACTCTTCATCATTCGTTCTTTACATTAAGGATTAGGGGGATTCCTCTTGAAAGGTTTCTTTGTTAATATAATATCATCCGGATAATGGTCACAAAAAAGGGTTCCTGTCTGATTAATAATTCGTTTCTCTTTCTTTTTCTCTTTCTTCTTCTTGTTCGTTCATTCTCAGTCTGTCTTTCTGCTATTACCGCGATGGAATTCATTTGCGTGAAGACGAGGAAGTTTGGATGCCTTCGCGAAGAGAATGTATTTGACAAGAATGAGCAAAAACAGAGGCAGACGAAGAGAGAGAGAGAGAGAGAAAGTACTGGTGAGATTGAAGGAAATAACAACTTTTCCGCCCCATGTTTGCCTGTTCATTCCCTTGCGGCTCATTTGTACTTGTTGAAAGTAAGGGCAACTTCCAACAAAAACAACCACCACTCCGCACTCGCTTTACGAAATTGAAAACTAGTTTGGAAGGAGGCGATGCAATTAAAGTTGCGTTACTGAATTGGCAAGTGAGCCCTGAGCTCCCGACTCCGCGTCCCTACCTGTTCGTCCTCCCGTTCTCGTTTTCCACTTTCTTGGCCGGCTTCTTCGCCCCGGAAAGCCTCTCTCCACTGCCACTTCTCTCGTTCTCTGCTCTTCACGACGCTCTCTTTTCGGTTAATTTGGAGCCGCCTCAGTCGAGAGTGAGCAGCACTAGACGACCGCCAAAACACTGCTTTCCCTCCGAAAATCTCAAAGTTTCGCCTCTTCTTCTTCTTCTTTTTTTTGCTGCTCCATGTGTGCTCTCATTTCAAATTCGCTCCTCTCGTTTGCATATTTTTCCCTTCAAGACGCGTGTCACACAAAACCTAATTATCCAACACTTTTGCGGTTTTCCTCTTCTTTTCTCTTGGTTTCGTTTCGAAAGTTTCGCGAGGAAAGTAGTAAACTCTGCGGCCGAGCATGCTCGATTTCCTCTCATAAAGTGCCACTTCTGACACGATTTCTTTCCGAATATTTCCACGTATTTCCCTCCTGACCACTCGTGGATTTCTCATCTTTTCCCTCTTTTTTCCGGCACTCGTCATTCACTGTCAATATTGACATTTCCTTGTTCCTGAGATGACCGGTTCTCTTTTGGCGTCATCCGAAAACATCACTTTCCAGAAAGCTCATTCCGAAAATGACTACCACCGCCACTCGCCTTCAAGATGCAAAAACGAACGAGCGTGCAGACAGCATTCTTGCCGGCTTTAAGCTCAACTGGATGAACCTGAGGGATGCCGAGACTGGTAAAGTTCTTTGGCAGAGCACAGAAGACATGGCCGACCCGAAGAAGGAGCATAATGGTGAGTGAAATTTCAAAAAAGTCTCGGAAAAACCAATCATCACAATCATTATGCCTGGGGCGGTATTAATTTCGTCACTGACAACGCGTAGTTTTGAACACGAGCGTGTCGGCCGACACCCGCGCTCACTGCCACTGCGCTCCGCTGCTGCATCATTCCCTACCCTCTGAGTGAATATAAATACGCGCGCATTGCCGCTGCCAGCAGTGGGGTATACGCGTGCTAAGACACTTGTTTTTGGTTTTACAGCCCACGTCCCGAAGAACCTTTTGAAATGTCGTACGGTTTCCCGTGAGATCAACTTCACGTCTTCCGTCAAGATCGAGAAATTCCGATTGGAACAGCGCGTTTATCTGAAGGGAAACATCATCGAAGGTACGAGATCCGCTTTAATATTCATCGTGTTATCGCACGCGACGGCGAATAACAAGCTGTCCGATGACTGCTTTTAATGCATTCCGACTTCAGAGTGGTTCTTCGACTTTGGCTTCGTCATCCCCGACTCGACGAATACGTGGCAGAACATGATCGAGGCGGCGCCAGAGTCTCAAATGCTCCCGCCGTCCCTCCTCAGGCAAGCCATTTCGCGGAAAATATTATGCATTCGCCGGAATCGACTTCTTTCTCGACTGCGGGTCTCGCACGGAGCGAAAAATTTAAAGCTAGTTACACGCATTAGAGTTCTGCGCCTTTAAAGTTGAGAATAATACGGTTGTATCAATTTTTACCATTTTCTGGCAAAAAAGTCGGCACATCGGATTTTTCGTGAGAAAAAAGAAAAAAAATAGTATCCGCATCAAATTTAAATGCGCAGAACTTCATTGCGTGTTGGAGCTTGGAAAATTTCGCTCCGTGCGAGACCCGCCGTCGAGAAAGGCGTCAATTCCGGCAAATGCATAAACATTAATTTGGAAACCGATGTTCTTAATATTGTCAATTTCAGTGGAAACGTGGTCGTGGAGACGCTCTTCTACGACGGAGATCTTCTCGTGAGCACTTCGCGAGTCCGGCTCTTCTACGACTGATTTCATCTCCCCACTTTTCGTTTCTTCAGATCTCCGTTCCATCGCATTACCCTAATAAAACCGTATTCCTGTACATCGTTTCTGCATTCACTCTCTCTCTCTCTCTCCCTCTTTTTCATTCCATTATGTTGCAAAACCCTTTATTTTCTTTATTTTCAAAACATGGAAACAACGAATAAAGTAGACACCTTACATGACCGTATTCACGAAGGAAACGTTGACTCGTGACAGCTTCTGTCGGCTCATTTCGTTCGACTGAAAACGACGAAAAACTGAATAGAATGAACGGAAAACGGGGGAAATTACCACGATTGTATTGGACCCGTGGCGACGGAAACGAAGAAGTTCGTGGCACCGTCGACGGAATTCGAGACGGAAAAAGTAGAAGATTGGAAGGTTGAAGCACGATTGGAAACCGTAAAGCAGATAGGCAACACCTGAAAATAGAGAGATTCTCTGTTGAACTCGTCGGATTCATGAGCTGACCGACGAGAAGAACGTCAAAGTTGGCGCTGTGCCATTCATCGGCCACGAGCACAAAGTTCGGCACGCTGACCATGACGACGTTGATTCCCGACAGAATGAGAATTGCCATTTGTTTGCGTTTCTCCGTGTGATTCAGAAACTGAAATGTATTTCATTCGCCTCGTGCTCCGTCTCCTTCTTCTTCTTCTTCTTCTCCTTCTCCCCCTCCACCAAACTCCATTCAACTAACCTTTGAGCCATGAGATCGGAGGAATAAGTTGAGAGTGACTGCAAGGCAATCATATAGGAGAAAGCGATCCAACAATAGTGGATGGTTCCGTAGATGATGCCAGTGGAATCCATGACTGCGCAGATACGATTTTGATTGTGAGTCGGATAAGCGAATGAGACGATCAGGGCGATGAGGCTGAGGAGCTGAAGGCAGAAATAATGGGAATGGCTTCACGGGCAGGGGCTTCAACCACTTACCACACAGACGAAGATTCCGAACGAGGAGAGGTAGAGTCTGTGGCGCCACGTCCATCTGCTCCGGTACCAACTGACTCGGTTCACCGCCAGAACTCGTTCGACAGTCAACAGACAGTGGAAGGTGGCGGGGAGTTGGCCACCGAAAAGAAGGAAAACTGGCCAGAGGTATCCAGTCATACACTCCGAACTGCTCGTCTCGAAATGGTACTTGTCGGTCAACAGGAGATCCAATCGGCCAGTTCCCGACATTATGAACGAGATGCCGTTGATCTGAATCGAATTTGGAATGTTTCAATTCTACAGCAACACAAACAAACCATATCAGAAACGGAAAGAAGTGTGAAAAACACGAATCTCTGTCTGAAATCCTTGCTGGAATTGAAGACCAAAAGACAGATGGTGTTGGGAATGAGCACGAGAATACCACAGATGATGTAGAGCCGACTGCGCAAGAGAATCTCTCCGTCGCCGGGGAACATGTTCTGAAAGAGCATGCCTGCTTCTGAAGGCCTCGATGACGGCGTCGCAAGAGTTGATGACGCAAGGGACCAGGAGTTGCGGGGCGGGTCAACACGGGTCACCATGTGCTTGGCACGTTTTAATTAAATCAGGAGAGGGTCAAGAGTAGGATGTTGTGACGAAGGGAGGACGAATCCGGCGAAGCGGCTGGAACAAACAAAAGTGGAGAAATCCAATCTGCCAGCGGTGATCGTTGACGCCGAATGCTTCAGAGAACGGAGGAACCTCTCCGACCACCCGTAACAAAACCATTCTACCGTGGGAATTATGACTTGTTGTTCATGTAAGGAAGTCAGAAGCACGTGGGGTTACTGTAGCGGAAGCAGAGATCAGGTGGAGGAGAGAAGACTGACTGGATTTTTGGAAACAATGGACGTGTACGTACATCTCTAACTATAAGAAAAAGTGTCACTGCGAGAAGGTCTCCCATGAATGGATCTAGACATTATTTATCATTAATCAAACCCGTGGGAACTCTCATATCTTGAGACGAAACTATAGAGAAGATCAGAAAGAAGAAGATCTCGAAACGTGGCCTACAGTAGCCACGAGGCAACGTGGTGCGTTCAGTGGGTCGGAAAATATTTCCAAAACCTGCATAAATAGTGTTTTTGGGTGCCGAACCACGTGTGTCCACCCCGCCTCGTGCCACATGGCGTCGGCCAGAGTTTCGGCAGATTTTCTGTGAGAAAATGTGCTTTTGCTCGATTCTTTGACTAGTGGCCCGAAATGGAAACGAACATCAGGCGCTACGTGCGGATCTTGTGAGAGAATCGGAAGACTTGCAACATGTCGGGAACTCAGAGAATGAGCAGAACGTGGTGAGGCGGAGCAGAAGACGGAACGGAAAGGAAAGAAAGATGGGCGCCACGAGGTAGAAGCGTGGTGTTGGAGGGAGGCGGTCATTCTCTGGTTAACCGAGAAGCGCATGCTCTCGGTTTGCAGAAGTCGTTGAGCTCTCTGAGCTCTTCTACGAATCAGGAGCGTGATTTTGTCTGAAGTCCCCGGACTAGTGACGTCGAACATAACTGGAAGCCATCAAACCAATTCCCAGAGTGAATTGCTGAAAAGGGTAGTCATGGACAGAATTAGCAGACTGTACTTAGTCGTTACTCATCTGAAAGGTTCCGGATCTTATTGAACCCATCTAACACGAACCCAGTTCTGAAACCGTAATTCCTCCCACCAACAACACAATCGATTTCTCGGACTGAATCACCAAATCGGCTCATGCAAATTGCAGAACTTTCCCGTCCACTCCTCCGTTTTCCTCCGCATTCGCCTCCCAAACATGTCGGTGTCGTCCGAATTGCCGACGGTCGTCCCGAAGCCTCCGAAGACCCGCACCAAGCTTCCCATCTACCTGATCGGCGCAATCGTCGTCGCTCTCGCCGTCGCCGTTGTTGTCATTAACATTATTCACAGACTGCCCGATGCTCCAGATGACACGGACGATGATTTGCTTAAAACTACGTTGCCATCGGTTCTGACCTCCTCTTTACCTCTCCAACCTTCTCCGTTACCTTCTGAGCCGGACCTTGTTATTTCAAGTACAGAAGCAGTGGCAACAAGTACAGTAATACCTTCGACCACTCCGACAGCGAGTCCTCCTCCAGCAGTTCTGATGAAGATCACAAAGACTCTGAGAACAGTACTCTGGTTCAAGTGACAGCGACCAGTACAGTAATCCCCAGTGAAACGAGCTCCACGGAATCTGCAATTGTTACTGAAAGCGCTGAAACGATCACAGAAGATGGTACGTTAGTCCCTTTTTCATGCCCCGATAAAGTACCTTTCTCAGCGTTCAACCCAACAACTGAAACTTCCAATGCTCCTCTCGAAACTACCGTAATCCCGGGACCACCGGTCATCCCTCAAACTGGCTCCGAATGCGACAAAACGTGCAGGTTCGTCGAGTGGATCGAAGACACAATTCACATAATAACGGGCTATTTCGACAACTTGGTCGACCACTGATTTGCATAATAAACCGGTTTTGCCGCCTCCCTCTTCTCGCCTCCTGAAATCCATTTTGGGTGAAAACAAAAACAACGGTCTGTTTTCAGTGTCTCCGTGGTGGAGTCAATCCCACGTGGCGTCTGGTTTGCGGACAGAGTGCACACGAAAAACGCGTACGAATCGTGGGCGGAACTACTGGGAACCGCGCAGAGGTCAGTTCCCCTTGTCGACGTCATCACGATTCTCTGATCGTTTCAGTGAAATCGACATTTTTGCGTATAAAATGAACTTGCGAGGGAAGGAAATGAGGTATGACGTGGATAATTCGACGTTCGAGGGAAGGCAATTGTACGATATTCTGGAGAGACAGACCAAATCCGGAGTCGTCGTGAAGTTGATCGACTGCCAACCGCCCACGCATCCGGCAAACGACTACGATGCAGACGAGTTGGAGAGAATGGGTAAAATAGACGCAAGTGATGAAAAGGGAAGAAATATTCAGGATTAATCCAGAGACAGGGCCTGGAAATGAACAGCTTGAACGGCGGAGGCGGCGGAATCCAGCACAGCAAGACGTTCATCGTCGACGATAAGCACTTGTTCGTCGGGTCGATGAACTTCGAGTGGAAGTCGTTCTCTCAGGTGGGCAAAATAAAGTCTCTCAACTGAACTGAATCCATCAGAAACTGGAAATCGGGCTGGAGTTCCTCGATTGTCCGTGCATCGCCACCGACGCTTCCCGTCTTTTCGATCAAGTTTTCAACTCGCTTTCTGGAAATGAAAAGCTCGAAACAGTCGATTTTGGCCGTCATTCGATCGGAAATTCGACGTTCCAGTTCCTGGCTTCTCCCTCTTTTCTCCTCAATTCTTCTCAGAGCTGGGACCTCGAAGCGCTGCTCAATTTGATTTATGATGCCGAGGAATTCGTGGACATTGCAGTTATGCAGTACTTTCCCTCTTGGATCTACTTCAAGAATCGAGAGTTTGTACGTCCGAAACTGTTTCTATTAACTTTTGGTTTCCAGATTCTTCTCTCAAATCGACGATGCGATTCGAATGAGTCTTTCGCGCGGAATCCGCTTCAGAATCCTCGTTTCCGGCGACGAAAAAGAAGAAGAGAAACTCATGTTCGCCTACCTGCACAGCCTTTCCGTTTTGCATTCTCCGCTCGAAAAGCGCTCAATCCAAGTGGTCAGTCTGCCCGAAACTCTTTCCATTTTCATTGATTTGTCTTGCAGAAGTACATTCTCATTCCTCAAACTGCCCAAGAATTGTACAAAGACAGAAAAATGCACGCAAAGTTCATGCTCTCCGAGTCGCGAACTCTCATCGGCTCCTCAAATTATGCGCCTGAATACTTCTACAAATCCACTGGAGTTGCCGTGATTGTTGAGGAAGAACCCAATTACGGAGACATCAATCGGCAGTTGAAAGCCGTTTTCGAAAGGTAAAATGGCATTAGGAATTTTTATGAAAACACCGGAAAGCTCTAGATATTGGCATAGTTCGTACACGCAGTCTCTTCAAAAGCACGGAGAATCGAAGGGATTCCTTCCGAAAACTTCGAAGCCATCCAATCCGTTTTCTGGATGGTTCGGATTTGACCACGTGGATGTGTTCAATGAGAAGTATTCCGCTTCTGGATTTGTTTTCGACAAGGATCAGGATCAGATTCTAGATCCCATCATCTTTATCTAATGTAATTGTACTATTGATACGTATTAAGGCATCGTTTTAACTAAATCTAACGACCTTTTCTAAACATCTCAATAAAAATTGTTTTTTTTTTCTGTCAAAATCAATCATCAACTGTTATATTTTTTTAGTTTTTCATAGCACATGAATGGCTCGCACCCGAAAATCAAAAAAGGCAATTCAAATCTAGATACATACAGGTAGGGTCGCTAGAAAGAGAGCGTGATTCAATCGAGGGAGAAATGGATAAAACGAGTGAAATAGTCTACAGCTACAGTTCGATTGGGTGCTGGAGGGGAAGTCCTCCATTTGTGCACACTTCCTTCGCCAGGGACTCGATCGTGGCAACCTTCGTCGCATTTTCGACTCCGCTCGCAGCATCCTTCAGATTTCTGTTAGCAGAGCGAACCGCCTGAATTACAAAATTATTTGTTTTGCTGGTTTCTTTAATGAACTTACATTGCTAACATAATAGGTCGCAACCTGGCGCTCGAAATCGGCACTGGAAGACTTGTTCTTGATGGTGAACGTGGCACGAGAGAGCACGGCGATAGAGCTGTAGATGTCAATGGCGGCGTTGGCAACGCGGATCATTTCGTATTGACGATCTGAAAAGAGATTTTACAAAAGTGTCAGAATAATTGTAATTACCAATGATTCCCTTCTTGTGCTTCATCAGAAGACCCTGAACAGTTTGACCGAAGAGAGCAATTTGTTGATCGAGGCTCTTTGCGGAATCCTGTAGGCTTGGGTCGACGACACTTCCAAAGTCAGATCCAGTGTTCCCACTGAAATGAATTTATCTAAAATCTCAATCGTTTCGTTCTCTTACCCCGTCACACGCTGAACGGCCAGTCCAATGAGTCCTCCGACTCCGGAAGCCTGTTCGGCCAGATGTTTTCCGGCGTGCTGAGCTCCGGTAAGAGCAATGAAGAGACGGAGAACGTCGTTGGCCCCCTCGAAAATACGGAAGATGCGGAGATCTCTGAGGACTCTCTCGAGTCCAGTCTCGCGCATGAATCCCATTCCTCCGTGCAATTGAATTGCCTCATCGCAGACATGCCACGCGTTCTCGGAAGCCATAACTTTTCCAATGGCAGCCTCGAGTTGGTATTCTTTGATTCCACGATCCATGTTGGCGGCCAGCATGTAGACGATCGATTCGGTGGCGTAGAGTCTCGCGGTCATATCTACCAGCTTCTCTTGCACATTTCCGAACTCTTGCAGCTTCTTTCCGAACTGAACACGAGTCGTGACGTGGTCGACGGTCTTCTGAATGCAGTGCTTCATGGCTCCAGTGCACGCCGCAGGAATTCCAAATCTTCCGTTGTTCAGGATGTTCATCGCAACATAGAATCCTTTGCCTTCCTCTCCGAGAAGGTTCTCCACCGGAATTTTAACGTTGTCGAAGTGAACTTCGGTTGTGTTCGATCCCTTGATACCCATCTTCTTCTCCTGGGGTCCACTGGTAATTCCTCCGAATGCCCTCTCGACAATGAATGCCGAAATTTTGTCCTTGGTGGATCCGTCAGCCTGCTTGACTGGTGTCTGTAACATCGGAATTACTTAGTGCTTCTGTAGAAATAGGAGGTACCTGAGCGAAGACAGTGAAGACGTCGGCAAATCCTCCGTTCGAGATCCAGATCTTTCCTCCGTTCAAAATGTAGTGCTTTCCATCGGGAGAAAGTTCGGCTCTGCTTCTGATAGACTACAAGGGATTTTGCAAAATGTCTGAATGTGTCGGGTTCTTACACTAGCATCCGATCCAGTTGATGGCTCAGTGAGAGCAAATGCAGCAAACTTGCGCCCCGTGGCTAGATCCGGCAGGTACTTCTGCTTCTGAGCCTCAGTTCCCTCGAGAAGAATTCCTTTGTATCCGATCGATTGATGAGCTCCCATCACAACTCCGAATCCAAGATCGTAAGCTCCGACAATCTCAGCGACTCTGGCCATTTGAGAGTTGTTGAATCCGGATCCTTCGAGCTCTGGCGGCACAAGAACTCCGAAAGTTCCGAGCTCAGCGAACTGATCGAGCACCGCTCTTGGGATGTCTGCAGTCTCATCGTTCCTGAAAAATGTAATTGCGGTAACAGTGAGAAGACTGCTAATTACTTGACAACGTCATTGACTTCGGCGAGCATCTTCTCAAGTGGTGACATCACCATTCCGAGGGTCTCCTTCTGCTCGTCAGTCAGTTTCAATGGATATGGGAACACCTGAACAACCAGATAGACACAAAGAACTAAATGTTTGATGGTGTACCTGTTCAGAGACGGCCTTTCCTCTGAAAAGGTTCATGACGAACGATGGACTGTCGACGGCAGCCGTCTTCTTCGCCGGTTTCGCATCCTTGGCAGCGGCAGCCGAATGGGACAGACGAAGGAATCTGGTTTGCGAGAGCCGCGCACTCTTGCTCAACGTCGACAGCATTATTCCTTCTGAAACAAGGGAATTATATAGTTGTTGATTAGAAAAGAAACGAAGAACGAAGAAGATAAAGAGTGATGAAAACAACTTGATGTTGGTCGAACGGAGAGGGGCCAGAGACGAGAGACGCAGACAGGCAAAGGGGGACAAAGAACACAGGCGGTGAGGGGAACCGAGTGTTCTTCGATGGGAGGCATTTAGGCGGAGTACTATGCAAGATATTTCTTGAAAAAACAACTAGAATTAGTTCTTGAAGAACTTGTAGAAATTGCATACTTCAAAGTTTGATTTTACCGGAAATTTGAAAGAATCGGCCTGGCAAGTGGGTTGGCCACTCGCATTGCCGAACTTTGTCTGACAAACTGAAAAATCGCGTGTGTACAATAGATAAGTGAGGCCACGTGGAGGCGGAGGTCTATCGCTATCTCTCGCCCTTCCGGACTTTGTACTTTGCCCCGAACTGACTACGCACTAACGAGAAACTGGACTACACTGAACAACGAATCTCCAGAAACATGGAAATGGTGGAAAAATGATCAACTTGCAATTGCCATCAGTTTGCTCATTTATTTCGAATTTAATTTCAGAGCACTTGAAAAAGTGAATTTAGTTTGATCACTTACCGATGATCAAAGATCACGGAGCAAATTCAGTCGAAATCGGGGAATGAAAACGTTAAAATAATGCACGACGTGTTCTGAGGTTACTAAAGTTCGGCCGTTGCGGGACCCACATCACTTGAAGTGTGCTGCGCCTTTAAAAACACAGTAATCAGTTATTAAGCTACCGTGGCAAAGCAGAGCTCAGAACAATTCACTGTCAAAAATACCCAATTGAAACGAATTTTTGAGTAAAATAAACCATAAACCTTTAAAATCATCCGAATCCACACACAATCCTAAAAAGCAAATTAACACAACTTGTTTTCCCGGGTTCCTGCAATTCCCCCAGATAAAAAATGTTCCATCAGCTATTTCAGCGTCATTACCAAAAACTATCGATCGCCTCGGCATGTAGTCCGCATCGTGGTCTTATCAACGACCCGCTCATCAACAACTCGACTACACTGTACCTCCGTTCTAACCGCCTTATTTGGACGTGTTTCTTTTTGTTGCATTATTCAATTTTTACAAAATGGATAAGAAAACTGCTTGCGCCCATGTCCCAGACCCGAAAATCTTCGATTTCACAAGCAGAGATGCCATCATCTATGCTCTCGGAGGTATTGATTGAAACCATCATATAATATGATTCATATTAACCTCAATGGGTCCGTTTCAGTTGGTGCTCGAGCCAAGGAGGACTTGAGTTACGTCTATGAGAACAACGAGAGCTTCAAAGTTCTTCCGTCGTTCATCGTGGCTCCTGGATTCGAGGCGATGATGCTCTTGGGCTGGCCGGGTATCGAGTTCGACCTTCCGAGAGTCCTCCACGGAGAGCAGTACATCGAGATCTACCATCCGATCCCTTCCGAAGGCAAACTCAAGTCCGAAGCCCGCGTCGTCGACATCCTTGATAAGGGATCTGCTGCTCTGATCCTCTCCAACAGTAAGTGATTTCCGTCTCTTTCTCCGATATTATCATTCTGTTCAGTCACAACCTACGATGAATCTGGAAAAAAGATTGCCATGCAGCAGTTCAGTACTTTCCAGAGCGGAGCTGGTAACTTTGGCGGAGAGCGCACTTCTACTTACGAGATCAAGGCTCTTCCGGTGCCCGACCGTGCTCCAGATGCGGTCATTGAACAGAAGACGACCGTCGATCAAGCCGCCCTCTACCGAATGGGATCTGGGGATATGAATCCTCTTCATGTTGACCCGGAATTCGCCAAGATGTCTGGGTTCAAGACTCCGATTCTGCACGGACTGTGCACTCTCGGATTCGCAACAAGACACGTCATCGCAGCATGGGCCGATAACGATTCGGACAGGTTCAAGGCGATCAAAGTGGGGACACGCGACGGATTCGGCGGTTTATTGTCTGTTTGCAGGTTCGATTCTCGTCTCCCGTGCTTCCTGGACAGACTTTGGTGACTGAAACGTGGAAGAATGGCAACAGGATCCACTTCCAATCAAAAGTGAAGGAGACCGGTAAAGTGGTGATTTCGAATGGCTACGTCGACTTGCACAAGGCCTCCGAAAAGCCGACGGTTCCTTCCGATTTGGCCTCCAAACTGTAGATCGAAACACTCGGACAAACTTTATTTATACACATTGCGCAGAAGTTAGATCATTGTTCTGTCTATTCATTCAGATTAATAAACCCCTAATTCTCGTTGCGATGTACGTGACACTGGTTACTTTTTCTTCTTCTTTCCGAGAATATCATTGACTCCGGGGAAAGTCACGCCCACTCCCGTGTTCACTGCGACTCCGGCCATCGGCACTCCGACTCCGAGGTTCGTTCCCACTTGTCCGTTCAGGTAGTCGACGCCGACGTGCTGATTCTGTTGGTAGTATGGACCGACGCCTCCGCCCACGTCCACTCCAATCGGCTTTCCGGCTTCTCCTGGCTTCAGAGGGACACTCACCTGGAAATGATCATTGGGCTAAAATGGAGAATGTTTGACTCACGACAGCATGGGTGTCTCCCTCGATTCCAAGCGATTGGACGAGTGGAACACTCCATCCCGACTTGTATCCGTACTTTCCTTCGTACCAATTCGCGCCGATCTCCTGGTACTGAGACCAGTAATCTCTGACTCCGATGTGATCGGAATAGCCTCCTCCCCAGGATCCGAACGGAATGTTCATTTGTCTGCCTGCTCCAATCGCTCCTTCTTCGTTGATCGGATAGTATGGGATTCCCTTGACATCCCACGTTCCCAGATTTAGTCCGACGTTCGAGTCGAAAGCGTAGGCAATGTTATAAAGAGGGTCCGACTTTGGGAGGAATCGTTGACAGTCCTAAGGTATTAGGGAAATGGGGAAGGGTTCGATTGGAAAGCGAGCTTACGTGGAAGTATCCCTTGCACTTGCTCCCGTACTTGTCATCCGTCTTGTTTCCTCCGAAGCAATGCTTTCTGACCGTCGGCAAGAACCGATTGCACAGTGCTTCCAGATGAAGAGCCTTCCGGTGAACATCAATGTCTTCGGGCCGTGGCTCCACAGCCGATGGCGGTCTTTTCATCATGACTCCACGCACATCAGCTGCCTTTGCCCTTGTTTGATCCAGTTGAGACTTTTCTGTGATTCCTCCGAATGGAGAGCTGAAACAACTTCTAGAATCCCTATATTCGGATGTCACGATCAACCTTGGCCTTCTCTGCACTTCGCTTCCGTCGGTGTCCGCCCGATCGACTCCCAGCGCAGAGCTTCTCAATCCAAACTCTTCCATGTTCTTCGCAAATCTAACCTTTTCATCTTCCTGTTGTTTCAGAAGTTGACCGTATCTGAAGCATCAAATGAACATCTAATCTTTGTCGGAATCCAAACCGATTGACGTGCACATTCACTGCGTACTGTCTCATTCGATCGAAATACTGTTGGTAGTACTGATCGTACTGTGCCTTCCTCGCCTTATCCGCCTCCCTTCTCTGCTCTCTCCATTGCTCCATCTGCTTTTCGTACGCATCATCGTAGGTCGGTCGACGGTGTCTGAAAACGTACTTCACCAATTAAAACAGAAAAGTGCTACCTGTGCCTTCTTCTCGGTTTCTGCGTCGTCTGCTCCACGTTTGCTCGAGCAAACTCACTCGGAACATGCTTGTAAACCGGCCGTCCAGGCGTTGAATCTCTGAAATGCTTTCCTTTCCCACCACACTTTCTGTTCTCATAACTCACTTTGAAATTGGAATGGGCTGTTGATCGCCTTGTTGTGGACGGGCTTCACATCTCCATAGAAGTATGAGGAGAAATGGAATGAAGGGACGAAGCATCGTCAGAGGAATCAAACTGATAACGGTGGAAAGCAATGATGATTACTGCACCCCTCGGCCGACGTCTTCTTCGTCTCTCTTCTTCTTCTTCTGTTTTCAACCTGAATGACCTTGCCGTCGACTGACCGGTAGATTGAAGTTGTAGTTAGTCTAGCCTCGCATTGTTTGCCGGTGTGGTTTGTGATTATGAGAATGATCGGAATTAAATGAAACCATGTGCAGCTGACCGACCACCGAAACTGATGTGATAGATTGTTTTTCAAATGTACTGTATTCAGAATACTTCAGAAGTACGGCTAATGAAACGAAGAAATTAAATTCGAAAACTGAAAATTCGTTTTAAAATAATAAGTTCAATTCACGTTGTTATTTATGAAAAACACCGTAAAACGAACCACCATCCAATCCTAAACAGGACGAAACTCTGTTTTATGTCATCCGGACCCCTTCAGACGGTTCCCCTGCGCGCGCATCTCTCAAGTGGGCGGAGCCTCCCTCGCACAAAGAATAGCGGGAAGCGGAACCCGCGAGACATCGGCTGCTTGCCTGCCCGTCGCTATACAAGCGGACAGCGAAGGGTAGAAAGGCCGCATGACGGCAAGGCGAGTACTCGCAGCCACGAAACGTTCCCCGTTGAGCGCACTCACTGTGAGCGAAAGTCCCTGGACCCCCGACAGAAAGTGTCACCCTCTAGGATGGGTACTCTTTGGAGTTTTAGTCATAGCACAGAGACGCTCCCTAGAACAGCATAGGGCCTACTCTGATCGTCATGTTTTTGCTTCTTTTTGCCGACCCGACAGGAAGCTCTGCTCACGGTACCATGAAATGTGACATTTCCTCTCCGGGAGTCGATTCGTCTCCTTCTCTATCTCGCACATGACCTGCCCACGCACACTTCCAACATATATTCGTGTCTATTTTACGTGTGAGGCTTCTCTAAAATTCCGCCGTCTCTCTAATCCTCGTGATATTTCGCTGCCGAAATGGCAAAAATTCATCGGGAATGCCGGGAGAAGTCGTTGCCAGCGATCAGATTATCGTTAGTTTCTTGCATCCTCCTGAACATTCTTTTTTTATTTGATTGTCAGGAAACCCATCGACTACTTTTCTGATATTTCCGATTGGACAACTTCGAAAAGGTATTACGTTCGGAACAGAGACATAGTCCGAGAGAACATCCGAACGATTAAATCAAGCCTTCCTCGGCTACCTGCAGTCCGAAAAGTTCGACTTTGAATTTGAAAAAAAAAACGTTATAAAATCATTTTTTGCAGGTGCCCCCATTCTGTCCACAGTCCTATCAGCAGAACACGAGTGTCGTGCCGTTGCCCATGATCGCTCCCAGCCGATCTAAAAGCGTCGATTCTAATGTCACATTCAAATTATTTCCAGTTTCCCGAATGATTTAATTTCAGGTATCAGATGATTGCACTCAGTTCCGAGCTTTGTTCTCTCGCGGAGACCTTCACGTACGGATTGTGCATTCCGGAGGACCGGGCGACAAGTGAGCGTTTCATACTGAATTCCTTCTGATAATGAGTTTGCAGGCCACGAGAACTACAGTGGGCAAAAGATCCGTCGCAGATGAAGAACGAGACGGTCTGCAACCTCCTGGCCAAATTCTCAACTGGAATGTCTCTTCTGGATCACGTAAGACACTTTCCCGATTCATTTCAACCGAACCCATTCAGCCATTCCGATTTGTGGCCGAAACAGGCATCACTGACTTGCTCATCGCCCTCCGCAATCACCAATCCATCGTTTCCGTCCTTCCGCAACTTGTCCGAGGGATTCGTGCCGGACTATATTCATTCGACACGGAAAAGAAGAAATTTTGCCTGAAGACACTTTCCAGAATCACTTCGATGCAGGGAATCGGCGCTCAATTGGTCCCTTTCTACAGGCAACTTCTTCCTCCGCTCAGTAAGATCTTTTATTCATTTTCCATTCTAACTCTCCTCTTGCAGGGTCTGTTCGCCAGTCTAGAAGCAGATCGGACCGTGTTCACTACGACAAGGCCGTCAGGTCGAGGAGATAATCACTTCCACTCTCAACGATTTGGAAAGGACCGGCGGACCGAATGCTCTCATAAACATTAAATATCTCCTCCCCCATTACGAATCTTGTCGGTATCTTTGAAAAAAACCTTTTTCCTACAAGCATCTGAGAGCACAACAATACTTTGAACCTGGGCCTACTCGACCTTCTTCTATTCGGACCACGAGAATGACGACGTTAAAGTTTAAATGCTCTAGATACACAGTGAGAACAGTAATTTCCGCGTGAAGTTGCTATTTGCGCAGTGCTGGACGAATTTGAACTCCCCTCTTTTCTCAATAATTTTAAAACAGACGCCTTCATTCTTTTTTTCAGTTGACACCAGAAATCGAGTTATTCGTGACCGAGGTGATTGCTCGTGCCCGTCGTTGTTTTGGGAGAATGACGTCGAGAATCGCCTGGCGATAGGGAACAATGAAATAAAAAGAGATCCAGGGATCGACGAGACCGGGGAAGGAGGAGGAAGCGAGAATGAGATGCTCTGCAAGAACGGGTCTCTACTGGATTTCCGATTTGTCCCACCTGAAATGAGGATTTCGTGTCCTGTTGACTGCGTGTAAAGATAGCAGGAGAACGTCGGAATGTAGGAGATCACAGGAAGCATCGACTGCACGATCAGCCCGTAAATGAGTGTTTTTGCCTGTTTCTTGGTCCTATCCGACATGTGTTGATGATAACGAATCAGAGTGAGCACTTTCCTGGTGAGCAGAAGGCAGCCCAACGGGATACCATAGGCGCCGACGAAAAGAATAAGGGTGGCCGAGAGGAACTGGAAGTTTCCGACGTCTGCGAAGCCAGGATAAGGGAAATAGAGGGAAAGGTCGTAGGAACGGTGCTCGAGAGCAGTGGCATTATAGACGGAATGAAAGTCCCACGGAGCGGTGAACGGCAGAATCTGGAAATGAGATTAGGAGTGTGCGGACTTTGAGTTCGCTTACGAGTAGAATGGTCGGAGCAATGTACGAAGCAGCCACCATTATGTAGGTCTGCATTGGAGTCACTTGGTTTCGGACCAGAACAAGGAAACGGAAGAGGACAGTTATCGAAATGGCAGAGCCGGCAGCCAAGCTGATAGCCTGAAGGTAGTGTGTGACGGAGGGACTGCAGACAAACTTACCATGTAGATGTGATAAATGACAAAACAGAATACAGGACTGACATAATGACAGGGACCGAGGGGAAGAATGGCCAGAGTGGTACGGTTGGAAAGAGTTCGATGTTGGGAGGAGAAGGCGAAGAGAATGAGAGCGATTTGGACGAACGAAGTGTTGTAGAGGAAGCATTTGAGGTTATCGAGAGTTGCTGGAGACTTTTGCGAGATCAAATAGATGAGAATCAGCTGGAAAGTGATGCCGAACAGTCCGTAGAGCAGCCAGTAGACGTTGAAGATCGGCACGTAGCAGTCCGAAGAACACATTCTGCGGACGAATGATTTTCGAAGCGAAACGAATAATTCCGAGGAAATTGACGATGGTTCTCACGGCATTTGAGCATGTAATTGGTGTATGGAAATCGAAGAAAAGAGTTTGGTTTGAGTTTTGATGCTTATCAAAGAAGACATCACAAATCTTTATTCTACGAGTTTATTCATTTGCATTCAGACGTAAGAATGCGTCTTCAAGGGTCGCTTGCGTGAGCATGTAATCTTCAATCTGAAACAGAACATTCTATTTTTATTTTGTGAGTCCAAAATTAGGTACCTCGAGTTGTGCAGCCAGTTCGTCGACCTGCATGAACGTTTCCGACCATTTGTCATCCGAGTGTTTCGGCAGTTGGTAGACCATTTGGAGGCTCGCGCGCGTCGGCTCCGTCTTCAGAATGGCGTCTTTCCACTTCTGAATAACTGCCGCCTTCACGCCTTCGCTCGACTCCAAAGTGCTCAGAACCAGTGTCATCAAGTAAAAGCTTCCAAATCTGAAACAAAAATGTGAGTATAAGAAAGAGGAACGAGGTCTCACTTGGACTTCAGCTCTTGGCTAGTCCCCAATGCAATCATTTCTCCCCCACGTAGCACTCCGATCCGAGTGCACAGAGCCTCGCACTCTTCCATCGAATGCGACGTAAGCACGATCGAACAGTTGGCCTTCTCGCGCATGCAATGCAGAATGTCCCAGATCTCCCTTCTCGCCCGTGGATCAATTCCGGCCGTCGGCTCATCAAGCATCACACATTGCGAACGAGAGATCAGAGCGATTCCGACAGACAACTTCCGCTTCTGACCGCCACTGAAATGACATGAAATGGGGGAATTGTTCAAGCGGAAAAAGCTGGAACCTGCAGTGTTTGATCAGTTTCTCGGCGTGCTCAGTCATTCCGATGCAATTCAGAACCATCTCCACCACTTCGTCGCTGTTTTCGTATCCTTGAAGGCGAGTCATGATTCGGAGACACTGTCTTCCCGAGTACTGTCCCATCATCGCGTCGAATTGCGGACAGTAACCGATTTGCTGAAAACTTGGACAATCCGCGAGCTGATAGGGACAACGTACAGGTTTGTTGGTGATGTTCTCTCCAGAAACGGTGGCGGATCCTCCGGAAGGAAGCGTCAGCCCTGTCAGCATGTCGAACGTCGTCGTCTTTCCGGCGCCGTTCTGTCCCAACAGTCCGAAGCATTCCCTCTGTTTCACACTCATCGACAATCCGTTCACTGCCCTTATTCTTCGGAAGTCTTTCACCAACTTCTGCAATCATTTCGAATCATTTCAAGAGGATTATTAGGAAACCAACTTCGACAACGACAACGGAAGAGCCGGCTTGCGAAGAGTCCAGAGAACTCGTCACCATTGTCGTCGTCTCTCCGTTCGTGGACGAGAATCCTTCCAGGAAAGCCTGAAAGTCTCCTCTCTCCTCTGATTCACCGCCTCCCTATCCACGTACGTAGCGCTTCTTCGGCCGTGGTTTCGCATTCCCACATCCCGTCACAATTCTTCGTGCAATTTTAGAGCGGAAAGCAACGAAAAACCAGAAGAAAAGTACGGAGAAGAGGATCAGAAAGATCAAATCGATCCCTGAAGAAATGGGTAGGTCAAACCGATCAAGCTGATTACTCACAAATTGCTTGGAATTGAAAGATTGACTCGAATCTGAACATGAACTTTCTCGCGGATGCAAAGTTCTTCCAGCTGCCAGATTGACTGAAGTAAATCTTGAGAAGGGCGAACATATAAATGAGTCCAGGATCAAGGAGACCCAAAAAGTACTGAAAAACATAATTTTTGTGCGAGAATCGATGCAAATCTTACTGACCAGTTTACGAACTGTCGCAAGTTGATCGCTCAGAGGTTTCATCACGACGATCAAGAAACTGATGGCTCCAGCAGCAAAGAAGACGGATCGATGGAAACCGAGGACGGTGGATCCGACGGCCGGAGATCTGATGAACACCGAGAGGAAGTAAATGAGTGCCTCGTAGGCGAAGAAGTAACAAATCATTGTGGCGATTATTCTGGAGGCGAAAGTGAAACGGTGTCTTCCAAATTGAATGAACTCACAGGTAGATGTAGTCCGTTAAAACTTCGTTGATGATGGAAAAGGTAATGACGTAGGTGCACAGACTGGCATAAATGATAAAGTCGAACAGAATGCTCGAAGACCAGAATACGAACGGAGAGACTCCAGTGAGAAGTTGCTGGAAGAGACTGCCTCATTTCAGTGGAACACTTTCATCGCGTACCTGATGCTGGAACTTGGAAACTCTTTCTTCTATCAAAAACGCAATTGCCGGGAGGACAGAGCACGAGATCATCATCACCAACCCATTCAGAAGAAATCCATACTTAAAGGAGTGGAACCCAATCTGATGAACATCTCAATTGAAGCTGTCGCGTAAAGGACAGTCTCACCTCTAAGTTTCCTTCAATCGGAATAAAATCTGCGTGCAATCCGAAGGTGCCGACCGAATGATTTGAATTGATCCGAAGAAACTTCAGATTCGAGAGCAGATTCAGTGCGACAGCAAGAGCATTCGGAGTGCTTTCGTGGTAGTATAGGACGGTTCGGTTCAAGAAGAACGAGACAACGAGACCGATCTTTTTGGCCTTCATCGTTTGGTTTTTGACCAATGAAGAGACGTTCATTGTGATCGGAGCGTGAGAGATCTGAATGCGCACATTCTTCAGGAATGAAGGGATTGAGCAGTTACCTCCAATTGTTTGAATTGAGACAAATAGTCCTCTATTCTACTATCAACGGATCCTTCGAACTGTAGGATGGCCTTGGAGGTTGGTAAGAGTGACAAGTTGTAATTCATCGAAACGATGGAGCTGTCAAACCTTCTCACAAAAAGTCTGGTTGTGATGAAATAGATTGCGAGGAGGGGTACAAAGATCTGCATGATTGTCTGATCGGGATTGCGTCGCAAATGAATCCATCGTTTGTAGAGGAATGTGCGAAGTTGGAGGAGATAGAGGGAGAAACCTTCTCGCTGTGGCTCTGAAATTCGGTTGTGTCGTTTCTGTTCTCTTCCGGATGACTGACCTAGTTTCGCCTTCACGAGTGCTTCGAAGTTTCTCTCAGCCGTCGCTCTTCTCTCCGCATCATCAGCCCCGGTCAGCACTCGGTCGCATTCCTTCTCAATCTTAATGAACACTTGCTCCAGAGAGCTCACGGACAGTCCCATGGCCACAATCTTCAAGTTCTTCACTTGTTGCAGCACTTCAGCCGGCAGACTCTCCAGTTTATCCGAAGCGAACTGCTTGGCAATGATGGTTTCGAGTGCTTGGAACAGAAGAAGAAACTGTTGTTTGCTGGCGTCCGGAAGAGAGAATTCAACCATCTGACCTCGTTGATCTTTCTGAAATACATATGAGAAAGGTAAACAATTGGTTCAGCTCAAAACATACCATCACTGAGTTTCCAACGTAGTTGGAGCACACTTGTTGAAGGATTGGAACGACTTCTTCCGCGTTCTCTTGAGGATCCAGAACAAGCGTCATCAGGTATCCATCTCCGTACTTCTTTTTCAGGTAGTGAAGTGATCCGGAAGCAGCCATCTTTCCGTGAGACATCACGAACACCCAGTCGCCGAGCTTCTCCGCCTCGTCCATGTAATGGGTCGTCAGCAGGATCGTCCGCTCCGACTTCACTTTGTCGAGCATCTTCTGCACATCCAGCCGTGCTCCGGGGTCCATTCCAGCTGTCGGTTCGTCCAGAAGAACCACTCTGCTCCCTCCGATCATCGCCATGCACACGCACAACTTCCTCTTCATTCCGCCAGAGAGGTTCTTCGCCAACTCATCCCTCTTGTCGCTCAGCTCGATCTCATGCATCAGATTCTCTGCGTCCTCCTCGAAGTTCGCCGGATCAGCTCCTTTCAGAGTGTTTACAAGTTTCAGATGTTCCTTCACGGTCAGTCTTTCATAAAGTGGATTGTACTGTGGACAGTATCCGATGGACTGCCTAGCTTCTTTCCGATTCGAGACTGCGTCAACACCTTCAATGAAAATGGAACCAGAAGTGGGTTCGTGGATTCCTGTGATCATTCCGAACGTGGTGCTTTTTCCGCATCCATTGTGACCCAAAAGCACGGAAACTTGGCCTCTCACTGCGCGCAATGACAGTCCGTTCACAGCAGTCTCTCCATTTGAATAAATCTTAACTTGAAATTTAACATCTTCTCAATAGCTCAACTACAAACCTTGACAAGATTATCCACCTGGATGTCTGACGTGGCGTCCTTCCGTCCTTCCACATTTTCCTCACCCAACAGAATCCCGTCAAAGTCGATTTCCGATGAAGAATGTGTTTTCGGAGGGCTCTCGGTTCTTTTCATTTGTTTCCAGAACGCATTTACAACGCATTTAGACGTTTTGTCGACGAATCTGGACACGAAAACACTTCCGAATCCCATGAGAAGGCCGTCAAAAAGCATGATTCCCAGATAGACAACACAAGAGTAGTACCCTTCACGACCGCTTGAAAATCCGTCCATGAACGACATTCCGTCATCTGAAACCCGCCATTTCGCATTCTCATCAACGAGGAAAAGCGAACCTTTCGCAAAATGAGGTTCAATGGCCAGGAAGTAGAACTTCAGGGCGTAATTGATGTTCAACGAAGCCGGGATGGTTCTCCAGTCTTCCGGAACATCAATAATGAGGGGAAGAAACGATAAGACGCCCCAAAAAAGAAGTATTCCTTCGACACCTCTTCTCGGTTTCGTGAAGAGCGTCGAGACGAGCATGGCAAATGAGATGGCTGCTGCGATGTAGACGATGACTCCGACCAGCAGCCAGAAGGCGTTGTAGTGCTGAGAACGAGGAAATTCATTGAAATATCAGAAGGCCACTTACCGGAAAGAAAATGCAATGAAGGACAGTTCCAACAGAAATCAGGAGAGTTCCCTTGAGAGTGGAAAAAATAAAGTGCTCGGCATAGAAAAGGGTTCGGGAAAGGCCAATCGAGTGGAGGTACGGCTGCAAATGAATTTCTTCCGATTCTTGTCCATCCGAGCGTTCGTTTCCTACCTGCACACTGTCCTTTTCCACTACCATTGTCCGAGTGGTACTGATAACCGGAAGAGTGACACAAAGACCAATGAACATAGCCAACTGGGGGAATATCGAATCCATTTCTTGGTCATCAAAGATGAAGACCTTCCTCAGTTTGTCCAGATCTTTTCCAGGGGTGTAATTGGAAGCTGCGGACTCTGCGTAGAACTTCTTGTTCGTCGCTTTGTACATGATCGGTGCGTAGTCGTCAAAAATGGATCCGCTGTATGTTGACGGCCTGCAATGAATGGTCTTCCTAAAAAAATAATAGAATTCGACCTACTTGTCCACCTTCAACTTCAGATTTCCAATATTGCTGTACGTTGCAGGCACGATCATATCGACGCCTTCTGGAGTTGTGAACACTCCTCCAATCCTGAAACTCTTTCATCTCCATCTTTTTCTACCACTTGACACTAACGGTTTGCATATTTTCGCTGCCGCTTTCACTCTTCCAATGTACTTCGTTCTGTCCGGTCTTGTGTAGTTTTTCGGATATTTGCTGCTGAAATTTGTGGAGCTACAAAGTACGCGAATGCTAATTCCAACGCACTAAAGGGTGACTGTGATTTCCGGCGGAGTTTTGCAGTTTCCCGAATGCAACTCGATTTCTGGAGCTTTATCCGGCAAATCCACATCCATAACTGTTCCAGTGAAAGATCTGAGGGCTTTGTTGGATTCTTGTTGGTGCTTGTACCCCATCAACAATTGCTGAGATGATGAATAAATCGGAATTATTTTCAAAAGCAAAACGTACCTCTGGGATGAAGAAAACCGGAATCACGAGGAGAAACAAGGGCGCGAGCAACTCGAGAGCCGTCCAAATCTTGTTTCGACGCACGAGGATCGCATCCTTTTTCAGCAAAGAAAGCAGTTTTTTCATTACCAGCGGGAGCGCAATGAGTTATTACTGGCAAGAGAAAACAGATTAGCGAGGAGTGCAGCCACGTAGAGGTCGGGTCAGTTCGTGGGAATTTGGGGAACTGGGAATGGGGCGAGTGCAGTGGTTCATCAGCCTTTTTTATGGATAATCACAATCTTTTTATTCAACACTCGAAAACACACGACTCCAGTTTACTGTCCAGCAGTTTATTCAGCAGTTTCTGCGAGTGCTCCCAGACGGCGTCCTGCAGTTCCTCGTCCCTCGCCACCTCATTGTACAACGTCTTCTCGTCGTCCCAGCACGATTCCCAATACTTTCCGGACACGTGAGCCACTTCCGGATTTCCCGCACAGTAAACCGTCGTGGCCGCTCCTTGACTGATGTTCTTCGTGAACGGAGTCGACAGAATACTGGCAATGCTGACGAGCCACGAGTCACGGAAGATGTTGGTGCGGACGCCGTTGCCGGGGTGCACCGAGTACGTGCTTATCTCGTTGTGATTTTCGTCTCGATGAAGTTTGAACGCCACGAGCATATTGCACATTTTGGAGCGCGCGTACAGACGAACCACGTGGCATCGTCGGGGCTCTCGGGGCAGAGAATTCGCACTTTCTGGAGGATGGGCATGTCGGGAGTGACTTCACACTGAGCGTGAACTGTCGAAGACACCAGGATGATCTTGGATGGAGCTGACTGACGAACGATGGGCAAAAGTTCACGGATGAGCTGAAAAGGAGAGAGATGGTGCAGAAACAGAAAGAGGGAGAGTAAGGAGAAGAAGAGACCAACCAGGAAATGGGCGAGATGATTAATCCCGAAATGAGACTCCAATCCGTCGGATGTGGTAGTTGAGGCAGTTCCGAAAACGCCGGCATTGAGAATCAGACAGTTGATTGGCCTGGAAATACACTTTCTCCTTTTGACTCGGGAAAAAAAGACGCCAATTCGGCGTAAATTTCTGGTGCGTTTTTTTTGCGGCGAAAAATATAAAAAAGTGACAGTGAAAAAGAAAAGCGTCACAGAATTGTGCATCAGTAATAATTTTTTCGCGTACTAGGTGTCGCCGCCAGCGCTGATTTGACGCCAAATTTGCGCCGCCAGCGCCTTTTCGATTTTGTGTGTCTCTCTCGAAATCGGAAAAGGCGCCGGGGCCAAAGTTGAGCCGAATTGACGTCTTTTTTCCTGATGATAACTGATAACCTCCCTCACCATCCCTTCGAAATGTATTCTTCCGTCGCCGTTTTCACAGATTTCAGCGAGTTCAGATCGCACTTGATGATGTCGATCTCCGCGTCGTGCATCTCATCCACGATCTTCTGTTCAGCTTCTCCGATTCCTTCACATTCCGGTTGAACATCACGACATGAGCTCCGTGAAGGACCAAAGACCGCGCAGTTTCGATTCCGATTCCATTCGTCGTTCCGGTTATCACGAATGTCTGTCCGGCCAGATTGACTCCTTTGATTGTCTGAGTTGTCAATATTCTTTCAGTTAACAGGCGGAAAACTCACATCAATGGCATAGGTTCTCGAGTGAAACTTGCGTGTTCTCGGTTCTTCCACAGGCATATTGGAAACAAGAAATGAGTGCGTTTATCAGTGGTTAACTATATTTCTTTTATATGAAAACCGAGAGAAAATCATATCAAAAGAGCCAGGAGGCAAGAGAAACGAGGCAATGTGCGTAGTCAAGAGACGCCGTCCATCGGAGCAACGCATGATTTGGGCAGTGTCTTTTCGGGGAACAAGCAGTCGTCACTTATCTTTATTATCACCATAAAACGACTCTTTTTCATTCACAATCGTACAGTTTCACAGTTATTATCAGTCGTTTTCTTCGATTTAACCCACTTGTCGATGAGCTCCTCCGTATGTTTCCACAGCGCGTCTTGCAGTTTTTCGTCCCTCGCCACTTCTTTGTCCAGATTCTTCTCGTCGTCCCAACAGGATTCCCAATACTTGCCGGATATCTCCTTGACTTCCGGATGAGCAATGCAATAGACACTGGTCGCAGCTCCTTGGCTCGCATCTTTTGTGAATGGGGAAGTTAGAAAATCGGTGAGACTCCACAATCCAAAGTCTCTGTGAAGATCCGTTCGAACTCCAGATCCTGGATGAACAGAATAAGCGCTGATCCCATTTGCATATTCATCTCGGTGCAATTTGAACGCGACGAGCATGTTGCACATTTTCGAACGAGCGTACAGACGGAAAAACCACTGGGAAGCATCTTCCGGGCACAGCAATCCCAACTTCTTCTCGATGCTCGACTTTGGTTTTACACAAGTGAAACGGCTAAGCATTGAGGAGAGAATCACGATTCGAGAAGGAGCCGACTGACGGAGAACTGGAAGAAGTTCACGGATGAGCTGAAAACGAAGAAGAGGGCATGAAAGAGAAGGGAATGGATGCATACAATGAAGTGAGCAAGGTGGTTGATTCCGAAATGAGCTTCGAACCCATCCGAAGTCACATTTGTTGTCGGTCCGAACACCCCCGCATTCAGAATCAATCCATGAAGAGGCCTGGAATCAAATTGCTTCTCGAAGAATTCTCCGTTTCTTATCAAAACCATTTCTTGGCCAAATACTCCTCCGCCGCATTCTGAACAGATTGCAATGAGTTCAGATCACATGCAATTATATCAATTCGAGCATCCGGTTTCTCTTTCAGAAATGTCTGCTTCAATTTTTCGGACTCTTTCGCATTTCTGTTTATCATCACAACATGAGCTCCTTGAGAATGAGTGCTTTCGCCGTTTCGACTCCGATTCCAGAAGTGGTTCCAGTGATTGCAATCGTCTTTCCGCAAAGATCAATGCCTTCCAACGCCTGCAATGTGTTGCCACGTCACAAAAAGCTCAAAAGCTCACCTGAATTGCGTGAGTTCTCGAGTGGAATTGCCGTTTTCTCTTGTCGCTCATGATTGGGAAGCGACCAACTGTCGTCTGGCACGTGTCGTTTGTGCGCTTTTAAAGAGAGACCAATGGCAGTGATAACGGGAACGAGAATTGTAGCCATTTCGGAGATGACTAAACGTCATTGAGAAGTCATTTTTAGCATTAAACACATTTATTATAAAACTCAGAACATATTACAGAAGTTTCAGTTGAAATTGTTAATAGCATTGAGTTGCGAAGAGTTGGTTTACTCAAGGGAGATGTTGAGAGTGAGTCCTGGAACTGCGGAGACTCCTCCAGCGACCTTGGTCTGGACGTTCTTCTGAAATCACGTTTGCGTTCTGTCCACTTCAAACGACAAACTCACAGCTGGGTGCTCCGAGTAAGATCCAACGTCGGCCTTGGTGAACTTCTTGATGACTAGGACTCCGTTCTTGACCGCGTAGTTGCTCGATTCGATCTTCTTTCCCTTGGCGTCAACGAACGATCCCTTGTTGGCTCCCTCTAGGTGGAAGATTTGCTCTCCAGCTGGCACAGTTCTCTTGATCGCCTTGGCTCCGGTGAAGGCATCGACGGTAACTTCCGATCCGGCCTGTAAAATCAGATGATCCTATCCAATCTGAACTAAAAGATATGTCCGTACCTTGACTTGCTGCTGAGCAAGGGCAGCCTCTCCGGACAGAGCGAAGATGGCGACGATGAGAAGGGAAGCGATGAGGAAGCGGTTCATTCTCTGAAATACCAGAAGATAGTTCTGTGACTGCAGAAACTGCGGAATGATTCGGAGACTGACGAAACGCCCGGATCAACAACAATAAGACGAAAGGGGCGGGGGGAGATGCCGCCCCTGAAAGTAGGTTAGTCACCAGTTTGTTAAACTGAAGGCCGGCTTCCCGTTTGCAATCAATCACCGTGTTTTTATTGTCTGTTTGTGTCTGTTTGTGCGGCGAGAGTGTCGATATTCTCGCAAAAGAGATCGGAGAAAAACCGAGTGGTACGGGAAGATATGGGAACAAGGAAGTGGATTCTGATGGGTGCAAAAAGAGGGAGAAGAAGGCATTCGTGGTTTGACCTTTGAAACAGTGCGTCTACTGTCTACTGACGGAGGAGACCAAAGTGTGAATAGGTTTTGAAGAGGTTTCTCTCGTCGTTCTATGACATGGCCATGAAAATCAAGATGGTTTGGAGCCATGATCAACTCGCTGGAGCAGATGCGTTCACCAGTCAACGGCTCGTGATTTCTCTTGATCCGGACCTCTTTTATATCGTGGCCAGGCTCCGTTTCACAACAAAATCATTTGACTTTCGGTCCTGTTTCCGTCAAAACACTGATGAGTCAGATTCTATTGTTATGACTCGAAGAATGAATGTGTGAAGTTATGTGGAGTGTGAACTTGCGAAACTTGATTTCTGATTCATCCATTTTCAAAGACAGAACACTTTCTGATATCGAAAGAGAGGAAACTACGGAAGGAAGGAAGTGAACGAGAAGGAAGTAAAAAAGCGATGCACTTTTTCCTCTGAACGATAATATCGTCATCTTCTTTCGGTCGTCTCTATCTGACTTAATCTTCAAACTCTATTGCATCAATTGAATTCCTTCCAAAAATAAAGCATCATCTCCCCTTGTTGCCCAACCAAAAGAACCTTTCTTGGTTCCCCGTGTCACTGCTTCTCCATCATAGCCTGGGATTAGTGCTCGAGGAGCCCGTGTACACCATCACTCTTCTCGACTTTTGTTGCCTTCCGCCACTTTCAAATCATCACCATCTATCATCGGCCGTCTTTTTTGGCTCACATTTTCTTGCTTTTTGCCCAGGAAAAAATTTATTATTACCAAAGAGGATTGGTTGGAAACATTCGTGTACACAGAGGAGAATGACGAATTGGAAGAGGGTTTGAGAGGGAAAGGAGTACGGTAGAGGCGGAAAGAGTTGGCGGGACTATTCTGGAATAACGAAATGGGAGCCCGTAGGTGGAAGGAAACAATAAAACTAGAGTCGCTTGATAACCAGCATCGAATCTTCGCTAATCGTTCGATCGATGGTAGGAATGGAAGAGAATGAGTATGACCGACGGGGAGCAAGAATGGGGGTGGAAACGGACAGAGTTGGGGAGGAATTACGCCAGTTCGAAGGAGTCAGAGTGGGGTCCTCGTTTTCAGAAATGTCGCCATCGGAACAGGAATTCTCGTCTCTGAAGGTGTATGAAGGAGCTGGTGACGCTGTGAAATGCAAGAATGTTGAGGGACCTGAAATCGGTTCTTTATCATCAATATCCAGGAGCATTTGCACTATGCAGATTCGTGCCCGATTGTAAAGCGTACCTGAGACCAACGAGGGGACGGATCCCTCTCTTCCGCCCTTCTCCTCCTCCTGCTCCTCCGCTTCTTCTGTCGGCTCCCCGATCGGCTCATAACCGCTACGTGATGGGATTCTTGTTGAGCTTCTGATGGGCTGCCTGAGCGACCGGCACGCGACCAGACGGACCGCGTTCGAATCGGTGTTCCAGTTCGTATTCCCCCCGTTGCCGTTGGTTTTGAAAAAACCGAATGCACATGAAGATGGCACCACCCTGAAAAGATGCAACGACAAATTAATTGGGTGGCGTGGCGCGCAGCTTATTGGTAATCTCTCTTCTTGATTGATGGCGGTGCGGCACCTAGTTCGAGAGTGATTAATCGAATGCGAGCGGAGTCCGCGGACACCTGTTACACGTTATACAATATGTGTGCAGCACTTGAGAATGCTGCGGAAAAAGTGTCAAACGAGACCGCAAAATGATTAATTGTCAGCTGATGCTTCTCGCGGCTTTCCGCATAATTCGATTGTTTGGCGGAGCGAGAGAAAAGCGACGAGGAAGAGGAAAAAGAAAAAGGAGGGCGTTTTTGAAGGAAGAGATTAGTACACTCTGGGGTACTAAAAAGAGCAGGGTCCTGGTGGTCCCTAAACGTCGAGCATCCCCGTGAGCTCCACAAATCACCGGGCTCTCACCTGCGCAACCGACCCATTCCTTTTCCGTCTGTCAACATTTTAACGACTGTTTTTTATGGCGCTCCGCTTCCCCGTCCACTTCTTCTCTTTCTTCTTTCTTCTTGTTTCCAGCTCAAATCAAATCCTCCTTAAAGCGCAACAAATCCGTCATTTTCAAATGGCTAATGTTTTCTACTCGAGTGCGCACCGTCATCAAAGTGCAGGCGGCGGCTCCTAATGCAATGCTCCGACTCCTTTCTAACCGGGCGGTCTGGCCACTTCTTGTTTATTTCTCAAAACTATACGAGAGCCCAACTACAAATGAAGAGAAAAGAGGCTGATATGGGCGAGGCTCGGGCGGTCTATAATTATGATTTCCATGGTGGTGGCAAACGATGCCGAGAACGTGCCAATTATGTCACCCTTTGCCTCCTTCGTTGATCCTTTTAGTGCGCATTTCGAATTCTTCGCATCTGCCAACCACGGCCCTATATCATCGAGAAGTCGGAAGGAGAAAGAACATATACTCTAGTAGTTTCCAGGCCAAATAGTGTGGATGAGGAAGAGACGGAGAGAATTCGAATGCAACAGAAACAGATGTTATTATATAGGTGGCTGGGGAACTCGGCGGAAGGCGTGAGAAGAATAGGCTCGCGGAAACGCATTTCCGCAACAAACTTTCAAACTTTTATTAGTTTCATTTTCAGCTGAAATGAATGCACTTTCAGGCTGAAATCCCCATGGGGGATGCGCAGAAAGTGCATCTCAGTCAGATGCTGATTGGCTTAGTTTCTAACTCACCACGAGAGCGACGAGGACCTGGCACACCATGATGATCATGTACTTCTCGAGGCGGCCCATCGACTCCTGCAACTTGCTCCATCAGAAGACGACGTCACTTCCCATTCTCACTCACTTTCATGGAGACGATGTCCTCGAAGAGCTGTACAATCCGCGCGTACTCCTCCATGAACGCCTTCAGGCGCAAGTCGCGTTCCATCACGAGCGGGTTAATTTTTGGTGTTTTCTGCAAACGGAGCATTGTGAGGAAGACGGCTCATTGTGAATTCAGAAGCAACCTGGTGCTCCGTTCGGACAGAAGGAACACAAGATAAACAGGAGAAGAAGAAGATGAAGCAGAAGACGGGGACGGAGCACCGAAAATAAGTGAAAAGAGGGAGCCGGCGGAGCAGCACAACGTGGCGTGAAAGAGCACGCCCCGCCCACTTTTCGTGTTGCTCTTTGGAGACGGAGAGAACGCGCACGTTGCGTTTGAATCGGATTGAGGTACGGCGAAGGTGTAACACACTTGTGAAACTTTTTGTACATTAAATAGAGAAAGAGCCTTTCCGGGAGGGGTTCCAAATTATCAATATATCATAGTCGGTTATCGAGTTCATTTCCAATTCGCTGACGCAAAAATTAGTCCACACTCTCAAAACAACAACAATCATCCGGAATTCTCGCCTTTTTTCCAGCTGGCGCTCTCTCATTTTCAGGCACACCCATCATAACAATAAAATATATTTACTCTTTTTTTCACTGACTTCACACATGAATTTGCCGAAAAAGCGGCCGAAAATACGAACTTATTATGACTGAAATGGCTGTTGCAAAAGCGATTTTGAATTCCAAAATGGAAAAAGGAAAATAGGATGAGCTAAACTGGGGGAAACGGGGAAAGGGACCGCAAAAAGGGCGGCTAAACGTATCCTCTTACAAGCATACTTTTACACGTTGGAGAGTGCGCACAAGACCCGATTGGGAAGAAAAAGTGAAAAAGTGGAAGGGATCACCGAAGAAGGGTGGTGTCAAACTGAAGGAAATACCCGTATATGAAGTGAGACCGGATTCAATCTGATTACATGCTATATAGAATTAGTGGAAGGAACAGAATGGGGTTGAGATTCAGAACTTTTCGTTGTGGACACCGTCATCTGGCACATTTATCTGCACATGTCGTGGATTCCGGCGTTCAAGCCTGGAACTGTCACTCATTACTCATCTGATCCCATTCTGTGAAGCTTACTCTTCTGCTGATCTAGCTCTCATTGGCAGTGACGGAACATTCAGAACGAGTCCGCCGATGCTGCCCGTCTCGGATCTCGTCGCGTCCAGATCAAGAGGTGAAAGGTCTATACTGACGCACGAAGAGCTTGTGGACGGACTGCTAAGTCCGAAGTGCGGCGAATCGGGACCGTCCGAACGTGCTCCAGCCTGCCCAGTTCTGATGTTGTGTTCGGGGTGAGAGCCCCTCGTCGAAGAATCTCCAGAGGTGGCTGTAAACCCAAAGTCTTCTAAATTCCATTCAACTCTCTCCCTACTTGAATGTAGTCATCATTAGCGTCCTCTTCTCCGTTGTCGGCCAGGAATGTCGGGTTCTGAGCTTCCATTCCTGCCTCTAACCTGCTTTTCGTCTCGTATCGACTTGCTGTCTGTTCGATCGGAATCTCTGTGAAGATGCTGGATCCGTGCGTCGGCACTTTGCCCGATTGCAAGTATTCGATGGCTCGTCGCAACTGCAATGAACTCATCGTCTCGATTTACACCAAATGTGGCTAGTTTGGCAGTTGGCAGTGGCCGATTAGACACAACTCCCACTGCTCCGAAATTCGACACCCTCCCACGGTGAGTCGAAACGTATTCTCTGCAACAAAAAAAAAGAAGCGAACCTCTTTGAGAGCGACGACTCCGATCAATTGTCCTTTTTTTGTCACGTACGCGCGATTGAGGCCAAGAAGTGAGAAGAGTGAATGCGCCTGGAATCAGATGGTCACCGAAGAAAGGGACGAGGAGAGAACCTTGAAGAGACTCGTGTATTCGCTCAGCTGGAATGGTGTCGAGTCGATATCCAATTCGCTCAAATCTATCCGTTCTTCTAACACCGAATCTTCCCATTCCGAACGCTGAAAATCATAATTTTATGTGAAGACGAACATTGTTGAAACGTGTTATTCATTGGCTGAAAGCGATAGAAAAGCCTAGCTGAAGAACTGATAACGGATTAGGTTAGTCACTTTCTCACATTTTCCAGAATTTCATCAGTTTTTAGGGTAGTCAGACTCTGAAACCTGGTGTTGTGAAGACATAGGTGTTTTGAGTTGAGCGCCGGCAGTTCGGAACAGGCGAGTGGGAGGGGCTTGATTCGAAAAAAAATTTGGTAGCCGTAAGGCTGCCCAATTTACCCGGACTGTAACAGGTTGTCAAGTTGTTCTAACTGTCTAAATTACTTCCATGGGTCATATTTGTTCAGTTTCCATTCATTTGAACCCACTAGGATACCTGATACGAGCACTGAAGTTACTAATGTCCAGATTGCAGGACTGTCCTTATGGCGCCGCATACTAGACATTTCTGACTTTAATCGGACTGTAACAGGTTGTCAAGTTGGTCTAACTGTCTAAATTACTTCCATGGGTCATATTTGTTCAGTTTCCATTCATTTGAACCCACTACAATAAAACGAAGCTTGGATAAACATTTTTTGAAAGTTGTTGTTATCCTTTTCCACAGGGGGGTCTTATGGTTGCCGCTGTTTCAGACATTTTTCCGATCGCCAGATAAATGTTATGGCGTTTCCCAAACATCCTGCACCTATGTGAGAAGAGCAATCTGAAAACTAAACCCATTCGAACTCACCTCGGATCCATACAAATCGAATTCGTTTTGAGATCCCTTCTTCTGCACGTTCTGTCGTCCAAAGCTCAAATGAGTGATCGAACGGAAGATGTCTCCGATGGTGTGATGCGACTCGATGTTCACTGGATTAATCGTTCTTCCTCCCAGTTCTCTTTTGGGCGTCGTCAGTGATGCTGCCTCAAACAGCGCTCGTTTCTCCTCAACCGTCAGTATTTTCCGTGCGTTTTCTTCGCTCAATCCGCTCAGATTCTCGTTGCGATTCACTTGCGGACCATTCTTAGCAACCGGAACGACCAGAAACCTAAATTTAATGCGCATTTACCTCGCGGAAATGAACCTTTCCGCCTACCTGCTGGCTCTCCGCCCGCCGGCTCCTTTTAATGCCAGACTGTCCTCCGTCTCATCCGATTTGCTCTCTTCCCTTCGTTTCCGTTCATTCTCTTCGTCTTCCAGTCGCTGCTTAACTCGACGTGTCGCTTCCGCAAATCTCGCTTTCGTTCCGATTTGCGAATCCACGTATCGCAACAGCTGGCTTCTGCTGACCGATCCGACTAATGCTAGGGATTCTGAAAGACCCATTCAAAGTAAGAAAAGCTAAAATCACCGGCAAACCGATGTTCTCAACAAGTGGGAACGCCCGTATTCGGCTTTTCAATTCCAGTGCTCTTTTCACGTCGCCAACAGTCGAATCCTTTCCTATAAACACGACTGGAGTGATCATAAACTGTTCGATGAGCATTTGATGATAAAGTGAAGTTGTGTGAGGAATATCCGGAAGGTACGGTAGATTTTTGATCCGGATTATACTGTCGTAAATGGATGGTTGGAGGTATGAAGCTGTTGCATTCGCTATGAGAACGGCAATCTGTAAAAAAAAACCATACCAGATTGGAATAAGATGCAAATTCTGCTCACCATCACTGGTAACAAATGGCAAAGTTGACCGGTAAGTTCGAAAACAATGACAGCAACAGATACTGTATGCGTGACGGCTCCGCAGAAAGCGGCAGCTCCGACGACAGCATATACTCCAGGACGGATAAGAAGAGAATGTCTCCACTGATAACTCCCGCAGGATAGAGTGCAAAGACGCCTTCTCCGACGAGTCGACCGAAAGCGGCACCGAGAACGAAAACTGGCATGAAAATTCCTGATGGGACTGGAAGAGTGGAGGCAAGGATAGAGAGAAAGAACTGGAAATAATGGAGATTAGAAGGGAATATGAAGCGGAAAGGATTACGTAGACAGTCTGAAATACGGCTACAGTGATGTACGGGGAGTAGTTCATATTCGGCCCTTTCCAGTGATGAATGTCAAAGTCGCTCGAGTTCGTTGAGTTAGGTGGGGCACATGCGTAGGGCTCTCCTGGCTCAGCTGTCCACGCACAGTTCACAAAGAACTCCTTCATTGTGTGACTGAATCTTTCCTAAAATGTATCTAATTACTTTGAATTCTATGATAATTTCGCACCTCTCCCCCCATATATTGTCCGAGCCCCATCGGAAATGACAGCGAAGAAATGAACGTGGCAATGCAGATGGGATAGATTAGCCAACTGGAAATGAAAAATTGTGTTAGCAAAGAGCTGTCCATTTCTGAACTGACTATTTCTGGAAAATCATCTTCGCAATTGCATTCCGCCTCAAAAAAAGAACAGTCCGTCGGTGCAGAAAGACGAACAGGGAACCGGCCAATCCGCATATTAATCTGAAACACTGAAATGAGAAGAGAAAGGTGGAATGGAAGACGAACCCGATAAGTGCAAACACAGGAAGTTCTTGGGGCAGGAATACGTTCTGTGGCGGGAAGTTTGTTTGATAATGTGCCTCGACAGTAACCGCCTCCGAAACAGAAAACATTCTGAGAATACGGAAAAGAGTCGCCGAACACGTGGCAGCGAAGAATCCACGCCAGTAGTTGCGAACGGCGAAATAGACGGACGTGACTTCGATGGAGAAGAGGACGCCTCCGATCGGAGCGGAGAAGGTGCACGCGACACCAACCGCACAGCCGGCGGCGAGCATTTCGGCACTCCGGGACTCGTTCTCGAAGATTCCGACAGAGGATCCGTGCACTAGGCGGCTCAGTTGCGAAGCGACCACGGAAGCGACGTGCACAAACGGACCCTGGAGAACTAAACGAGTTTGAAAAGAAGAATAGGAAGAAGGTGGGCTCACTTCTTTTCCCATTGGCAGACCGCTTCCGAGGGACAGTGTCAGTCCGATCATCTTTGAGAGAAGGGTTCTCATCGAAAGATATTCTTTCAAAATCACTCCCCGCAGAATCGTTTTCATCTCCGGAATTCCTGATCCGATGGCTTGAGGTGCAATGTAATGGGCGCAGACGGCGGAAAGCAGAATGAGTCCAACGACGTAACCGATCCACACGAGAAGGGCGAGGGTTACGTGGTACTCCTTCACTTGATCGTACAGATACATCTGCCCTGAAATCTCCCTTTTTTTTTCTCTACTCCGCACGTTTTTTGAGTGGGTTACACTATCTAAACACCACATTTCTCCTCTTATCAAAAGTGACGTTCTCGAAAAGTTCGATTGTTGATAAAACGATTAGGACAGCTGATCGAGTAATCTCGACCATGACATACCATTCTGCAGATTCAGGATGGCGTAGTCCATTCCGAACGAGAGTGCCGCCATTATGAAACCGAGAAGAGCCAGGAAGATCCAGTCTCGGATCACTGTTCGGAAGAGCCGTTTCAGGTTGGCTAGAAGTTGAAAAACTAGAGGTTACGGGACAGAGGTAAGTGAATACCAATGGAGAACCGGCTGGTGGACTGTGATTTGGAGGCATAGGTGAGCGGAATCGTCAGTCCATCGGATGTTTTGTTCTGAAAATGTGGTGAATTCTGAAAAGCTTGATCTGTTCATCTGTACCCCATACTCATCGAATACGGCAAACCGAAACATAGCGGATGGGATGGGAAACACCAATCACCAGACAATACGTTATCGAAGGGACTGGCGACTAGATTAAAGAGAAAAGCCCACGCTTCCACCCTTTTTGATAACAGTTGCATGTTTCCCCCCGGGGTCTGTTTATTTGCATTCTGATTACCTTATTAGAATCATTTGCCCTACTTCATTCTCAACAACACACTCTTGATTACTCACCTTTTCAATTTTCGACAATATCGTTGTTCCTATGCCCATTTTGGAGGAGTCGTCGTTGATTGAGAACGGCACTCCGCGCACTGTTTTGTAGACGCCCAGGTGCTGAAAATACAGTATGACGTAGGCTACTTTAGGGCTCTTAAAGTCGTCTGTTTTTTGTTCTGACACCCAAACCACTGATGAAAATGATACTCAAATAAGAATGGAGCGAAGGAAACAAAAAGTTATTGAGGGGAGGAGATGGCGACAAAGAGATTGATGAGGTGGCCGAAGTTTCTGATCAAAGTAGCAAAACGTCAGATGATTAGGTCGAGTGGATTGTGCGGATACTGTAGCACAAGCCGATGACATTTGTTAGACTTTTCTGTCTAATCGGGTAAGTTAAGGGTGTTGAGGTATGTGCTTAGTGGTGAAATAGGGAGGAGTCCGGAACTGTTTGAGGTTTGCTCGGTCTGAATAGGTGAAAGTATCGTTGAAACAGGGAATAACTTATTTTGCGTCCAGAGCACGCCCACGATGACGTCTAAAGAACCGTTCGAAAGTTGATCCGAGTGGGACAGCCGTACTGAGCGTAAACAACCAGCAAAACAAGTAGAATAAGTGACTGAGATCTGGGCCGAAAAAATCGGTTTCGAAAAAGTTTGATGCGAGAACTTGGATGATTGATAAGCGAACAAATATTTGGAGACCACTAAAAACGGTGAAAGGTTCGAAATGTAATGGTAAGAAGACCAGTTCGCAACACACATTTACAGCTGTCTCTGGGTCTGAAAACGCATTATCATTGGTCGGAAAAGCAAACAGAAGATGGGTTCGACAAGGTCACCGCTTCTCCCTTTTCAGACAAAATGATCAATAAATCAGGAAAAAGCACGCGCCAAATGCTCACGTTGAATTATTCAATTATGATCGGTTTGAATCTGTGACAAAAAACAGAAAGAGAAGCAAGCTGTTCTTGGTGAAAAACTGGTTACTCATGAGAAAATGGGGAAAATGCCGCAACGAGGGACGGTTGCTCGACTTGGGATTATGGAAATAAACGGTCAGTGCGACAGAACGAACGGTGCGAAGCACAGAAAAGTAGGGAAGAATACGAGTTGACTAGCATGGAAGTTGCTGAGGAAGACACTATAGACGGAAGAAAACAGCAGTGACGCAAGTTTACCTCTATTGTCCTTTTTAACCCATTCAATTTGTGAACTGACCGATGGGGAATCCCTATTCATGTGATTCACCAGGACGAACCAATTCATTGATAGTGTGATCGGTCTTTGTGTCCACTCACCGATGAACCCGGTTGCAGATCGTATTCCTTGCCCCCCGCCATCCGGACCGTCTCTTTCTCTTCATTTTTCTCGACCGAATGGTCTTTCTCCGATATCTCTGGAAGTAATGAAAATGTCGTTGATGTGCATACACGGAAGTGATAAAATAACCAACCGAATCGTAATGAGAATTTAAATTTATTTTCATTTCAAGAAGAGATTGTGTTAGGAAAACACAGTGGGATTTGATCGATTAACGAAATCATTTTGATAAGAATCATGGAAACAAATCGCACTTTCTCATTCACGCTGATTGTGAAATCTCAAAGTTCACAGACTTCCAGTGAAGAAATTATAATTGGCAAACCTGGAGGAAGTGGAAGAAGTTTTTGCCATTCGATGCGTGCCAACGGCGTCCGACTGGGCATTTTCTGAAAAAGAACGATAAAATCCGGGAAAAGGCACGTAGAGAAGAAAGCAATTCGAGTAGGCTAGCTGCGAAACAGCCAACAAACTGTCAAGTGTCAATTCGCTTGTTCTTGTACAAGTACCGACTAATGCACGGAATTTTATCCCACTCGAAACGAGCGAGCCGACGAAAGAACGGCTCGGCGGCGGCCTCGTTTTTGGCTCTGTCAAGGCCTCTTTAAAGAAGCGAAAACAGAAAAAAAATTACTGTAGGTGGAAGTGGCTGCAGCCGATGCGCCAGTGCCCACGGACAACTGCGGACCATTTCTTTTCTTTACCGTGTTCTCGAGCTTCATTCTCTATTCTCCCAACGAATTGGCAGTTATTTCCAGACCGATTTTATTGATACGGCTGCGTTATACTATTGAGACACTTCTCTTTCTTTTCTTCTTCCAGTCAGTTACAAAAACGTTCCCCGCATGCGAACGGAATCCCTCGTCCGCTTTGATCGTCGGTTTCCCTCACATAATCCCCTGCCAAATGACACAAACTTCCGATACTGACTCATCTTTTTCTGCACAATTTTGTGACTTTTGTGTTTATCCAGCCAGACAAACTACTACTGTAGCTGAAATAAGTTTGTCAGCCCCGAGTTGTTTGCTCGTTTCCCTGCGTGATCTGTTCCAATGCTCGTGCCTCTCTGTTCTTTCAAATGCAATATCTATTCTGGCAGCTTCTCTCTGTTGATAGATAATCCTGTTCCATGTATCAACAGTATCAACAAGCATTCGTTCGCCCATATCATGTTTTCGTCCTTCTTCGGGCGGTCTCATGCGAGAAGAGACGGTTCGTGACAGGAACCTCATCGCAGGTCGACACGAAAATGACTTGGTCACATTGTGTTTGGACAACTGCAGGAGACACTGAAAATAATGCTGTGCAAATGGACGGAGGTCGCCTGAAAACCGAAATAAAAGAGCTTCATTTTCGAATGATCGCGGAGGCACTAATGATTCTATCAAGTATGTTCCCCCCAACTCGCCACGTCACTATTTACCAACTGTCTTAGCGGACTCTGTGGCAGCGAATTCCAGCTGACCTCCGATGTCTGTCTTCCTCAAGTTACCACTTGAACCCCTCTTTTCAGCCTTCTTTTCTTCTCATCCAGGTGTCGAATTACCCTTCCCGGATCGGCCTTTCCTGCCGAATGATCGGCCTCTGTTTGCGCAAAAACTTTCGATTTCGTCCGTTTCCCGAGTCACCCTTCACCTTCATGATCACTTATTTTGTTTGATTTTACCTTACTGCCAACCGAAAGACTTCTCGCAAAATATTTACTTTCTTCTCGTCATTCGGATTCTTCCCGAATCGGTTTGGGAAAACGAACAGAATGAAATTGGAAAAGAAGAAGAAGAAAAAGATGAAGATGACCGGTGAGAAGGAAGGGAACAGCTGACAGAGGATGCTTGTTTATGAGACATTCCGAAGGGGCGACAACTCAAAAATCGGGGATGAATCATAGTGTTTTCGAAGGGAACGAAACGAGGCGGGGGCATAAAAACAATCAGGTGAGAACTGGACATTCGCAAAAGTGACTGTTCATGCATCTTTCTCTCGTCCCTCTTCTGCAATTATGTTCTTTCATCCGTCATCCAGTCAGCCTACATTATATTTGAATTCATGGGACTCCTCTCTTCCAACACTTCCGACTCGATCTGAAACTGCAATTCCAACCAAATGACTCATTCTTCCAGACGTTTCTGATTCCTGCCCGCTCGCCTCCTCGTCGCTCCCGTTTGTGCGCCCCGCCCCTTTTCTCTTCTTCTCTCTCCTCGTATAAAAGTGGGCAAGTCTGCGCAACCCAGCGGTTCCTCCTCTAATTTTCCACCCTCCATTTTGCCCGGATTAACCCGGATCGTGCACTTAACGCTTCGCGAATCCGTCTCTCTCCTGCTGGTTACCGCGTCCGTTCCATCCATAAATAGACCGTGTCAGCTGCATCCAAATTACCATTCACTCCGTTCTGCTTTTTGATCGCCTCATTGCCGATTCGTCTATTTATTCCATCGTGTTCCCTTTCATCGCCTCATTCAGTTTTGTCTCTGTTCCAGAATGAAACTCCTCGCCCTTTCCGCTCTTTTCATTGTCGCCTTCGCTCATCCGCGTGAGAAGAGACAGCTGTCCATCAGCTCCATCTCTGTCTCTGGAGCCGGAGGATCCACCGGATGCGTTGTCACTGGAAATGTTCTCTATGCCAACGGAATCCGTCTTCGCAACCTGACCTCTGCTGAACAGACCGAGCTGACCAACTACCAGACTGAGGTCGAGCAGTACAAGACTGTAAGCGAACGTATTCTGAGGGATCCGTAAGATTCCTTTCGTTTTCAGCAACTTCGTGATCTTCTCAACCAACGTCGCGATAACCTCCGCAGCCGTCTCATGCAAGGACAAGGACGTCAACAACAGACCACCCAGCAGAGCAACGACGTGAGCAGCCAGTCCGGAAGCGACGAGACGACCCTTCCGAAGGCCCCGGAGAAGCCGTCGTTCTGCACTGCCGAAGAGACCACTCAATACTATTTCGACGGTGTATGGTGCAGGTACGGTAGCGATGACCTTCTTATCGTCTTTGCCAAACTTTGATTCGATAATCCGCTTTTCAGAACAACAAGGTGTACGTTGGCGGACAATACGCCCGTGACCTCTCTTCTGACGAGCAAGACGAACTGAAGACCTTCGATGAACAACAGACCGCCTACCAGAACGCCGTCCAGGCTCAGATGCAGAGCGTAAGTTCTTCTTATTCTTCTGCATTCCATCATCTTCTATCATTGTTTTCTTTCAGCAAGTTCGCGGACTCTTCGGAGGATCCGACTTCCTCTCCGCCCTGTTCGGAGGAGACGATTCCAATGTGCGCAGACAGCCTTCCTCGACCACTCCGGCTTCTTCCACCAGCTCCACGACCCTTCCCCCGAAGCCAACCGTGCCGCAGTTCTGCACGGCCATCTTCTAAACGCGCTTTACTTCTTGTCCTCCTTCCTCATCTCACAGTTAGCAATATGTGCATATAAAAGATACGGTCATAATCGTCGCGAAAAACTTGTACACTTATAAACAATCAAATAAATAAACCCTTTGAATATACAATAATGCAATCACAGAACATTCGCATCAGAAAAACAGACTGGATCTCTCTCGAATGTTCACCGAAACACTGTTTATTCTTGTCTGTTCCCTGCCCGCCGGATTACTTGTCATGCAAACATTGGAGAGTTTTCAGGTGGTTTTTGAATGGAATGAAATTCCATTCGTACTCTTTGGCTTGTGGTATGCCGCCCTAAACGGCTTGTGGTATGCCGTCCTCCATAAAAATGGTGACTTCAAACGAGAGGCGCCGTAAGTTTGATAACGATTCTATTCTTATCAACTAGCAAGTTCGTAGGCCTGCTCCTTCGACAATTTCGTCCTTTTACAGTCTTCACCGCTTTCGCATCCCACTTCATTTCATCTCGATTTCAGGAATGAACCGTTCTCTTTTCGGCCTTTTGCTCGTGGCCGTGATCGTCTTTTCTCAAGAGGAAAATGATTTGATCTCGGATTTGCCCGGACTTTTGTTTAAGACCAACTTCAAGTCGTATTCCGGATATGTCGACGCCAATGCCAATGGAACATGGAGAATGCATTACATGTAAGCTACCCATCTTTTGCAACTTTTATCTATGAAACTTTGTCACCTCACCACATTGTCACCATTTTTCTCCGTTTTCCACCTCAGCAGAAAGAAAATAGTCACCTTTTTCGATCATAATTAGAGACCACAAAGTGATTAACAAACTTGTGAATTTCGAAAAACACTTATCGGAATGTGTTCTAGTGCTTAAAAATAGTACATTCATAAAATTTTTTTGAAAAATGTTCGGTATTTCTCGAGTTATGAACGTTTTTAGTTTGCGCGGTTTGCACTGAAAATTCAGCAGCGAAAGGGGCGGAGTCTATTTTTTGGCGGCGGCGCGCTCCCACCCGGAAAAGAAAATGGAGAGAGCGGACAGTTTTATTTAAAAAATGCAACGTTTTTCCAGTAAAAATGTTTTCTTTATCGAATCCAAAAGTAGACAACGAAAAATTTTGGAAGTGGGTTCTCGATTAGTGGTTTCAGCACTTGCCACTTTACCACACAGGAAAAACGGCAACACTCGGGAATTACCGAGCGATCACCGAGTAGACGCTGATTAGCCAGAAATCAGTAATCGGTCAGTGAACAGCCACTGAAGGGGACGCTAAGCAGTGAGGAATCACTGTCCGATTACTGAGGAGCGCAGTGAGGAATTAGCGAAGCATGAGTGAAACGCGATGAGCGAAAGATTAGTGAGGAGCTACTGAACAAAACGGGATCACTGAGAAGTTAGTGTAGGATCACTCTTGAAACAGGGATCACTCTAGGATTAGTCTAGTGTTGCCGTCTTGCCCACACTCTAAAAATTTACAAGTCCTGACAATATGCCCTTGTTAGCATTTATAAGTATCATGTTGGAAGCGGTAACTTGCTTTTTTGTAATTATGATTTTTTTCTGTGTTACTCTGAGATTTTTCCGCTGTCGCAAAGTTTTGCCTTCGAAGTTTAAAATTTCTTCACTCGAACTGTTCGTCAGCGTGTTCCTGATGTTTGGGATGTTGTTCAGAATGTTCTAAATTAGTCACATCAGTCACTTCCCTTGTCAAAAAAAGAACGAGCTCGGTAAAAACGTTTTTACGGAAAATTTACCGAAATTCACTTCTTTCGGTAAAAAAAATTTCGGTAAGGCACACTTAAAGTGTGTAAAGAAGAAAGCGACGAACAGTTTGTTTGTAAATTTTTAACTTGGAGCGAAAATGCATATAAATTCAACTGGGTGACTTTTTGCTGACTGCAAAGGCAAAACACTGCGATATCATTCGTGTCCTTTGACTACTTGAACTTGTTCTCAATTTTCCGATAATTTTTATTTGAACCATCACATCGAAATACTCTTCCCCCTTAGTCCAAGTGAAACAAGGCAAAGACTCGAGTAAAACGGGAAACAATGAGCGAAGTGAACGGGAACAGCGGGAAGCGAACGCGGGGAAGTGAGGAATCAGCGACGGATCAGTGAACGGAGGGGAAGAGCGGGAAGCGAACGCTGGACAGTGAGGAATCAGTGAGGAATCAGTAATCGGCGAAACGGGAGTTCAGTAACCGATTGTTCCACGCTCAGTGGTTAGCGTGTCTAATCCTTCAGTGATTCTTCGCTGTTCCCGTTTTTCCTGTGCACCCGGGCGAGGGCGGCCGCCGCTCCGTTCAGTTGATGTGCGCGATGTTCGCAGTCACTTTCTAGCATGAAAAAGTTACTGAAAATGCGCAGGAAACTGTAATTTGTGACATTTCGCCGAGTAAAACGGATGTTCCCTAAAATAAATCTGGTGTAGTTTTTTGTGCTGAATACGATTCTGCCGTCAAAATCCCGGTGCCGGACCAGTGTCAACCCGAAAACTCCAAAAAACTGATTTTTCGGGCGAACACGCTATGTTTGACGAAGTTAAATAGTATCTTATAGGTGTCCAAATGATCTGAAATTTTGTACAGAGACACTACACTATACGAGTTTCTTAACACATTCCAAAAATAAAAATCGGGGGGTCACCGCTGAACATTTTTTTCAGTTTTAAGTGGCAATTGAACTGTCTGAAATTGATGTAAATTGATGTAAACCTTCAATTCTGACATCAAAAACGGATTCAGCATGTCAAGAACTATCGGAATGCATATTTGGAACCCCGGTGCCGGACTTATATTGACCCGAAAAAATTCGAAAAAAAAAAACACTGTCCGAACATTTTGCTGTTTTCGCGCTTGTTCGCAAAAACCATGACAGTTCGGCTCAAACTGACTTGACCAATGCAATGGATTCTACGTGGTTGATAACGTAAAGTAAAGTTGTTAGTACAATCATTTATCATTCTGAGTCCGCGCCACAGGCTCAGAAAGACGGAAAAATGAAATCAACTGAAACATTTCGACGCCCCGCCCCCTCCATGATTCATAATTCTTACGTAATACTGTGCAAATTCAGTTGGCAACTGACTGATAACACTCCTTTGGACAGTCACCAAACGCAGAAAAGTGTATCAATTTCAGGCTGACAGAGTCTCGTTCCAATCCGGACACTGATCCACTTCTCGTCTGGTTCAACGGAGGTCCAGGATGCTCTTCTTTGGGCGGACTTTTCGAAGAACTCGGTCCATTTTATGTTAACTTTGATGGAGAGACTCTTTATGAGAATCCGTACGCGTGGAATGCGGTACTGAGGGAACCCCAGAAATGAAATGAGGAAATTGGTTGGTTTCAGAAGGCCAACGTGTTGTACTTGGAATCCCCGATCGGAGTCGGATATTCGTACGACACGCAGACTCCCCACTACTTCCAAGCAAACGATGACCAGTCGGCTGCTCAGAACCTTCTTGCTCTCACCAACTTCTTCAAAGTGTCAGTTCATTCTTCTCTTCAAATCATCCGTGTTCTGTTTTCAGTGCCCAACCAAAGTACGTCAACCGTACCTTCTATCTTTCTGGAGAGTCGTACGCCGGAATCTACATACCAATGCTCACTGATCTCATTGTTCAGGGAATCAACAATAACACTTTCCCGAACACCAACTTCCAGGTTTCCTTCGGTCTTCAATCTCATTCTATGTTCAATTTCAGGGATCTGCAATCGGAAACGGATTCATGAATGTGAGAGGTCTTCTGAATGCGTTGGCTTTGTGGAGTGCCTACCACGGACGTGTCTCCATGCAGTACGAACTTCATTTCCATCCTCACGTCTACATAATCTTTCCAGAGACTGGCAGACAATCAAGACCAAGTGCGCCAACAATACTGATATGGACAACTTTGATTTCGCTCAGTTCACAAAGTCCGACAACAAGATTGATTTTGTCGGAGACGACTCCGATTGTGGAAAGCTTATTCAGCCTCTCATCTCTCAGAACGCGGATGGAACCGAAGGGTTTGAACAATACAAACTGTTTTGATCTTAATTGAGGGGGTTTTCAGATTTGACCAGTACAATTTCTACCAAGAGTGCTACGACAAGTCAGTCTTCCAAGCTCCGCCCCCGCCGGCTTCTGGAAAGCGAACGAAGAGAAGTGCAATCCAGGGAGTGTCTTCCATCAAGAAGAACCTGCAGTACCAACAACTGGGGTCTTTCAAGGGAACCTCTGATTTGAACAATAACACTGCTGTAAGCCTTCCCCGTACATTCCTGGCAATTTTGTTTTGTTTCAGTCGCTAGTGAACCGTTTCTCGAACGACAACCAATGGGGTTACTTCTGTTGGAACGAGGACGCCGTGGCCAACTACCTGAACAGCGACAAAGTCTTGAATGCGCTCAACATTCCGCAGGGCTGGAAGGACCAGAAGAACACGTGGGCGGACTGCAGAGACTCGATCTACAACAACTACACTCTGACCTACAACACCACCAATCAGTTCTTCAATAACATCATCACGAACCTAAAGACTAACTTCCGTTTCCTGATCTACAATGGAGACGTCGACACTGTCTGCAACTATTTGGGAGACGCCAAACACATTCTGCAAGTCGCCAACGACAACGGTCTTACCGTAAGCACCGTTTCGTAGATCAGATGTAATCCGGGCACGTTTCAGAGTGGACCGCGCACTCCGTGGTATTACAGTGACAACAACCAGCTGGCCGGATACGTTCAGACCTATACCGGAATGAACGGCAACGGAGCCAACATCACAATCGACCTTCTGACTGTGAAAGGAGCCGGACACATGGTTCCGTACGATCGTGCCGGGCCTTCCGTTCAGATGATTTCCAACTTTGTGTGGGCCCAGCAGAACGTTCAAATCAACTACACAAGCCAGGACAACTTCAATCCGAACATCCAGCTCTCCGAGCTGATAGACTCCGGAGCCTTCTCCTCCTTCTCCGTCGTTGTTTCTCTCATCTTTGTTCTGCTCAACATAGATTTCTAATGTTTCATCATGTAATTTATTTGTTTAAAACTATAGATAGACACTCAAATTCAATGAAAATGTACATAATTGATTGGATCTAAGCCTCTAGAAGTTTGCGTTGCTCTGCTGATTTGGGTGGTTGTTGAGTGGTCTCTTCGATATCCGGATTGTGCATTCCGAGGGAGAAGTGATAGAACCAACCGCCGACGAGAGCGCCGACGAACGGAGCGATGGCAGGAGCCAGCCAGTAATTGGCATACGGAGAGCTGAAAAGGAACGGATGGAGACTTGGAACGGAGAAGAATGGATCTTACTGGAAGACGGCAGGTCCGTAGATGAAGTAACTGAAGAGCCGCGGTCCGAGATCTCTCGCCGGGTTGATGGGGTATCCGATGTTCATTCCGAAGCCAGTTCCGATCATCATCACGAGGAAACCGAAGAACATTGGATGCCAGACCTTGGAATTTGGTTTCTCTCATCGATGACAACGCAAAGGAAGTAGGCGAGAACTGCAGTTCCGACGCACTGATCGATGTACGGTCCCCAGACACTGAGGTTCGGCGACGGGTAACTGGAAAAGCATACTGCCGTTCCGATCGGGCCGAGAATCGTTCTGTTGCCTCCATCGAAAGCATCGAACTGCTCTGAAATGAAACATTTCCCATTTGAACGAAGAATAAACAGGTGGATACCGTAGTAATAAGAATACATTCCGAGAGAAGCGACGAAAGCTCCGGCGGTCTGGGCGATGGCGTAAAGAGGAACCCACGCAAGTTTGAGATGACCGATGGACCAGAGAAGGAGGGAAACAGCGGGGTTGAGATGACCACCTGAACAGCAACGGGATGGGGTCGAAAATATGGGAGACGGTGAGTACCTGACATCCTAGCCGTGGCCATAACTGCGAACATGATTGCGAATCCCCATCCGATGTTGACTCCGATCCATTCCGTCGTTTTACCGCCTCCCACGTGGAATTGGAATACGATGGATAGACCGATAAACTGAAAAGATGGAAAGATCAGAAGAAGAGTAGCAGAGAGAACGCACACAAAGAAGGAAAGTTCCGAAGAACTCGGCGATGAGATTCCTCCAGAGAACGTTGGTGACTCCGTGGAATCGCAGTCTCTCCGGCAGAGTGTCCTCCTTTGCCGTCATTATTTTCTGAAAATAAATTTAGGTTGATAGGTGCAGACGGCACGCAACAATGGCAGCTTATCGAAAACGTGTGTACTGAAACATTTTTGTTTAAAAAATTGAAGACGCATCGCAGCCTCCGCAATGAAATTGATAAGGGGGCGGGGCGATGGGCGGCAGGCTCCGCTCGACTGTTAATCCGCGACGAGCCAAAGCCGACGAGTACACTCCGACAGTTCTTTGGACGAAACTGTGTGTTGTGGAATGATAGTAGGGGGAAGCACCGGTGGCAAACAGTTGGCAATGCACTTTCACTGTTGGAAAGAGGTACCAAGTGTCTGGGAAATGAACGCGTGGCAGAAGGGAAAAGAGTGTTTGCTGCCGGCCTTCGTGGGAGCCATCTTCAGAGGAAGCGTCGGAATGTTTTCAATTGAAGAGGAGTAAGCGGGCCGAAGGGCTAGGAGACAGGCACGTGGAGCCTACGTATTGACATGTCGGTTTAATAATAACCACGTGAAATTGATCACTACAGTAATCATTGACATCGAAAGTGATCCTACGGTAAGCCGACTGCTTGATTGTGATTGTTATGTGATGTTTAAATGGATCTGGTTGCACAGATACCCCTAATTCTCGCAGTTTTGTGGTGACTGGAAACTTGGAAAAGATGCAATTAGTTTGGCAGCAAAACGCCATTAGAGAACGTCATAATATCTTGAAAGATCATCGTTACAGTAAGTGTGTTCCAGCGTTCAAACATCGCGAATACGCTGTAACTAAAAATTTTGGGCTTTTGATCGTGCCGACTTTGAAATACTAAAGTGACAGAAGAAAGTTTCATTGAAAGCGTGGGGGACAAGTTGAAGATGACAAAAAGAGGAGCAAAACTCAAAAAGTGTCATTTTTGCCCATCCGGACGGAAGATCCGATTTGACGTGCACACTACACTATTCTCGTTGATAAACAATGCTCCTAATCCGTGAATAATCCGACTTTGGAAGCACACAGACAGACACGGACATCACAGTCCAACACTCACCCGAATGAACTTGAGCAGCATTCGAGCACAAGCAGAACTGAAAATTCCGTCCGGATAGAGCTCCTTTTAAAGACATCGCCGTCGAGCAGAGAACTGAGCGATAGCGTTGCGGAAATCGTTCATTGATAACATGGCGGGTGCTCTCTGCGCACACTTTGAAGTCTGTGAACTCGAGTTTGTCAACAAGAAATCGTCCGATTCGCAACTCGCTACCCTTGTGATAAACAGATTACATGCAGGAGAACGTGTTAGACGCGTGGCCTGATAGATGGTCAGATGACCGAGTTTGAGGAGAGGAGGAGTGCCGCTGGAGCTAGAGTCTAGCACGCATTGGATAGTCACAAACAGTTTTTGCACGATGGGGATAACTGTCTTTCAGGTCCACCGTAAACCTGCCATGGCCATTCTCTACCAGTCTTTCGGTATTCTTCTGAATTCCGCTCGTAAGTTCACCCAGATCAATTCTACCGAGGAATCCAATTCATTTGCATTTTTCCCATCCGACTCCCTTTGTACATTCCTCCTCAAATCCATTTTCGGCCCATCCCTGTCTCGTTCCAATCCTAATGAGTACCAGAACTGTTCTTTATAATTGCAGGTATTCAAAGAATTCCTCGTCCTTTTTCCCGTCACTTTCATCATTTCAAGGCTGTCCTTTTCGGCGCTCACCGACGGTTTCCCTACTGAAAAAAGGTGCCAACTTCTCGATTGCTGATCTCGATAACAAAAATGAAGGCGTCGGGAAAAAAATTGGAGAAGTTGTTTGGCAAACAAGGCTCTCCTCGAAACGAGGCGCTATCTGATGCCCTCCAGATGCTAATCGGCGCCATAACGGTAAACCTGATAACTGCCGGTCAACGGAAAGACGAACAAACACTTTTTTGGCGACTTTTCAAAAGGTGTCGGCATGATTTGAAATAAGAGAGTTCAAAAGGGAACTTGAGACGCAGAGCAATACAGTGTGATCCGAATCCTGGTTCCCTCTCGATTGTAACATCTAGATTGTCATTCCGGTGTCACGTGTTCCAGCCCATTCGCTCGCCCGTTTCGGCATCCATGACCTTGTCATCTGCCACGTCGTTCATCTGAATTTGCATCTGAATCGGGGTGTGGCGACGACGACGACGCAGAAGAAGAAGAAGAAGGCGACGATAGGCAGTAGACGGTGTACTTTTGCCCGCTCGTGTACTTTCATGCTAATTTGCGCCGTGCCAGTCCGTACAGAAGAGGTGTTGCGTTCGACGAAGCGAGGAGAAAAAGCCTGAAATCATTGGTATTCGTCTGCTTTTTTCTATTTTCAAGGAGACTGTCGCAAGTTGAAAAGAAGAAGGATCGGGTCATTTCCCAGGCCGACGTGTTCATTCAGATTCTTTTCTCTTGCTTTTGCTCTACCAAACATTTGGAAATAAGTCATGCGGTTTCTCCCGCTACCATTCATTCCTATCTCTTGTTTTTTTCATGCTGAAAGTCTCGGAGATCATCGGTTTCCATCAGTTTCGCTTATCAAATAACCACTTCTTCTCCTTCTCCTTCGTCCTTTTGTGTAACAGTTCTTTCATTTTCAAAATGCGCGGGGCTTCTAACCTCTTTCTGTTGCAGTCAATCAGCCAAACAAATTACCGTATTACCGTTCGAACTTTATTGCCAATTAGTGGACAAACACGTTTCGAATTGCGCGGCGGCGCCCTCCGATTGCGGCGGCACCGAGTAAGGTACAAAGCGCCGTGAGTTTGCTGATTTCTGGACACTTTCGAAGGGGCCGATCGTCTCGATGACGTCTTCATTCGGACACTGAAACAAAGACGGTCCGAAGAGATGGCAAAGAGTCACGAGAGGCAGAGAAAGGAGGAGGTGCCGAGGTCATTTCGAAAGGGGCGGGGCTTGTGGTGAGGTACGAAAGGTTATGGTCACTTTAAAGTGGCCGCTGGCTGATAAAATACACGATAGGAGACCTCGTTTTGTTATTTATGGCGGTCCTCTCTGGCACGGGCGACCTCACAGACTGCCTCCACTCTTGTCGAACTTTGAGAAATCTTCCGACGTGGCATCCTCCTCCGGCTTCTGCTCTTTTCGAATAACCATCTTAGTTGATGGCGTCCCCTTTCTCTGTCACAAACGCGCGTTCGTTTAATACCCACAGCAGTAATAAGTGTTCTTGACGCCACTCTGACAATATACACACCTGTGGCAAAAGAGTATGACCTTACCGCAGCAGCCGTCTTTTCGCTTCTTCTTCTTCCCCTTCTTCTCCGTCCATTCAAGATAACTTGTCGCTTTATTTTACACAAAAGAATCGAAATGTGCGCGCTTTTTCCCAATTTGGTCGTCGAGACGGGAATCGAAACCAATTCCGTATTGTAGTACGGAAGCGAGTGGAATGGGGTGGAAAAGAGAGAAAGGAAGGCGGAACGGACGGACGGAGAAGGCAGAAGCCGTGGCAGATGACGTGGCAAACGAAAGTTTCCCAGGTGACCAGGAGGTCGTAAAGACAGGGCCATCCAGCTAATGATGCCGCCACTTTCGCCTGCGGATCCGACTGTTTGTACGGCAGCTTTATCAGAAAACTTTGTATATTATTATTATTATTATTATAGTCTTGCTGCTTCCTTGCTTCCCTTTCAAACTGCCATCTCAAGTGCGCGCTCCCTTTTGAGATTCCCTTCCCCATTTTTGTTTGTTTCTTCCTCGTACCTGTCTTCCACTGATATCTCCTTCTTCTCGAACTGTACTCTCCTTAAAGTCGTTCGCTATCAGATCAACTTTCTCCCGTCCTCGTCAGTTTTTCCTTCGATTCACCAATTCGTCAAATCAAAGCTATGGCAGGCAGCCTTAGCCAACTGATAATTGATGTGAATCGAGTACGGAGGGAGACGGAGAGAGAAGGTTTCTCTTTTGGGGTTTATTACAACTTTCCTTCATTTTTCGGCTGATCATCTCCCGAGAAGACAGTGGGTTTAAGAGAAGTGTGACGTGGTCATCGTTCTGATGCAATCAGATACCTTCTGGGGGTCCACTTCCTGTGCCCGCCTCCTCTTCAGGTTCACCCACACTTTCCAGCGCGAACAACAATCACCAAGTGTTTTCGCGCACCTTCTCAATTTCTTTCCTCGCCCCTGACCCCTTCAGATCTGTCTTCCGTGCACATTTCCAGTGGAATTTTCCACACGAAAACTTCCGCTTCTCACTATCTCTCTCTCTCTCTCCCGGTCACTTTTTTCTTCTTCTTCTCTTTCTGATAATCGACGTCTTCATCAATCGTCGTTTCTTTGTTTGCGTTCAGTTTACCTATTACACTTGTGTCTCGACCGTTTCCCCCCTTTTCCCGTATTGTCGACGGCATCATTTGCAAGTCGTTTCGTGGTTTCCTGATTACTTCCATCTGATGGATTACTGACCGTGACCAATTTGAGAAGAGAAAGGAAGAAGAAGGCGAAGAAGAAGAAGAAGAAAAGGTTGGCAAACAGTTCAACGTCAGTTTAGCCCACTCTCTTGATATGATCTGATTACCCGAGTATTGTGGGTATTCGTGATCAAGTCCAAGTTGTGACTAGACTCTCAAGAAGTGTAACTTTACGAGCATTAAAGGTCGATCCCCTTCATTCTTTGGCCTTCCGTTCTTCTTCTTCTTCTTCACTTCCCTATCAGTCCGACGGCACCTCGTAAACATGCCGTTTCTTGTGTCGCTTACAGCCCACTTGAACCGCCGTTTCGACCTCCGATCTTAACTTTTTCGCCTCCTTCCGGTGTGCTTTGATCTCTTCCCATACACTTTTTGCACGCTCTGGATGGAAGAAATCGAAATTCGTGTGAGACAACGGGTGCAGAAGGAGACGCCTCTTGAAATATTGCCAAAAGCGGCACTTGATGATAAAAGCAGACGACGACACCGTTTCACTTGTCGGAAGATTCGGTCTGTCGAAGAAGAAGAAGAAGAAAGAGAAGACTGCCATTCTCGCTTTCCGCACGAGTTCGGAAAGGTGCGAAATGGAGAAGGCAAATCAGTTCACGGTTGAGTGCAAATGGAAAAGGAACGGACAGTCACTTCCAGTCGCCCTCTGACCTCCTATTCCTATTTTCTCCTTTCTTCTGGACCCTTCTGAACATTTCCAGCCGTTCCTCTCCGAATGACTCACTCATTTCCGTCTGTTCCTCTGATTTTTGATCGTCTTCCTCCGCCATTCTGTTGTCTTTTTTGCCACCTACTCCTTCGCTTGTAACCCATTGACATTGAATTCGAAACCAATTGACGCCTGCCCTCTCTCCTCCGAAAACTCGCCGCGCAATTTGAATAATAGGTGCGAATCGGCACAATTAGATGATGATGAGAATTCAGAGAATGTGGTGGCCAAAACCGTTGGCGGCGTGCGGCCTTCTACTTCTATTATGGATGCCGTCGGTTTGTGGTGAGTCAACGAGGAAAAGTGATTCGGAAATGAATGAGGGAGGCATTCAGATGCGGACGACGACAATCCCGTGACGAGTCGATTCCACTGCCTCAAGAACGGATGCTGCGATCACCACGAGTGGTGCAGGTTCTGGGCGTCTGTTGGGGAATGCAAAGTGAGCACGATCCATGGGAAAGTCATTGGTATTCAAAAAACCTTCAGACAAATGCTGACTGGATGGTTGATAATTGTCAACTGGCCTGCAACACTTGCAACCGGAAGAGCCTGATCAGACCAGCTCCAAAAGCCCGGCCAAGGAGACCTCCGCCACGCAAACTTGCCGCTACGGTTGATTCCTCTCAATCACTCCAATAACTTTTAACCTTTCCAGACCAGAGCCCCTGTCACAGTGGAGACGGTCCCCACCACAACGGCTTCTCCACCGACTCCCCCACAAACCCGTCCGCCCCCAGTCACTCGTCGGCCGAACTTCACCACGGCCGTCACCATCCCGAGGTAAGTTCCCTCACCCACACGAACCCGCTTTGTCTCCTTCATCATGCTTTCCCACCACCGAACAGTTGTATTGTCATTGTGTCGTTCGTCTTCTGACCCAAGTGTGCGAGAAGTACACCAAAAACTAGTTGGGCTGGGTGACATGAGGCTGAGAAGAGAATGGGTTCATTTTTGTGATGTTTCCAGAAGAAGATAAAAGAGTCCGGGGTGATTCGGCACATGTCATGTCCGGCTCCAGTTAACGCTTCTTGTAGACTGAGCACCACGCACGCTCCTCTCCTCCATCAGCCCGCACGGCCTCCGATCCGAGTCGCCAGTTCGTTCGCTTCCAAAGGGAAGAAAGTGACCCGCAAGTTCTTCTTCTTCTTCAACAGTACAAGGGCTGTTCCCACCACAACCTCTACTTCTACTACCCCTATCCCCACCACGACCACTACTTTGCCCCCTACGAAGACGAGCACGACCACCACGACGACGACGACGACGACTCCACCGCCGACTACCACAACAACCACGACAACATCAACAACAACAACAACTCCAACACCAACAACGACTACTACAACCCCAGAACCAACAACGACGACGTCCACGACAACGACTACAACCACTGCCGCCACCACCACAACCACAGCCACTGTCCCGCCGCAGTTTATTCCGTCTTTCTCAGACGACGCTTCTGATGCTTCTCTGCCTTTTGTTGCTTTTGAAGGCACTACTGTAAACTTTGAGACTACGTAAGTCCCCCGTCGTCCTCGGTTTCTCTCTTTTCGGTGTGCCTGCTTCTGTTCTCTCTCACCAACCGAGTTCCAACCTACCCCCAACACAGTTCCAGAAGACTCCCCCTCCAGACGGTCACTCGTCGTCCTGCCCTGGCCAACAGACGTCCTCCTCCTCCCCGCCAACGCGCGAACTTGCTCCGTTCGACCATCCGTCCAACTCCTCGCGTCTTCACCATTGTAACCCCAATACCAACCTTCTCCTCTGTTCCTGACCTGGCTCCAGTCACCCGATTCTTCGTGCAGAGACCTCCCGCAACCAGACGACCAGCAGCGCTCTTCACAACAAGAAGGACGTTCCCTCCGCCACCAGCAACGACTCCATCGACGACGACAACCGCGACTACTCCACCGCCTGCGACGACCCAGTTCACCAGGGAGTTCACGTATGGTTTTCATCTCATTTGTTCTTTTTCTTTTCTTTTTGGGAATAGTTTTGAACGGTGTCATGGTACAACTTACCAACTTATCAACATCATTACCTCTGGGTTTACTAACTGTTCATGTATTCTGAACCCTTTCCAGGCCATCTCCGACTACCAGAGCATTTATAAACACTGCTCAAAATGGAAGGTGCCGTGATATTATCAACGATCCGGTCGTTGCCGCCGAAGATATGTGGAGGGAGAGACTCGCCGTCGCCACTGAAGGTAACCGGTTGTTTCTATCTGCAAAGTTGTAATGTGGTGTTTATTCAGATAACTCCCGTCGTCAGACTGTTGATCTAGATCAGGTTATCCGTTCGAACACTGCAAACGCCTGCACTCCTCGTTTGGACGAAGCCGACTGCGAAGCGAACATTTGCTACAATGCGCTCTACCGTACCCTCGACGGAACATGCAATAACATGAAGGGAGAACCATTGAGGGGGGCCTCGTACCGTCCGTATACCAGACTGCTTCCTACCATTTACGACAACGACGTCTCCGAACCAGTCGGTCGGTTCTTTCTGATCCGTTTTGTCCCTTCAGCGCATTCATTTTTCCAGGGTCCCTCTTCACCGATGCCCGTCCGTCCCCTCGTGAAATCACTCGCAAGCTGACTTCCTCGCAAGCGTCCGTTGAATCGCCAGACTACAACGCCCTCATCATGCAGTTCGGGCAGTTCATCTCCCACGATATGGCCAAGACTACTCTCGTTCCTTCTGCCAAATGCAATGTCTGCCAGAACATCACCAGTCGGTGCATGGCCGTCCCGATCACTTTTGACGATGCCAACTCGAAGTTAGTCTGTCAAGAAACATACGTCAAAATGTGGACTTTTTCAGCTTCCGCCAAGCCCAGTGCATCCGTGTCTCGCGATCTTCGCCTATATGCGGATCCGGAAACTTGAAGCCACGTCAGCAGTTGAACGAGAACACTGGGTACATTGATGCCTCCCCGATTTATGGATCTTCTGTTCATGATTCAAAGAAGTTCCGTGACGGAGGCTCTGGATTCCTGAAACTGCCAATGTTCAACGGAAACTCCTGTCAGTCCTTGTCCCCTGCACTTCGCACCAATCATCTTTATTTCAGTCCTTCCGTTCGATCAGTCCAAATGCAGAAACCGTGCTCAGTGCTCCGTGATCTTCACTGCCGGAGACAGTCGTGTCAACCTATTCGTCGGTCTCTCAGCCTGGCACACAATCTTCACAAAAGAGCACAACCGTTTGGTCACTGCTTTCCAGAGACTCAATCCCCACTGGGACGGAGAACGTCTTTATCAGGAAGCCAGAAAGGTCATCGGAGCCCAAGTGCAAGCCATCGTCTATCGGGAATGGCTGCCGAAAGTGCTCGGGGCGTCGTTTGCCACCGTCGTCGGTGACTACAGAGGATACGATTCCGACGTCGACTCGACCGTTGCGAACGAGTTCACTTCTGCTGCGTTCCGGTTCGGACACGGAATGATTCAAGAGTTCTATCAGAGACTGGACACGTCTTTCCGCAACATTACTTTCGGAGCTCTGCCCTTCCAGAAGGGAACTCTTCACTCGGATGTTCTTGTGAACGAAGGGGAGTCGACCCATTGATCAGAGGAATGTTCTCGCAGAATGTGAAGAGACCGCAGAGAGTGACGACTACAGTCACGGAGAACATGTTCGGATCGACTGATCTCTCGACGATAAACATTCAGAGAGGAAGGGACCACGGACATCCGGCATACGTCAAGTACAGAGAACTGTGCGGAATGGGAAGTGCTTCCAACTTCGAGCATCTTTCCCGCGAGATTCTGAACACCGGAACGAGGAACAAGCTGCAGGAGATCTACGGATCTGTGGACAAGATTGATTTGTGGGTGGGTGCTCTCCTCGAGGATCCGATCATTCGGGGGCTCGTCGGACCGACTGTCGCCTGCATTATCGGCCCACAATTCAAGAGAACCAGAGACGGAGACAGGTAATGGATTTGTAATGTGAAAAAAACTGAATGCGTTTTAGATTCTACTACGAGAACCCGGGAGTATTCACTCGTCGTCAGCTGGTTGAGATCCGCAAGAGCTCTCTGAGCAGAATCATTTGTGACAACACGAATACGATCACGGTGAGTCCGCGACCAGATCTTCCGTACTCATCCTCTCAATTCAGACGATTCCCCGCGAAGCGTTCCGAGTGGGTCACATGGTCCCGTGCAGTCAGATCCCTTCGATGGACCTCAATCAATGGCGCGACTTCTAAATGTTTCTATTATTTTCTTTCCATCCGTTTTTTTTATAATTTCCACATTCCTTTGTCACCAATGCGGGGTATGGGCGGTCAGCTCACTCATTCTGTCTCTCTCAATCTAGGTTTCTCTCTCCCTCTCGATTCTTTCTGGATTCAATGATTTAGTGCGAGATAAAGTGTTTATGATAATGTATTGTGTACCCGTACGCCATAAGAATAAGAGGGAATTAGTGGAAGTTCGAATTCAGGTCCCTGGAAGGATATGAATTCACAAAAGAGTCGAGATTGCTCTGTTGTGTCAGCGGAGGCGATTGTGACTGTTTTCCGACGATTCGGACGTAGTTGATCGGCACCAATCCTATCCGACTTCCATCTGCCGAACTGAAACCAACTCCCATTCTTCATTATTTCATTCTTTCGAATCGTACCTCGCCAGCAGCCATCCTCTCACTCTCGGCTGCTCTGCCTTCGGAGCAACTCTCAACGTCTCTCCGTTCATGAAGCTCAGCTCTTGCTCATTCGATGCTTGGAAGTCGAACAGAGCCTGTGCCGTGTAATGATCTGCGGAGCCGGTCGCCCATTTTCTCTTCTCTTCGGCGGCCTGCACCATTTGACTGACACACTTGTAAATGAGCCACGGTCCACCAATAGCGACGACCCAGAAGAGAGCGGCTGGCCAGTTTACACTTGTGGGGTTTCTTGTCGCGCCAAGAATGTCTGTGGCTGAAAATAGATGGAATGAAAAAGAATTTCAGGGAAATGAAGAGTTACCGTAAGGCTGAGCAGCGTCTCCCCATGCCAGTTCGGCTGTACTCGCGTAGTTTGCGGGTTTCAATCGGAGCATCACCAGAAGCCATCTCCAGAATCGGTAAACCCATCGGAAGAGAGCAAGTGAAACAAGCACTGATGATAACTAAAAGGGTTTCCTTACTCTTCTCTAACATTCTCAGTTGAATATTACCTGAGTCTTGAGTCTTCCGAACTGTTCCACAACCCCAATTACTGCCCGAAAAGAGCTGTAAACTGCATTATGTGTGGAATTGAGCATGTTGGCGACGGAAGAGACTGCGTTGACGACGGATTCGATCGATTGGAATGCTCCGCGAGACTGCTCCTCGGCCAATCGGGCGAAGTTGCTCTCGGGGGACTGGCCGTATCCCATGTGATTGAATCCTCCGAAGCCTCCTCCGTATCCGCCCATTCCTCCGTACATTCCGCCTGTTCCGTACCTGAAAAGACAGACATTTTGATTGCATCCACTCCGCTTGAAGGCTTACATTCCGGAGCCTGGAAACGTGTTCATTCCGTATCCGCCGTACCCGAATCCCGAATTCATCATCGGATTCATCGTCTGTGAATTCTGAAAAACACATTTAACATTTCGAGAACTTTCCGTGCAATTTCTGTACATCATACGGTCTGGGAGGAAGGGGCGGCGGTGGATTCATTGGTGGAGCCGACATTACTGCGCGGATCTGGAATTATCGGAAATGGCTATTTACTTCTGCGGAAAGAAAGTTTAATGAAGAAGAAAAACAATGCATAGCGAAAGGCTGACGGTCACATTACGGCTACGATCGATGCCATGCAATGCTGGTTGATAAGGTCATGACTACAATGTAGCCTAGTCCAAGACGGGTACGCGCCGTCGATAACAAGAGAAGAAAGAAGCGAGTGGTTGTTGCTATTTATTTAATTTTGGAAGGTGATGAAACAACCCGGCTAGGGGGAGAATCAGAAAAAAAGGTTGGTTTTGAGAAAGTGTCAAATACATAAATTATTGAGTGTAAAAGGTGCGAAACGAGGAGTGCTCTTATCAATAATTGGCCGCCGATCACAGTGCTGATCGACTTATCGAGCTCCGCCACGTCCGCCACCTCTGCCTCCACGGTGTCCTCCGCGCCCTCCACGGCCACCGCCTCTTCCACGGGACTGCTCCCTCTGCTGTTGACGACGCACCTCGTTCACTTCAGTCTTGACGAGATCGACGACCTGAAGTGATGGGGAATGTAATGTTGGTTCCGAGAAAGCCAGGTACTTACGGTTTCTGGGATTCGAAGGTATTTGATTGTGGATCCGCGGATGTAGGCCTCCGACATTTTGAAGAACTTGTCTCCGTCCTATAAATTTGCTTAAAGTTGGTCGCCATTTAAAAATAACAATTCGTCGAATTTATGGTTGTAACGACGAAAAACCTACTTTGGAAGTGAAGATGACATCCATCAGATGAATGTTCATCCAGGCATCACAAGCCTTCAAGTGTCCGTTGTACGTTTCTCCGTTCTTTAGCTCAACGAGCATCGGATGGTTCTGAGCCGTCTTGAGAAGGGAAAGCGGTAGCTAAAAACACGGAATACGCTTGTAAAGCTGTGGAATTTATAAGACTTACCACCATAACTGATTTTTAGATGAAATCTATTAAAACAGAACAATAAGTAACTGGTTTCTGTCAGATAAAGTGAGCTGCGAATTGTCAAATTCGAAAAGACATCACGTCGATTTACGATAAACACGGCGCAAATGCGTTATTTTGGAGCGTCGTTGTATATTTTTGCGTTCAAACGACGTCAGCGGCCTCTTTTTATTCGAATGCATGGCCATAGAATCCGATCGATTTTCCGTTGTTTACTACTGATTTTAGTCGGATAAGAAATGTTCACACTCAAAACAACTTGTTTACAATAAAATACGCCACGGAGCCAGTCACAAACTCAATCATTTTCAGGCAAAATGGCTGAAGATTCGGGAGAACAACCGGCCTGCTTCAGTTGTACATTGCAGCTATCAGAGACTATTCATGTGAAGTGCTCTGAATGTTCCGTAGTAGTTTGTATGCTTGTGAGTCACGTTCGCCGGTTTTCCGTCAAAAACGTGTATTTCAGTGCTTCCAATGTGGCGCCGAGTCCCCTCCACATCGACGTGGACACAATTACGAGTTGATCAAACCGTCGGAAGAGCGCGGTTCGATGAGCTGGACGCACGAAGACGAGTTCGAACTTTTGAAAGCAGCACACAAATTCAAAATGGGAAATTGGGGAGAAATCGCCGAGAGCATGGGAAAAGGCCGTCGTGAAGGGCACAATTGCAAGGATTACTTCGAGAAGCACTTCGTCCGTGGATGGATCGGACAGTTCTCCATAAAAAGCGCCAATTGGGACCGCATAAAGTACGGAATGTATATAAATCAAACACTGGACAGTGTCCTTCAAAAGAACTGTCTCGAGTCATCCGAAAGAATGCTGCTCATAAGAGACGCGATTCGTCATTTTGGAGAGAACTTTGATGAGAATGACCCGAGGCTGGCAGCCAACGTCCAACAGCTTTTAGAGCAATACATTCAGAAGTAAGTCATCAATTTTGAAAAATGTTGCAAAAGAAGTTTTATTTGCAGGTGCATCGATGGTGAAATTGAGATCAAGTACGAGCGTCCCAAAGTTCTCAATAATCAGTACGGAACGGAACTAAGTGCTGATGAGTGCGACCCGGATGAAGAGGTCGATACGAAATCAAAAATTAAAGTGAAAATAGAAGTGCCAAGTGAAGAGAGCGACATGGATGAGTCCACAGGACCGTCGTGCAGTTACCGGAGTCGGAATAGGCCGCCAAGCCCGAAAAAACGTAGAACAACTCGTGTGATGAGGGAATCGAGCAGCGAATCAGACGGCGAGAAGGGAGGGCTGTCGGACAACGACGGCACGATGAACGGAATCGAAAGGGAAACAGAGGACGAGGATCCGAATGAAAGCGCATTCGAAACGGCTCATGAATATGAATCCGAAGACGAGGAGAAGCCGAGAAGAGGTGCGCCTTCTTCTTCTGCTTCTGTTTCGACGAAGAGAAAGAAGAGGAAGAGGACGTGGATGTCGAAGAAAGAGCGAAGACTCCACGCGTTCCGTACAAAGATGAACAGAGAGCAGAAGAAAGGAGAGAAGGTAATTCAATTACATTCTTCTGCCATTTAAAAACTCTTATTTCAGAAACTCGCTGGACTCAGCGGAATCTGTTCCCTTGAAGAAGTCAAAGAGCTTCGTAGCTCTTATCCTCGTCTATTTCTAGAGGAAGGAGTGAAGCCTACTGTAAGGTATTCGGATGATTTTGTCATGCTCGGTTACAACGCCGACCGCGAAGAGTTTGAAACCGAATGGTTCAACGACGCCGAACAGCTCATCAGCAGACTCACCATTTCCGCAGCTCCGGCTCAAAAAGATGAGAAGCTGGACATTGAGAATGATATCAAGTTTGCCCGTCTAAGGCAGTATATCCGCATTTTGGGCATAAGAAAAGCGAAAAGAAACACTGTTTTGGAGCACGATAAAATCAACGAATTCTTCAAATTCTACAAAGAAATGATGGCGCTAAACGCGCATACATTTACGACGTCAGCAACAGAACAAGTTGAAAATCGGCCGGAGAAGGAGAAGCTGTTGGCGATGACGCAGCAATTTTTGACGAAGGACGAATACTCGGCTCTGCTCAAGTGCATTGATCGCATCGACACCTTGGTTGATCGGATTGAAATACTTCAGGATCTTCAGAAAAATGGTTTGTTTTGAGGATCTCCATTATTTCATTAATTTTCCGTCTTTTTTCAGGAGAAACTACTCTTAAAAACGCTCCTCCAGCTCAAGAGCGAAAAAAGAGAAAGTTGAGAAAAGTGGACTGTGAGCAGAGGAAAAAGATTGCCACGGAATGGACCAAGTACAAGAAATGGCACAACTCCGGATGGGAATAACAAACCGTCTGGATCCCCATTTAACCTTAACTTATTTAAAGACACAACTACTTCTATTCTAAAGATCCTCATCTCTTCATTTTATTTAATTCAATTATTGAGCTTACTCAGCATGTCATCAGCCAAATTTTACCCCAATACAGTATTGTTTTCATGTACAAGTATCCCCATCCTGTTAAATATATTCCTCTATTTATCGCATTCCAATAAATATAGACAGTGTGCTCAAACACTTTTTGCGAGCATTTGTTTCTGTACAATCTAGTCATGTCACAAACACACAAAAATTGAGTCAGAAAGTGGCGAAAAGTAGAAAATGTTTGTGTGGGGAGACGCAGAGTCCCGCCGCAAGGACACTCAGATGCCTATCGGCCTCCAATTCTTCCCTTTCTTTCACTTGTTTCCTTGCAATTTTCGAACACTTTCTGCCGGTTGTTTTCGAGAAGTTTCCCAAAATAGTTAATGAAAAATTAGTCGTAATGGGGGCGGAGTCGCCTGAAATTGATGAGACTGGTTCCTCTGGAAAACAGTCGGAATCATTCGGATCCGCCGTCCAAAACATGACTTCTCCCGATATTATTGGCGCTTCTGTTGCCGACTTTTTCGGTTTGTGTCTTCCGGACTGAAAATCAGAGAGAAACTTTAAAAACTCTTTCGTTTAAAACTGTGCGTTACCGCATCGGGTGGCGCTACAACGAAGTATTTAGAACTTGCACGGAATGGAACTGTTACGATTTGGAACTCGCAGTTATATTTTAACGTTGCGAGTTCCATTCCGTGCGAGTTCTACTTTGTTGTAGCGCCCATCGGGTAGATCTATGCTCGAGCGCGAATGCCAGAATTCTGCGAAACCAATAAATTAGTGCCACTTTCTCTCTGATTGCTCAGTCCTTGATATCGCCGTTCAGAAAAACCTCGCCGGGGCTCTTTTCTCGTAACGAACGTGGCAAGCGACGGACTGACGGCCGTCGCAGTGACCAATCCAAACCGCAGGTGACTTCTCGAGAACAGCCGAACAGAAGCGCTAACTTTGAATAGATGTTCCGCTTTCAGATTCCAAATCATGGACGACGAGTTGGCGGCGGCGAAAGGAGAGAGTTCGCGAAGGCAGAGGGAGTTCCACTCGAGGAGCAACGCGTTAGATGTGAGTGGAATATTATGGAAATCCCTGTGGTAACCTCCAAACGGACATTGAATACGAAGGAAATGAATTTTACTTTCACTGACCTTTTCATTTCACCCGATAATGGCTTTACCGCGTTAATTCAGACGCTGAAAGATTTGGATCTGAGCGGAAAGACGTTCGCAATTACGGGAACCACTTCGGGAATCGGAATCGAAACGGCGCGTGCTCTTGCTCTCAAAGGAGCCCACGTCATCATGTTCAACCGAAACATTGTGGAAACGGAAAAGCTGAAAAAGAGAATTGAAGAGGAGAAGCCGGATGCGAAGATAGACTTCATCTCGTGCGATCTCAACTCTCTGCAGTCTGCGAAAGCTGCGGCGGACGAGTACTTGGCGAAGCACTGGCCCCTCCACGGACTGATTCTCAACGCGGGAGTGTTCGCCCCCACGGTCAAGACGACCTTCGACAACTTCGAGTCGCACTTCGGAGTCAACCACCTGGCCCACTTCGTTCTGGTCAAAGAGCTCCTTCCGGCTCTGCGGCAGTCCGCTCCCTCCCGCATCGTCTTCGTTTCTTCCGTTTCCAGTAGTCACACAGGACTGAAAGCCGAGATGCCGAGAAGTGAGAAAGTGAAGAAGTTGAGTCCGGAGAATGCGACCGAGGGATTCTACAAGTATGTGGCTGCTATCTGCAGATTCCAATTGATCCATATTAATCATTTACAGATTGTACGCCTACTCGAAGATGTGCAATGTGCTCACTGCGTTCAAAATCCATCGCGACGAGTTTGTCAGTCACGGCATCAGCACTTACGCCGTCCACCCGGGAACAATGATCGGAACCGGTCAGTCGAATCCTAATCCATCATTCCTCTCCTTTCCAACTTTAAGATATCGCTCGTGGCTTCGGATTCCTGAGCAAGTTCTGGAATGTCATGACGAAGCCGTTCACAAAGACTTTGGCGCAGGGAGCCGCCACGAGTGTCTACTGCGCCGCCCATCCTGACGTGGCAGAAGTTTCCGGGAAGTTCTGGGAATCTTGCTGGGACGACGAGAAGAGTCTGGATGCTGACATTGCCCGAGACATCGGACTGCAAGACGAGCTCTGGGATCATTCGGAAGTGCTCATCGACGAGTGGCGCAAGACGCAGAAGCCCGTTTCCACGATTGGGAACGAGGAGGGCCTTCCAAACGGCGACGCCTTCTCCGACGAAAATGCTTAACTTCAACCCTGTTAATTTCATGTTCAAAGCTTTTAAACAAGAAAACAATTATTCTCATTATACAGATCAACACAGTTCATTTGGAAAAGTCGGCAGTCATCCGACTTCCCCTCGGATCCTTGAACGACTCGATCTTTGTAGAACACTTCTCTAGTGTCCTCATCCTTTGAAAGTGTCAAGAGAGTGACTCCGAAAGTGTACTGTGTTGCCAAATGTTGTTTTTGTGCTTCTTCCCTCTTCTTTCTTTCCCATGTTGTAGCCCATTTTGATCATTTGATCGGACAAGTGATCGAGACGAATTGAACAATCCGCCAGAAGAATAGATTTACGAGGATGAGACCACTGGCTTCTTCTCGATTCTTCTTCTCATTATCTTATCTTTATCACATATGTGGAACATTTGCCAATTACTCCCTTCCCTCCACATTTTGATCATTTGTTCCCCAATTACTCGCTACCTTTCCACGGCGTCACGCCCTTCCGAATCCTCGTTTTCTCTCGCCTGCAAGCCGTCCCGAGTGTTATTCGCAGCCGCTTTCGAAGCCCAGTTATTGCGGGGTTATGGACTGCTGCCGGAAAAAGGATTGCATCTCCGAGAATGCTGCCGCTCGTTCTTTTCTCTTCTTTTCCAGATCCCGATTTGGAAAAGTCCATCATTTTTTGATAATCACCCATTTGTCATCTGGACGCCCTGAACGGCATTCTAATGTGACTGTCGGGGATGGCTATAAAAGGCGCTGCCCCCGCCTTCCCTCTGGTCATTCTTCCGAACGGAGACTACAGTCTCTGAAAACAAACCATTAAAACACTGAAAGTTGAATATTCTGGAAAAGCGCATTCAGTTAGCAGTCGACCAATAACCATCCGCACGTCCTCTCCGATTTTACCGTTTTCGCCCATTCTCGAACGCGAGTCTCCTCCCCCAATTATCCCGCTCTTCCCGAAACCAGCTTCTTCCTTTTCTCCACTTGATTCGCACTTATTCTATGTGAATGTCCACTGACAGCTGCTTACAGTTATATGATGGTCAAATGCAGTCTTCTTCTCTATTTCGCTTCCCTCTCCGGCGTCGTCAACAACGTTTTTTCATGCGTCGCCACAAGCTCAGGAAGTTCCGCGACGACTACGACCACCACTGCGGCGACGACGACGACGACGACGACAACGGCGGCTACATCCAGTAAGGGAAACAGAGACGGATTGATACAATTGAAACATTTGCAGGTTGCACAAGTTGTACAGCAAGTCAAGTGACATTCGCGCAGGCTTCTGGAACCATTCAAATCGACACAAGTGGAGTGTAAGCATCTTCCGAGAACGAGTACTGCTCACACCTTCTCTCTTTCCAGAATAGGAACAGATGCCACAACTGGCTGCTACACTTTGACGGCAACTTGCACTGCGGCAACCGGATACTACGCATTCATGCAGTTCAATTACGACCAAGGAGGTCCTTCTGAGAACTCAGACATGGGAATGGTGAGTGAGCCGACTTCTGGCGGGTTTCTATGAAAACCTTCTGTTGCAGACGATCAACGCCCTTCTCAATTGTGAAGATGGTAATTGGGTGTACACGAGCGGCGGAGTTTCTCGAATAATCACTCAAGTGTCTTGTAATCAAGCTCCCGATGCCTAATGCCTTCATTTTCCTTAGATTCTATTTGTTTTACTTAATAAGTGTTGTGTAATAATGTAATATTCGTTGAGTCCCTTCCCAAACGAAGAACATACATTGGGAGAAAGGAAGCCTTAGGACAGATCCGATTTAGGAAAATGTTTTTTCTCTCGAAGATCATTTTTTGCTCGGAAAAGTCAGAAAGTAGCGGAGAGCAAAACACCAAATGAACGTGGAAAGTGAACAAAGATCGAAAGAGCGTTTTTTTTCAGAATTGGTCCGCTATTGTAGACATGTATAGTTTCTCCAACCACGGTTTTCCATAAACTCCTTGCTTCCTTTCTGTTCCCCGAGCCGGTAGTCTTCTCGTTTGTCGTCACATTTCTTATCTTCCAGCCAGGTTTCGCGAAACTTGCTGAATCGAGCACATTTTCCCTTTCTACATGCCATTCCCTCGGCCTTATCACCGACTAATCACCACGTGGTTGTTTGTGTGCCGCGTGTCAACTAGACACTTTTCCGCACTTCCTACATGTCACTGTTTTGTGTCTCCTTTGACTGCCAGCTGACCGACTGAAACTGTGCCATACAAACAATGTTACAATCTTCTGAAAGCACTCGTGATAGCATCCGAAAACTGTGCTGAATGTGCGGGAAATTGAATTGAAAGTGAAACAAGTAAAAATCAAACCATCAAAAGGTTCAAGAAGACCATCCAGACGAGCACATTTTTATCGGATTTCTTCATGACGGACGGGTCAGTCGTGTTTGTTTGTGAGGGAAAATGATAACGAAAGTGGTCGGGAATGCTTGCGGTTCCAGAATTATTATAATGAAAAACACGTAGACAATGGAGTTTGTAACCTACAGAATACAGACGTACTCGGCAGTAAACATATTTTAGGAAAAGAGCGGAACCATATGATATGGCCACGTCATCTCAAAAAATACCGAAAAGATCGACACATCATTCACAATATCATCATTTTGCTTTTCAGTCCCTTTCACCCTGAAACATTTCTCATTATCAGTGATTTCACCCAATTCGCAGTGTCCCATTTCGTCAGTTTCAGAATCATTTCCGTCGCAACGTCAACTTTTCGTTTACCTCAGTCCCTCCCTGACACTTACTCATTTCTCTTCAATTAATTCCCCGTCTTCTGATAACGAAAAGTGTCGGCCGGCGTGGACAACGAAAGGTTACGTTTGATAACTAAGTCGACGTACACGAGAAGATCGTAGTGATCCTTGATTTCAAAATAGCGAATCTTTAAAGAAGCATTTTGCGTCAAATCGAGGTGGTTTGGGATGATAAACTGGGATTTGAGCACAAGAAATCGGGTCAACCTGACTAATTCTCGGCTGAAAGAAAGTCCCCCGGCTGAGAAATAGTTCCTGAAGAGCGGTCGCAAGATGGTCTTCGCCCAAATCGAATTCTTCTGACGGCCATTCTGTGACGTCGCAACATGAAGTGGGCACTTTCCCGATTCATTCTATTGGACGAACGCTCCCGTGACGAAGACTTTCGCCCCTTTTGCACTCTCATCTCGCCGCGGCAGCATACTCATTTAGAATGACTACGTCAAAATATAGGCACACACATTATGCATGCTATATTTAGGTGTCAAGCATATGATTTGGGCGTAGAACTGGTGAAGGACGACTCTGAAATGAGGTATCCATGTGCCAGAGCATAGATTCTCCCGGAAACATTTGTGGAATTGAAGGAGAATGCGAAATGATGCCGGATTCGGAATTCTGACGAGGAGAAGCATGTCTGAGCTGAATTTGTATATGATCACGAGCAAGTTATGGTGCACGTTTGCAGCCTGTTTATAGTTTGCGACGGCAGGCTGATAACACGCTTATCACGGTGAGCAATTCTGCTACCAAACATCCTTAAGCGCATTTCACGCTACGTATTGTTGGCAAGTGTGAATCACAATCTGGCCCACAAAATGTGTAGGAAAGAAAACTACAATCGAGTTGCCGTCCGACTCCTTTTCGTAGAGGATTGTCTGCACAAACATTTCCTGGGTGTTCTAGAATGGCATGTCATCAAAAACGTCTCCGGTGATACTCGAGAAACAAAATAATCTAATTATGAGGTCAGCGGAATGCGGGGGTCAACCGGAAGGATGTGACGGTCATCCGGAAGCCGTTCCCCAACGCAATTCGGATCCCTTCCGCTCCGATTCGATGCGAAAAATGATCTCGGCGACTTGCTCGTAGATCGTTTCACAATCGTCAGAATGCAAAAGTTATCCGGATTCGCTTGCAAGTTTCCTTCCTTTTTCACTCCGTTCCCGAGATCATCCCATCGGGTTTTCCCCATTCAGCACGACGGGATAATCTTGCAAGAGTAGGCGTCGGAACACTTCCCTTTCGGTACGAGAGCGAGGGAGCTAGCGAGGAGATCTCTGGAATCGGAGCTGAGCAGAAACTACGAACGAGAGCTCAAGGAAAGCAGAAACCAGGGGAATCACGTTACGGATGCTTCAGAAAGATTTCCACAGTGTGCTTACATATTAGCCCAATCTAAAACCACTTCAGATCACTTTCCCCTCTGACGGATGCGTCTAGTTTCACCCGGCCGTCCGTTCATCTCCTGACATTTCCAACCGCATCCGTTTTCATTTCCGTCACAGGAAATCGTCCTTTTTCGTGTTTGCCGTTTCTGATTTCCGCTGACATTTGCGAAAAGTAGCAGATTTCTGATTATTTTAACATCTTTTCGATCTTTATTTTCTGCTCTTCCCCATTCACTGAAAATAAACGCTCCGTCAAAAATATCCGCGGTCTTAGCTTGCTAAGCCTTAGATATTCTGATTCATAAAATGGAAAATCCAGTCGGATCAGACTAATAACCACCCGCAACGATAATTGGACGCGTTTCTGAAAGGACCATTGGCAACAGGATCCAGAGAATTGCAGACAAATAGAAGGATTATGACTGCACAATGAACAGAAAGTCTGAAGAAGTTTGGCTGGAAGTGTGAAGCCGTTGAAAAGCAAACAAGTAAACATGGACTCCGAGAAAATGTCGAATGCTCTCCGAGGCCTCTCGAGGTAAACGCATTTGTTTATTCAATTAATAAAAAAGGAACGTGGGCCCTCCGCTTCGCAGTTTAATTCCATCCGGATGTCTAACAGGCTCATTTCCCCCCACAAAACAGATTGGAATTCTCTAATCTGTTGTGACGTCGCAATGGTGGAAGTTGGAGTGAGGGTGGATTATTTTACTCATTCTTTATTTTTCCGCGATAAAAGAAGATCGCAAACTTTGAACCGAAATGTTGTTTTGATTACCGATGAATTGCCGACTTCCCAGTAACATCTGCCTCAAAGAGGTCACGAGTCGGCGACAGAAACGGAATCAAAAACCGAAAAGATGCCTGCTCGACGACAATCGCACTCACATGACGCACCGATAACTGTTCCGTGAATGAGTGATTGATTGCCGGTTAAATTGGGCTGTGATTAGCTTAAAAGGAGCTGCTGTTGAAAAAGCAAAAACTTGGAGGATTTCCACGCAGATCCGCTTATCGAAATGCAATGTTTCGATTAAAAGGAACATCCAAACCGCAATGAGTCAAGACCCAAAAAAAGTATTTGAACAGTTGCCAGTGAGTGGGATACTTTCCGGATGTCTGGCACAGCGCCAAAGAGATTCAGGCGGCCCGCTTACTCAGCAACCTATTTCTGACAAGTTTGCAAAGGACTGAACTGAGTTTGAGCGGCTCGCACGGGGCTCATCGCCCGGCGGTCCGAATTCAATTTGCGCTTGCTCCGGAACTGCTCTCGCTACGTAGGATGTGTTTAGCCCGCGTTCGGTCACAGTTGATCTGTAATCTGGAGAGATCAGGCTGACGGCTCGGCAGTTGAATTTGTTGAAATTCTTGAGAAACGTGGCCGTTCGAGAAAGATCATAACATTTCTGTTCTTTTCTCTTGATCGTTGTCTTTCATCGCCGTATTCTGCAGTCTGCCCCAGTCTTTGTAATCATTTATTTGCCTCCTAATCAATCACAAATAACCAGAAAGGTGCCAGGAATATCTGAGAATCGGTTCATTGATTCGTCGGCAAAACGGATCAATCAGAAGTTATTCGCCGTTCTGATCGGTCGTCCCCTCGTCTTCTTTCCCTTTTCGTCACACACATTATCTCTTATCTCTGGAACTGTGCTCCTGAAAACTCTGACGATACGTTCAGTTCTGCAAGTTTTGAGTTGCAATTCATGATGCAAATGACGCGGTTTTAAAGAGAGCCACGGTAAACAGAGGCGCCGACAGAGTGAGTGCGGTCAACGCCGTGGGAAAATGGGAGTGGCTCCGCGGAAGAGGCAACGAGAGGGGGGGGGGGGGGCGGAGCCGGTTCGGCGAGCAGTATAAAAGAGGCGTCGGGAGGCGGTGCACCTCAAAACGTTCCTCTCTCTCTCTCATTCATTTCACTATGATTCACATGCCAATTCACGCTACCTTCGAGCAGTCGAGCAGCCCCTTCGAGCTCCGACGCTTACGCCTTCTGACCCCGATTGTTCGGAAGTTCAACTGACACACTGCCGTCTTCGTCCGCCTTGTACATTACTGTCTATTTGGTTCGTAGCTGCCGTAGCTGTTGATTTTCTGCCGACACGAGGTCCTTTCTCAATTCCGACACGACGGGTTCCCGGATGCGCCCCACACGATCTCACCGAATACTCCAGACGCTTTAACCAACCGAAGTGGTGATGCCCCATTCCAACGGGTTTCCAACGACTTCTTCTTTATTTGTTGATCATTTATTTGTTGATGACGGTCCGACTGAGGATCTTATTTATTTGGAATCTGCATAATGAATATATTTTGATGAATTCAACGTGTTCTATTCTGTCCGATCATAAACAAAGTGGTACTTCCGAGTCCGTCCTCGACATCTTGTTGTCCATCCAGAAGTTCTCCCAATGTTGAGAACTACCGTGATCTCCAAGAAACATTTACACGATGTTGGTAAATAAATGAGTAACGTTTGAGTAAATTCGA